CATCCAGCTGTCTTGCGCAATGGTGTGGTGTATGAGCATGAGTGATCTGGTGATGTTGCGGTTCCTCCGGTGGGTGCTAGGGTATATTGAAATCCAGGTGTGATTCGCCCTCGAGTTTCCTAGGAAGTCGAGGTACGGTTCTTGTGCGAGCCCTACTCCGAATTTCGATCTGTTCAATGAGATCAGCCAGTCTTGCTGTGCGGTGTTCGATCGGCACAGATTTTGTGACCAAAAACTTATCGTTCCCCCCTCCGTGTTCGTTTCGTTGGTTGTGTCGTTCATGCCCATCCCGCGCCGCGTCCCGTTTCATCAAACTGTACCGCGTCCCATCCGTCGTGTGGGGTGAGCCAGCCCCCCGTGTCCTTTTGATGGAAGCCGAAGTCGTGCAGTGAGGCCTGTTCTTCCCGTTGCTGTTGCGTCGGAGTTATGCGTTGCGATCTGCCCTGTGTCGTTTTCCCCCATCCGTTGTCTGTCGGCGGCGGTAAGAACCCGCGTTTCTTTCGGTTCACCTCTGTCCATCCGTCTTCGTGTTGCGAGTGATTGCGCTCCCACGTATCCGGAGTGTCGGTGACGAAGAACCTGTAATCGTTTTCAGTGTTCCGTGCTTGGTATTCCCGGTTCTTAGCTTTGAAGGTCGGGCAGTCGTGGCTCCATGACGCGTGTCCTTTTGTTCGGCAGTTGACGCAGTAGTGCTTCTCGCGATCGTTGGCGAGGTCGCAAGCCTTCGTGGCGTGTTCGATGCTGCCGCATGTTCCACAGGTGTCGTGTACTGACTGGCACTGCGCCGCAAAGTGTCTGCCAATGAGCTGGCATTTGTTGCATCTGGTGATTTCTTTGATCAGTCTCCGAACTATGCATCTCTTTCCGCGCACTGTGATTCCGAATCCGATAGCTTCGTTAGCGATCTTCTCTGTGCGCAGACGTTTGTTGCAGGTGTCGTCTGGTTGGGTCTTTGATCCATCTTACTCGGATGATGTCTTGTTCTTCCCAGCTGTTCGCTCTTGCTACCTTGGTGACCTCGTCGTCGTCGTCGGGGTTGAAGTAGAGCGGTGCGTTTTCTATGAGGACTGCGTATCCGGGTGCTTTGATGGTTGCGCTGTTTCCAAAGTTCTCAGCCAGTCTCTTGCTTGTGTGCGTACCTCTCGCCCATTTGGCTGCTTCCGCGCTGTTGAGCTCGAGTTCGATGCCTCCGTTGCGCATCTTCCTTGCGCTGACGAATCTGGTTCCGTCCGGCATTCCTTCCCCTTCTCCGCCACACATTTCTAGTGCCAGATTTGCCTTGGCGACGAGTTCCTCTTCGTTCAGAGATTTGATGGATTCCCCTTCGGTGTCGACGATGATGCGGGTGCTGCAAGACATGTTCCTGCGTATGATCTCCGGCCTGGGTCTGTCCTCCGTGTCGGGTCTTCGTGCTGCTGCCGCTGCGTATGAGCCCGTCGGTGGTGGATTCGTGTTTGCTGTCGAGTGTTGTTGGGAGGCTGTTTGGTTGGTCACCGCTCTCGTTATGTCCTCGATGGCCCCTCTGGTCTGATCTCGTATGAATTCATCGGCGTCGCCTAGTTGTTCGATTGTCTCTCCTATCTTCATGTCGTGGGTGCGTAGTTTCTCGATGTGGTCGCCGAGTGTCGTGTTCTGCTCCTTGAGAGTATTCAGTAGCTCCCCCATATCCTTCATTTTCTCTTCCATCCTTTCCGCCATCCTGTCTCCCCTGCACTCATTTATGAGGTATGCGAACGCACGAAGGTTTGTTGCGAGCCTTGAAAGTGGATCGCCCGCGGCCTGGTGCATCATATCTGCTATCGAGTCTAGCGTGACTGTTGTGCGATTCTTAATGTGTCCTCCTTGTTCGAGATAGTCTCTGGCTTCCTGCGCGTTCGTTATCTGCTGGTAATCCCTCAGTGTAGACTGTTGTGTTGCCGGGTGGGACTCATCTTCCGTTGTAGCAGCACTGCGCCGCGCCGCCGCTCTGGGCGGTTGCGTTCTCGAGCTCATTACGAACTCGGTCTCTCCTTGCTTTCTAAACTAGTCTATGTGTTTGTACGGTGCGTTCTTTAGCAGAAATGTGTAGTTAAAGTGCAGTATGCTACTCTAATTAGGCTCCGGTGCCACACCCGTTACGAGGTGGTGGTGGTAGCCTGAGAAAAGAGTCCACCAAGTGTTGGGATTTGTGAATACGGGCTACATCATCTGCTTGTCACCTGCTCCAGCTGGTGCGAACCCTTGCCAGGAATATCAGCTTGGCGCGTTTCCGAAGTGATTGTGTGTTGTCTAAGTATCGTATGTGTTGTAGAGTATACCGTCCTAGAAAGCCTTGCACTGCTAAGCTGAGGACTGACCACGTGATCATCTGGCGGACTGTCTCCCAGAGTTGCGGGGCAGGTTCGTTTCGCTACGTACTGTTGCCCGCGTCCTCTATACTATACAAACAGGCGACTCTCTCGCCCTGGCTACTTCACAATCTAACTGGTGTGCGGTCTCTACTATAAGATGTCTGACAGCAGCGAGGATGCCCCGCGAGTAACTCGGCCCCGCCGAACGGATCCTCATCGAATCGGCAACTGGAAGATTGGGCGAGTAATCGGGCAGGGCAGCTCTGGTCAGCCCTTTGATTGATGGGTGTGATGCTTGCTGATACCTCTCAGGACGCGTACGGGTTGCGCGGAACTCTATCACTGGCCAGCACGCTGCGGTCAAGATCGTCTCAAAGACATCGGTGTTTAACTCGCGCATGTCTGGCATATGCGAACTAGGCGACGATGCGGACCAAATTCTACTCGGAATACAACGAGAGATTGTTATCATGAAGCTCATCGATCATCCGAACATCATGCGGCTCTATGATTTCTGGGAAACGTCTTCGGAACTATTCCTGATCTTGGAGTACGTTGAGGGGGGCGAGCTCTTCGAGTATCTGTGCAAGAAAGGAGCACTCCCGACTGCAGAGGCTTTAGGCTACTTCCAACAAATCATCTGTGCCGTGGACTACTGCCATAGGTTCAAGATCGCGCATCGGGATCTCAAACCGGAGAATGTGCTACTGGACAAGGATAAGAACATCAAGATAGCAGACTTTGGTATGGCGGCTTGGCAAGTGCACGACAAAAGCGGGCTCCTACGGACGGCTTGTGGCAGCCCCCACTACGCGGCCCCGGAGGTGATACGAGGCGAGGCTTACAACGGTTCTATGTCTGACATCTGGTCTTGTGGCATCATCCTCTACGCACTGCTCATGGGAAAACTTCCTTTTGACGACGAGGATCTCACCGTGCTCCTGGAGAAGATCAAATCTGGCAAGTACACGGTGTCTGCTAGCATGAATCCCCTGGCCAAGGACCTTCTGGCACGGATGCTCGAACTCGACGTCAACAAACGAATCACTATGGATAAAATCCTGCTTCATCCTTTCTTCGTGTCTCAGCCACCCAAGCAAACCTGCTCAAGCTCGGTGCCAGGCCTGGATGCTCTCGACCGCCCCGTCGGAGGACTGCTTGACGTCGACCCTGAAATCCTCCGGAATCTCTGTACTCTCTGGCACGAATCCTCTAAGGCGGAAGTTCTTGAGCGGCTCGCAAGCGACGAACAAAACCTCGAGAAAGACATTTACCGTCTCCTCGTCGAAAGCCGAACGAGACTCCACAGGGAAAGGAACCCGCTACCCGGTGGTAAGACCCTAGACAATCCGAAGACCAGGAGGACGAGGACAAAGGATAAAGAGCCTCCCGAATCTGTGCCTCAAGAGCCGTTGACTAATCCTGATGACCTCCGACCTCGTGCTGCCCCTCCGACACCTCGCAAATCGGCCGAAAAGTACGTCGCTATGCCCTCATTCGACAGTTTCGTCCAGGTAGCCAACCTTGAGCTCGCCGACGGTGGAAACGCCCAATCTTCCCCTCGCCCAAGGCAATCCCCAGGTCCTACCAAGCTTGCGCCCTCTGTGCCCGTGAGCGTGGGGCCTTCGTCTTCGTCGCTGTTCTTCTCTGGACCAGCGTTCCCGCGGATTGGCGACCTATCCTTGACTGTTGATCCTCCCAGTACTCCCATGCTGCATTCCACGCCTGTTTCTGCTACGTCACCTGTCTGGAACGAGATTGACCAGGCGCCTTTGTTCATCCCGGACATGCAGGATGAGAAGATAAACGACTTTCTCCAGCAGATCGTCGAGAATTTACGTGCCATGGATGGAGGGACCCCTCCCGAGAAAGACGGACACAAGAGCACCGCTTCCGATCCTGGGCATGTTACATCTTCACCGCGCATTGAACGGCTTCAACCTCTCAACGCTAGCTCAGACAATTCCTGGGAAGCCTTGTGCTTCCACGAATCTGAACTTGAGGAATTCGAATTTCCGCCCAGCATAAATGCGAACAAGGAGAATCGATTCAACCCACGCCGTGCTGATACCAAAGCAAAATCGCCCAGGCTTCGCGCTGCTCTTGCCCCGAAGCCTCGTCAGATAAAGATCGTCGAGCCTGCTCACGGTCCCCCATCGAAACTGAGAAGGAAAGCCGCGCTCCTGTCTGGCGACAAAGGGCGTACGCGATCAGAATCGCCCCCGCGGGCGAATTGGTTCATCAACCCCTTTCGGCATAAGTCCGCGCCCTATACACTGCTATCCATGGTGGACAAGCACGATACATTCACCGAATGCAGGCGCATCCTTCTCTCCATGGGCGTCGATGTAGTTGAACAGTTCTCCGATCCCGTGAGCTCTGATTTCATGCTCCATTGCCGCTTGAAGGAGATCAGAGATGCTTCGAGCCTGGCCGTCGTACTCAAAACCGTCACGTTCAAAATCGAGATGCATCGACCAACTTCGGCGCAGAAAGCGGCAGGATATGAGGTAGAGCTGGCGATCATCCAGGAGAAAGGCGCCTCTAGCACCCTTAAATGTATATTGAACCGGCTCAGGAGGGAATGGAATTTGGATGCGGTGGACAGGCGTCGATTGCAGGCAATCGGCAGTTGACACGTCTTGACCAATCGAGTCTTGTCCTCGAACTGTGTTGTAATGTTTGTGACACCACTGCTCGCTATACCACCACATGCCATTCTCTCTGTACTTCATCTGATATCATACTATGCTGCCGAACCTCGGGACGACCAAACTCACGCGTGATTGTAAGGAACCGGTGCATATAGATACTTCATCATGCTCATCAATCGCAACGTGCGCGTGCTGAAGGAGAACACGTTGCTATGGCGGAGAGCGCTGGACTAATGCAGCTGAGGATAACGAATTGACGATCAAAAGGCCAGAGGCCGTGACATGAAAATATCCAAATTGGGTGGTTATTATCGCAGGCAAGTTGTGTACGCTATTTCCATCAATCCACATTGCGCCGCCTCAGTCGTACCCAGTCATGAGTGGGCTTATGCATAAGCTTCTCCGTGGTCTGTAGCACAAGGGACTGGGGAGTGATGTCGTATCGCTGGAGTAACGTGGCCACGATCATCTTCAGCTCAAGTATGGCAAGGCTATAAATCCGTCATGAGCATGTAAAACGATATTATGCATTGATATCGACCTTTTGCCAAGGCAGCCTCTGGTACCCGAGCTGAATGCCATGAAGTACTTGGTGAGGGACGGATCTTCTATCCAGCGCTCGGGTCTGAATACGTCTGCATCTTCTCCCCAGGCTGCACGATCGCGAGACATGGTCCACGTAGGCACAGATACATCGGTCTATTCCGTGCAGGGGAAGGTCAGCTCACGTCGACGCGCACCCCACGGCGAGGGTGGAGGAGACGTACACCTGGCGGGAAGTAGTAGTCCCGGTACGTGAGACCCCCCTCCGGTACAATCCGAGGCAAGCCCATTCCGGTTGGTGAGTGCAGGCGGATAGCCTCATGGATGCATGCGTTCAGGTAGGGTAGATCGTTCAGATCCGATGTAGGGCCCTGGAGGCCCCCTGGAGAGAGCGCCTCATCGAGCTCTTCCCTGAGTTTGGCAAGTGGTCGAGGGTTGACTGACAGCGCATGGATGATTGCCGTGATGGCATTCGAAGTCGCGTCTGTGCCAGCGATTCTGGTCAAACCATGATTAGAGCCGAACCTTCGTCAGTGGCATGACTGAGCTTACAGCAGAGTCAGCGCCTCAGATGTAAGCTCCTCCACGTCCAGATGGTTTTTGTATTCCATGTGGGCTGCAATGAGATGACCCAGGATGTCACTCTTGGCATCGTCGCTGCCACTTGCGAGTCGTTGCTTGATGCACATCCGGGCGATGTCGCGCAACTCGTCGCTGCTCTTGCTACCCTTCTGGAAGAATGGATCCGGGATGAGGCGTGCAATGTACGCAAGAGCGGGCGCCCAGCCAATAACGGTCAGGTAATGCTCGCGCTGCCAGAAGGATTCAGTATCGAGGGTAAACAGCGATTGCGCGCTCGTTGAGGACTTACCACGTCCGTGTTCTCTATGGCGCCTTTCGGTGATCCTGCCTGGAGAACGTCGGATTCCTGGAGACAGGCGAGTCAGATGTGTATGGTGGTATCGTAGTGAGTGACGTTACCTTCTCCAACATGCCGAGTGGCGTCCCAAAAGCCAGCGTCGACATGATGTCAAAGACGAGGTAGTTTGACCAGATGAGCATGTCGATTGGGGCCTTGTCAGGCTCGCCAGGCAGCGCAGCTCGCTTGTCGAGTTTCACCAGCAGTTCCTCAAGGAACCGATGGACCGTTGTCGTATACGACCGAATCGTTTTAGGCGCAAATGCACCAGAATAATTACGACGCTTCTGTGCGTGCTCTTGCTTGTCCCGAGTGCTGAAGATGGACGGCTTCTCGGACAGGAAGGCGTCGTAAAACGGCGACTTGTTGAAGGCCGCCATGCCTTGACCGTAGATAGAGGGTAATAGACTCATGTCTGCGATCGAGACATGGTTCGGCGAGATCCTCACGACAGGTCCATATGTCTGTATTCAACATCAGCAACAATGGACTTTGGAGGAGACATAGCATAATAGACCTTATGGACAGCATGGATGGCTTTGTAACGGATGCCGAAGCGTGTGTAGAACGCCTGCCATAGGTTCGACCAACGAGCAAGGAGCGGTCCAGGGACCTTTTGCAAGGGGTCGCGGCTGACGGCGACGATATAGCCAACAACTACAGCGGGGAGAAAGACCAGCCAGGTGTAGTCCTGCATGGCCTCAGGCAGGTTGTGTGTTGCTGAGGAAAATAGGGTGGAGTTCTGCATGGCGGAGGGGCTCGGGGGCTCCCACCAGTAACCATCGGTCAGAATTCATGGTGGTCCTTAGCAAGCTCCGTCGTGAATTCGGAATTGGAGGTGTGACGGTTGAGATGGTCGGATCATTTCTTATCCGGGGACCTGCGTCAATTTCCAGTCCCGATGGCATCTGGGAAGAAGCACGGTAGCTCGCTGCGCGTTCCGAGCCGGCTCATGTTGGACGTCGGTTCAGCTGACAATGGAATCTTGATTTCTAATATTGTCCGCCTGGGACGGTACCAGCTGATTGGGAGCACACCATGAAACTTTTCAAGCACAGAGCGCCCTCAAGGCCTAATCACCACTGATCGTCGTCATCCCGCTCCTCCCGGTAGTCAAGTATAGAATCAATATTCTGGGGCTCAGACGGCGTCGAGGGAAGCCGTGATCTTTACCTCGATGGCCACTACAAACAATGCCTGACACGCGCCACCGCCAAGCCCCAAGCCAGCGTCAAACGAAAGGAGGACGAGCCAGAACAAATGAATAAGAAACAATGATAGCTACGCTGCGTAAACAACACACGGTTAAAACTCCCGTAGCCTAAGCCCTTGGCGTCAGAACGACCGGCATCGGGCCGCGCGTAGCCGTGAAGTAGTCTCCGATTTTCTCCTCCCATTCATTCGCGTTCCAACCATCGGCGAAGCGGAGTTGGAAGGTATGCAAAACGAGGCAGACAACCATCTTCATCTCCATCGTGGCGAATTTCTTTGCGACGCACATAGCAGGTCCGAACGAGAACGGGATGAAGGCTCTAGTTTCGAGAATGATCGAGTTGGGGTCCTTGTACTCCACGACCTCGTTCGATTTTCGCTGCGCGTGGTCCAGCCAGCGGTCGGGCCAGAAGCCTTCGGGAGCTGGCCAGAAATAGCGAGGGTCACGTTGGATCGAGTAGGTATTGCTATTGAAAACGGCGCTCGGTTAGACAGCCCACGTTGATGGCAGATAGCAGCAGCGAAAACGCACATTTGGACCTGCGTTCCCTTGGGAATCCAGCTGCTAGTAGCGTCAGAATGAACGAGTGCTTAGGAGACAGACATCCACGTACTGGGTTCCCGCCATCTTGCCGTCAGTGTACTGCGTACTGCGCTGCGCGCCACTAGGTACCGGTGGCTGCAAGCGGAGAGTTTCGTTGCTGTCCGTAAGAAATCCAGTTAACGAGCATTACTACCCTTATCCGCCGAATCGACTCACATAACGGCTTCGAGATATGGCAGCTCGCTTTGTTTAGCAACATCTGTTGCCGGTGTTCCACGAGGGAACGCGGCATCGATTTCCGCTTGCAGACGCTCGTAGCATGATGGGTGCCGTAAGAGGAACCAAAATATGTTCGACATCACATGGGAAGTCGTGTCGCTCCCTGTCACGCATCGTCAGTTATACCATCATATGCAGAGGACCGCCTAGAAGCTTACCGGCCGCTATGGCTAGAATACCGTCACTGAGAGCCTCCTCGAGAATCGGCGGGTGGGGTTCAACGCCAGCCTCATCGAACTAAATCGCGTGTTTTTGAGCGACGATCGACTGAGAAAACGAGAGGCGTACGATATAATGGAACAAGTCCTTCCGGAGCGAACCTTGCTTGCGACGCAGGTCGGCGCGATTGATCGCGAAATCTCTGAACTTGGAGTTTCCGAACTTGGGAAGTTTGGCAAGGTAGCGGAACAGCCACGGAACGTGACCAGTCATAGACGTAGACTGGGTGCCCTTCTCGATCAGGTGCAGAATATTGCCCTGGTCACCGTCCCTCATCATCTCGAAGCCGCCACCGAACCTGCAGGTAATCCGCTAAGTGATTGCAATGGACGGCAGTCAGGCCAACTTACGCCATGTCACCCATGAGATCGAATGAGAAGTAGCTTATCCACCGAGCGAGATTGACAGGGTTGTTCTGCTTTCGCAAACCATCAATGAGCTGAAGAGCTCGGCTTTCAAGAATCTCTTCATAGCCCTTCAGCGACGCCGAGCTGAACCCGCGGTTCCAGGGCTTGCGGCGACGTGAATGTTCAGCGGGGTTGCGTTCTCCAATCAAGCTAGTGGTGGCGCCGGGAGGGACACGCCCATCCCAAACTGTAGGCAGTGTCAGCGAGAGCACGTCGGGGCGATTGCGGGCAACGACGTACGAGGACCCTTAGGTAAACCGGTGGTGCCCAAGATAGGTTGGATGGCATCGACGTCGCAGATGGATAATTCGTTGGGGCCGGTCCGGACCCAAGTGCCAAACTGCCTATGCATATGTTGATAGAAGAAGTGCTGTTTGCCTTGAGACGTGATGTGCATCATCCAGAATTTGCTGAGTTTGTTCAGAATCGGTCCGGGGTACCGCGCCAAAGGGTGGAACGGCGAGACACGATAAAGTAGTACCGACGCGCCGAGGACTCCGTAGAACTCAAGAAACAGTAGGGGCCATGCGAGGGCGATACCAGCGTACTTCAACGCAAGGCCAGTGGTGACTGGGACGCCGAGCAGCAACGCCGACAGCGGCCATGCTTTCTCACATTCGAAGCGATTGAAGATGGCGTGCACCGCCTGAAACGAAGGGGTGTGAGCCTAATGCTACAGGAGGGTAGGAGGTGTTCTACCATAGCGGCGCCTGCGACGGCCACCACGTTGTCCTCCAAACGCATGTTGGGTCGTTTGGAAAGTGGGAATCACCAGAGTCGGGTCGCGCAGGTTAAGACAACACCCCCAGAATCCGGTGGCAGAAGCGACGATTCTGGAATCGGACCGATAGGATAGACAACGAGCGGCGACATGGGCTCTTTGAGAAATATCTACAAGAAGTCGTAGCAATTCACCGGCATCAGGGAACGAGGAAGCTCGTCCAGGGACGACGGATCTGAAATTCTGGACGGACGTTACCACTCCGGCAAGCACTGAATCCGTTCTGAGCCAGCTCAGCTGTACCTATCAAGCTTCACTCGGAAGTTTGAGCATGATGACCTCCGGGATGATCGCAGCAGAATTGAAGGTGAGGCTGGGCATCGCTCCAAGTACGTACCCGAGGGCCACGGGAAGCGCTATCCATGACTGCGCCGTGATCGCGGTATGTAAGCTTGAGTCACAAAGCGAATCTACGTGTCTATACGCGATCTAGTTAGGCTGCGAAGTAACTGAGTGTAAGCGTATAGGTAGTTAATCAGCAATGAGCGCTGAAGACAAATTGGCGCGCAAGTGACTGGTCCTCACCATTTGCATCACGAATGTCACGTCACCCTCTTGCTGACGACCACCGCCTGCCGACCCAGTGCATATCTTGGAAGTTCGAACACCAGTCGGCACGGCCTCGCGTAGACTCGCATGTACCGACGGCGATGCACCCTGCCTGGGCTTCGTGTGCGAGTGGGTGATGGCCCCACCAACTCCATGTGGATCGCTGGCGCTTTTCCAATTGTCCGCCTGGGTCGTTCGCAAAGATGTCCCATCGTGGATGGCATCCGTGATTGAGGGTGGGCATTCACTTTGAATCTCCGGCTGGGCGCTTCCAGAACAACTCACGATGTTGCAGTGCTGTGTGCATTGCTTCCGGGCTCTGCGGACATGACGCACGCGGACGCGATTACCTCCAAAGACAACCCAATTGGATGGCTCGGAGCATCAACTTCGTCAGGGACTATGCGACTTCCATCGTCGGGCATAGTGACCGCGGATGCTGCATCGATCACCGTTCGGTACGAACTCCCTTTACATCGTGAAAACCGCTGCTATGTGGTGCACGTAAGCAAACTTTCGGGCTGAATGGGAAATTACTTGCCATCAGGTTTCAACTCCTCGGCATATCCACTCGCTTCTCGAAACGCGGAAGTATCCGCCCGTGGATGAGAAATCCACTCGGTAGTTTTGCGCAAGTCCTGTCCAAGATAAGCTGGAGTAATCAAATGCCGTAGTGTGACACAAGCCAGTTGGTCGACGCTCGGATCATCGGAAAGGGACGTATTCCAGCTTAAGATCGCTACCGGCATCTCCGGGAAATCGCCTTCGCATTGCTGAGACTGCGGGACTGGTGCTGTGAGGGAATCAGTGCGGGGCATCTGAAGTTCCCCGCCCTTCATATAGGCAGTGCGTGAACGGAGCTCGCCATCTTTACGCCAATCGCGACATCGTGACCACCATGCGCACCGAAACTGCCTGCCCAATCGCAATCGTATGACCCATGATTCGTTCGAAGTCGAAGTACTAACTTCAGTTTCTCCAGGTTGGAATAGCGGCTGAGTTGCCGAGCGGCGAATTTGCTGCAAACAACCTCGACTACAACGCGTTCTTCCAATTCCTCCTCCAGCGAGGAGAGTCATACGAATTCATCCCAAAGGACCGCTTCGACATAGACTCGTAGGTCATGCCGAACCTGCATATGAATAGCGTCGTCTCATAGTTCCGTCACAGCTGGAGGGGAAAGCAGCTGGGACGCATCATTGCGGAACGCGGATCCTTCCTGAAGAATCTTGATTCGTTCGACTACCTCGAATTCGGCATAACGAGCAAGGATGCTCGTGCTATGGCCGTCAGCACCCGGAAGCTCATTGAGCTGTCCTTCTTAGCACTCCTGGACTCCGGCATAGAGTACCGAGGCAGGAACGTCGGCTGTTACGCCTCCGGTAATGCATTCGATATCCTGAGCGTCGGTACCGCGGTAGGTCTCCATCTTCCGATGCTATATGATCGACAGCCCTCACTTTCTTAACCAGGATGAATTCGAAGCGCGAGGATCCTTCGCCGGAATACCTGCTCAGATCGCGAATCGGATTTCATACCACCTGGACCTGTTAGGTCCTTCGGTGCCGACAGATACCGCATGCAGGTGAGCGAGCTCGGTCCGGCTGCGAGTAGAGGAGACTGAAAGATTGCCTTGCAGTTCATCTTTGACCGCGATGCATCTTGCCATCCAAGCACTTCGCACGGATGACTGCGAAGCTGCAGTCGTGGGCGGAGCCCAGATCAACCAGAGGTAGTCTTTCTCGTGTTGATGGACAAGATAGACAGCTGAACCAATCGGCCGTGGCAATAGATTGTGGGACTTCGTCCAGTATACACAGGTAAGGCTTCCGGAGCCTTGGAATGAGTTCTGTCGTTTCTTATTCCCATGCTTTAGGGCGGTGTACTCGCTCCCGACGGCAAGTGTAAGCCGTTCGACATGGGAGCAGATGGGTATGCGCCCTTCGAAACACGGTCGCGGATCAGCCGCTGACATCGTTGCAGGTTCTCTCGTGGCGAAGGTGCTGTAGTAATGGTCATCAAACCGCTGGAGGCAGCGCTTCGCGACGGTGACAACATATATGGCACGGTCAGCTGGTTTCGTCTTCTCGACATGCTCTGTCTCACGTGCTTCCTTTTCATACAGATCTTGGGCACCGGCATTAACAGTGCAGGATCTGAGGCTCCGGTGAACGCACCGGCAGCATCAGCTCAAGAAGACACTATGCGTCGTGCGTTCAAGCAAGCGAATCGCAAGGTGGAAGATCTCGATTACGTCGAGCTGCACGCGACCGGGACTGCTAAGGGAGATCCCACGGAGGCGAATTGGGTGGGAGCCGCCTTCAGACGAGAAGACGAACTTCTCGTTGGGAGTGTGAAAGGCAATATAGGGTGAATCATGCATCAGGCTGCTCACGTTATACTCGTTAACCACTCAATGTTATCCAGCCATCTCGAGATAACCGCTTTCCTTGCGTCGGTCTGCAAGGTCTGCGGTATATTTAACTCCGGAATCATTCCTCCCAACGTCAGCCTAACCCGCCTAAACCCGGCCATAAAATGGGACGAATACCGTATGCGGGTGCCTCTCGAGCCAACACCGCTGTCGTGCCGCTCTTCCAGCGGTAAGTCCCTTGTTTCGATCAACAGCTTCGGCATAGGAGGCTCGAATGGACACTGCGTTATGGAATCTCCTCCGGCTTCACTACCCAAGCCGGTTTCGCTGGCTGAGGGCGCGCCTGTTCTCTTGCTCGCCGGTGGATTATCTCCGCGTGCAACTACTGCAGTCTCCGATTCTCTCAGCGAGCTCGTCCGGGAACGGATCTCTCAGATACCCAACATCTCCACTCTCTACGGGCGACGTAGCCGCCAGATGACATGGCGAAGTTTTGCTGTTGTGTCGCCCAGCGACATGACTAAAATCAGGTTTTCGCAACCCACTCTGACGCCGCGAGCCCGTCCAGCTGTCGGTTTTGTATTTTCCGGCCAAGGTCCCCAACATATGCACAGTATGTAGATATTTTCTCTCGTCCGCAGTCATGGCTAATCACCAGTTCGCAGTGGGTCGTCAGCTGTACAAAGAATTCCCGGCATTCCGCGAAAGCGTCACGACTTTGGACGGGGTGTACAGCCAGGTGGTCGGCCATTCTCTCGTGGAGAAAGTGGGCATGTTCAAAGACATCGGCGCCGCATCCTCCTCCATGCCTGACGTCTGGCCTATTGATATCATTCTCCCCGCGATCGCCATGGTTCAGATCGCATTGTTCGACCTCCTCGCCAGCGTCGGAGTACGGCCTGATTTTGTCTTGGGCCATTCCGCCGGAGAGACCACGATGTTGTACGCGTCCGGTGCTGCCCCTCGGGCTATGGCTCTGGAGCTCGCGATCGCGCGAGGACAAGTCCTGGCCCTCACTGAAAGCGCCGGCGGCACCATGACCGCCTTGTCCTGCGGGCCTGAAGTAGCGAAGCCTCTACTCGACGAGGTGAAGGCGACGCGTGACGCAGGCATCCTCGAAATCGCATGTCACAACAGCGCGGAGGCCATCACGATTGCCGGCCACGATTATCTCGTTGACGCAGCTGTGGAACTCTGCAAGTCGAAAGGAATTGCCGCGACCAGACTGCGTACATCCGTGGCCGTGCACAGCTCAATGATGGAGCTTTGCAAGGACGAGTACTACGAACGTGTCCTGCAAGTCTTTGCGAAATATCCCGAGGCGCGCTTAACGCCAAATGTGGACACATTCTCCACCGTAACGGGCGAAAGGCTGGCGGAGCCGTTCTCACCAGACTACTACTGGAAAAACACTAGGGAACCGGTGCTATTCATGGAGACCGTTCGCTCTGCTCAAGCCGCGATATCCGGGCGTAATCTATTAGTAGTCGAAGTGAGCCCGCATCCAGTTCTCTCCGCGTACCTTTCCGCGCTTTGTCCGGAATCTGCAACTATCGTCGGTCCGATGCGACGAACGAAGCAGATGTTCCCACATTTTGAGCGTTCTACCTTCTTGCAAGCGGTCGGGAAGCTCATCGCGGGCGGTTACAACTCAACCGACTTCCCCGCCCTCAACGGCGGAGCGTCGCAGCACGTGGAGTTTGGTGTGCCTGCATATCCCTTTGCACCGAAGAGCGTGCCTCATATGGCGAAATTACCGGAGAACGACGAGATCTATGGGTCCCGACTAGGACCCTTGAACCATTCTCGACTTCGCCTCAATGCGGCGACTCATCCAGATCTCGCGCAACACGTCATGAAAGGGGAACCGATTGTTCCTGCTACAGGTTTCGTGGAAATGGCTCTGGAGTTCGGTGCGAGATCTTTATGGGACGTGAAGTTCCTCTCCTTCCTATCTCTTTCGGCGGAGGAACCTGTCCGCGTCCGCTTCGAGCCCGACGGCTTCAAGTGGTCGATCAAGACAACTTCATATAGCTCACATGGTTCTGGCGCGGCCAGCAAGAAGGTATTGCAAACCCTTCGTCGTCGTTCTTGAAATGCTTAACGTTGGTGTAGGCCGAGCGATTACATGCTGGCGGATACTTCTCGACAGAGCCAACAGCCGCCAACCCCCCTTCTCCTCGTCTAGACGAGATTCGGGAGAGGTGTCATTGGATCAACGTCTCAGGTATTACTAGTTTTTAAGCATGAATGATGACTATTGATATCCGACGCCGCGCCTCAGGCTTCTATGACGACCTCCGCTATTTCGCTGAATACGGCCCATGGTTCCAGATGATCACGTCCGTTCATCGCGGCGAGGAAGAATTTTTGGTCGAAGTTGATACACGGCGGCAGGGCGTCAATGTTCCGTGAGTTCTGATATCCGGCCATGTTGCTCCTTGATTCACTTCCTGCAGGACATCGCATTATGTCTTCGATCCGGCCATCCTCGACGCATGCATTCACGTTATGGTCCATCCCATGATCACTGGCAACACTGATCGCAACGTATACTACTTACCATCACGTTTCGATTTTTTCTCGACATATGACGCCTTGCATCGTCGCGAATTTACGGACAAGTTGTATGCGCATGGGTCTCGAGGAAGATGGACCCCGGGTATGTTACCTCTATTATTCCTCCAGACAGATGCTGAGCCCTTACACAGAGGGCATAACCTTCGACGTCCTGGTAGTCAATAGTCAAGGAACGCCGTTGTGCTCCTTCCGAGGCTTTGAGGTCGCCTACCACGGTTTAGCGCCCTCGGTGGGAACGCGCTATGATCTCGAATACACCACTGTGGCGAGCCTGGACCTGAATGCGCGCGTTCAGAAGGCGGACTCGTTCTCGTGCGACGAGATTACTAAGGTCACAGATCGCACCCTCTACTTCCGCTACATACGAGGCAAGGAGGATTTACTGCGTAGTGAGCTCGAGAAGGTCGACCTGACTGGGTTGTCCATTTGGTTGCTTGCGCTCTCCGGCGTCGACGGCGACGCTGCCCTTGGGTTTTCGCGTTCCTTACGACGCGAGCTACTAGCGAACGAGGTGCGCCTGGTGATATTCGAGGCTCGCATATCATTCCCGGCACAAGTCGAGGTGATATCGGGGTTGTTACAAGAGAACGTCGCCGAGGATGAAATCACTGTGGACTCCACTGGTCGGGTTCTTGTTCCTAGGCTTCAAGCGTCGTCACCTCCAGTAGAATCGACTTCTCTGAATCCCGACGCACCTTGGTCTGTGAAGCGTACTGGATCGGGAGATTCGAAAGCAGTTATCGTTCAAACATCGCCGCCCATTCCCGAACAGCATGAAGTCCTGGTGAAGGTCGATTACGTCGATACGCTCCAGCAATCGGGCATTTGGGCCTTCGTAGGGCGTACCGATTCCGGCACTGCTGTCGCTGGACTCGCCTCTGATCATCTGGCAAGCCATGTTGTCGTGCATCGCGCAGTCGTCACCGAGCTGTCGAACATCGGGTTCGACACCGCGGCGCGTCTTCCTGGTTACATTGCAGCTCTCTCGATCGGTTTCCTCGCTTTGGGATTCAAAGCGGAGGTTCCCAGCCTCCTCGCGCAGAACACAGCGCTGGTCACCCATGCCGACACGCTGCTAGGTACCCTCCTTGTGGAGCTTCTCAAGGACAGAGGACTGCATGTCACGGCTGTGAACGAAACCGACGGCCTTAGTACCATCTGTGGTCTGCAATCGCCAAAGTCTTTCGACCACGTTTTGAGTGGATTCCACGATCCCGCCTCGCTCAGCGTCCTTCACAGTATCTGTTCCACAGAAAATGCAGTCTTCAGCTGGAACCATCCCGATCGCGGCATTGCTGCCATTTTAAAGAATGATCCCTACAGAATCGGTTACGCGCTTCGTTCCGGACTTAAGTCTCTTCCATCTTCATACAAGAAGATGGAGTACAGCATGCCCGTTCACCGCCTTCTCCCTTTGACCTCCGACGTGACCATCCTGGATAACACTGCGATATTCGACCCCGCGAAGACATATATATTGTTCGGCGGCATAGGCAGCTTGGGGTTGCGCATTGCGACTTGGATGTATGAGGTATGAGCCTTCCTTTTTCTTGTACGGACCTGTTTGACAGGCGCTACACAGAACGGCGCACGCCATCTTGTCCTGACTTCCCGTTCCGGTCGTGAAACTCTCACAAAGACCAAGAACTTCGCCGCCATGCGTGTTCTGCGCTATTTGACGGATTTAACTGACCTCGACATCAAGCTTCTCGCTTCCGACGCGACGAACGTCACAGATCTCCGCAGAGTGCTATCCGCGATAAGTTGTCCCATCGGCGGATGCATGATGCTAACAGCTGTCCTCGAGGACAAGATGTTCGCTTCGTTAACTCAAGACAGCTTTGAAAGGGTCTTCGCCGCGAAGATAGGAGCCTTCAACGCCCTCACTCAGGCGCTCGATATCACCAGTCTCGATTTCCTGATCACTTTCACGTCCATATCAGGCATGTTTGGCAGCGCAGGACAGACCAACTATGCTGCGTATGTGGTTGCTTGATACTGCGTTTGCAACGAGCCTTACTGGACTCAACAGAGCGAACACCGCGCTGGAGGCTTTGACTCGGCCTTACCCAAATGCATTCTCCTTGGTGGCACCCGCGATGCTCGACACGGCTATTGTCTTCGCCGACGAGCAAAGCAAGACTACTCATAACACCAAAGTCCGCCATATTAGTGAATGGGGCATGTCGTCGCGAGGTTAGTTTCTATACTAGATGACATAGCACATCGCTCATGTTGATTGCAATAGAGCTTTGCGCATGCATCGAAGATGGCATCCGCAAACTGCGGAACGGGCCATTCTGGTTATACGTTCCCGATTTCAAGTGGGCGGCTGTCCGCGATAATCTTGGCGTCTCTCCCGTCTTCGCACATCTCGTTCCGGAGGTTGATGAAGACACGTCAACAGCGGACGCAGCCTCCAAAGACTCTAGTGTCTTAGATATTGTCCTCAAGGTCCTGGACTTGGATAAGGATGACTTTTCCTTTGAGGTTCCACTCACCGCATACGGACTCGACTCGTTATTGGCGTCGAAGCTTGCGGTAACGCTTCGCCCTTGGGTTTCAATAACCCAACTGCAGCTGCTGGCAGATATCACGTTCGAGGACATACAACGACGGATAGAGGCGCAGGCCGGACAGGAAGTCGAACAACCGGCCGACAAGGACTTCTTTGACTGGGAGGAAGTCATGCGTTCCGGCCCCGCTTGCGTCAAGCTCACCGATGGGGAAGGCCTGCCGCTGTTCGTCCTCCATGGCCCTGCCGGCACTATCGAAGCCTTCGGCCACATGCGACTCAATTTCAAGCATACTCCGCTCTACGGAGTGCAAGCCACGAAGGACGCGCCTTATGACAACCTCGACCGCCTTGCCGCATTCTATCATTCGAACATCAAAAGCGTACAACCGCAAGGGCCGTACCGTTTGGGCGGCTTCTGCGGCTCTAGTTTACTACTTTTCATCCTCGCGGATATCTTCCGCAAAAACGGCGACATCGTCGTGCAAATGTCCATGATCGATCATTTCCCTCTACTATACACCTCGCCCATCTGGGAGCTGGACGCCGCCACGGCCAAAGATCGCTGCGTTAGTGCCGCCCTGAAGTCCCGCGGTTTCGAGTGGATCATGAACTTGTATCGGGTCGAGAAAAATCCCAACGAAAAGCGCGCCGGGGAGGAGCTGATGAAGGCTGGGCTGGGCGAGAAGGTTCAGCCGCACGTCAAGAAGCTGTACGAAAACACGATGGTGTTCATCGAAGCTCACGCATCGTGGCTCGCTTCGCACTTGCTCAAGGAGGGCGAGGAGGTTGACGGTACGATACTGCGTGAAAGACTCATCGCCTACCTGTCAACATTCGACTTTCCCGCGACGGTGTACGCTGCCAAAGACGGTATGCAGAAGATATTCACGGACGAGCAGCAGGCGCAATGGGCCCATATGGGCGCAACGATGTGCACCAATCCCATTCGTGTCGCGGAAATCGAGGCGTCGCACTTCGATATCCTCAGCAACCTGGACTTCATACATAGACTCGATACCGAAGTAACTCTCACTGCATCTAATGTAATGAAGGCTATGTAGATTTTAATGATAATCTGTTACCTGCCATGGTTGCGACTCTTTGACATTATAACTGCGACTTAGAGTGTCTTGTCGGCCGAAATCTGTGGATATGATTAGGTATCTGAATGCAACATCCGTGAGCCGTCAGGCTGGTTAGTATCAAGCCACGAGCAACCGCTGTTTCCTCCGCCGATGACGGTCAACGCGTATGGTTGAATTTCGATGCCACGGCTGACTTTCCTCATGCCGCGGAAAAACTACATACATCGGGAGTTCGGACGCGTGCGCAGCGCATACGTATCCTGCCCGAGGTTACTAAGGGGCAGTACCGACCAGGTGGTTCTCGTTCATTTGAAAGCATGATGGAGAAGGAGGTGAATAAGCCGGTTCAGCTGCTCGATTTGTGAGCCGAGCTGAGCCGGTAAGTATTGGAAATGACGTGGGTTCAATCTCCATCATCCGAGCTCTTCGGTGGGTCTCTCTCATTCTCACGTTGATCCCACCGCACGCTTCGCTTCGAGTACTCCGAGTTCTGACAATGCGGCATGTTTGGGGGCCCACGTCGTGTTGTCGCTTGACCATCCACTGTTGCTGCGAGTGCATCCCCCGGTCATGTCTGATTCCCAGTCTACTCGAGAAACAAGTGCCGCTTCCCCCTCGAAACTGGAATCGGCACCGTCAGAGAAACCCCCGCAATCGCCTGAGGCGAAAGAGGCCCAGGAGACTCACTCGGCGGACGACTACCCTGATGGTGGTCTACGGGCTTGGGTGACGATCGCTGGCTCGTATGCATTGAACGTTCAGATGTTGTCCCCCTTTTCTGATTTGTTCCAGAGCATGCGTCATGTTCTGCACGTTCGGCATGACTCAAGCATTTGGCCCGTATCAGGACTATTATACGGCAAGTTGTTTCATACGAAAATTTCATAGAATCATCTTATACAGAACGTCGCTCAGCGCTTCCTATTGAAGAACCATACTCCATCTGAGATTGCATGGATTGGCTCTGTACAGATATTCTTGCTCTACTTCATGGGCCTCTTCACGGGCGGCTGGTAAGTATTGTTTTGGGAGATCTGTTCGATTTGGCTCACTTGCTGCAGGTTTGATGCAGGCTATTTCCGACGCATGCTAATCCCGGGCGCTATCTTATACGTATTCTCGTGCGTGCTCGACCCGACGTGCACGACAACAGACTGACATTGTACAGGTTCTTTATGCTGTCACTATGCAAGCCGGGCCAATACTACCAGTTCTTATTGTCACAAGGGTAATGCCTTTAACAAACCCGATCACTGCGACGCTCATAATCAACAGATTTGGAATGGGGCTGGGCATGGGCCTCATGTGCGTACCGTCGATCTCCATCATCGCACATTATTTCCGTAAGCGGCGCGCACTTGCGTCCGGATTGGTATTTTCCGGTGAGTGCATACATATGCCTTCGCACTATACATTCATCTCTTGGCCTAGGGACATCGTTGGGCGGAGTGATTTGGCCGATCATGACAAACAGACTTTTGTTGGGATCTACCGGATTTGCTTGGGGCGTCCGGTAAGTCATTTCATGTCATAGGATGTCATGATGCTAACGGACCCCCTCAGTGCCTCCGCCTTCCTGTGTCTCGGAGTGCTGTCGTTTGCCGTTCTCATGATGCGGCCTCGCTTTACCAAGCAGGAGCACCGTGCTCGTCAGCCGTCCGGAAACTTGCGCAGGATCTTGACAGATGTGACCTGGGGAGTTTGTCTTCTTGGGTAATCGGTTCTGCATGCATCTGTGTCCGCGACTCATTTGCATTTCCAGAACCTTTGTCGTACTTCTTGGCTTGTCGTTCCCTTGTGAGTGCTTTTCCCTTTTGCTGACTGCTTCAATGACTCAACAGTCGCACAGTCGTGTATCTACAATTATTTGCTGCCCTTCACGGTGTTCCGGCGCACGTCACGGACTACACGGCATGTTGTTCGCTGATTTGTCTGATAGCAAAACTAATCTAGGTCTTGCACCAGCTTGCGATACTCTTCGCGTCCGGCACTCTCTTCGGTCGAATGCTCCCAGGCATTCTCGCGGACAAATTCGGCGTGTTGAACGGTATGCCCGTTAAATATCCACAGGCATGATCATAAACTGATTGAATTGCAATCCAAGTCATGTTGCCGTACACGATAGTAGGCGGGGGGTTGATCTTCGCCATGTTCGGAGCAACCAACACGGCCGGACTTGTCGTATTCGCTGTCTTGTATGGCCCATGCGGTGGAGCATGTACGTGAGCTTTTTGGGACGTTGCACCGGTCTGAACTGTTCTCTGCAGTCAACTCCCTATTTGCCGCGTCGATAGGAAGTTATATGTATGATATTTCCGAGTTTGGGTCAGTGGGCCTCGGTATCTCGGATGACAGCACCAGAATACTGACCAGTCTCGGGATGTAGGCTCCGTCTTGGTCTTTGCGGCGGTATCTTCGGCATAGGGTATCTCATTGGGTCCCCCATCACGGGAGCCCTACTACAACCCCCGAAATATACATGGAAGCCGGCCATAATCTTCAGCGGAGTGAGCGTTCCTTCGCGACCACCGCTCCAGTCCACCTTGCTGACGCCAGTGCTCAGGTAACCGTCTTGGCTGGATGCGCTATCATCCTTGTGTCTCGTCAGATGTTGGTACGAAGGAAAGGATCGCAAAAAGTTTAATATGCTCTGCCTTCTGTGCGCGAGTATAAATCACATTCAACATAGATAAATAGCTATTGCTGTTCATCCAGCATGGTATGGTGCCGTTACAGGGCATTTAGCATACAGTATTGGGCTTAATAACGGTCTATAGACCCCTATGATTGCAATCGACGGACCTTCGAATGCTTCCGCGAGTGGATGGCGATGTACCACGCGTGCGATCCGTGAACGCCATCACGCTTGCAAATCGCGAGTGTAGGCTACGGCCGCGCATATGTAAGCAGGTAAATACTAGGTGCTCCTCCTTCCCCCCCCCCCTCACCGCTGGCTCCCCTCCTGAACTCGACGACTGCAATGTTGGCCTCTGTCGCTACCCCGCCTGCGAGCTGAAGGCCCGCATCGACTGTGATGTGATTCTGGGCCTGGGACGATCCGCGGATTTACGTGATAACGCCTGTGAAGCAACACGCGTGCGCTGCTGCTGCTTGCCCTTTGTGCGAGGTATGGACTTGAGAGAATTCGTGCGATGCGAGGAGAAACTTGGATTGCGTCACTTGTGGTTCTGAAAATCGAGCTTGGGTTTCGCTGTGCGACTCGACTGCCTGACTGCTACTTGCATCACCAATGGAGACACGCTCAGGTCCAGGGTTCCGAACATTGTACACAGGAAATATTCGTTCTTCGCCATCAACCATCCTCAATACAGTTTCACACGTCTCCGACGACCCATACAGACCATGGATGGATTCCAGTAGACACGCCTGCGGTCTGTGATGGGCATCCTGTTGCGCTGTATGCGCTCAAGATCAGAACATGATGGGTTGTGCGGAATGTTCCACCGTCTCGGAGAACTTGGCAGTGAGGTATGTGCAGCGTAACTCCATGCGATTGCAGTGCGATAACCAGGAATAACAAGGTTACACGGCCCAGCTTTCCCACTTCTTCGATACTGCTCCCAATTCACCGTGCCATTCGGACCGAGACGCAGTCCTTCGCTTATATTCGCTCTCCACCAATCCCGACCATCGCCCGGCGGCGTTCGCGTGACCCGCATCAGTGCGCGTGCATCGTCGCCTCCTGCGGCGGTGCGGCCTGGCGTCTCTCGTCACAAGCATTTTTCTCTCACATGGGCTCGCATCCTGCTTACTTCCCGTGGAAGTCGTACCCGCAGCCGTCATCATCGAAGGTTTCCCGTACGAGGGTGTTATCCCCGATTCCAACAGCTCACCTCGACGCCAGGCGGATCCTCTCGCTACTCACGCACGTTCAGCTGCGACTCCGCGTACCCCGCGGTCGAGATCGGATCGAGCATGCTTTATCTTCGTCCCATCGTTGCTCCCGTATGACGAGTGTCGTTTGGTCTCTTGTACGGCATCGGAAGCAATGACTATGTTGAGGCACGCCTCAGAAAAGCTTCCGTGTATTTCGCAAGTGTTTTTCGTCGGTTATTATCGTGATACAAACGTTTGGCCGCCGTGCAGTTTGATCAGGCTGCGGTCTAGGCTGGTGACAAGTGTACTGAATAGAAAAACCGACGGAGTTGCGGGGTGCTTCAGGACGTTCTTCCACCATGCGGCGTACATTGGGAATTCTGCTGGCTCTCGTGTCGATATCCTTTGCTTCGATTCTCGAGGATGCCTCCCAGCTGGGCGAACTTGCATATGACTTCGTAGTGGTCGGTGGTAAGGCGTCCCATCAAGCAGTAATGTGATGCCGCAAAACTCACAGCTTGTTCACCCAAGCCGGAACCGCCGGATCCGTGGTTGCCAGTAGACTCTCCGAAGATCCGAGCGTCAGCGTGCTCCTCCTTGAAGCCGGCGTGTCGTGAGTGTCGTTTTCTGCGCTCGTGGTCAAGACGAGCCTTCTCTCACAACAGAGCAGTAACCAAGAGGGCCCCTTGGCACTCCAAGCTCAAGTACCCGGCTTATGCGTTGGCCTCTTGGGAACACAGTATGACTGGAACTACACGACCGTACCGCAACCCGGGCTGGGTGGAAAGAGTACTGGTTATGCTCGCGGTAAGGTTTTGGGCGGTAGCAGTACAATCAGTGAGTGCGCCTGCCTTGCCTTCATCCTGCATTCATTCGTGGACGGTGATCGTAGATTTCATGATCTACACGCGAGGATCTTCGGATGACTGGGATAAATATGCAGAAATCACCGGAGATGATGGCTGGTCGTGGAACGGGATTCAGAGTGCTATTCATCAGGTTCGTTGTTCGCAATCGAAACTGTGGTCATGCTTTGATTGAAGGTGCCATAGAATGAGCATTTCGTTACTCCTGCGCACTATGTCCCGCCTCGAATTGACCCTCGGGCCCACTCTTCGACGGGAGTGAACAATGTCGGGTTGAGCAACTACTCTTGGCCCGCTGACACGCGTGTATTGGAAACAGCGTACGACCCGCATTCTGGGTTCCCGTACAACGCAGACATGAACAATGGGAACCCTCTAGGCCTTGGTCAATCTTCAATGCCCATTCATCACGTACCTTGCCATCTGACCATTTCTCGCACAGGGTGGTGTCAAGCAACCATTGGCAACGGTACCCGGAGTAGCTCAGCGGCTAGCTACCTATCGGCCGATGTCATCGCACGCCCAAACCTGGATGTTCTGCTGCACGCACAAGCCACGAAACTCTTGACCAACGGTACTACTTCGGATGGTGTACCGATTTTCACATCGGTCGAATTTGCATCCAACCGTACAGGTAATCGCGTCGTTTCGAGGGTTGTGCGCCACTGACGCTGTCATAGCCACGAGACATGTTGTCATCGCGAAGAAGGAAATCATCGTATCGGCAGGAACGTTCAACACGCCTCAGGTTGGCCCTCCCAAAATGACTGAGTATATGGTATGTCTGATAGCCGTCGTAGATCCTCTTGCTTTCCGGAATCGGGGAGGCCCGGTCGCTGTCCGTGCTCAACATCTCCACCATCATCGACTTACCCGACGTAGGACAAGGCGTATCCGATCACCCGGTTCTTCCAGCGCAGTGGACTGTGAAGCCGCAGCGGACATTGGGAACGTTCCTCGACGATCCGGCAAACCTGACCGCCGCGATGGCCGAGTGGAATAATACTCATCAAGGGCCGCTGAGTTTCACTATGTACGTACCACCGTGCGTTGTTCATCTGTTGTATATCGAGCGACATTTTTTCAGCACTCCCCAGCTCGGTTGGAAGCGATTATCCGATGACGACCCGCTTCTTCAAAACGTCAGTGACCCTGCTGCTGGACCCAAGTCTCCCCATTTCGAGCTTCTCTTCATAGTGCGTGCTCCACCGTTCCGCAAAATAACGTGCCTGCACTCACCGGCATCTCAGCCTGGGCTTGCCGGAGGGACTCCTCCTGGCGAGAGCTTTTTCAGCATTGATTTTGTCGTCGTGTCGCCCACCTCACGTACGTGCTCCTACCCCCAAGTTTAGTTCTTTCCGGATTTTGACCGTGTTCTTAGGCGGATCTGTGTCGCTCAACACGTCTGACCCGTTCGATCAACCCTTGATCAATCCCAATCTTCTCGGTACGGATTTCGACGTAGGCGTAATGACCCGAGCACTGGAGTCTGCGCGTCATTTCGTGGAAGGGGATCCAGTAGCGTGGAAGAGCGATATGGCTGCTGAGTTCGGTGGTTTCTCGAACGCAACATCAAGCGAAGCTATGTTGGAGTACATCCGCAGCAATTCGGACACTGTAAGTTATCTATTCAGGACCTTCGAGTCACGATGCTCAATCAGAGTAGATATGGCATGCTGTGGGCTCGGCACAAATGAGTGCACGTAACGCAACCACGGGCGTCGTTGATCCGGATCTAAAAGTCAAAGGTGCAAAAGGTCTCCGTGTGGTCGATGCCAGTGTTTTTGTGAGTTGAATTACGTTCATGTGAGCATTGCGACGCCAACTATGACAAACACAGCCTTTCGTCCCTGCCGCCCACACGCAAGCACCAGTATACGTTGTCGCGGTAAGCTTCCGATATTCGAAGTCGGTCTATTTCAGTCTGAAGTTCGAGCTGCAGGAACGCGGTGCGGCCATGATCAAGTCGGACTGGAATTTGGCGTAGGGTGGGGGTTCATCCGTGTAATCTCAGATTATCTAGATAGATCCACGTTGTCAGCTAGGACCGTGCTACCGAATGAACGAAGTGAAAACGTGCACAGGATGTAGCCTCGTTGCTGCTGACGAGGCTAGAAAATACTCGAAAGAATGAAGACGGGTCTCGCGATAAGTATGTCCACTGGCCCTACGGCTATACGCGCGAGCCCACAAGTTTGTTCAATTCTAGGCTCTCCAACGTCCATGCAGCCGCGGAGTGCTCCCTTCATAATTGTTCGACAGCATTCCAGCACGCCAGGAACGTCCTCTTGCGAGTGAAGGCAGGGACAGCGTGCTGCGGAGGCTCGCGGAGACAGCAGCGGAGTTTACAGGCGAGAGTGGCGGCGGCGCGGAAGACGGAGGTATCATTGTTTCCTCTCCGGTAGTGTTGCCCAATGGCCGTGGCTGGCGTTGCGCTGGCCACCGGCTATACCATATGGCTTGTCGGCCAGCTGTCAGCCATCCGGTGGAGGCCGGCCATTCGCCGGCTACATGGCTGGCCCATGGCTGGCGCGCTGAGGCCCGTTCTGGTGACTGAGATCACGTGCCAATCACTACCGCGAGCGCGGTCGTGTTCCATCCGGATTTTTTGATCTACTGGCTCACGCGCTATGTTAAGGAGCTGATACTGCTGCACTATGAGTACATACGAAGACATGCAGGTGGAAGGAGCCGATATGTGAGTAGGCCCAGGCTCTTGTCGATCAGCAGTGAATCGGCGGCTTCCGAGGCCGGAGGAGCTTTCCGGAATGAAACGAAAGTCGGGAGGCGCGATCGCGCTCGTTCTCGCGTCGACGCCACTGAAGCTGGTTGAACAGCCTCGGCAGTGGGTCATTGAATCACCTTAGGGTAGTCTCGAAACGCCTACGGTAATAGGCTTAAGTGGAATGCCATCCACGAAGGGCTTACTGAACATCTTTGGGGCAGTCATCATGCCCTCATTCACATAAGACCGGTGTTTCCGACTAAGCGCGTGTTTCCGAGCCCAAAGTATGTATACTTGTTAAACTGGCTGACGCCAGCTGCAGTTATAGCGCGACCGCAGTCACCCGTTATCCACAAGTTATCACCGTTGAACATCGCACCTGCAAGGCATTACAGCGCATGGCTAGGCTCGTGGAGACATCTCAATCTCTGCCTACCATGGACATAGACCGCATGAAGGCACTGTGGGGTACGTCGCTCTACTCACGATCGCGCGGCAATCGAAAGCCGTATACAGATCCGCCTCAGATACAGGTAATGTACCTCCGTTTTCGAAGCTCGTTCAAATCAGTGCGATATGATATCCGTTCTACTCCAGATTGCGAATCCGTGATTAAGCTCCTTATCATGTATGGGTTCGTCCGTGAAGGTATATATCATTACTTTCTTCGCTTCGATAAGGTCATACTTACGTGTTTAACGTACACTAGTACGAAAACGCAGCTGCATATCTTGCACTGTGCTCTGATTTCGCATGCTATTCGCTCACATGAACGCCGATTATCTGTAGGGCCACGCTTGACTGCAGGACAAATGGCGTTCGATTACCATTGTGAAAGCCGCGCGGCATAGATCGGATACTTATACCGGCTTTAAACCCCTGCGTTGTCACACCTGAGGACTTAAGGCTGACCCCCAGCAGCGAACCTCTGGTACAACATGGAATCCCTTCCGATAGGAGCGGTCGGCGTCTTGCTGGTCTCGATTCTCCTTTTCTTGGCGCTTCGACGTTCGAAGCAGCGTCCTCCCCTGCCACCGGGGCCCAAGGGACTCCCTTTGATAGGCAATCTCTTGGATATGCCAACGCATTACCCATGGAAAACCTATGTAGAATGGGGGCGCAGATATTGTGAGCCAATTAGACGCGTAATGTTATACCCGCGTGGCTGAAGCATGATTATCAGGCTCAGACGTGGTGCATATTCAATTGTTGGGATTCCATCTAGTTGTCATCAATACAGCACGAAGTGCGGCTGAATTGCTTGATAAGAAGTCGACGATATACTCGGATCGGTACGTCACCATAGAACCTGCCTAGTATCCTCGAACTGACTTAAACTCAAATTGAAGCCCATGGCTGACCATGATGTGCGATCTGTAAGTCATGCCGGTAAGAGCGACGTCAGTAATATGGCTAACGGTGGGTGTGAATACGCAGGGCGAACCACGCGGACTGGGATATAGCGTTAATGTCCAACAACGCTAGATGGAAGGCAAGCCGCGTTCAGTACCAGAGAGTTCTTAGCAGCGAAAGGTCGAAACAATGGAGGCGAAAGCAGACCTTGGCCGCGTACGCATTCGGTCGCTCTCTGCTAGATGCGCCCGGAGAACTCTTTAAACATACACGCTAGTGAGCTTGAATGTGCGGTTGTCTGGTTGTTCTGATACTGATCCTGCTTTTCAGCTCTGTAGGGTCTAATATCCTCAATGTGACATACGACATACACGCGTTACCCAACGGCGATCCCTGGATCAATCTGGCAGAGAGAGCCAACGAGATCGGAAACGCGGCTATAAGCCCGGGATCCTACCTTGTGGACGTATTTCCAAAACGTGAAGTGTTGTGCCTACGACTTTCCTGCTAGCACCAGCTGATACTGGGGTTTGCTGCCCAGTCAAATACCTTCCGTCTTGGTTCCCTGGCACAGGGTTTAAAAGAGACGCGCTTGAATTCAAGAAGGTCGGGGAAAGCTTGCTTCACGATCCGTATGATCACGCGAAGAGGATGATGGTATGAGACAGTTGTATCACACTCAAGCATTCTGTCTGAATAAACATATCGCACCAAGTTGACGCGCAATAACGAGGAATCTATCGTCTCCGAGCTTCTTGGAGAACTTGACGATAGCGCAACTGCTGAGCAACGACGGGAGGTGGAGATGACGACGAAGCGGAGTACATCGGTACTCTACGGGGCCGGCGCCGAAACCGTAAGAGGCCCTCGTCGTTTCTACAGCTGAGGGTTGACGACATCATTGCGCAGAACGTCGCAGCCTTGAATACCTTCTTTCTGGCTATGCTGTTGTATCCAGACGTTCAAGAGAACGCGCGGAAGGAGGTCAGCAGAGTCACCAAGGAAGGCCGGCTTCCTGACTTCTCGGACGACTTGCCATATATACGCGCCATCGCAAAGGAGTGTCTTAGATGGAGGCCGCCCGTCCCGCTGGGTAGGTTCTACAACCTATACTGTGCGGGCTTTGCTCAAGGTCGAATGATTCATAGGCATTCCACATCGGGTCACCCAAGATGACGTTGGGCTCGGTTACAGAATTCCCAAGGGATCTATAGTGGCCGGAAATATCTGGCGAGTGCCACTGCCAGTGACGCGTTGAATCCATGAATGACATTTTTATACAGGGCCATACTGCACGATGAGCACGTTTACCCCCACACCTCGGAATTCGACCCAAACCGCTTCATGGGCTCGGACCCTAACCCCGACCCGGACGCCGTGTTCGGCTTCGGCAGGTGTGCTTGTTGCTGGACCACGATATGCTGATGCGTTTGGACTGAATGAAAGGGTCTCTTAGACGTATTTGTCCGGGTCGGTTCTTTGCCATCGACGCGCTCTGGATCATGATCGCTACCACCGTCGCGGCGTTCGACATTGAGAAAGCGCTCGACGCCGACGGGCGTGTCGAAGAGCCCACGGCACAGTATACGTCGGGTTTCCAGAGGTATTTCTTTCTCCGTTTCGCAGGGTCAGGAATGTCGAGTTGACTCGGTCGCCTCCAGCCGCCCACTTCCTTTCAAATGCACGATCAAACCCCGTACACTGGAGATGGCGTTATTGGTCCGCTTGACCGCCCCGGATTCCACGTAAAGCCAAGGGCGGCATGGCTATAGGTTGTATCTAAGGATGAATCCGTGGATCAGCCTGTAAATGTCGCGCTATGCAGGGATATATGCGTTCTTCTGAGTACTGCTGGTGGCTTGTATCGTTGCTTTATGGAGAGAAGGCACGATCGTGACGCGTCCGTTATCAGCGCAAATGTTATACGAACTGCAATGTATGTATTAAGAAAAACTCATATCAATTTCATGACGAGGCCATGTCTATGCAAAGCATCATCCGATCTATAGAGATGCGTGTCGATACACCTACTGTGCATACAGGCGTGTAGTGCGAGCCTCAAAGGGTCGGCATTGAAACCAAACGAATGCATATAGTGGCCAGCTTTGCCCGGCAATGACCGTGCACGATCCCGGCGTAGATGGCGTTGACGATGTGCACATTCTAAACACTCCGACTGCCTTGGAATGAACAACAGCAAAAATACTACTTGCTGAACAAGGGTGATTACAGGCTTTGTGGTTGATAACGATGCGTGCAAGGAAGTACTCTGTGGTGTACGGTAGATACGTATGTGTAGGTACTGATTCGAAGTTTTCGTGGTTTTTCATTTCGTCTTCGTGTAGTTGCGTGATAAACGGTGTAGAGGGATCAGTCGGCCCCGAGAAACGCCCGCCTCAGGACGACTCCGACTCGGAAAGGAGCCTGCGCTGGAGATCGTCGCTCCTACGTCCCTCGGCCATGACGGGGTACGGGAGGTGCTTGTCGAGCCCGGTGAGGCGGACGAAGATCTCCTTGTCCATCGGCTTCTCGGTCCTGCAGAGCCAGAAACCCCACTCCTCGAGCGGGCGGAGGTTGAGGAGGACCCAGTTGATCTTCCAGGCGATGACGGAGACGAAGAAGCCGGCGACGGCGTCGAGGATGTAGTGGTTCGCGGTGGAGACGATGGCGAGCAGGATGAGGGCGGGGTAGAAGGGGCCGGCGCGGGCGACCCACTTGTGGGGGCTGAAGAAGAAGAGGGACATGCCGATGACGAACGAGTAGCCAAAGTGGAGGGAGGGCATGGCGGCGAGCTGGTTCTGGAACTTGTTCGTCGTCCAGGCCGAGGCGTGCTTGTGGGCGTGGACGGTGTCGACGAAGCCGTATTCCTCGTACGGGAGCAGGCGGGGCGGCATGCAGGGCCAGGCGGTGAAGACGATGAAGGCGAGGAGGTTGCAGCAGACGAGCGTGCGGCGGACGCGGCGGAAGACGGGCGGCGGGGCGTATTTGAAGAAGTAGACCATGAAGGCGATCGTGGCCGGGATGTGGACGTAGGAGTAGATCTTGTTCAGCCAGTCGATCGCGAGCGGGGAGCGCATGACCCAGTGCTGGACGGCGAGCTCGATGCGGAGGCCGAGGTAGCCTTCGAGGGTGAGGATCTGGATTCCGTGTTTGCGGGCGATGGCGGTGGTCTCGTCGACGAGCGTGAGCGCCGAGATGGCACGTGCGATCTGGTATATCTGCGAACGTGAAAGAGCGAGGGTCAGCATGGGTCGTGTAGGTCGTGTGACAGAGCGGCACGAGCGGACAGGGGGGGAATACGCACCCAGTACGTGTTCAGCCAGTACCAGACCTCCATGAGGAACGGAAAGTAGGCCAGGAAGCGGCTGGTGAGGGTGTGCCGGAAGCGCGAGTTGTCCGGAACGCGGACCCGCCATTTGAAGAAGGGCAGGGTGGTCGGCGCGGCGGGCGGGGTGTTGGGACCTGCATCGAGGAGCTTGAGCTCGGAGGCGCGGCGACGGTTGAGGAGACAGCCGGCGGTGAGGAGCCCGGCGACGATGGCGGGCTCGAGGACGTAGGAGAGCGGCGAGATGTGCTCGGAGGTGGACATGGTTGGGACTGGAAATGGAATCGACCGCAGACGACCGCGAAGGGGAATGGTCGGCGAAAGGGAACAGCAGCGGGTATTTCTGGGCTGGGAGGAGCAGTAAGACCTCCGGGAACGCCATCCCGGCCTCGATGCCGCCCGCAGAACACGCAGACGCTGCGTCAGCTGCGCCGAACATCCCGGCCGGCGGCGAGAACGCAACGCCTTGACGTAAGTAAACGCGTGGACCCTAACCCTAGCCCCATTCAACCAACCAACTGATCCTCATCCTGTGTCGTCTTGATCTCGTGCTCCAGCTTTAGCAGTGACATCGCATCCGAATGCTCGACTCTGGGATACGCTGGCTAAAATTGGTCCCGTTCTTGTTGGAGAATCCCGCTGGTACATGCCTCGACCAAAAGCCATGCACAAGAACCGGTTTGCTGTGCCATGGGAGTTTTTTTTTCTACAGGACCGTGTCTACACGAACCGTCCGCCAGAACTTCCTCGGACATACGACAACCAAAGTCATCTGAAAATTCATCAAGTACATCACACCGCCGCAGCCCGCGCACCAGGACCGGACTGCGAGCTGCGCCATCCTTGATGCCTTCCTCCCCGTTCCCGTCTTTACGGAATGACAGCAGTAACGACTGGTCGTCGTTTTCGCTATATGAACCTGGGACCTACGCAGGACCGCCCAGGAATTCATTAGGGGATTTGCATGTGCGCACCTTAGCACGTCCCCCATGTCGGCGGCGTTGAGCGGCGCAGAAATAGCCGCATTACAGCCATCCAACTAAGTACCTCGATGGCGACCGGCTAGAGTAGGCCGCAGTCCGAGGTTAATCATTCACCCCACGACTTGTCAACCGCGACGCGCAACATTCTCCACCTCGGTGTTATGAATACTCTATCCCCTATCACGAAGCTACAAGGCGCCCTGGGTCATATGGCGGAACTGCATGTCATACCACAAGGATGCGCCCTGCCAATCCTCTCGATTCCCTCCTTCATCTCGGCAAGATGATACATGCGTAGCGGTGCAAGCTAGTCGATAATCGTTGCTTGCAGCGGCATGAGGGCCATGACAATGAGAACGGCTTGGCGTGCACCGCGACGCGTACCGTCCCCCCTTAGACGAAAAAATCAACCCCATCTTGGCCATGGACATATACCACGAACCTCGTTTCTCCTCCCGCGCCATGCGTTGCGGAATGTCGGCGGAAGACAGACACATCGCATAGCCGATAACGTCGGGATCTCGACGTCCGCGCGCTCCTTGGTCTCGCGACACAGATCACCGCGGCCGGGTGAAACAAGCAAGCTGTGATTCTGGGGAGATCCTTCTTCGCATGCGCGATCTCGCGATTTCGCGCAGAAGACAGGGGAGAAAGCAGGGTTGTCTCAAAGATAGGCATGCCGCGAGTCTCTCCGTGGCGAATACGTGCCGGAAACGGGGCAGAAAACTGGGCGCAAAAACGCTGGTTGTCGTTTCAACAGGATTGTCTGAAAAGATGGACATGCCGCGAGCATCTCCCTCGTCGGAAAGCCTCTAAACCGCGGGGTGGAGCGCTGCTACGTATGTTGTTTCACAGCCCAGCCGTTCCGTCCGCGTGCTGAGCCGAGTCGTTTAGGAGGCGCGAAAATTGCGTCCCGTAGCCGCTTGCGCACTGCACAGCCATTGCAAGCAAGGAAGCGGAAGTCCGTGCGGGCCCGAAGTCGGAAAACGACGCAGCTGGCGGCGCGAGTTCGTCGTCGCCATCACACTGTGGCGTCAAACTCCTTCGCGCGGGTTCGGCGGGCGCATACTTACTACGTATATGGTGTTGTCATACTGGTCCGGGACGACTGGGACGAAGCGGTACCGCCGCTAAACTTGTTTCAATGCCGATGCGCAGTTTGACACCCACCACTCAGACGGCGACTCCGCGATGATCTCAACATCGGGCAAAACCGTAACTTCTTGTCTGCTCTAGCCCCTTGGGGTCCTTAGACCCACATCATTGCACCTTCTCAGTCTGTGCACGAACCAATAAAAAAACTGGGTTTTTTTGTCAAGACACCGGACGGCACAGTCTGCGGTGCTCCACTTTTTCCAATGTCCTTGATCCCCATGGGTCCTTCCAACACCGTCAATAAGGCGAACATGCATGAAGACCGGTATCCAGGTTTCCGGCTACTAGACCGATTCGTCTGGGTGACCGCCAAAGAGCCTCGTAGGGGCGGCTGCAATCCAACAAATTTTGCTTCCGACTCGTTTCTTGGACTTTCCCCGCCGCTCTCCGTCGATTTCGTTGAAACGCGCCCATGAAGCACCCAGGCCGTTACCCCATCCTGTACAAAGGCGCCTTGGGATCTCACTAGGCGCGTATGAGAACGTCGGTATCCATCATTTGACGAATTCCGATATGGACGCCACCAGAGCTCGAGCTTGTGCTTGCGAGGCTGTTCTCCACCGCGAACTTTGATGGCCCCTTTGCCCGCGGCAATGGCGTCGCGCCGTCGGCCTCTGCAACATAGACGCATGAATCCGACATCCCCCGAAACGTACCCGCGGCGCCACCTGCATCACCTGCGTGGGTATCGGCGCATCATAGACTATCGATGCCTATGCGCCAAGGACAAGCTCAAGTTCTCGCCCGGCTATCTCGTTCATTTTGCTGAGAGTTTCAGCGCTGGTCGTCAGCTGGGGCTCGTACCATGATAGGCACTCGTGGTATCTGTTTCGCGACGAAGAACAGGGTGGAATGGAGCGAGTCTTGATGTATGGGCGCGATTTATGAGCAGCATCGTCTTCGGACCCTCTCGGCCGCTTCAGCAACTGTTCTATGGGCTTTTTGACGCGAGGGAGCATGCTTCCGTCGTGAAACTGGACCTCTAGACTGCAAGAGCTGATTCCGCTACCCTAAGACGGCGCAATGTTCAATGTATAGGCCAAGGTTTAATCAACGTCAGAGGTATCGATGCCACCGCGTGTACATGGAGCTAAAATGCCTCTACACCCTCTTCCCTGACGCAGCCAGCCGATACAGCTTCACCAACAAGTGTTCGTACTAGTGAAACCAGAGACTTCCATGCAACCTTGTCCCTCTGAACGGCATTCGCCACGATTCAATCCAAAAATAGCCGAAGGACCAATCGGCTGAGATGCCGAAGCCCGAACAAGCGCTAAAATAGGGCAGATTGCCAATTGCTACTTGCCATCGCTCGTCACTCCCAATGGCATGCGCCTCCGCGTTATCCTCGCACGTCCGCTCCGCTTAACCGATCCCTGCCACAGTCAGAGGTGCAGGAGCAAGACGAAGTCCCGGACATGCGCCGTAGTCCTATCGATCGTTCCCAGCTCCGATCACATCTAATCAAGACCCTCTCGAGGCGTGCAGCTTATTGGACACTGACTATGGGTACCCATCCAAAACATGAGCAACGACACGCCCGAAGATTACAGACACAATGCTTCCGGCTGTAGCACAGCGGCGATGCCTCGCCTGAACGCATCTATGTAAGCCTTCATATTGCAATCGCTTCCCTGATCTGAATCTTATCTGTGGTTACCGGTAGTGTAGCGCGATCTGGACTGATATTGCGGGCGCGAGGCAACACTATACTGCGGAGTGTTCGGTCCTGAGCCTCGCGTGCAACTACATCTCCGCACATCGCGTGCAGTCGCGTTGGTCCCGTGCCGCATGCTACCCAAACGCTATAGCCTCGGTCATTACAGTGGCATCCACTAATAAGTGCCGAGTTCGTAACAGGGCCGTCAGGCATCGTAAAGCACCCACGGATCTGCACGAGCCAAGCCTAACCCAGGAACACGTCCCGTAAGAAAGCGCGACGGGCAGGCATCTCCACGCGTGCGAGCATGACTGCAGCGTTTCATGCCTTTTCCACATACACCGGGAATTCCCGGACGACAGCGCACAGCTCGCTCTCAAACCGGGCCAGCGCCTCCCATACACTTCTTTCTCGAGCGTCCGATTATCAGGGTCTTGTTCCCTCCCGAGCGGATATCGACGCCGAATCCATCGATGAGGTCAATAAAGGCAATGACATGTACAATCAAAAAGATTTCTCTATACACTTGCGGAGCAAAGTACGCGCCAGGAACACGTTTCTCAGAACCAGAGAACAGGAAGATGACGGATCATCTCCTGCACCCCCTCCGACGCAAGCAACGCTGAACCGCAACTGGCTTTTGTTTGAGATGAATTGCGGACATTGTGCCGACTGCACCGCCGACGTACACGAGGGACGCGGAGGGGAAACGCCTCCATGCATGCTCATGTTGTCGTGCACGGCTTTCCGTCCGACATGCTCGTATAAATGTGGATGATCCCTCCGGTGTTACGAGTCTACTCATACCTCCTCCGCCCTCTTCACAGCGCGATCCCCCGGGGACACACGCCCGGGTATCCTATTCGACCATCTGGTTGACGATTCGACAGTTTGCCTCGGACCCATTATAATGCTTCCCTCGGATCAACAGCGCAAACAGAGGGACGTGTTTGAAGAAGATACGTTATTTGTTGCAGGGGGGAGTCCACAGAACCCAGCGGGGTATTACTCCCCTGCCTATGCTACGAACATGAGGTGAAATGTCCTCATTCTCATTCCAGTCTTCGAGAGTTAATGGTATCATTGTTCAATAGCAGGAATGATACTGCTCTCCATGCAAACCCACCGCCTCATCCTGTCATCCGGGGCTCTCAGGAGCGATCTCCGAGCTACGAGTAGGTCTCTTCACAGGGTCGATAAAGCGGGGGTTTGATCGCTTTGAAAGACCGTGCGCAGGTTGCCAGTGGCCACCCAGCAACAGCAGACCACAGGTTCAGCCTGGATACGACACGGCTCCTCAATATGTGGCTTGGCCGCCGACCCATGGTTCAATAGCGCAACAACCGATGTATGCGCAGCCTATGTATGGACTTGACACAACGTACAGTAACAGTGGCACGATGTGAGCTTTTTTCTATCTCCTGAGGTGATGTGCCCGCCTGACGATGCACAGATCCCCCACCTCGACAAATTTTCCTATCACTCAGACCGCATCGGCATCTTATGCTCGCATGAGGTGGGCAAATCCCATTGTTTCAGCAGGATCGCCGAGCTCAGATCCCAATGTCAGCGAACCCTATGGTCAATTCTCTCCTGAGGTTACTGTACCCGTTGTGCCTAGTCAACGAGACTTGGACCCACTAGCGTACACGACGCACGATGGCAACGGATCGCCGTTCAATCACCAGGTGCCAAATGTTACTTCTTCCGGCGCGACGGATGACCGGAGGTGAGCCCTCCGCTCTGTTCTCTCGACAAACGCTGGAATTCGCGCTTTATGCGTAGGCAAGAGTCTGCTGTGGAGGCAGTGGAACTGCATACCGGGCGATGGGCGTGCCCCAAATGCTACCCGACCAGAACGTACGCGCGGCACACGGAATGTCATCGCCATATACGCGATCACCACTTGAATCTACCTCGGCATGAATGTCCTTACTGTGGCAAGACGTTTCCACCGGCTCGGAAGGAGCAGTTGAGCAGGCACGGTGAGCATCATATACACCGTTCGCAGCGTCGGTCGCTGACATGCCCATGTTGACAGTTCTCAAGGACCACCCTGAGTGGGCTGCGAGCTGGGTCGTCTAGACTGTGTCTCTTATCTAACGTCGCTGCCGTCTTTAGAGACTGCGGAACGCCCGGCGGTTCTGCACTGTCGCTGTTTCGCGCCCATATTTCTTGCGCTTCCATTTCTACCGTTATTCGTATTCTCACCGCTACCGTGCAATCCCCGTAGACATACTGCGTTGCCCAAGAATCCTGACTGTTCCCAACGCCGTTGCTTGCAATCCCTAGTTTGGCAGCCACCCGACTCCATATTCAATTCCCAATGTAGAAGTCTTGTACTCCGTGCGCAGTGCCGTAAGAGAGGCGGCGAATTATGATACGTCGATACGCAAACACGGAATGTATCGCCCGTCGGTGTTGATGCATGCGATACATAGCCCTTGCATATTTGGGGTGAGATGGTCTCCAACGGTATAGCGCATGCATGCACAAATATGTTCTACAAGAACCATCTACGAAGGAACACACGAATACACAGCTCTGGACATGCCCCATGCGATCGCGAAGCGTTCGCAGGCTCTATAGTGTTTAATGATCTAAATTCCCAAAAACCTACAGATGCATCTTATAGGCCGCTTTGCATTCCCTCCGAAATGCCGTCGGCGATCCGCTCTGGAGCGTCCGCGCAGAGATCCGACGATGTAGGCTTCAAAATCTTCGAGATCTGATCTGCTAACGGCGATCTCTCGGCCTCCAACGTCATTTTCAAGAACCACGGCTTGCTCATGTAGTTCCGGATGCTATCACGGCGCGTTTCAGCTCTAAGCCAATCGCGATAAGGATGATGTGTATGAATCTTACCCGTCCGGCAATATGACCACAACGTTGAGTCCGGTAGTCTCCGCGATCTTGCGCCCCTTCTCCGTCTTCAGCCAGTGGAGAGCGCCGCTGAGAGCGGAGCCAGAAGAGCCACCAACGAGAAGGCCCTCGTGTCTCATCAGGAGGCGCACAGCAGCGAATGCTTCCTCGTCGGAAGTCTTCACCCACTCATCGATGTCACCCTCAACTCTGGAAAGAACGTCGGGGATAAAGTCATAGCCAATGCCTTCGACGATGTAAGAGATCCCGCGGTCTTCGTCATTTAGCGTCTCGGGTTGGGCAAGGATGCTACCTTTCTAAATTACGAGGCGGTGAGTCTCGGCCATTGGTGCCAGGGGCTGTGAGGGAACCTACGGGATCGACGCCGACTATGACGGACCTTGGATTATGTGCCTTCTTGACTGCACGCGAGAGCCCGGTAATCGTACCGCCGGTCCCGGCGCCTGCTACGAGGACATCGACCTTCTGGGACGATGGCTTCTCCACGGTGGAGGGTGTGAAGACCACGGCATCGATGATCTCTGGCCCTGTCGTGAGCTCGTGGGCCAGCGGGTTGTTCACCTATACAAGGATTACGTTAAAAATGCGGTCGTACAAAGGCGGGAAGCGGGCTTACGTTACGATACTGGTCCAGGATTATGGCATGGGGTATTTCTCGCTGAAGTCGCTCAGCGACGCCTGGCGATCGTTAAGGAATTCAGCCACGAGAGATTGCGGCAGTCAAGTGAGTGCTCTACCTATGTGGGACTCGGGCGAGTCCCATGAGGCTTCGGTCGGCGTGCGGACGACTTCTGCTCCGAGGGCGCGGAGAGCAGCCTCTTTCTCCTGTATTCACGGGCGTTCAGATCTGCGCATGGAACGCGAACTCACGAAGCGGATGCGTACCAGGGACATCTTGTTGGGAAGGGTGATAATTACGGAATACCCCTTACTTGCACGTATTCAGAACCCGTTCGTGTGCTTAGGCAGGTGTCACATACTTTGATCGCGCACGCCATGGCGAGTCCAATGCCTGTGCATGCGACAAGTCCTGTGGTCAGATATACCCATCGAGGTGCACAAAGTGCGTGAGGGGGCAGACCTGTGTTGCCAGAGGTTGGCTCGATCACCACGCTCTTTCCCGGAATCAATTTCCCTTCTCGCTCCGCGGCTTCCACCATCGCCTTCGCGATTCGATCCTTCACAGATCCACCGGCCGACATGTATTCGACCTTGCCCACTACACACCGATTTTCCACAATGTCAGACCGCCCGAGAACGCCGAGGGACGGACGGCACTGCTTACAGAGATTGCACTTCAGGCCCTCATGCTTTGCTATCTTGTCCAGCCGGATCAGAGGCGTGTTACCGACAGCGCCAAGCGCATTGTCCAGTATGCGAGCGGGGCGCGACATGGTGGAGGGCGCGGTATGGTCAAAGTTGAAGTTGAAGAGGTGTTTGCAGCGGTCATTAGACGGAGATGGCCGTGGCCGACGGGCGGATCTTGGGTCAACAATAGTATGGCATCAACCCGAGCAACGATGGCATCTTCACTTCCGACGGTGACGAGCACTCCTTCTGCCCTCCAATACGATTATGCGTCTGCATGCAATGCGTTTAACATGCTGAAGCACATGCAGTACACAATAGAATCTACGACTCCGAACTGGGGCCTCGTCCTGGGATTCTGCTGAGATGTACTGCATAAGACGGATGACGAGGGTTTCGTAAGCTCTCGGAGCTCCCCCTATGCGTCACTGGTACAAAACGCCAGCGGAAGACGAGGATAAGGACCATCAAAAACGATAACAGCGACAACAAAAAGCATGGCGGCATCAGCATACAAATCGCCCCTGACAGGTTTCGATAACGCGGCGCCCCTCCCTCAGGATCAATACAACTCTGATGGCAAGTCGTTGTACAATCCTCCGGGGCCAAGGTCGGCCGCCTATGACGAATCGCCTACGTTCGATTTTCATAGTACGTCGTTCCCGTCGTGACATGTTATACGCACGACTGATCGTATGCATATGCAACAGTATACTACATGCAGAGCGACCCTGCACAGGCGCAGTATGCCAAGGAACTTCATGAACGCGTGAGGCGGGAATTTCCCGAGGTATGAGGTCTCTACTGTATCTTCGCATAGGGCTCGCTCACGAATACATTCTCCACAGCTGCGAATATATAAATTCTGGGACAAGCCCGTAGGTCAGTACCCCTGTCCGTCCGATCGAAACGTCGTCTGACAGTAACACCGCGATCTGCGTATAGGACCCCATCCTGTCGCCATGTTCGAGGTGAACACCTTCAACCCTCATCAAACAGGGGCGTTGTTCTCCTGGCTGGTGCTGAATCGTGGACCATGCTCGTACGCTGCATAATCTATCTCATTTGCGGCGTTGCGCTGACAGGTTATTCCAGCGTCCTTGTACATCCCAACACTGAGGACGCGTACGGCGATCACACAGAGCGCGCGACTTGGCTTGGCAGGCAGTGGCCTCTCAACGTCGATCTTTTGCGCGGGCACTAGCGGATGGCACCTTCCCGCCGTCTTCCATTATTTCTTGTGCTTCTGAGCGCACCGGATCCCCACCTCCCCCTGTATCATATATCACTCGCAAACATCAACCTATGACGGATGTTTCTAAAAGCATTCTAGACACGTTCTCAAATACCGGGCCACCTTGAATCATACGCCGCAATTCAAATCCCGCTATAGTTGCTGTGTGGTACGAAGGGCCACCCGCTCGAGTTCATCGTGGCGAATGCGAACGTTCGATTTTGGACCACTGGAACTATCCGAATGCAACGGTGTCATGCGCATTATGACGCACGCATTGTGAACACGGTGTCAGAGCGTATCCCAGCAGATCTGAGTCGCGTTCCCGGCATTCGCATCCTTTTCTCAACGTCGATCGGATGGAACAGGGATTGTTGAGTCAGACCGCCCTCGTTGGTGTAATATTGATCGGAGGCTCGGACGCAGGTGACGTCGCTGATATGATACGCGGACCGTTCAGTAGCGTGAATGCTGCTGTATCGAGTGCTCATGCTTCATGGTGACATTATAACATACGACCCTTAGTTAACGTACGTTATACCTGGTAGCATCAGTCGTATGCATTGCCCAAGATACCTTGGGCCAAGATACCACGGGCCATCACTTTGGTTATGAAAACGCCGGGTGGGTGCAAGGTGGAAGTGGTGGCCTCCATCATCGCACGTGGTAATATATGCAGGTGTCTTTTCCTGCCCCTTCCTTCCCCCGCGACACACCTCCACCATGGATCCTCCTCCTGCGACGCCCCTCTCGCCGATATCCTCGCTACTCCAGACCATAGGCATGTCCCGCGAGGACCTCGCCCGACACAGCGAACAGATGCGAAAATATCTCACCGCGCAAGACCCTGGCGCGGTCTCCGCCATGCCCTTCCTTCGCGGCCTGCGGGAATCCGCGACCCCCGAGCCGGCCGCCTCAGCGCCATCGTCTCAGCGGAGGGCGCGGTCGGGGACGAGATCTAGGACGCACTCGCTGAGCGCGATCGCCGCCGAAGCAGCGCTAGTGCCCTCGACACCGATCAAGTCCGAGCCGGTGGACGCGCCGGTGCCTCTGCGGTCGATGTCGAGCATGGAGATGGTCATCGAGCGCAAGAGCAAGCGCGTCCGGAAGGAGAAACGCGGCAAGGACAGGCGCGAGCGCACGAATAGCCTCACGCACCCGCCATCCCCGTCCCCGCTTCCGTCGTCGCTCAGCCTCGACACCTTCATGCAGGCACGCGCCAGCAGGAAGCCGTCGTTCTCAGACGCGTCTAAACCTGCAAAGGCACCATTAATTGAGGTGAGCGAGCTCGCCCTTTGCTTTCTACGCGGTCGCTGATGTTCCCTCATGCAGCCCCATCCTGTGACGCCTACCCACAGCAGACACTACCGCATCGACACGTCCACAACGCCTGGTATGACGCGTCAAAACTCTTTGGTGAGCTCTGCATGCGCTTTCCGAGTGGTACACGACCTAACTCCACGCTCACAGAATGCGCCACACGGTCTATCGCCCTACTACCGCCCTGAAACCTACGTGCGCTCCTCTCCCCGCGTCCACGCGTTTTATGCCCTGACACTCTCCCAGCTCACTCCTCAGAAACCGCACAACATGCCCAACCAGCTCTCCTCTCCCGCCTATGCCCCCGGCTCGTCACCACAGTCCTCCCCCTCGCGCCCCAGCGCCATCGTCAACCTTGTCTCGTCTCCCGGGCCGATGGCCCCTACTTCTTCGCCTTTCTCTCAGCCACTGCCGTATACTCTGCCATCGCCTCCCTATCTGCAAACGAAACCGGAGTTGTCTTACGCAGCCCTCATTGGCCAAGCGGTACTCTCTTCGGAGCAACATATGCTCACCCTTCAGGAGATCTACGAGTGGATCACCACCGTATATCCGTACTACAAGCGGAATGAACAGACGTGGATGAACTCGGTCAGACACGTCCTCAGTACCACCGCCGTATTCAGGAAGGCGCCTCCTCGAGAAAGCGAGACGGGCGGCCGAGGCGGCAAGACGAGGTGGGCCATCTGGGATAAGGACATCAAATGCTTCGAAGGCGGCGGTTTCGACAAGAGATTCTGCGAGGATATCGTCAAGAAGGACGCCAATAAAAAGCGGGCCGCCGACGAAATCGCGAATTCTTCCGGGGGAGGTGGCAGTGGTAGCGGAAGCGGCGCGAGGAAGGCCAAGCGGGTGAAGAAGACCCTGAACATGGCGCCACCGTTGGGGAGCCTGCCGGTCGTATATCCTCAGCCGGTCATGGCGACGGCGTCTTTGACGTCCCACGCATATGCACCGGTGACGATGTATCCAGGTCCAAGCCTGGCGCCATCCGTACATGCGCATCCGCACCACCAGACATACGTGCAGGCATGCAATCCTGGCCATCACCCGCCGGGGGCGATGGTCTTCCCGCCCTTGCCGACCGCATACGCGACTCAAGGCGCAGTTGTTATTCCGTCCCACCGCACCAGATCGGCTTCGAGTGCAAGCGCTACGACGGCATCCCAAGAAGAAGCAGAACGAGAGATCGAGCGCAGCCCGTCACCGGAAACGTTGCAGTATCCTCCTTCGCCCACCTCTCCACCTTCGCGCACGCATTCGCCCTCGTCGTCACCGCCGCCGACGTCTGCGAGCTCGGTTGCGTCGTCCTCTATGCTCCCTCCTGATCTTACGACGGATTCCGGGTCGTCGAGCAGCCCTACGTTGCCGTCGTCATCTGTCGGAAGTAATCTGAGCAGCAAGGCTAGTGTATCGCCTATGGTCAAGGCCCATGATGTCGGTTACGAGGACATCGATGACGAAGAGAGCCCTGCGTTTGATGTAGCTCGTGCTACTCATACAGAATTCGACCTGTCGTACCCAGTCCCAAGCAGGAAGGGGAAGGAACGCGACATGAGTGAGCCAACAACGAAGGTGAGAACCCATTTTGAGCGATCACCCAACACAGCATCTCAACGTTTAATATCGTACAGCGCACGCTCTCTTTGCTCTCGCTTCCTCCGATGCCTGAGTCGCCCACCATGGGCAAATCCAGACCTGCTTATTGCCAAGGGTACCCTTTCGCCCCGCCGGAATCTCCAACGTTGGCCTTACGGAAGGTCAAGCTCAATACTCCTGCACGACCTCCGGGAACTCCACCTACCGCTTCCATCGTTGCCACGGATCGCCCTCGTACACCGGACCGTCAACGGCCACAGACGCCTCCCCCCAAGACTGTACCTACTCCCCCACAAACGCCGTCACAGCCCTCCCTCGACCCCGCCCGCACCCCGCCGCCCTCCACGCCTCACAAAGACCGGGACATCATGCGCTACCTCAACCTCTCTCCCGAACGCACACCGCTCTCGCACCGGGGCGTGCACATGTCCCCCTCACCCAGCCTCGCCTACTACAAATCGCACCTCGAGCCGCCTCCGCCCATGTCACACTTCACCTCCCATCACCTCGCGCCGCTCCTGGACATCAATGCAGGTGTGGGCTCGACAAGCGTGCAGTCATCGCAGGAAAGCGAGCACCAGGCGGACAAGGACGCGCTTCGCACGCCTTCTCTCGCTCGCGGCAGTGGCAGCGGGCCGTTCGTCCTCCAGTCTGCTGGGTTCGGACCGCCGGTGACCCCGAAGAAACTTATCTTCCCGTCGTTCAGCGGTACGACGCCGCTGCGCGCTGGCAAAGGCGGCGTGTATGATCCGCACGACCCGGCGCTCATCCTCGACGAGGAGCTGCGGTTGGGCGGCCCGGCGGGTTTCCTCGGGTCGGGATTGGGACTGCAGGAGAGCCCCACGGGCTTATTCGGCGGGACGAGGGGGATGTTGTATGAGAGCCCCAATTTACCCAGTCCTGGGCCTTGGTCTAGGCGGTATTGATCCTGAACCCGGTGTCGTCTATGTGCATTATCGCGCGTCTACCTTCCCCTCCCATCCCCTCTCTACGTCCAACGCTTCAGATATGAATGATATGATCCCCTGACTTTCTTGGTTTACGACTCGCAGCGACTCGAACTATCTCAGGTCTCGATCTCTCCCGTTGTTTTGTGCCGTTCATCCCTCGCCGCTCCTCCGTGCGACTTTGAAACTGTATTATCACGCCATCGTCCCCAAATCTCGTGTTCTATTTCCTCTCTTATTGCCTGCCATCACCGTATCGTATGCACGCGGACGAGATTCTGAATGTGGTGTACGCGGCGCCGGACACGTTCCCTCTATCCAAAGCAATATGTATTGATTTATTCCGTAGACTGCACAGTCTGTGTCAGGTACCGAGCCTATGTACTTATGAACGTTTCGATTAAGGAGCGAATTCTAAGCAGAGACAGTTAAGCGGATTTTCATCGTCACGAAGGGCAGGCAACCCACCGTCCTCGTCGAGCAACGTGCCTTCGTCCAAACAAGCTTGTATGTACTCGCTTATGATCAGATGGCGATGCTTCGGCCTCGAGTAAGATCAGCAGATGAATCGACGGAGCGAGGAAAACAATTACTTTGACGTCCGCTTCGTCAGCTCTCGCCGCCGGCTATCGTCCCTCTTGTCCAGAACTATGTGTGTGAGCTTCGGATCGTCCAAGTCTGCGACGCGTCCGCCGTTCTCCCTGATCAGTCTGTCGATCTCAACGAAGCTAGGTGTTGGACATGAGCAAGGATCGGAGATTAAGTTCCAAATGACGTACGAACCGTTGCTGGATGTCGGACTCGTGTTTGGTCTTGATAGGCATGCCATGGTTTCGCGCGTTCATAGGTGTATCCAAGTAGAAGCAGCTGGCAGAGTATGAATGTGAGATACTGGTTGGTGAGAAGGTAACATACAGATGCTTGAAGATTAGGTTCTGATCGTATTCCATGGCTTCGTCGTCTTCGCCCATCTTCGCCGCTTCGGCTTCTTCCTCGACCTATTTTACGTTAAATGATGGTCAACATGGTGCTAAGAGACCACACTCGCCTGAGGTCCACGAACAACTTCCGCCTTGCAGTGTCATTAGAAGTCAGGCTATGATCACACAGGAATCAACGGAAGGTAAGTACCAGTTCTGTGATCCTTCCTGCATCCTCGCTGGACATGAGATTCTCAATCTTATACCAGCCATCCTCAGTATCTTCTTCTTTGGTGTCTTCGTTGTCGGATTCTGGTTCGGTTTCTGACTCTGTGTCAGAACCGGGCGGTGACTGATGTGCAGTCGCGTCGCCCTTGACATTGAACCAATCCGTCAGGGACGGATCTTCCTCTTCCTTAGGCTCCGGATCCTCTTGCTGAGTTGGGATTGCGGGGCGTAACGCGACATTCGCTGTTTCTGCCATGACCGTATCGTCATCCGGTAGCCGATACTCGTCGGTTTCCTGCCTCCGAGACGTTGCGTGGAAGAAGTATCTAAACGGAGGTGTAAGCACAGGATTAGCCTAGGATGCAATTGCAGACTACTTCTTCGTCATAGGGATCACTTCGCTCTGTGAGAGGCAGTCGAAGATCCACTGAGGCTTAATGATATCAGCCTCATCCTTCTGCATGATCAACCTTATGTCGTATGCTTCCGTACCATAGTGGTTAGTGAAATCCATAACTGTGAACGAAAACAAACGCACGAATTGTCGACCCTCCATACACAACCAGTGTAGGGAACTTCTTCGAGACAACTTGGGCCACCTTTCCACCGTTGGCGTGGATTCTAGGCGAGAGGTCAGCGACGACTACGTTCCTGGCGTTTCCAGCGTACAGTTTCATCAGGTCGCGCTTGTCCTCGTCCCCAGTCCTCGATTTTGGGTCGGATACTACCACTATGTAGCTCCTTCAATCTGATGATTTGCCGCAGTCAAAGCAATGCCTTACTGAATCTCATTCCTCTGAATAGAACCGATTCGACCGCCACATCCTTCAGCCTCGACCCACCCATTCCATATTCGGAGAGGACGTGAACCTCGACTCGCATGTTAGCAGCTAGATCGCGAAAGGAATGCAGTTGGTCACCTTCGACGCCGTCTTTCTTTTCTTTTCCGGCTTCCTGGATAAAGATATGAGCCAGAACGTCCGGTGTACATGAATCCCCGTACACAGTCTCCTCTTCTACCTTGCGCTTCTTACTCTCCGACATTTCAGCCAGAAACTCTGTACAGAGCGCGAGATTTAAGTCACTGTGCCATATCCAGGACATGGCACGCACCCGTAGCTGTCATGCAATCGGCAACGGAAAGATCGTCACGTATGTTCACTGCGCGAGGAAATCTCATCGTGAAACCAAGATAATACAAGTCTGATCATAAAATCAGTCCCGCCAGGACTCGGTCGCAGAGGAAGGATGTATACCCGAAGTAACAATCTCAGCAGCCTTCACTTTGATTATGAAAGAACTAGGTTGAGCTCATTAGCATAGACGGCCAGACAACGAGTGTAACGCACTCTTCTGGTTCGAGATATACATCGCCTTTATCCTCGGTACCCTTTGGGGCTGTAAGGTAAAAGCTAGGAGGATTTCTCTCGGCCCATATTTTCCAGGGTTTACTCCGGATCCATACGTAGTCGGCGAAACTGAGACCGGAACCAATACGCACGACGGAGGCATATCTGGATATTGTTATAGGTCTTAGAGTGATATGCAAGAAGTCTGGGACGTACTTTGGCTCGTCATCCTCCTCCGGTCTTCGGCGATCGTCCAGGACCGCACACACCAGGGTCGACACACCGCCCCCACGATGTCCAGTTCCGTAGTTCCCGGCTTAGTGCGTTGGTGTGAGTGCGGGTTGATACGAAAGGGACAAACGGGAGCATACCAACGACCAGTACATCAACGGTTTCCCCCATATTGTCCTGGGCGAATGGTGAATCCTGCATTCGCAGCAAAAAAAAAAGAGGAAGGTACCATGTACTCGGGCTTCACCTGTATATCATTAGCATCGAGCTGCGGGCGCTGGACAACGAACTGAGTCGACTTACTTTGATCCAATCCTTGTTACGTCCATTGAGCACGTACTCGCTGTCCGGGTGCTTGATAATAAGGCCTTCTCCACGGTTCTCCATTACCTCTTCCATGCGCGTGCGTACGTCCTTGGCCGTCTTGCCCTCGAACTCGCTGACAAGTTCTATGCGACCGGGTATCGGGGTCAAACAGGCCCGCAGGTTCCGTCGTCGGAATTTGGTGGATTTCTGCAGTAGAGGCATGCCGTTGAGGTACAAGAGATCGAAAACCTTGACTTTATGACCCAACTTCAGTCAGGACTGCGCTCAGGAGCAGCGCGCCGTGGGTACTCACAACATGGGCGAGGATTCTGTTCTTTTCTCGTCCGATCTGCGCGGGTTATGAATACGTGAAGGGACCAGAAGACAAGAACAAATAGATTTCCACCTAACGCCGCGGTTTTGAGGGTGCCGAATGGCAAGTTTCTCCCGGAGACAGGATCCCATACAAGCATTTCACCATCAAGAATGATACTGTAATATATTCTAGACAGGCGACTGAAGGTAAGTGTTAGACTCACTCTTCTACTCGCGAATCGAACGCCTTGTCGATGAAAGGGGTAAGGCTACCCATCCCAACATGCTTGCCATATAGATATGTGTAATCCTTCCCCTTCCTACAGAAGTACGGTTAGAATGCACTTGCGTTGCGTTACGTTCCTCGTTTTACCTCGAGCAGTAGAAATATTCGTTCCCGCGTTTATGAAGCTGCATGCGTTCTCCATCGAGCTTCTCTTCTATGAAGAACGTCCGGCCACCCATCTCCTTGACCGAATCTTCGAGTCGACGGGTCGGACGTTTGCAGAGCATCGGTGCAAACGAACGAAACAACTGGATCGTCTTGTCCTATTAGGACGCACATTCGTCTCAGTCATTTGGGTATTGCACAGGAAGAATACAGACGTACTGCGGCGTTCAGACGTCTTTTAGGATCCCACAGTTCCCACACAACCTTCTTGAGGTCGGAACAAGTGTTGAATAGATCGTGGGCGTCGGGGTGGAAAACTGAGAACACGGTGGTTTCCTTGACGGAGATGGTCATATCTTATGCACGTTGTGAGCCTAGTAGATCGCAGAACGTAAGGTCTCTACCTTTCAATATAATACGGACGATCCAGCGTTGCTGTGGCAATCAACATATGGATGAACATACGAGAGGCCAGGGTGCTCAAAGAATGCAATCATCCCTTACCTCCTCCGGCGTTGAACGGTTATATACTCGCTGCAAAATCCTAGATTGTACATCTCTATCGAATCAAAGTATGTCAACCCCTTCAATCCTAGATAAAATCGTGTTCTCGTACTGTTTTCCTATATTCTGAGACAACTCATCGAGAACGTCATTCAGTTCGTGTACGGTCAGCAAGCCTTTTATGACGGATGACCGCTTGTTCACGACCTCGTACAAGACAGTGGGGAAATCCCCCGAAGATCTCTAGCCTCAAACCTCAAGAGAGTTTCAGCGCAAGCTAGAGGAAAACCCACATCTTTATCGGCAGGTTTCTTCCAATTCAGTAACCGGATGGCATCTGCGTCTTTCATCCCAAGGGGTATTAGCTTGATGTATGCTTTCGCCAAGTTCTTCTCCTTCAGGCCATACACGGCCCTCTCACGATCTTTCTGAGGAAGAATCAAGCGCAGGACAGGATATAGGTCGTAGCCTATCTCTTGGCGCCAATGCTTGAAATCGTTACATATTGAGCGCAACTGGGGCGTTGCGGTTACGGAACGCATACGTTGAACCATCCGTCCAGCAGTCTCTTCCTGCGTTCGGGTTTACGCTCGTTTTGGAGCTTCTCGAAGAGCTGGATCAGGACGTAGAATGGTGCACTTCCGACACTAGGGGGTGGCGCAGGATAGCTGGTACCGTCTTGCTGGGTGCTGGCTGGCACTTGCCGTGGCGAACGAGGCGGAGAACTGGGAGCAGGAGTCGGGAGCATGTCGCTTGCGGTCGACGCAGATGACTTGCAGTCAGCGCGGCAGTGAGCAGCCCGCAACCCACGAAGACGCAAACAAGTGAAGCTCGCCACCTAGCCTCCGCGAACGCGTCGCCAGTAGTCACAGGTCACGGGACTTGCCGCCAAACGGTGACGTCAATGTAACAACGTCCTTCCGCCTCCATAGTGTACATCCTATTAGTCCGTGTATATGTATGCATGACCAGGTGATAATCTCGTATGACGATCTACAATTATGATCGGAACCAACGAATAGGCGACAAGGATCATCACAAGATAAAATGATCGGCCCAGTGGCGGAGCACGCCTTCTCCCTCCTTATGCCCCGCAAAACGCTTCACGTCTCTGCAAACGATTATCGCATGCGAATTGCGTACGGGGTCTATCCAGGCCCGCTCCTTCTGCAGGCCAGGCAGTCCATTGAGGTTTTCAATGAGCTTGAGCTGGAGAGGCGTCAAGGTGGGCTTTTCCTGCTCGGCGCGCGATTTCCCCTTCTTGCTCTTCTTAGGCTTGCACAGTTTGTTCTTGTCTTGGTGTGGCTCCACTTCGCCGTTTTCCTGAGAAGCGGGACGCGGACTGGACGCACGAGAGGCCAGGGTGGGCGTAGAGTCTCCAGTCCGTCCTGGATCCTCATCAATTATGTCTGCTACGGCATCCTCCATTTGTCGCTCCATATCGCGAATGATGTGCACCAGTCGCTGAGCTGCGGTATCCGAGCCCTGGACAGACCGTTCCAGTAGTTTTATACGCTTGGATGAGCGGTGGGACTCGCGCGACAAGCGGATAACGACCAGCGTCAAGAAGGTTGGTATCAGTATGGGTAGGGTAAGGTAGAGGATCTAGTCTCTGTTAAATATGGCAATGAGCGTATGCGGATCAAAATACATACCACGTTATAGGGAAAGGCGAACTGAAGAGGCGGCGGTAAGAAGGGACGCGGCTTCAATGATCTAAACCAATCGGCGGATAGCGGAGCTGGTCCGGGTGCTTTTACTGGAGCCACATCGGGTAAACGCCAATTCTTCATTATCGGCTTGTACTGTTCGTCGAGTTCACTGTATGGATGTCAGTGACCGCGGTTTATCATGCATTAGCGTAGGTCTTACATATGGATGCCGTTTGTCTCGTGGTGGTAGAAGGGGTCTTCCGCTTCGATAGCAGCCGTGACGTAGGGAACAGTCACGTCATTCACGGCATTTGCGTAGATCCTCTTATGAGCGAATAGCTCCAGCGCTTGGTAAAATATTCTCTCTAATCTCTACGTGTCAGTGATGCTGGCTCTTCAACGTACCAAAACACCATGACGTACGCGGATCGGCCATAACCTCGAGCAGTGGCCGGCCGTGCAGTGACCATTTATCAACGGCGTAGAACTGCTCGCCAGTCCGTGAAAGTAGTCGGGGACCGAAAAATTGCGTCAGGCGAGAGAGAAAGGATGGGTATCTGGGAAGGCCTATACGGTCACTTGGTGTCAGCATAGACTGCGCGAAGTCCACAAACTGGGCGACTCACCAATATGTGGTGTAGCAATGGTGTTGAAGTTGACAGGGGTGACCTTCTCGAAGAACTTACGATGGTGTAGAATCCTGCATGTGTCATAGCCAATAAACTCCATGGCGTACCATGCGCGGATTGATTGCACCTACCCGATGACATAACGCGCGAGCAATCCTCCTAAGCTGTATCCCGTTACGGAGAAACGAGTAACCTTTCGCCCGTCTTTTTCTATGTTCTCCACAGCTTCGTAAATCTAGAAGGTGCACCGCGATCAATTCACGGCCTCGTCAGCCACTCGTGCAACGTACCTCCTCCGCGACCCGCTCTCCACCCCAATCGATACCATCATATGTGCTCTCATCGCGATTAGTTTCCGCAACAAGGATTTCAAGCTGTGTGGAGCCGTCTGCTTTGGATTGCTGAACTTTCGTCTCGTCCATGATCCGGCGAAGCTCGGCCAAATGTTCAGGATTACCCCACATGCCGTGGATGAGGACGAGCAAGTGTGCGTCGGGCATGATTTCTACTCTTTGGTTTGAAGCTCGCTGTCTTGTGATTATTCTGTGAATTACAGGAAGGTCGCGGTGGTAAAGTAAGGGGGTTGATTACAAGGGATTACAGTGGGACTCTGGCTCTATAAGCGGTGGCAAGCGGAGGTGTTCACAAGGATCCCATCTGCGTTGCGTCGCCCATCCGGCAGAGCACGTGGTGGCTACGTCTTCCGGCAACTTGACCTGCGGCACAGCTACGGCGCCGGATGTCATGCTGCTGACAACCTGCATCCTGTGCTCCTGCATTGCAGCACGATAGTAAGTTACTTACTACTCACTGCGCCTACGCGCGCTCCAGTCAGCATTAACTCCCGAAAGTGGAGGCTTTGGTCAACATTGTACTAGATCAAACCTTGTCCATGACCAATTACCCCAACATCCCATTCCGCGGCCCCTCCACAATAGTCGAACCGCCGTAACGCCGCAAGAGCTGATGCGTTCAAACCACTGCAGTGGCAACAGTTGCTGGATCTCCTAACCGATGTGTGTACGTTTGTTGTTGTTTTGTCCTGGACCATTGCCCAATGCTCAGCGCCAGAAGCTCGTGCGCGGAAGTAGATTACTTATAGTGAGAGCCTTTCCCGCCTTGTAATCGTGCTTAATACTTCCGTGTCCTGACTGAACTCTGTGTTCGCTCCAATTATTCCACTAGGCACTCACAACGTTGGCGCCTGTCAACGACGTATCGTCTGTTTTTGTGGCTCGCTGAGTGGCGATGCGGGTGGGCGAGCGGACTTCTCCAGAAGGCTTCTTGTCAGGCCTCGAGGCTCGCTGCATCGCAGCCTCATTGTGACACGAAAAGGCGCCCCACTGCACAAAGGGGGTGGCAGCCGTACTTAAGTATGCGCGCAAGCAGATATGTGCCACAGATACCAACCCCCTCCCCTCGTGCTGGTCGCGACACTCTTCAAGACGCTTATCATCTAGTACCACTGACGGCAACCGTGAACCGACAGTCCAGAACGAAACGATTAAATCTTCTCGTGCCTCAGCGGGATGCCATACGACTTCAGACCTCCCACTCCGAGATCGCCGTACAGCATCTCTTCGCAAGTGCGGGGCCATCGTTCCTACGCCTTGTTCCGCAGCGGGATCGTATATACTGCCACTTCGCGGATCCGGTTGGATGGTAGTCGGTACTCGCGTACGTACGCTTTCGTGTCAAACTGAATGTGTTAATCCAAACCCGCTGTCAGTGCTCATCGCCCATGCCATGGCGGCAGTTGGCGCTGATTATAGGAGCGTGGTCAAATACGAGGACGTCGTAGAAGAAGGCATGTGTACTTCGATAGCGTGATATTGTCCTGACTTACGGATATCTTGCAGTCAAGAGCTATTCAGCACGCGCCGGTAAGCCCTGGACGGAGAGGGATGGGATAGAGCTGAGAAAGGCACTCATGAAAGCCGTTCGTTTCTCATTTTCATTGGTAGACGAAATCTGATGCGGGTATAAAGGTCAAGGCCAAATACATGATTCATGACGTTCGGCAGCACACAGTGAAGTTCACTCGTGCCGGTATCAGCAGGTTGGGTTATTCTCCGAACTTGAACAGACCCCCGTTCATACGATTCGGCATGTAGGTGCAAACTGGTCATTGAAAAGATGCGCCCCTCCAACAGAAATGGAAAGTGGATGAAGACCTTGTGCGACCACATACGGAACGATTTCCTTCTCCCCGTTGACATGTCCCCGAAAAAGGTGTGTCAGACGCTATAACTTTAAGACCATTGCCCAGACTAACGATCGGTTTTATCTAGGCGAAAGAATATGCCATCAAGGCACAGGTCGAGCTGATGGATTACGAAGAAAGGGACGAGGAGACGACGGAAAGGGATGACGCTGTTACCACCTCGTACGCTACGCCATTCATTCCCAATGACCATTGTATGCTGATGTCCGTGCAGGCCTTCCCCGCTTTCACTCGCGCGTACTGAGACGCAATGTCGCACGCCCCGTGCTGTCCCCTCTCTGGCATATGCGACTCCGGAATCCAATCCGCGACTGCAGCGCGCCGCCCTTACCCGCGTTCCGACCCAGACGTTTACTCCGCCCCCAGATGGGAGCCCGTCACCGCTTGTGCGAGATCGATCCTTACCTGATGGCCATGATGACGACTCGATGGATGTTGACCATCACTCGGTCGGTAGTGGAAGCGTCCTACCCATGCCCGCTTTTACATCTGCCGAGGTTGTTCGTTGTGATGGTGCTCCGGTGAGCGCCCCGTTTCATCCAGCGACGTTGGTTCCTTAGACTAAATAGGATGATCTGTCTAGCCTCCGTGCGACAACTGTTCTTCGATCCAGTCTGCTCTCGACAATCAAAGTCAACAAATCGATGAACTCAGGAGGGAGCACAGCGAGAAGGACAGGAAGATCGCACGGTATACACAGGACCTTCGCCAAACCGAAATGCGAGTGCAAGAGCTGGAAAAGAAACTGAACGTTGTAGACGAACAGCTCGTCAAGTTGCAACCAGACACTCCGGGCATTATCAGCATAATCACTCGCTTCCTCGAGCGCAGGAAGATTGCTGACGACACCGATGCAGCGCGAGAGGCCGAAATTCAGCGACTGACGCACGAGCGAGAAGACGTCTGTAGACAGCTTGAGGAGGCCCACGCTACAATCGAGAAGTGGAAGAAATGGAAGATACGCGTGTTCAGCGAACCGGATCCATGAAGATTATATGGGCATTGCACGATCTCGACATGGGGACTAAGAAAGTTTTGTTGATGATGGACACCGACTTGTCGTTGAATAATGTATTGACATGTTGTCTCGTAATGCACCTGTAATCAGTCGAGGAGACAGTCGAGATAGCACTTGAATCACCATGAGCGCGGACCTAATACGAATTTGTGATACCATTACTCTGTCCAGTGCTTTCAAGGTATATAGTGATATAACGATACACGCGGTGTTAGAGAAAGTGGACCCAAGTATACACCCATTCCTTATGTGTCCCCGATATAAGTGATAAATGCGCAGAATAAATGAACACACGAGCGCTAACATGGACATCTCATACTATTAGCATGAATCATCATTGTGCCTCCTATAATGGATCATGATAAATAAAGTGCATGCTGCGCCGCTTGGGATTCAGCATGACGAAGTCGTTCGGGTTGATTGACATGCGATTCGACGTCTTGTTGCGAGCAGCTCTGGTAACGCACTTCCACGCATGTACGATGGCTCGCTCCATCATCTGAGCGCAAGAAGGACGCGAAGAGCTCGACCTGCGCATAAAATAATAAGATTGGGGGTATGCAGGAGGAAATGAAATAGATCCACCGTTGCTTGCGCTGCGTGGAGGTAGAGATGTGTTTATAAGGGGCGGATTGGTAATGATTGACCATGATGATAGGGTCACGTAGTGTTTAGCGTGATTATGCCAAGAATATGCAAGCACAAGTTGTGCAGACGCTCGCCCCAGACGAATGAGACGGAGAGTGCAATAAAGATAGTGCAAAAGCTTCAAATGGTGGTGAGGAAATCTCAGTGAGGACCAGAGCCTGAGTTAACGGGGCCACATATTCAAATAATTTATAGCGGATGGGGTCTCCAGAAGGAACAATGCATTTGCTTGATGAAGTACCTTGTCCATTGTCGCGAAGGCTCTTGAGCAAGCTGAACAATGTACTTACCAGAAGGAACAATGAACAACGTGGCCTTGAACCACGTGATCCATTCAGTGAGCCCTCCAGGACCACGTCGCCGAGGTCGGTAGTTGGATTGGTGTAAGTTGTAACCGCGGTAGATTTGCAACAAGGATGATTGCATCGATAGTAGTACCGTGTTGATGCTATGCATGATATGTTACTTTACAACACGCCATCGTTGGAAGGTACCACCACATATGGGTGGTCCTTCAATGCACAGCGGCATTTTCAATCTCGTACACTCCATCGTTGCAACTTGCTGTATCTTCGCCACGTTCGCCACTACCCCAGCTCTTTGAGAGCTTCCTGCACTTGCTATGGACTCTGAACTGTACCTCGTCAAGCAGCAATTCACACTAGGCACTTGGAACCCTTTCGTACGGGCTGCTACCTTCTGACTTCATTCCGGCAGGGGCATACAAGTCTCTGGTGGACTCCCCACTTCCGGACGCATCGTCACCGGATTACCACCAATCCGTACTATATCACGCACGCGCACACATCGCTCTTAGCAACCCTGGTGCCGTAGCCCGCCTTGTCTCTCCAGGCGAGGAGAATGTTGCATTGAAGGCCGTATCGGCGCTCGCGCGATATGTTGCCGCAGAAGACGAATCGGAGAAAGAGGAAGTGCTAGAGCAGCTTCGAGATCTCTGCGTCGAGATTGAAGAGGGAGAAGACTCGGAGGAAGACAAGGGTATCGTTCGCGTTCTTGCTGGTACAGCTTTCATCAGGGCTGGGGAGACGGAAGAGGCTCTGGAGACATTGGGTGTCGGCACAGATGCACATAACTTGGAAGCGTGAGTTCGCCATAAGAGCTGCGGTGACATGTCCATAATATTGCTTTCAGGACATCCCTCATTGTCTACGTCTACCTATCTATCAACAGGCCTGACCTTGCCAGGAAAGAGTTCGACCGTGCCAAAGATTGGGCAGAAGACGACCTCCTCCTGCAGTCCATTGAGTCTTCCATAGGACTTGTCACTGGGAGGGACTCCTACTCTGATCCACACTCGTTCTTTACCGAACAAATTGCTAACCCAACTGTCACCTCGCCGCACTTACTCACCGCCCGCGGCATTACGCGGCTGTTACGTGGCGAAATCGCGGAGGCAAGATCGGACCTCGAAGAGTCGCTCTCCCATGGATCAAATGCTGAGACTCTGGCAGCGTCTGTCGTGGCAGCTGGTTTGGGGGCAAAGAAGACTGATGTGTCGGACCCCTGGAGGTGCGTCCCAAGGTCGATGTACAGTTCGAGGTACGCACTGACATGTCGCCAGTCGACTTACCAGCGAATATCCGAGTCATCCCCTTATTGCCGACCTCGAGAAGAAAGCGGAGGAATTCGATCAGTTCTCGACACAATTTTCGGTCCCGCCTTTGGCTGTAGGAGTTTGATTGTTGCGGTGCCTGCAATATTATAGTATAGGACAGTATCATGAAGGAATGGAGCACTGAGGCAACACGGCATATCTCATTCACCATCTATACATGTCCTCGTATTCAACGGTGTGGATGACCTCCTCCAGATGCTGTTGCTTTGCAGGCGTCATACCTGGTGAGACGCCGAGTTTCAACGTCTGCAATGGCGAGCCCTGGGACAGGCGATGCCTGAAGCACTCGTGTGCAAGAGGCAAAGCCACATCATCCATCTCCAAGCCCTCCATGCTCAAGGTCTCCAGTTTTGGACAAACCACGTCCTGATCTTCATGCGGAGTTCCTGGACCCGATCTTTGTAATGCCCGAAACAGGGATAAGGGGCTTTCAGAGAAACCGGACACCTCCAACTCCCTGAGCGGGAACCGGGCAAGGACGTCAACCCAGTCGCAATCGTCAATGCACGGCGACGAGTTCGCCACTTGAAGTCGCGTGAGGCGGGGAAGAGCGAAGACTTCGCCCAATTCGATGAACCACGCGCGCGGATCCAGGGCTCCGAGGAATTCGTCTGGCCAGACTTCCAGGATGAAGTTGTCGCGTCCGTCCGCGGTCTTGCCTAACAGCGAGATCGCCGTGCCAGCTTCGCACTTGAATTCCAAGTATGCTATTTCGGACAAAGATTGAAGTCCGCTGCAATCTCGGGGGAGCACGGAGGAGAAAGTGGGTGTGCTGATATCTGCACAGCAGGAAAGCGAGATACTCGTGGTTGGAGGTACGATCATGTGGGAAAGGACGTATGCCGTGTCGGCTGCTCGATTGTTGAGTGTGATTTCGGTGAGATTAGGCATGCTCACGGGCTTGGCAGGAATCAACGCTATGCATCCCTTGTCTGGGCATCGTGGTCCAGCGGATGTGAGCACGAGGCGACGGAGGCCAGGGGAGCTCCCGAGCATGGCCAGGAATTCTTCGATGGAAGGTACCGCATCATCATGCTGTCCGATGAGCTCCAGGTCCACCAAATGACGATACATGGGTACTGTCCAGGGGATAGAGACGTGGTCCAGGTATAGCTGTCGGAGTGAAGGCGCGTTCCCGCCAAATAGGTCTTTCACGAGCATCGGCGTGCTTGGCATTCGCCGACCATAGTGTAGCGAGAGACAAAGTCGCTCCAGTAGCGGCGCGGGGGACTTCAACATCGAGACGAGGATCTCCATGCTTGTCCATCTGACGGCGAACCTGAGCATTCTTATCCGCTTCAAGTGAGGTTCGAGCAGATTGACGATGGAGTTCATCTTCTCCGGCGTGGCGTCATGGCGCAGGAAAGTATCAAGGGGGGCTTGGCGGGAACGGATTAAGAACTCGCGAGCAAGTGTCCGGTTCGCCAAGTCAATGGTCGACCACAGTGTTGGAGCCCCGAGGGAGACCGTGCGCCAACGTGAACACACGCCTGAGGTCAGAAGCCGATCCGCGTAGCGGTTGTAGGACTGGCTCTGAAAACATTGGCTGATGAAGATGTGGAAAATTTCGAGGAGGATTTCATCCGGCAAAACGTGGATCGCGGCTTTGGAGTTTCGGTTGCTTTTCAGCGCACGCAGTATGCCTTCGAAGTGTCCGATTGCGGTATCGATCCATTGGCGAGCATCCCGACGAGGTAGCCGTTCGACGGAAGCGGGAACCGTGAACGACGGAAGCAGCTTGAGATCACCTGGTTTCTCGGTCATGACGCTATATTGGGACTACCACGATGTTTCCTTCCCGTCTCTGCAAGGATATAATCAAGGATACGTAACAATCGTAGCCAGTGTCAACTCGACCTTACATGTTTCCTACAGGCTCGGGCCTGAGGTGGTATAGCCTGAGGTTGAGAGAGAGCAAGACTAGTGATGTCAGCTGATGGTAAACGTGTTTATTCCAGCGGACATATTCTGACAACGCCCTTCAGTTCTTACGTCTTGGTATTTGCATCTCACTTGCCCGCTCCTCACCATGCACACGCTGAGTATGAAATGCATGCATTGGGGGTACGACGCCCTTACGAGTAAGGCGCGCCGCGACTGTCCCGATTAGGAAATAGGGCGGGACTGGCCACAATGGGGCGCACCGGGTTCCCACGAACAATGGGCCAGTCCGCTAACCTCGTGGCTGTGCTGACAATAGGGCTTCCCCCGACAATGGGTTCGCGCGCCTTTGTGCGGATGCTCAAAGACGTTGAAATGACCACTTCTCGTCTTCATCTGCGACTACCGCTATCCTCTCGCCCATGGGCGACGAACTCATCAAACCATCGCGGGCAGCGCCCAACGCTAGCCCAAAACCGACTCTCTTCTCATTCCTCGACAGACGCGACGTCTTGCTTTACGTTCTACCTGCTATCCTCACCTCGATACTGGCGGGCGCTGTGGCCCCGTTCATGACATTGACCGTCGGACAATCATTTGACGCTTTTGCCAACTTCCCACTCACCCCAAATCCACCGTCTTCGGCCAAGCACAAGCTTCTCCACGATGTTGGCATCGCTGCCCTCGAACTCCTCGGGTTGGCGGCTGCTGCACTCGTTCTTACCAGCTTAACCTCTTGCCTATGGGTCTGTGCGGCGGAGCGCAATGTCATGTCGCTTCGCAAACGCGTATATGCTGCCGTTGTGCGCAAGGAAATGGCTTGGTTTGACTCTCACATGACCACCGACGAAACCGCCGAAGTGGTCGGCGCTGGTGGTCTCATGGCCCAGTTCACTAAGTGCGTATTGCCATCGCCTATAACTGATATCTCGACCTGATAGGTCTGCACAGGGAAACCGACGACGTTCGTCAAGCTATTGCGACCGCGTCTGGCTACATCGTTCAATACCTCACCACAACCATCGCTGCGCTAGCCATCGCATTTGACCGCTCCTGGTCGCTCACCCTCGTCCTCCTTGCCCCCGTACCTGTCCTCGTCTTCATCACCGGTCTTTCGCAAGGCATTTGCGCCCCCCTTTTCGCCGCCGAGCGGGAGCAGACCGCATCCGCCGCGTCGCTCGTAGATCGTGCCTCATCTGCTATCGCTACTGTCAAAGCCTTCAACGCGCAGAAGCGCGAACTTCTCTCCCTCGAGAAGGTGCTCGCACGTATCGGTGGCACCGTGCGACGGAGCAACGCCGTCTGGGGCGCAACGCTCGGCGCGAGCCAGTTCGTAGCCATGTCCATGTTCGTTGGCGCCTTTTGGTTTGGGAGCAGGCTGGTTCGTGACGGCGATGCGAGCCCAGGGGACGTCATGGCTGTTTTCTGGGCATGCCTGATCGCCACCGGCAACCTGCAACTTGCGATGCCGTACCTAGGTGTCGTCGCCAAGGGCCAGTCGTCCGTCGTATCCTTGGTCGCTCTCGCGGACGACGCTGCGTTCAAGTCCACACGCCCGCTTCGCGGGATTGTGCCCGACGCCTGCCTTGGGGAGATGAACCTATCGCACGTCACATTCGCATATCCCTCCCGACCTGAGGATCCCGTGCTCCACGACGTGTCCATCTACATTCCGGCTCGCGAGACGACCTTCATCGTCGGTGGCTCTGGTTCTGGAAAGTCGACCATTGCCCAGCTCCTTCTGAGGATGTATACGCCACAAAGCGGAAGCGTATCTCTGGATGAGCAAGATATGCGTTACCTCGACGATGTATGGGCCAGGGAGCACGTTGCAGCTGTTTCTCAGGCTGCTGCGGTATTCGAGGGCTCTATCCGGGAGAACATCGCCCTGGGTAAGGCCGGACGCGGAGAGGCTACCATGGCTGAGGTAGAGGATGCTTGCAGAATGGCGTTATTGGAGGAGTTCGTCAGAGACCTGCCGGAGGGCTACGAGACTCGTGTTGGCAATGGCGGAACAGCGCTCAGTGGCGGGCAAAAGCAACGCCTTGCGATCGCCCGCGCACGATTACGGGACCCAACGGTGCTCATTCTCGGTTAGTTTCAAAATATCCCTGCCTTTCGATCCAATGGCTGAACGAATTCTTAGATGAGGCGACTTCAGCTCTGGATGCCATGTCCCGCGTACTGGTCTTCGAGGCTATCAAGGCTTGGCGCCGGAACAAGACGACGATTGTTATCACCCACGACATCTCCCAGATTCTCATGGATGACTTTGTCTACGTTCTCAAAGACGGTCATCTCGTCCAGCAAGGATACCGTGCCGACCTTGAGAAGTACGAGGGCGAATTCCAGAGCTTGCTGCAGACCCAAGAAGTCACCGGCGGATTCATGCCTGTCATGTTGCTCGAAGAGGTTGAAGAGAAGCAAGTTGCGGAAGTACAAGCTGCGTTCGATGACGTCCTGGAGGAGGAGACGAAGGACGAGGAGAAGCTCATCAAGCATCACAGCATCATGCCGCTCCGCCCACTGACGACGATCAATCTGACTTCTTTCGCTACGTTCAAGGTCGCTGAGGAGATTCCGGAGGTGCCCAAGAAAACGATCGACGTGATCGTGCCCTCGTTCCCAGCCCCTGCTCTTGCTCCCGACTTCGTGAAACGCCCAACAAGCTTTTCTCCTGCATCTTCAAACTTTTTGGCATTCGCTCGCCCTTCGATCTATATCGAAGATGACGACGAGTTCGAGATGGAGAAGCACGCGGTGAAACGGACTGGCACCGTCGTTTCCGAACGGCGCGGACCTCAGCAAGTCAAGAGCCCACGCAAGCGCTGGGACAATCCACCTCTTCCTGAGCTCGCCTCGGTCGAAGTCGACGTCCCGCTTCGAGGAGTTGAGAAGGAAGATGTCCAGATGACGCTGTCCCGAATCGCGCAAGTCGTCTGGTGGACGATCCCGCACAAGCCCCTCCTCCTCCTTGGTCTTGCTTTATGTCTCGTCAACGGCGCAATGACGCCCATCTTCTCATTCCTCTTATCGAAGCTCATGTTCGAGGTTTCCATTGGTGCCAAGAACATTGCCACTGTCAACACCTACGGTGGTATCGTCCTCGCCGTTACGGCGCTGGATGGAGTGGTGATCGCAGTGAAGTACGTCATCCTCGAAGGTCTCGCGATGAGCTGGGTCAACTCCCTTCGCCAATCCTCCTATGCGAGGGCCCTCGCGCAGGACAAGAAGTGGTTCGACAAACCGGAGAACGCGCCTGTGCGGCTTGTACAGATCTTGATCAAGGACGGCGACGACGCACGAGCTCTCATCGCAACTGTCGTTGGCCAGATCCTCGTAGTTGCAACTATGATGAGCGTCGGCTTGATATGGGCCGTAGCGATGGGATGGCAGTTGACGCTCGTGGGGTTGGCGATTGCGCCGGTGTTTGTGGGTTGTATGGCCGTGCAAGCTCGATTGGTAGCCAAGTGTGAGTTGCGAAACAAGAGGGCGAAGGAGGATGTCGCGAAGGTGTACTACGACGTACGTAACCGCTTTTCGAAGCCCCTTGGGACTATTAGGACTAGGACTGATAACCTGTTGCCTTATAGGCGATATCCAACATCCGCGGAATCCGGGCGATGGCCTTCGAGAACGCGTTTCAATCACGTTTCGATAGCGCTGCTAGCACAGCATTGTCTGCGGGCGTGCGAGGTGCTTTCTTCGAAGGGTGCAGCATGGGCGTCTCCAGCGCGCTCATTTACCTGGCCGAAGCGCTCTTGTTCTACGTCGGCGCTGTCCTCATTGCCAACGGAACCTACAACTACCTGCGCATGGTCGAGACCCTCAATCTCATTGTGTTCTCGGTGACGATCGGCGGACAGATGATGGCTTTCGGTATGCTCAATAACCGTCATCGTACATTATCAATAGTTGACAATGCATATCCCAGGTGACAAGATTGCTAAATCTCTCCAAGCCACCCGCGACTTTCACAGGCTCTTGGAGCTCGATACCGAGAGCGACGAGTCGATGGGTACCCTTCTACCCCCGATCCGTGGGCCTATCACTCTCTCCAACATCTCCTTCTCATATCCGGAGCGTTCCGATGCACCCGTGCTTCGCGACATGAACCTGCACATCAAGGAGGACGAATGTGTCGCCATTGTCGGCGCTTCGGGCTGCGGGAAGAGCACGGTCGCGGCCCTGCTTCAACGCCTTTATGAGCCGGATTCGGGTGACATATCTGTTGGACCCTACAAGTTGCAGGGTACGAACGTCGGCCACCTTCGCAACCACATTTCGGTCGTCAGCCAGAATCCCAACCTCTTCGACGCTTCCGTGGCAGAAAATATCGCTTACGGCAACGAATCTATCAGTCCTTACGATATTCGATGCGCCGCCGAGGCCGCGAACGTGCACGACTTCATCCTCTCCCTGCCCAAAGGCTACGATACCGCGGTCGGCGAGAACGCCGCGCTCATTTCGGGTGGTCAGGCGCAACGCATTCAGATCGCTCGTGCACTTGCGCGCCCCTCCAGCATTCTCATTCTCGATGAATGCACCTCCGCACTTGATTCCGAGAACCAGCGCGCGGTTATGGACGCCGTGCGCCACGCCAAAGTTGGTCGGACGACGCTCATAATCACCCACAAGCTTCCGTTGATGAAAATGTGCGACCGCATCGTCGTCCTCAAGGATGGCAGGATCGCGGAAGAGGGCTCGTACGAGCAACTCATGGAACGACATGGCGCCTTCACTCAACTGGCAAGCGGAGGCGAATGGGATGCATGAACTCCTTGCCCATTTCTTTCGCCGCAATTGCTGGCTATGGTTCTTGACTCATTTTACACCATCTCCGAGGCTGTTCCCGGCTATTTATACCATTCGAACTGTAATGCTTTCTGCACCTCTGGACCCTGCCTCCACACTGTAACAACAACGCAATCTCGTAGTAACATATTCAATGTATTTCTAAGTCGAATAGAAAACCAGTATACAATAATCATCCATTAATGCGTAAATAACTCAATGCAAACTTGACCAAGCACTGGTCGTCCATCTGCCTGGAACTGGGCACGGCTTGCGGTTGATGCTTCACAAGCTTCACACTCTCGAGGATACGTCGTTCCGGGCCTCGTCAAAGTTTTGAACTCTTGCAAATCTATGCGCCGTCCTTGTAACGCTAGTCACGGCGGGGGCATTGGGTCCCGCCCCTCGCTAGCGCTGATACCGCTGTGCGAGCATTCCGGGAGCCGTAATCTGCTAGATTTGGATGAAGTATCCATCGCTCAAGCTCGGCACATAACGGACCTTATCTACATTGACCAATTGGCGTCCTTGACTCCGGAGTCTCGACTTGACGTATCATACCCTGGAATTGCATTCTCCAAACGTGCTCCACTGCCTAGTTCTCGGGAGGTGAAGCCCGATACCACAATATCGCTTCTATGATCCATGTGGGTGTCGAAGATCTTCCTCCCAGTTTGAATTCTTCGCCCTTTCTCGCTGTGCGTTTTGCCGTGCGTGTGTATAATGAGGGGCTTCGCTATCTTCCGGACTCCGAACGTCGGGTGCGATAAGATCCTTGACGACGCCCTTGGCTCTCGAGATGAGATCGGGGAGCCGGTCGGGAACTGGCTGGCCGTTTGTGGCCGTGCTTATGTAGTCGTGTGTAACAAGAATTAATGATGCAAGTTGTACGCAAAGACGACAAATCCACGACAGAGCTACTTACGCCGGGACCGAGCGTTTGCAAAGCCCAGGCGCTCAAGGATCCTCGCATACGCAACACTGTAGGTATCAGGATACCCATCGCAGCAAATCCCGACTGTCGTGTCAAACGCGCGGTCATCGCGCAGCCGAAGATCTAGCGTTAGGCCGAACTGCTTCGCACGCGCTGGGGCAGATACTAACGTGCAATGAATTGAGGAAACAATGATTACTGTATGGGTCTATCTATAGTCGAGGATCGAGTCTATGTATCAAGTTATACAGGACAACACCGGCTTCAGTTCGGTATATCTGGCTCGGTTCCGCAACTGGCTCGAACCTTCCAAACCGAAGAAGCATTGCATTACACCAAAGAAATATGCACAATACCACACACCAGAATGACAGCGACAGCACAAGCCTGTAAGATGTGCACGAGCAAGCTCGTTCGAGTACTAATCCCTCAAGCGGACTTCGGGAGGACGAGCTTCGGGGACTGAGAGCGAGAGTTGGCAGCGGTTACTGTCCGTGAACTCATTACAGTGGAACGAGGATGTATAAACGAGGGGTGTATCTTCACGAGATGAGAGGGACTAGCCGACGTCATGCAGACTGGGCACCGTCGGCTCTGGCGTAACGCGGACGTGATGCATCTATGAAACACTTTTAGATACCGCGCGAATCGGACACATAAGGAACGACGTACTGTTCACAGAAGCAATGGCCGCAGCGGGTCGTCGCAGGCCGCTTGGGGAAGCGAGCACATAGGGGACACGCCAGTCGCATGCTACCGACTCTCGGAGTGGAGTGCCCTGTGACGAGGCCCTTGGGCAAGCGGGAGCCGATGAATGTCTTGTCTTCTAACGGGCTCGCCGGCCATCCGACGTAAACAGTACCCTCTTCGGCGATTTCGCCCGAAGTGAGGAGACTATGCTCCAAAAGCATGGAGTAGTCGCCCATGCTGGCGCCAGAAAGTAACCGACTACCGGCGCGAAGGGAGCATCTATTGATGTTTATTAGTTCAAGGACGATCAATATACCACGAACAGAACGTACCCGTCGCCAATCCGCAGTGCATTCAGGGCGAACTTGCCTCGCGAGTTGATGTGCGCGACGACAGAGCAGTCGTCGAGAGCAACATCGTCGCCCAACTCCACCAGATCCGGTTCCGTCATGAGACCGATCTTACCACCAGCCCAAATCGCGCAGTTCTTGCCGATGGAAGCTCCGAGTGCCCGGTAGTACCAGACGATGTACGCGGACCCGGCCAAGGGAGCCAGAACGCCTCCGTTCCCGTAGCCACGGCTCAGCGGACGACTGAGCGTAAGGTGAAGTTGCCAACGCTGACAGTACGAGCTCTTGTCCCATTCGCAAGGCCCAGGGCGACGGCGACCAATGATGAGCCACTTGGTACCGATGACCCAAGCCATCGCAATCAAGGCTTGGACGAACAAGACGACGACGAAGAAGCCCGAGATCAGGCCGAAAAGGACGGCCACGCGGTACCAGTGAGGCGCGAAAAGATGGAGCCCAGGGGCGTGGACGCGAAGGAGGCGAAGGAATTGGGCCGCCGCAACAGCTGGTAACGACCAGAAAGCGGCAGAAAGAGCGGTGACGAGGAAGTGAATGACGACCAAAACGAAGTATGGCAAGACGAAGAAATTGGCCTGGCGTTCATAGAAAGCTCGGCCGAAGGGTGTAGTGGTATCTTCGTGATCCACGTTCTTCCCGCCGCTGAAGCAGACGGCCTCGCCATTCTCGTTCCCCATCCATGTCGAACCGTCAGGGTAGACGCCACCGCGCTTTCCAAGACTGCCCGAACCCATGACGGTCTTGCGACCGACCGAGGTAGACGGCAGCAAGACCACGCGATCCGCGATCATGGCTCCTGAACCGACGGTGATCTTGCCAGTACCCAGTGCGTCCGTCGTGAATAGCTCAGAGCGTGAGCCAAAGACGACATCGTCTCCGATCTCGAGCAGCTCCGGGTCGGGACAGTAGACACCGCTCCCCGGCCAGTACACCCGCTTTCCAACCTTCGCGCCCATTGCGCGGAAGATCATCGAGGTCGCCTCGTAGTGAGTCCCAAGAACATCGAAGGCGCGCTTGAGAGCATATTGGGAGAGTAGTGAGGCGTTGATGTACCTGCGCAGCAAAGACCACTGAGATGCGTCTGCGGCGGAATGCTCGGTCGTGAGGCCCATGATTCGCTTTATCATGATGCCGAGCAAGACCTGGATCAAAGGCGAGAAAACTGCGCGGATGACCCGGGCGAGTACGTGCCACATGATTCGCTCGGGAGTCGCGAACCATTCGATCACCGCCTCGACAGGCCAGAGACCCTGAATGGTAAGGTCCGTGTTCACAAACATGAGGAACAGAATCGCGAGCCAAGGGACATATGATACAAGAGTGACAAGGACGATGATCGGCCATGCGACGAAGAGCTGGAGAAGCACGTGGGGCTGGCGGTGAAGGCTACGATTCGAGTTCGAATGGGAGCCGGATAGCGAAGGTTCGTGAGACGAAGAATGAGGACCACAGACGGCATCGTCCGCTATGACCGCGCCAGGGGAAATCTGAGTGTAAGTGTTGACGACTGCCCGGCGCCCAATGGTGACGTAGTCGAGACGCATGTAGCCGTCTCGTTCGACGCAGAAGCCGCGGAGGAGCGAGCGGTCGATGCGAGCATCGTCACCTATGTGGATCAAGTCGAATTCGCCGAGTTTCGCGCCGTTGTCAATCTTGACGTTCCTGCCGATCTTAGCGCCGAGCAGGCGGTAGTACAGCAGCTCCAACGACGGGTGAACTGCGAAGACGCCACGACCTGCCGACCTGAGAGATTGGTTCACGATCCACCACCGCAGGTGATACATGCTCCACATGCGATAGCGTCCGGGCTGCGAAGAAAATGGAGTCAGTTACACGAACATGCGTTGAGCCAAAAAGCAACGTACTCTGTATCTGCCGATGACAAGCCATTTGAACAGGATAGCGGCGACAGGGGAGACGATGCGGGAAGAAAGGCGTGCGGCGACGATGGCAGCGAGTAAGGAGCCGACCCTCTGCCAGTAGCTGTCGGAAATCACGTTGACGACCAGAGACAGGCAGAAGAGGATCATTGTCCACGTCCAGGCGGCTTTCAGCGGGTAAAAGAACAACACGGGGATGATCTGGATGAGAAGCGAGAGCGGATGATTCTGGCCCCGTGGGCGGTCCTCGTACTCCGACCCGTATCCCAGAGTCGGAGCGTCGTAGCTGACTATGCTCTCCGGGTACTTCTCCACCTTCTCGGCGAGAGTACTGTTCGACTCATCGACTACGAGCAAGGATGCGATGCCGTTGATCGTGCTGTGCGTGAAGAGGTCCGACACCTTCAGGTTATTACCCGTTTCCTTGCGGATGAAGTGTGCCAAACGGCCCAGCAGCAGGGAATTGCCTCCAAGGAGGAAGAAGTCGGAATCGCCGATGATAGTCGCTGCGTCCTTACCAAGCAAGTTCGCGACGATGTCACGAACGGTGAGTGCGTTGGGGGACATGGCGGATGCGTTCTGCGATTTGATCTCTTCTTCCATGGCATGGAAGTCGACCGTAGCGCCAATCTTGGCGAGTGGCTTGTGAAGGACATAGAGAGGATCGGGCACGCAGTAGCCAGGCAAAGCGGCGAGAAGAGCCGTCTTGATGCCGCTGGATGTCAGGTCGGAAGCAGCCTGGACGGACACAAAAGCTTCCAGCGAATGGTCGGCGTTAAAACGGACGGCAACGTCATTGACGCCAATGACACCGGTGACAGCTCGTTCTATACCCTGGATGTCGACAGCCACCCTCGAGCAGGGAATAGGTTCGCTGAGAGCGGAGTTCTTGTCGGGGACGGCCGCGGAGAAGTGGCGATGAAGGGCGGGAACGCCGTCGTTCAGACACCCGATACCAAGGCGTTGCGCGAGCTTTATACGCAAGGGCTTGCCAGCGTTGTTCTTCGGCAGGTCTTCCATGTATACGATGGCGAAGGGCCACTTGGACGGGTGAAGGTGATCCCGGAGCAAGTCGAGGAGCTCCGCGAGGCTGATGCGAGGCTGACCGGGAACGGACACAATGACCAGACCGATGGTCTCCTGGAGCACGTCGTGCTCGACAGAGAATGCGAGCGTGGTCTTGACGCGATCCCTGGCGACGGTGATAACCGCTTCCTCGATTTCGAAGGGAGAAATGACCTCGCCACCCTTGTTGATGATCTCCTTCGAACGACCCGAGATGAAAAGATAGCCGTCCTCGTCCATGGACCCCATATCGCCCGAGTCGAACCATCCTTCGCTGGAGAACATCGAGGTATCCAGGGGAGCACCCAGAGAGGTCTCGTAACCCTCGAAGGTAGGGAGGCCACGGACGCACACCGCTCCATAACCCCCTCGCGGTAATTCACGCTCGAGGTTGTTGGGGTCGCGGATGGACATATAAGGGCCGCATGCGATACCCGAGCATCCCGGTCTGTCGAGTTGGTATGAAGTAGGCGGAGACGCTATAGGCATGCATTCTGGTAATGTCGGTTAGCTACAAGCGCGAGCAAGACAAACAGCAAGCGTACCTGTCATCCCATATGACGGGAGAACAGCAGCGCCGCTGAAGGTCTCCTTCAACTGGACAGCGAGGGCCGGAAGAAGACCGCCCGCAGCGTTGCAGATCATTCGGATTCGCGTATCCCGAGAGGGTAAGATATCCGGGGGTTGCGCAGACAGAATAGCGTGGTGCATAGTGGGCGCCGCGTAGTACCTGCTCAACGTCAGCGATGATCAGCAACGATAGCGGAGGGACCGTACCATGTTGCTCCGAGGCCCGTTGCGAGGCCCCAGAATTCCGTGGCGTCGAACCCGGTGGCGATAATCGCGCTGCCTCCGGATACAATGGGCGCAAAAAGATTCCGAACGATACCGCCCACATGGAAGAGCGGCATCATATTTAGGTTGACATCAGACTCCCGAAGGTCCCAGGACTTGACGACGGCCAAAGTCCCGATGATGATGGACCGAAGCGTATATCTGGAACGCGATCAGGAGAGGGCAGCAACGACGCGTCTACAGCCACTTACGGGACCACCTTCTTCTTCCCGCTCGTTCCGGAGGTATGGAGGACCAGTGATTGATCGTACAGGCCGTGAGGCTTGGATGGTGATCTCGGGACGCCCACCCAGCCGCTCGCCTCATCCATGACGGACATATCAAACAGACCCGGCGGCCCCGAGGCACGGGGCTCGACGTAGATAACCTCGCACCCGAGATGGTCGCGTAGTTCTCGTAGCTCAAGACGCTCTGCCGCATCGCGAGTAGCCACGACTGCACGAGCCCCTAACCGTTCTGCATCTTCTCGAAGCTCCGAAGCCGTGCAGCTGGCGTTGACCGGAGCGCATGTGTGGTATGTGGCCAGGGCGAGCAGAGCGACGGCGTTCTCGCACCCGGTAGGCAGCGCAATCATCACCCGATCATTGGGACCCAAGCGCCTCGAAGGATGCGAGGTGGGGAGGGCGAAGTGCGAGACGAAGTCGCGGAGGGCGGCATGGGTTAGCGGGGCTTGCTGGATATCGGGATACCACAGCGCGGGCTGGGACGTAGACGGTAGACAGTCCAGAAGCGTTTCGACGCGTCCGGCATCCGTGACGAGTTCGGCCAGTTGGTCTCCGAGGGAGGATCCGGATGGAGAGGGGAAGGAATGTATGAACGTCAGAGGAACGGACATCTTTTGCTCGACGCTAGCCCGGATAAAAATGAAGGGACGAGCGGGGAGCTCGATTATTACGGTCGCATCTCGCTAGACTTAAGTAGCTTAAGTACTAGCGAAGGGGGGGACGAGCTGTGTTTCCACCCATCGTCGGACAGGCTGGGTCCGAGAAGTTTCCAATAAAATTGCCGAGCGCCAGAGAACGTACCCTAGGATTGGTGTGTCACGATCGCTGTGATGCCGGTAACAACCAAGCGGTAAGCAGGCTTCTATCGGTGCAAGTCTGCTTCTTTGACAGAAGCAGTGGAATTTGCACAGGTCACGTGCGCCGGACGAGCTCGTCACGGCTGTACCGGTCCACGATTCGGCGCAAGGGCGGCCATTGCGAGGCATAATGAGTATCCGGTGGGCACATCCAAGAGAGCAATGCGCTTGCCATGTCTTCAAAGCGGAAGACCTTGCGGGCCCGTGGCATATAGTCGGAGCCAAAGGATGGCCGCCGGTCAGTGTTCCGCTTTCCCGCGCATCAAGGAGTTTCGCATGCGACGACCGCTCGCGGACGCGATGATGGGCATCCACTCGGCGCTGCCGTATCTCGCACGGCCCAACGCAATCTCGACCAAATGGCAACGCAAGATGTGCTATGCGCGTCTCGGTCCGCAGCCTTGACAGTGCTAACCCATCAAATCGGGGCCCGGATAGCGGGCGATCCTACACGTTATTGGCATCTCCGATATGTAGTGTGAATGACCCGTCGTGGCGTTCATAAAAAACGTAAGTGTATCTGGCGTCAACGAGACAGTTAACGTCCGAGGCAGCTTCTCTGCGACGGGAGAGCGGGGATAGAAACGGTAGCGATACAATCGCGGAACTTGGTGGATCGTGCGGTCATAGCCTTGGCTTGCGTATTTCCGACGGGGGAAGCCGAGTTCTGAGGCCTGAGGACGGGCTTATTAGCCAACGTGACTCTCTATTGGTTGAGCGAGGTTATCAGTCCCATGCAGCTCGTCCTTTTTGTCACGGTGCTGCGTCGCCCTGGCGGGCTCTGGGAATGGACGCCTGCTGTGCATTGGAGACTTTCCGCGGTCGGCATCTGCTAATGGTTTTGTCAAGACAATCAATTTCCTTATCAGCGCACAACGATGTCAAAGCCCTTACACACGATCTGACATCGCCGTCGATCGCCACCAGCGCGCTCCAGACGAGAGGAAAAATATCGCCGCCGAGTAGCTATCGCCGATGTCGCATTCTCCGGTGAACCCAATCAGGCAGGGAGATGTAGGACCGTATGCCAGTGGACTTCGATCCCGTTCCGTTCCATGCAGTCATGGGGATGTGGTGTGCGGAGAACACAATCGTCGAAACGGAGGGTCAGCGCGGGACTGATTGCATCCCGCGACAAAGCGATCGTAACGGGACGGGATACCCGCGCCCCGTTTCTGGCATTGAGAGCAAAGACCGAATGAAATCGCGCGTTGTCTGCTTGATACGGAATGAACGGCGGGCTGATGGTGAGAGACCAAGACACCCGCTAAACCCCGGTTATGGCGCGCCGACATCGCCACCTCTGCGCCAAGACCCCCGCGAACTAGGAACTCGCACGACGTGCACGTTCATTTTACGCGTCTTTGACCCGTTCTGGCTCGTCGTCATACCGGCCTTTTCGCTGTCAGCCACCGATCCACACGACGTGCGCGAGCTGGTGAGGCGCTTGTCGTCGATGGGCGCACCGTTCACCATTCGACTCTTGCTGCATCAGCATCTCCGAGAGTGCGGTAGCCCGGCTATCGTGTAAAGACCAGTGGCGGCGTCGTTCGCGGCTCCCAAGGACGCGCTTCGGTGTCCACGTTTGTTCGCGTCCGCGGAAGCACCTAACCTGCATCCCGACGGTTGGGCAGAGGGTGCAAACATGCAGGCTACCATGGACGCTGCCGCTTTGAAGCGTGAGTGCTCGCTGCTTGGTCTCATCGCGTGCAATGGTCCCCGGTGTTTATTTCTGACGAATCGCTGCGCAGCGTTTACTCGGGCTCTCACTTGCTTGTCAAAGTATGGCGACGATCTGAACATCTACGCTTCTCCCGATAAGCTCGCGCTGACGACGACCAATTCCTCGAGGACTGCACACACGAGCGTTACTTACGGCCGGAGGTATTTCACGCGTTATGTCATTAGCGACGACAAAAATAAAGGCAAAGGCAAAGCAAAGGCGACCGGCGATGATGCCGACGACGGCTCGGAGATCGTCGCGGGACAGCTACTGACCAAGGTGAGTCACCGCCCCGGGACCACGCCGTTGTCTCGTCTAAGCCTGCGATTTCCCAGTCGCTTCTTTCCATCCTGAAACACCGGAACGTGGAGAAGACGGTGGAGCGCTGCGAACTGTCCGTAGTGGAGGGCGCCCCACCGACACGCGCGGGCGAGGAAGCCCCCGACGACGACCACGATTCCCTCGAGAGCAAGCTTATCATCCGGCTACACTGTAAACACGGTGCGTCATATTTCGCATGCGCACCCCCTTTACTGAATGGCGAATCTTCCACACCTCTGGTAGGCATCGTGAAGACTCATCGTCTCGTCCTCCTCGTGCCGTCAGCTTACCGCGATCCGCTACAACCTGATCCCTCAATTGTATCGCGGCTTACGATAGGCCCGAGGACGGTCAGAGATATCATCGAACACTTCCCATCGGCAAAAGTCACCGGCAAGAATGACCCTCAGCTGGTGTGGCAGTTTGAGCACGATGAAGTGATTGTGAAGAGCGTCAACACCGGAGCGGACGGTAACGATGAGAATGCCGCTCGACGTCTGGGTATATGCTGACACGCATACAGGCAAAGCACAGTTGTCTACTCAGCTGATGATGACCGCGGAAGAATTCGACGTATACGATCTCTTCCAAGTCCCTGTTGCCATCGCATTCCATTTACGCGAGTTCAATGTAGGTTTTGTGTCGTGTTTCATCGATTTCCGGCTTCATGTCATATCTTCAGGCTACCATCACATTCGCCGAGTCCATGTCTTTGCCTCTGCATATACGCTTCACCGACCCCACGGACCCGCTCTTCGTCGATGTTACCGGAGATAGACTAGACATGGACGTGTCGTTCGCCATCTGCACCAGCGATTTTTCCGACACGTTGGCACAGCCCGCCACCGAGAAGAAGGCGCAGAAGCCCCAGGGCCATGCGAACGACCCCCGTGGACCGCACGAATCGAAGAAGTCCTCGTCTTCTTCTCGGGGACTCAAGCGCCCTCGGGAGGAGTCTCACTCTCGAAACGCAGACGCAGGCGCGGGATCCCGCGATGGTCTAGATGACGAGAGTGCGCGTGTTCACGGTCGAGGCGCGTCCGTCCCCGCAGTATCCGGCAGTGTGCGTAACGATCCCGCGAGGGCCGTACGAGCGGACGCGGCGGACGTCGAGAAGTCGTATGCCGTGCACGGCGCCACTTCTCAGTCGCGGCATGGCATCGCGATACAGATGTCGATGCCGCCACCGTCAATCCCTGCCCACCGTGGGCTACGCGCCGCTAGCGCGGGGCCGTCGCAGGCCCAGGAACCTCTGTTCCTGCCTGGGACGCAGTTGTCACAGGCAGAAGAGTTGGTCATACGCGAGTCTGGGCTGGGCATCCTGGACATGAACCAGGACGAGCTCGATCAAATGCTAGAAGGCGATGGCGAAGAGGTTATCAGTCACCGCTCTCGCGCTCGGACCCCGGCGCAGGAAAGTGCGGGGAGGGACGACACGACTGGGAATCTCGAAGGATTCGCGTGGCACGCGGAGTTGGGACAGGCTGACGCTGCTGACGATCTGTACATGGACGCGGGTCCCGACGCAGGCGACGATGGATCCGTCACGTCACACTGTATGCGCGTTGACGGGGACGACGTGCTGGAAGAGTCGCAGTCGGAAGCGCAACAGCCGCCCGATTCTGATGAGGAAGGGGAAACGAAGACGGTGAGCGCTGCGCGTTGGACGGGCCCGCCGCGATCGTTCGCGATTCTAATGGCATCGTGCAGGTCTTGTTTCGACCTCTGTTCGAGGACTAGTGCGCGCATGGTCTTTGTTGTTCTCGGAGACAACTCGTCCTTCTTCGCCGAGTTTCTTGTTGGCTGTCACGATCGCCACCGATGCTGTCTTGCTCTTCTTCGATGTTGTTGTTACGTTCATGCCGCGTGTATCCTTAGTGTTCCTGCCGTACAGTAGATATTCCAAACCTAAACTGACGAGGCTCCGGAATTGGACCCGTCTCCGGACAATATGCGCTATAGTGATACCTTGCGCAACCATTAGATCCTGCTAATGTGTGTGCAAAGCATGATCCAAGGGTATCCTGCGCAGAATGGGTAGAAGTACAACTGTCGAGGGAGCGCATTTCGTGACTTATTATATGCCCCATCCGCGGAAAATCTCGAGGTGAAGAATGGGATTCCATGCTTGAACCACGACGCCTCGCTTCTTGAGTGATTCAGACAGTTGTTCAGGAAGGTTTGCCATCTCGGCACCTCTATTGCGCGCTGTGTTACGAGCCCGATAACCGACGATCAACAACATGAGTTGACTGAACTCCGTGCTGTCGACTGCAAGATGTAATTTCTCATAAAAAGCCCGCATCTCTTCACTGTCCCAGGGAGGGATTATGTTCAAGATCAGTGATTCGAAGGCTTGAGATCTGAGCGTGCGCAGAGAGCGACGCATGTGCAAAACGGGTGCTTCAAACCCTTCATTGCCGCCCCCTTGTAGACGATAGACCATCGTCTTCAGAGAGCGGTTCGTTGAAAAATCAAAACATTCGCCTGAATCTGCGGCAATCCACATAGTCAGCTTGAGATGCTACGAGCTTTGCCAGGCGCGGCGCTTACAATCTGAACCGTCTTCCCCTCTTGTCACCGGTACAAAACGGAACGAGCGCACTCCTGCGCTCCGTCGCAGGAGGAAGTTGGTGACACCGACGTTCGAGACGGTCATGCGAGCCTCGATACTCAATTTCTCCAGGTTTAGAGCGACCTCTCCCTCGTCGCATAGTCGGATGATATGCTTTGCAATGCGGATACCAGATTGCCCAAAGCTATCGTTGACGTGCAAGCCTATGAGAGGAATACTGGTGGGGTTCATGATAGGAGGTGGGACTTGCTGTCCAGGTTCAAGGACGAGGCGCATATGGTCCATGCGTAGATCAAGCTGGGGCACGAGGGGAAGGGAGCGAAGGAACAGCGTGAGCTGTCCGCTGCAGACCGTGCCGCCCAGAAGCATCAGCTTGCGGAGGCCGGGAAACACTGCAAGCCCGTCCTTTATTGCAGCCCAATCAAACTTTTCTTCGAACGCCCGGTCGGGCCATTTTACGGCAAGAGAATGAACGTTCTGGAGGCATAGATGAGAAAATCTAGTCAAAATTTCGACATCAACTGCGATTCGTTTGATGTAGGATCGCAGGTGAGCAGAACCATCTAGAACGACGAGCAGGGGCCCTATAAGACTGTCTGACCGCATCCCCCTGCTGGGGACAAGATCTGAGAAAAGTTGAGACTGACTGGCCCTAACCCATCTACGGCAGGTGATTGAGCAAGCCTGTAAGGATTCTGTGTCGTCGATGCATCCGATGATCTGGTCCCATATCTCCTGTGGGATCTGGGTGGACTTCATACTCTAGCTGACCGTCGCGCAAGGATCAGGGTGGAAGTTCAACAGATGATGCAGCGTCAGCCGTTTATCCTCAGAGTCGTCATTCCGCACAGATGGATGGGCTCTCACACGTGATGAACTTAACGAGAGTCCGTTGTTGCTAGTTGCTACAATACGCGTGCTATTTATTGCTTCCTTAAACCAAAGAAATAATGCATGTGCGGATAACGATGTGGAATGAACGCGAGCCTCAAAAGGTTGTGATCGTAATTGTGGCGGGTGATGCCAGATGTCCATTGGAAGTAACAGTCCATTAAGCATCCTGGAAAATGAACAAATTCATGGTGGCGAATGAAGCTTTGAGTCCTAAACGCGGACCACTGAGTCGAATCTGAAGGAAACAAAAGAATCAGGTCCATGCTCGCACTGGAACTACAAACAGGACGGAGAATACGTTATACGTACCTAGTTGCACCCGAAGCTACGCGTTCGGAGTACGCGTCGGCACGCAGCCCAATGGAGGAGGGTCCTTTCTCCGTTCCTCAGCGTCAGCAGCTGATTGAGCGAACAGATCGCGCAGATCGTCGGACCCGGTCTTGCGCCTGACAGTACGGGGACTTCGAGTTCCACCGGGATTCATCGGGGCGAGTGCGGCTAAGGCTTCTATAAGGCTTGGCTCTGCGGTCGAAGACGCCGAGGCGGGTTCAGAGTGGCTTGACATGGCGCTGGTATTGAGTGGGCAGCGTTGAGCGTGACGAGTCGTTACAGGGAGCTTTCGTGGACGGTGATATGTACAGACGGAGGACCGGAGATAGACAGACGGTGCGCCCCAAGGAGGAAAAGGATAACCAGACTAGGTGAGTCCCTCATATATATACCTGCGCGCCAGTTGCATTGGCGCCACGGGAGTGGCGGAGCCGTCGGATGAATGGTTCTGGCTCGGAGCTGGGGACAATGCACCGACAAAGAGCGCGACTCTCTTTGTTGACAGAATGCAACGACCCTCGTGGTCGCGTTTTCTGGCGGAGGCCGAAAGGACGGTCGGTGTCGCCCGAGATCGAGAATGGAGAGTTAGCCCCTATTGACATGTTGGCTTTGAGGGTACTGATGTCATTTCTTGGGCGAAACCGACGAAACGCACGAGCCGGTCAAAGCATAAGTATGCCCAATTAAGCTAGCAGATGGGAGGGGAGGGGTGCAGCTGATTCCAGTATGGCAGAATGGTTGCTAGCGATGATGCGTATGCGGCAGAACGCAGGAGTGTCAGCGACTCCTGGTTGGCCAGCGAGTCAAGTCTTGTAGGCCTTCGGTTGGTACCAACGAGCTGCGTAGCCACATATATTGGGTAAGCAATCCCACGAGTACTTTGGGTCCACCGCCCAGCATACGCGCGTATGGATGGATGGGCCGGATGGGCACCGTGGCCCACAGATGCATGAGGAAGCTAGCAATTTTGACCGGCGGAAGGCGATATGAGATCGTGGGAAATTCAAGGGGCCAGTTTCGGGCCCTGAAAGTTACTCTATAGTACTAACTTTAACCCTTTGGCAGGTAGGTAGGTAGGTAGGTTTGAGCGAAATCTATGGATCGCCGTTCCGGCAAACTGTTCCAATTTCAAGGAAATAAGTTACCTGAGCTTGCTCTGGTATCTCCCTGCCCGTAATTAGTAAGCATCGCTAACCGTGGCTGTGCTGCACATCTAATCCCCGATTTGATTCTCCGATTCAAGTAAACGGCAAACATACATGATACATCGTCGATTCTACGCAGACTTTACCGAGTATAAGTATACATGGTTTGTTGTACTGCTACTAAACAGAATGTACGGTACGTCACATGCTTCCGAAGTTAGAATCAGATGAGTCAAGACTAGGAATGGCTGGCATGCATCCTGAGGTGCATTGATATCTATTTAGTCGTCAGGTATACACATTGAGTATACTATCGCGTCGCAAATAACACAAGGGAGGTGCAAGCGAAGGTGGATTAGCGGGAGACCGCCCTTTCCTCTAGTTGTTATTTCACTGCAAAGTCAATTCATTGCCACCCGCCACCATCTGTACCGTACGCTGGGCTTGTAAGCCTGTAAGCCTGTTATACTGACCATAGGTCGGATCAATGCGGTTATTAGCCGTTTGGTCTGCTCTGCGGTGGTTACATTCAAGAAAACATAGCCATATGCATGTGTGCATAGTGCCGACAAGGTCTAGACTGACGACAACATTGGAAGCAATGCACTATTATTGGGGTCGTCAGGAGGAGATCAGACATGCTGCTCGACGTCCAAAAGTAAGCACGCAGGGTGTTCAAGCACTCACAAAGTGGTGAGGCAATACAGTCCGGACGCAGTAAGTTACAGGATCCGATGGGAAATCCATTCGCGCCAGAGCAGGATGGCTACTTATCGGCCACGCTGGGACAGGGGAGGTGCCTGCATATACATATCTACAGCACAATGAAAATCATGTGCTCGCAGCGAGGCCCTGCAGAGCCATAGGGAGCTCGCAGGCCACTGGAGGGACCGCGTTTGTTAAGAGCGCCGCCGAGCGCTGGAGGACGGCGAACGCGGACGATCGTCATCAGCTCGGTCGCTATCTTGATCGTTGTCGCCAACTCGAACTGCCCCGTTTCAGCAGCAGCCACACGAAGGTGTGATCATGCAGTCCGACCTCAAGCACTCCCGCCGCCGCTCCCAAGTCGCCTCCACCGTCGAGTACCACCGCCCGAGCCGTGAGTCGATCTTAGAGTACAGCCAGCTCCTCGTGAGTCTCCTGCGCTCGTCGCCGTCCCCAGCCCGCTCACGCCGTCTCCAAGGCGGAAGCAAACCTCCACGCAGCGCAGGCAGCGGGCTTCAAGGACCCTTACGTCCCCATTCGCCAGGCGCCACCGCCTCCTGCCACCTCGACCACGCCCAAGACACCCGCCAAGGAGCCCCGCGTCCGCAACTCGCTGCAGAAACCGCGGCCCCGCAAGAACAGCGCGCCGTCGACGCCCCCCGTATCGGTCACCGATCGCGACCCGTTCGCTGCCCACACAAAGGACCTGCCCGATCCCGCCACCAAGCCGCACAGAGCCATGAACACCACCGTCTCGCCGCCGCCACGGCCGTCGCGCGCCAACACGGCCACGCTGCACGACATCTTCCCCACCCAGTCCACCGTCGCCCAGCGTCGCATGTCGTCGCCCACGCTCACCAGGGAAGACATCCCCTACTACGCCGATCCGTCCGAGATCCCCCACGGCGACTACAGCGGCCCTAGCGCCAGCGTGCAGAGCAGCCCCGCCCCGCCGTCCGCCGTGCCGTCGTCCGCGATCACCGCCCCGATTGCTGCCACCATCAGCTCCGGCTCCAGCGCCGGCCGCCTACGCAGCGGGACGAACAACACCAAGAACAAAAAGGGTATGCTCGGCTTCATGTCGGACTTCCTCAACACCTCCAAGCGCATCGAGATCAGCACGCCGTACGACCCCGTTCATCTGACACATGTCGGCTTCAACTCGTCGACCGGCGAGTTCACCGGCTTGCCGAAGGAGTGGCAGCAGCTGCTGCAGGAGAGCGGCATCTCCAAGTACGAGCAGGAGAAGAACCCGCAGGCTGTTATGGAGATCGTCAAGTTCTACCAGGAGGGAGTGGGCGGTGATGTATGGGACAAGATCGGCAACATGGGCACGCCCTACAGCGCGCAGCCGCAGCCCGCGACACCTGCGTCCCGGGAGGTGGATACCACATTATCGTCACCGGTGAGCACCGAACGGATGCCATTGTCGTCGTCGTCTCCGTCTGACACCACACGTCAGCGACCTGCGCCTCCTCCCCCCAAGAAGGCACAGACGCCGTCTGCGAGCCCCGCGCCGTCCGCCTACCGGCCCGCCCCCGCACCGCCGTCTGCGCCCACCACCGCTCTCGACCGCTCCACGTCGCAACGCCTACCGCCCGCCAAATCCAAGCCGAGCGAACAGCTCGAGCGCGCGCGCACGACTCGCGACCCTTCGCGCCGTCCCACCGCGCCCAACGGCGCGCCCGTGACCCCGCCGTCGGAACGTCGCGAGGAACCGCAAGCTTACAGGAGCCCACCCAAAAAGCCGACGGCGACAGCGCCCGGGGGGCTGCCCGGATCAGCTGCCGCAGCACAGCGTGAGAAGGAGTCACGGTCACCGCCGCCTCAGAGCGCGGCGGTGCAGCACCTCGCGAAGACCGCTGGGGCGACTGCAACCCCGCGGAGGAGGGAGAAGAAGGATGCGGCGAAGGAGGCGGATATCGTCAAGCGGCTGCAGGCGATCTGCACAGACGCTGATCCTACGCGGCTCTACAGGAACTTGGTGAAGATTGGGCAAGGGTGAGTGGTCCTTTATGTGGTCGTTGCGAGCAGTTGTTCATGGGGATTGTAGTGCATCTGGTGGTGTATATACAGCCTACCAGGTGGGCACCAACCTGTCGGTGGCCATCAAGCAGATGGACCTCGACAAGCAGCCCAAGAAGGATCTCATCATAAACGAGATTCTTGTGATGCGGTCATCCCGTCACCCGAACATTGTCAACTACATCGACTCGTTCTTGCATAAGAACGACCTTTGGGTTGTGATGGAGTACATGGAGGGTGGTTCGTTGACGGACGTCGTCACCGCTAACCTCATGACGGAGGGCCAGATCGCAGCTGTCAGTCGGGAGACCTGCCAAGGGCTTGAGCACCTTCACCGACACGGCGTCATTCACCGAGACATCAAGTCTGACAACGTTCTGCTCAGCATGAACGGCGACATCAAATTGAGTACGTCGGACGCACCACCCTCACCCGCTTGTTACTGATGTTCTTCACCTACAGCCGACTTCGGTTTCTGTGCCCAAATATCGGACGGCGCGAAACGCACAACGATGGTCGGGACGCCGTACTGGATGGCGCCGGAAGTTGTTACGCGTAAAGAGTACGGGCCGAAGGTCGACGTCTGGAGCTTGGGCATCATGGCGATCGAGATGATCGAGGGCGAGCCGCCGTACCTCAACCAGAACCCGCTCAAGGCGCTTTACCTCATCGCCACGAACGGCACGCCCCAGATCGCCAATCCTGAGTCACTCAGCCCGACTTTCCGGGATTATCTCTCGAAGACGCTCGAAGTCGACGCGGAGAAGCGGCCAGACGCCACGCAGCTGTTGGCGGTAAGTGTCTCAGAGCCTGCGTGGTGGTTTCGTTCAGTTCTTAACGTTGCCGCTTTTACAGCATCCGTTCTTCAAGCTGAGCGAGCCGCTCAGGACGCTCGCGCCGCTCATCAAGGCTGCTCGCGAGCAAGCGAAGGCGAAGAGCGGACACTGATCCCTTGGCGTTCCTCCCTCTTCGGTTGCCTGGTTTCCGAGGTTATGCTCTCATCGTAATGGTTTACTCATGTCTTCATTTCTCATTGTAACACCCAGTTCAGGATCTTTTACCTTCCCTCCTCCTTTTCCGTATCAGAAAACTGCCTACCTGTACCGCATCGCTGACCGTGAATAGTGCTTCGTGGACCCCACTGATACTCTGCTCTCTGTGGCGCTCCGTCTGGTCCGTACTCGCCTCCCTTCCTGGGCACGTTCCTCCCTATATTAGACGCTCGGGAGAATCAGGGCAGTGCTGCTGTACAATAAACGCGAACATGATCAAGTACGTAGTTGGTGTTTCCTTTAGCTCTGTTAGTAGTGGCATGTGTCATGTAGGGTACTTGCTGAGTTGCTTCCGGGGATGGGCGTGCACGACGTGGAAGAGTAACAGGACCACAATGCGAATTTTCGTCGAAGTCAAAGTCATTCGCGCAGTTTTAAGCCTACTTATCTCCGTTCGGGCGCACATGGATCAAGCGATATATCACGTACTGTACATAATATCTACATGTATGGTGCTCGACAACCATGCTGAGCTCCATCTTCGGAAGCAAGCACTTCTCATTTGGCACCCGAGCCTGCGTTGATTAGGCGCAAGCTCGCGGATCGCTCTTGGCCCTTCACCAGAACCGGTATGGTGTGGTAAAAGTCAACCATCCGGGCAGAAAGAGGCCAGCATCGCACAACATTACGCCAACGTGTCGAAAATTTGCGTCGTCTCAGTGATGTTGTAGCATAAGCAGAATGTTCGTGCGGAACAAAAAGTTCGGCTTTATATCGGCAAACAGCACGTGATCGCTCAGCACGACCTTGAACCGTAACGCGACAGCCTTGGGAAGTCCTTGACTCACATCTTTGTGGCCTTGTTGCGCGACACGCTTTGACCGCGATCTGTGAATTCTCTCGGATGCTGCAAACAACTTAGAAACTTAGGGAGTCTATGCGGGGTAGAACTCCGCGCTCGGTGCGCCTCCCGACTGCGACTCAGCTGCACATCACTGATATGCACACGCATGATCAGGCTGAGGAGCGATATGGCTTCTCTCAACAACATTCTAAAACAACTTGAAAGCAATAAGATCACCGCACGCCAAGCCGGACTAACTGGCCTTAGGGAATACTTCGCCAAGGAGCACCATATCCTTAGCCTCGATGAAGAGGGCAATTGCAAGGCATGGATCGTCGTCTTCCAGAAGCTTTTCAAGTGCGTGGAGACCGAGAGAGACGAGGTTTTGAAGAAGAACTCGCGTGCCGCGATGGATCGTCTCAGCAATGCAGCATCTGCTGTCCGGTGGCTCATAGGAAAATGTCGACATCGGCTCAACACCAAAGCCGTCAAAGTACTGTATCAGCACTTGATTCAGTATATGATTCATCGTGGAGAGCTGCATGGTCCGGTGGGGTTGGACTACATCAAGGCATTCCGTTCAATCTACTCCTGGCGACCTCATATGGACCACATCGATCCATCGACCTGGGTCAAGATAGTGCGGATAGGGTTCAATGTGATCCTCGGCGATCCTCTATCCTCAGATCTCACGGATGCGCCGCCAGACTTTGAAGACCAGGACGAGAAGAGTGTCGTCTCCGATATGTACGAGGATGATGACGACGACGAGGAGAACCACACGGATGCTACAGTATCTTCACATGCGTCCAAAAAGCGACGGCGGGGTGCTTCTAGAGGTCTCCCTACGCCGAAGAAGATGCGTGGAACCCCGAGACCGCAACACCAGACCGTTACACTCGAACAGATCGAATTCATGTCGCTCCTGGCTCTTATGATGAACTCGAGCTCCGCTCCATTCCTCTCTCCCGATTATCCACAGCTTCCGTCTGCCCTCCTGCAGCGATTTGGTCGGTTTTTGAAGGTCTACCCAACAGATACCTCCCTCCGTCATGATTATCTCCTCGCCCTCTCCGCTACGCTCGGCCACCTCTCTCTGAACAAAACAATACACGTTCGAGTTTTCGCACTGAGCTCTTGGGACGGGCTAATATCAATGTGGGATACCAAAAACAAGAACATGAAAGAAACCTTGATCGGCGTACTCAAGATTTTGTTCCCATTCCTGTCGACCTCGACCCCACACAGCTCAAGAGAAACCAGGCTTAACGACGGAATCTATAGGCTTTGGAAAGTTCTCGACGGAGAAGCTGCAAATCGTCAAGGTACAGACGGGTTATCTCTCGCCTGTCTCAGACTGGACGTTCAGGAGGGAGAAACGGACAGTAGGGCCGCTTTTGTGGCAGGCACCTTCCGGCATGGCTGGAACTTTGACCCATCGCAAGCTTTGGCCTGGGTTATGTTGGAACTGCAAGCAGACTGCATTGCGAAGGTGAACTAGATGCTTATCTCCGATGGAACATCCTCTGAAATATCCACACTAGCTCTACGAATCCTCGGAGTCAGTGCATGGGAGTGCAAACATCAGTAACGAGGGGAAACAGTCAGCTCTCGACAACCCCGTCACATTTTTGCTTCAATCGATTGATGCGCAATCTCCGCCCACCGTCAGAGCATACCGGTTGCAGATATTGTTGTTCTTGATCGACAGACACTGGACGAATCTACATCTTGACTTGCAAAGACAGGTCATAGATACTCTACTCCAATTCATCTCAGGGGATGACGCGACCGTGCAGTCTTTCATCTTCCTTTGTTTCGCGGCCATTGCCCGCCATGGTCCCAGTACTTTCGCCGGTGATGACTCTGACACGCTCATTGGATCGACCAATTTCCGAAGTTCAGCCATTTGGGACACTATCTGGACCCATGCTTTGCGTCGGGTTAACTCTCCCATCGTGTGCCGCGCGGCTTGCCATGCAGCGTCAGTACTCCTCACGTACGCGAGGGATGTTTTGACCTCGAACCGTGTCTTGGCGGAGGTTGAAGCATTTGCGAAGGACCTGGATGTTCAGGGCCCTTCATATCCCTATGATTCCGTCTGTCGCTTTCTCTCGATTTGCCTCCACGTTGCCAGTCAAGATGTGAGATTATTCAGGATGCAACTAGAGGAGAAGGCGCTGAGCTGGCTGATTGACACGTGGCAACCCTCTGGACTACGCCAGGGAAACCGATCTCGAGAGGGAGCAACTCAGTCTTACTTGGTCGGAGACATCCTCGGCCTGATGGAACGCATCTGCTCGATGTCGCAACCAAGTGGCGTGTCCGGAAGGGTATTGCTACCGGATTGCGAAATCGCCAATTTGCTCGTCGAGGAGCGCAGGACGATGGTCATCAGGCGTTTTCTTCTGGACGCCGAGTTGCCGCGTTTCCGAATCCGTGGCAAGACCAGCTACATGAATACTGGATCCGTTCCTATACCAGCCCGGCCCCCTTCTAGCGCGTTGGGGGTATTTGATAGCGATCTAGCCCCACCTAAGAGTCGCGAGCGCAAACTGTCGACATTTCTCCTGCGAACCCTAGAATCAATCAATCTCGAATCCCATGATGACTCTGGCAAGGTTTCCCAGCTAAGCGCCGAGCAAGCAAGAGAGGCGCTTGATTTTGCTGTGATCAGCCTGACGTACGAGGCAACGCTAGTGCTCAACGGGACCAGATCGAATCGTAGATTGGTGCAAGCCTCATGCAAAATCGTGTCACGGATTGTGCCGAACCTGACGGCGTCGCATTGGGAAGCTGACGAAAAGCTGCTCGTGCTTCTGGGGCTAGAACCGTTGATTACTGCAGAGGAAGAGAACGAGGTCAACGAACGTTGGGAGGCAATGTCAGCACCGGATTCAGGCACCGGAATCAGGAGGGAAGTCTTGAATGCAATGTTTCGTGAAGTTGGGTTGGCAAACGCAGCAAAGAAGAGACCCCGCCGTGAGTTACAGCGTATCATATGGCAGAGTGCAGATGTGAGTTCATTTTGCTGAGTCATACGATCGCGGGTTGACCCTCCATAGGTCCAAGACGCCTTTGCGGATGCTATGTTGGTTTTGAAGGACTTTCTTCGCGCATCCTCAGGCGACCGACTGGGCGCCTCAAGTGCTCGAACACATCGTACCGATGATGAGGACTTCTTCGTACCCGACCGTTCGACGCATATAGGCGCATCAGAGTCGCAATTTCAGAGTTCCGCGCACACGAACCCTTCACTGAATACCGCTATTCAAATATGCATATCTTTCCTTGCCCTTGCACCCATACTGCAGTCCTCGTCTGGGGAGTCAACGCGTGACAAGGAGCTTGTGGACGTTGTTTTAGATTCTGCTGCGGAGCAATTCCTTGTCATCGGGTCGGCATTCCTGGATAACGTTCGGCATCGGACTCTCGATCTTAACGTGACGAATATCGGAAGATTCTTGGAAAAGTTCGAACCACTTCTACAACAGTACACCTTCTCGCATGACGTGCATCTCCAAGTCCTGATTATTCATTTCTTGGACGCTACTCTGGAGACGTGGTCCCAACCATCAATTGCTGCTAGTCAGCTGGGAGAGCAGGTCCGGATACTCTACGAGTGGCTATCGCAGAGGTTATCGACTGGAAAGATCCGCGCGTGGCGAATTCGCGACCGCATGGCCCAGTTCCTTGGCCGCTATGTGTCCATCGATCCGTCTCAACAAGCGATTTCTATGGGTCTTGACGGAGAACACGGGGACTCGGGGGATACCGCTATTCTGCCCTCTATTATACTTCCTTTGCTAGGAGGTGATGAGGACGTCCGAGTCTGCTTTCGTGTGGCAACTATCAATGCGAAATTATTCTCCCTCATGCGCTCCGTATCCCATGATCCGATGAAGCTTTATACGACAATCATAGCATCTCTTTGCACGGACCTCATCGAGTAAGTTAATCAATCCTGGTTTGTCGTGGTATGCTGATCTTCTTCTAGTTACGAGAAGATGGCAGTGAGGACGCTATGTCTCGGAAATATCATGATTCTGAGCGCCGAAGTGCGACGCGGCGCTTACTGGAATCTGCTTGAAGCTAGCCTTATGCAGTCACTGTCCGAGGAAGGGCCGGCGAGCTGCCTCTCCCATATCGAATCCGTCCTCCGAGGCGTGGCCGAAAGAATGGGCTTAGCCAACTTCTCCGACTTATTCCTAACGTATGCTGCACCAATTGCATCCGCTGTTCGACAACGCCATCACGACTTCCTGCGCTTCTCCCCTAATTTGCTCGGATTCCAAGATCGAAGGCAGTGTGCAGAGGCAACGTTCTTACCTTTCGCAATCGCGAATGTCGTTGATGGCGGGCGCAGCGTGGAGGACGTGGTGTTTGGCGAAAGGCTGTTCCTGAACCACTGCAAAGCTATCCAGAAATCCGTCTCTGAGGGGGTGATGCAATGCTTCCCAGAAATGGTCGGCTGTCAAATCGTCATCTGGATGGATCGCCATCTTGACGCGGATCCTGATGATACTAGTGATCCCGAGAAGCTGCTCAGAACCACGACTAGTGCCATCGGAGACATGTTCGACGATATGCTTCATCAGAGAGCAGATGTTATAGTTGTCGCAATCCTTCGCGCACTTGGCGATCAGGATTACACCGCGGAAGGACCTATAGCACATGCACTCCGCCAGGGTCATTACAGCGAAAGCACGTACCGCACCTTCCTTGCTTTGATCCGATACAGATCGGCGAGTGACCACCACAGTCACACCCCCAATCCCCCGTCTTTCAGCCCGATCACTATCATACGGGCGCTAGAATGGTATCTCGCTCGGGAGCCGAAGGCCGATGCCCCTGCGGTCAGCTATCACGTCCTCCATGCGCTGTTTGCAGCAATACACGCCTCTTGTCTCGTCAATGAGCAGGTTCGACTTTTGAATGCTCTTTCACTATGGATCGCATTCCGTCACCGCCACTTTCAGGAGCCCTCGCTGCTGCGGACCCTTCTCAACGGTTACACTTCGATCATGGCACAAATTGAACTATCCGCGGCAGCTCGATCTGCGCTTGAATGGGCGATCGAGCTTGTGAGCAAGGTCGGGGAACGGGATTCGCGACTTCCCGACATTCTTGTCCAAATTTGCTGCATTGCCCATGATTTCAGTCGGAATGGGGAAGACGCTATGATTTCGAAGCTGGGCGTTGACCTCGTCAAATGGATCGAAGCACAGACCCTCGCATTGTGTAGATCAGACGTGCTGCGTCCTGCCATAGTAGAAAGGGCATTGCCGGCGTGGCCAAGAGAGCCCTGCGCCGAACTTGCTGAGATGTCGGCGGACACCACTGCGGACGGTCTTTCGTCGGTACTTGGTGACGCACGGATTACAGCCAACAAGTTTCGGATGGTCCGGCGGTTGCGCGATGTCGCTCTCGCCGGAGATGTCACAGCAGACCGTTTCGCTCAAGCGGACTTCTGGCGACTGAAGGACTGCATCCCTGCCGGTCATGAAATCCAAGACGAAGACATCGATGCTTTCGCCACGCTCCTTCTACTTCACAAAGGACACGTGGAAGCGTATGCGAATGATCAAGCGACAGCTCAAGGACTATTGTCCAGACATCGACGTGCGTCTAAAAAGAAGGAACCAGGGGTCACTCTCGACTATCGAGCATTGCCGTATCGTCCCATCGTTCAAACACTACTCGTCATGGTGGACAGAGCTGCCGGTTCACAGGTATATGCCGCCTATCGCACTCTTCGTCTATTGATGTGCGGACCTCTTCGGGACCAAATGGACCTCAAATCCTGGTCATCGGAATATCGCAAGGAACTTGAGTATTTGCAGCAATACTGGCGTGCACCCCAAACTCGATCCGCACGCTCTGTCACGGAATTGACTGCAGTGGACACTAGCCCCAAAGACTTTGCACTATGGATCACCGAAGTCACTGTCCTCTTGGCTGACGTCCTATCCTCTGAAGATTCATTCTACGTTCCCCTTGTTCCCCTACTACAAACGAGTTCCGCATTCGCCGAGGAAATGCTTCCGGTCCTGGTTCATACCATCCTGCACTTGGAGCTCTATCAAGACTCATCTGCATCATCAGCACGCAACCTGCTATCCGCCTTTTTCACATCCATTCTGAGCTCGTCGGGCTCGTGTATTCCATGCATCACTACAGTAGTCAACACCGTACTACACCTTCGAAACTTCATGCCTCCGCGTGCTAAGGACCCATTGGCGTACAACCAGTGGCTATCGGTGGACTTCGTGCTACTCAGCCGGAGCGCTGTTGCATGCGGATCTTATACCACGGCCCTTCTGTTCCTCGAACTCGCTTTGGAACATAGCACTAGAACACCTGGAGAACAGCCCTTGCCCGAAGATGTTTTGTACGATATCTACAGCCATATCGGAGAGCCAGACGGGTTCTACGGCATCAAGACAAGCGATCTGCGGCAGTTCCTGGTCAAACGCCTTCACCACGAAAAGCAATGGGACAAAGCTTTCCAGTTTCATGGTGCGGCCATGGAGGCCGTTAAATCGGATCAAAACGAGATGGAAGGCGTATTGCAATCCTTGCACGCGTTCGGCTTCAATCGGCTTGCTTTATCCACGCTACATGAGAACTTTAGTGCGGACATGCCCTCCATCGGCGGTAGGACAGCCATCATGAGCTATTCAATCGGATGGCGAACAGAAACATGGGACTTGCCTCAACACCGAACTGAGCAAAGCTCGAGCGCAGCGCTTTATACCGCTTTCAAGGCTGTTCACCGGGAGAGGGACGATCTTTCTATCAACGACACCGTTCGAAGCATGCTTGTTCAAGAGATGACGCGGTTGAAGTCTTTGGGAAACGAGAATGTGACAGAGATCCGGGAAGTTACTCGCACTCTGATGTGTTTGAGCCAGATGGGTCAATGGCGCAGTCGTGGTATCACTACCAACTTCCAGTCATATCAAATCAACGACCAAGTTTGGGAAGGAATTTCCTCGATTGATCCCGATTTAGAGTGTGTTTCTCAGCCTCAGCAACCTCAGGCTCGTCGCTGTACTGATTTTCTGCAGCTTCTCGGACCTAGAAGCAATCATGGCCACAAGAGTATCTCTTATCCGTGCAGTGCTGCAAAAGGAGCAGCGAGAGCAGATCGGGCAATTGATCACGCCTTTCGCTCGGTGCTTGATTGAAGCGGAGCAAAAATGTCTGATCATGATCTCCGAGGCAGCTCGCGAATCGCGGCACTTACAAGTGGCCATGAACTCCGTTATGTCCGCACAGACGCTTGAGACCGTTCCAACTCCGTATATATCCCAAGAGTTTGCTAGCGTTCTTTGGCTGCACAAAGAACAGAAACTGGCGATACAGCTGCTCAAGCAGCTCCTCAACGTCTCAAATACTTCCTCTCCTCGGCCAACGACGATCGATCCTTTGACCGATGCCGGCCTCATTGCCCGCCTGGTGATTGAACTCCACACGTCTAATCGCGAGAACTGATGCTGACAATGATCAGGGCGCTTGGGTAGCTGAAGCGTGCTTAGAGAAGCCTCTGGAGATTTTGACCAATTTCTTCGATGCCGCCGTTTCTCTACTTCCACGGGTGGATCCAGCAGATGCGAAAAGCCGACAGTCTCATGCCGCTGTATACCGCCAGTATGCCGTTTTCGCCGAACATCAGTATCAAGCAATTACGCAATCACCGGATGTCATCCGATGGAGGCTATATGCTGACAGGAAAAGACAGGAGATCAAGAACCGACAAGAACAAATGCAAAGGTCACAGCGCAACTCCAGGGAATGGGCGGATATGATGAAAGAACAGAAACGTGCATGTGCGGTGCTGGAAGAGGATGAAGCTGCGTTCCAACGTCACAACGGCACCCGAGAACTTTTCTTGCGACAGGCCATCCTCATGTTCTCCCGCTGTTTGGAGGCCAGCGATTACTACGATGATGACTCTGCCCTGCGGCTGTGTTCCCTGTGGTTCGCGAACTTTGACCTTCCCGCCATTCAGGATGCTGTGCGTGACGCACTCGATCGGGTACCCTCGCGGAAATTTGTTTTCCTGGCTCATCAACTATCCGCACGAATGTCGCAGCACGAGTCAGATCAGCTGCCTGAATGCCAGGAGCATCTTCAGACGCTGCTGACGCGGATGTGCAAGCAGCATCCTTTCCATAGCCTCTATCAGGTGTTCTGTCTGATTCCGACACGACCATCCCCGGAGCCCACTTCGTCCCACAGAAGGCATTCGACCCGCCTGGAGCCCGCAGGCTCGCAGATAGGGCGTGTCACCGCAGCTCGCGGAATCTTTGACCGTCTGCGGAATGATGAGGTCACTGGCTTGAGAGTTCGCAACGTCGAATATCTGTGTAAGGCATCTCTCGAGTGGGCACAATTGCCTATCAAACGTGACAAACGCTACGACAAGAGACACAACAAAGGACCCTATCCAGTTCCAGATTCCGCTGCGATTCTCACCATTCGCGATTTACCCGTCCCGGTGATCACCGCGCATACGCCTGTGGACCCATCAATGCAGTATACGAACTGTGTCTGGATATCGCGTTATGAATCGACTTTCCAGACAGCGGGTGGTATTAATCTGCCCAAGATATCTGTGTGCCTTGGTACGGATGGACGACCATACCGTCAGCTCGTGCGTACTCAGGGACAACAGTGCGAAAATATGAAACTGACCGGATCCCATAGTTCAAGGGAGAAGGCGACGATGATCTTCGACAGGATGCGGTCATGGAACAGGTATTCGATCTCGTCAATGTTGTACTGCGAAGAGATCGGGAGACGCGGCGTCAGAAACTCAGCGTCCGAGGCTACAAAGTCATACCTTTAGCCCCCCAAGCCGGCATTTTGGAATTTGTAGGCAATACTCAGCCTTTGCAAGGCTGGTTGTTCGCTGCGCATACTAGGCGAGTATCGACGTGTTGCATAGTTTTGATCATCGGCTAACCCTGCGCAGGTATCGGCCTCAGGACATCACACCCAATGAGACGTGGCAGTCGATACAGGCCAAACGGGCGGCAACCGCTAACAAGCCAAATCAAGCGGAAGAACTTCACGCTCATTTTTGTGCACTGCTGGAACGATTCAGGCCAGTGATGCGGCATTACTTCACGGAGAGGCACAAGACGCCCATGTCCTGGTTTGCGTTACGGTTGAATTACAGCCGCAGTGTGGCTACAAATTCTATCGTTGGACATATCCTTGGGCTCGGCGACCGTCACACATCCAACATCTTGATCGACAACGGCACCGGCGAAGTTGTGCACATAGACCTCGGTATCGCATTCGAACAGGTCGGCAAAAGGGCAGCATCCTAGCATATCAATACTAAGCGCTTCTTCACAGGGAAAACTGCTTCCCATTCCCGAGCGCGTGCCGTTCCGTATGACAGCCGACATGGTAGACGGGTTGGGAAGCTCAGGTACACAAGGGGTCTTCCAACGATGTGCAGAAGAAACTTTGCGAGTCCTCAGGGATGGATCTGAAGTAATACTCACCGTCCTCGAGGTTTTCCGACATGACCCGCTACATTCATGGTGAGATCCAAGCTAAGGACATCGAACGGTTTGCTGACCATAGCCCAGGACTGCGAACGAAGTGAAATTCAAACGGGTGCAGGAGGCGGCGCCTCTGGAAACGATCCGCCATATATTCGGCATCGACATCGCAAATGGCAGCGCTGATGAGGCTGCTGATCGCGCTCTCAATACAGTCAAGCGCAAGCTGGATAAGTCACTCAGTGTCGAATATACCGTCAACGAGCTTTTGGCAGAGGCTACCGATACCTTCAATCTGGCAAACATGTTTCAAGGTGAGGTGCTTCCTCTCAGATCTCGTCCGCATGCTGAAACCAGACCATAGGCTGGGGCCCATATCTTTGACGACTTTCATGCAACTTCATCAGGATCACTGTAAAACATCGCACGCCTGTGTAGCCATAATAATCATTCAACAGAGATATGCTGTATCGCATGAGACAGTTCGTGAATAACGAAGTCGCTCAGCTATCCCGGTCGCCTGAGTCGTGTTTCTCATTCAGATTTTCTGCATCTTCCTCGTCAGCCTCAAGGTCAACCTCGACCGGTTTCGAGAAGTCGGTGGTGTCGAATTTCTTCTTTTCCTTGAACGGATTAGTGCGCTTCTCGCCCGGCTTCCAGACCGATTCAGGAGGTATAATACCCTTCCTGTTCAGCCAAAGCAGATCGGGGCCGGCGTAGGCGTCGAGGAACCGAATCCAAGCGTCAAATCTGGGCGTCAACGCGCATCTCAGTGATGAGCGCATAAGAGGAAACGGGCAGGCACAACTGACATGCCATCCCTATCCTCGACAGCTCGCATGTTCTCATAGATGAACTCTTGCTTGAACTCGTCTATGGCTGTTCTGTGTACCTCGAAATCGATCGGAGGCCGATATCGTTCGTCCATGATCGGGATTCCTTCGTTCGCTTTCGCGACCCGTTTATTGTATGTCTCGAAAATTGGGTATTCGAGAAGCAAACCAAGGGCAGGCATCTTCGGGATTAGCACCTTGCGTGGACCAAATAGCTGCGATACACGAGTTGTAGCGGGCGCGAGAGGATAAATGCAATACTTACCTCTTCGATGATCGAAGGTGGACATGAGCATCGGGTAACTAGAACCAGTGTGGAAATCATTTTGCGCTGGGATGCTGAGGATGAGAGCGGCGAGCCGGCAGGATGACTGGTACACTCACGATCTGGCCGCAGGAGTGCTTGTCAGCAACACCTTCGATCAAGAAAGTGTTAAACTCATGCATACCTGATGAAGCATGAAGCTCTGTCCGTGAAACATGACCGGGAGCCATTCCGTCTCTCCGTGGACTTCAGGGGCCTGGACCTTTAAAACAACGAGATAATGAGATACCGCATTGATATACCCTTCCGAACAATTACCTCGATCTTCTTCATGTAACGGGAACACGATGCTTCGCGGTATTCTTTCCCGACGGTGAAGTTGTGAAAATTGTGCGAACCCTCGAATTTGCTCGCGGCTTCGCGTATCCGTGACAACGTCGCTTCGTCGATCCTCCACTCCCGTTTCCGTTTGAGTTCCTGTTCAGGAGCCGCAATCGAATCAATGTCCTTCCAGAAGGGATGCTTAGGGATGTCATTCTCATCCAAACCAAGTTCCAGAGATTTTCGATTCAGCGAACGATCCAGGCCGCTTTGAGGTCTTGGAGGGATGAGTAGGTGAGTGGGGAAGAAGTAGGTATATTTTCTACTATCGCAGGAGCTGAGAACATCGTCAATATGACTGATCGTCGCTAGTCAATAAAGATTGTACTCACTTGCGGGCGTTGAACGCATTTTGTACGCGAATCTGTGTCGGCGCGTGAGACGCTGCTGCACCGAGGTTGAGTGCAAGGATTGCGTTAACCCACGAAACTCCAGACTCGTATTTGAGGCGGTAGCAGTTCGTTGATGCGAGAGACCAGGTCGGGTACGCCGGGCACTTCCATGATCATTTTCATGGATACGATGTTGCCCGCAGCTGCGATGTGTACTTAGATTGGCCCACTATGACACCTAAACGCGTAAATCGTACCATGGACGCCCGCATCTGTGCGAGCAGCTCGTGCAAGGCTGACCTGAGTTCATGACATTAGAACGACTTTCGCAGGGACGAAGCCTCTGAACGGACTTTGTTGGGGTCGTCCGCGTTGTCTTGAGAGATTGCCCCCGCTTCCACCATGACATTGAACAGCGTGTTTTCGACGGTCCGAACGTTCTGCTCCAGCGGCTGTCTGACGCAACGAGTTCCATGGTCAGTACCAGATTTTCTACATAATGCGATCACACACATCTGCATCCCACTGAATCCCGTTCCATTAAAGCCTAGGAGAATCGCACACTGTCGCTTCGGCAGTCTGGACACCTTTGAACCGTCTACATCTCCTTCGCCTGCCTCCTGCCTTCTGTTCCCTCCCTTCTTTCTCGCGATCTGTTCTCGACGATTAAACTTCTCGAGAGATTTCTGGTTCCGCCCACGGCCCTTGCCACGACGGGGTGCGTCGCCGTGAAGTGATGACTTGCTCTCCAGTTCTGTAGACGCTGCCGCCTCTGATTCCTTGTGTTCTGTAACTTCGCCTTGTGTTTCGTCGATTCGTGGGCGTTTCATTGGACGTTCCGTCTCGTTGGGTAAAGTCGCCCGTGCGCCTTCCATAGCAGACTGCGACAAAGTGCGACAGTAAAAGGAGCTCCTTTGGACCTCTGAAGAAGATATCCTCGCGAGTTGTATTGACGAAGGACAATACGATGTCAAGTTCAAGATCCTGTAAATGAAGCCGATGCATATCATGTGCGATGCAGCGAACGTTTTAGGCGCTCTGCGCTCGACGAGCGCCTAAAGCTTGTTTTTTTGCGTGATGCTGTTCCCTTCGACGACCTTGTTTTACATCGCCTTTAGGTAATCGGCACGATTTCCAGCAGCACCTTTGAATATACTATCAAAGACGTGTATCGCATATTCAGATTTCATCTCGAACGAAATGCACAAGGACAGAAGCAGAGGTGGACTGACTGGCGAGTCAATGTGTCAGTACCTATAAGTAAGAGTACTGCCTTGTCAATCGCCTGCTTTTGGTGTCAGTTGTTCTCTTGCTTACGCACAAAGCATGTCAAGACGCTGCTTCTGGAACAAGTTCCGTCTATATAACGGCTGGCTTCGAAGCCTTTAGGCCTGGATTCAATCATTAGCCACTTCTCACTGAACCATCCCTAACGCATCGCTCTGACCCGTGAGCGTGTTCACGGATCCCTTACGAAAGTAAGTAGCAATGCTCTATAACATTGGAAAGGTATCTTCATGCGCTTGTACGAAACAGGACCTGCGCGATGCATAAACTGCCTACGGAAATTCTCTGCTATATCATCCTTAATTACATCTCGTTTCATGGCTCCACCACCCCCGCTTCATACTTGCACGTCAAGGAGTGTCTAGCGCTTATGCACGTTTGCAGACGGTGACGGGAAGTTGCGATTGACTATCCTCCATTGTGGGCAATTATTTCACGTACGCGGCACACGGACCTGGAAACCGGACGCGATACTCCTCTGGAATGCATTATAGAGCATTCATGGTCCTCCCAGCCACCTTACCCCGTCATCGTACCCATCCTGGAGCAGATGTGTGGTCTTCATTTCAGCCAGAGTGTCATGATGGTCGGACAAGCTGCTTGTGGAACAACTGTTTCTTCAGCCTGCACCCTTACTTCACGAGTTGTGTTTGGTTCATGCCCATGTCCCGGAACGGCTGCTAAACAGCCATGTCCCGCAGCTTCTGTCCCTGCGCATACAGAGTTCGCGCATTCGCTGGGATATGGCCTTCACTCACTCAACGATACGAAATCTCAAACATCTCATACTGGAGAGCTGTCACGGTCGCGATGGTCAACCTTTCCGATGACGCTCCGAAAGCTCATTGGGTCACTGACGCGAATGCCTTTCCTCGAGGAACTCCGGCTGCCCAATACTCGTTATGTCTCAGATGGTAACGATGCATCCTGCCGCGTCGTGACGCCGGATCATCTCAAGATCCTAGAATTAAAGGCAGGCGCCGAGGACACCTCTGCGTTGCTATACCACCTTCGGGTTCCCCGTCGTACCGTGTTGGACATTCATGTTATGGGTTCCTATCCTCACACCCCTATCCACGTCGAGTTACTTACGCGCCTCGAAACTCTCGTCACGGGTGCGTGGCAGGGAGCTCCAATCCGCAGACTGGATCACCACCGCACTTCTTTTGATCGCACCGAAGTCGCTGCCTACGATCAAGCAGGAACACCCGTCGTTCGTATAGACTGCACCGTTCGGCCCGTGCAGGATGTCCTTCGAGGGCTATGGCTAGCCCATGTTCAGGAACTAAACATTGTGGGTGAAGGTCATCGGAACCACCGAGGTCTTAGTGCTCGCTATCTTGTTGAGGCCTGCGGCGCAGTGGAGATTCTCAATCTCCAGTCGGCAGACGCCTGCGCTGCATTCCTGCCGTTCCTTGATCCTCAGCCAGCGACTTCAACTGCGACCGCGAGCGAGGCACGGATCCTTGCACCTGCGAACTGCGTTTTGCTTGGGTCGACCTCAAGCACCCACGAACGAGTCTCTGCGACATCTTGGTCGCACGTTATGAAGCAACGCAGCGCATGCTAATGTTACACAACACATCAATACAACGCGCGATTTCGGCGACAGAAGGGTGGACGTTGCCCGGCTGGAATCATCGTCGGGCCGGACGCCATTCAGTGGAAAGAACCTCGGGAAGGGCCTGACAGTAACAGACGCACAATGGCTTTCCGCGCGACCAGCGATAGGCGTCCGGGTGGATAATGCCTCCGATATATCACTATCGGAAGTCCGTTGGACAGAACCTGCGATAGGCTGTTTGTGAATGAATCTCGCTGCGTCATATGTAGGTAGTCTTGTCTATGCTGGAGAATGTGGGAAGCATGCTTAACGTCTTACGCCAGGATTATGGTGCGAAAGGTGACTGCAGGCGGATACGGATGCATACACTGTCTTGGTGTATATCTACGACTACAAATGATGTCGATACAATGTATATTATTATGGACCGTTGGCATCTAAAACCGTTACTGAAGATGACACCTCAAGCAGAACCGAAGTTTGCGCAGAGTCGCACAACCTCGTCCTCGCACCTCCTGTACGGCTCTACGAAGCTCTCGTACAGCGCGGTCAGCTCGTGTTTTTCCGGCTTGGCGACCTCTCGCATGCGCTCCGGCTGACCCGCGACCATCTCTTCGTACGTTCCGCGTCCGCCCTGCATGGCACGCCACCACGCGAACTTAGCGAGTACGGCGCCGCCCGCCGCGGCGCCTTGCTGCCCGCCGTCGGCGACGAAGACGTGCATTCCGAATATGTCCGCGGCGATCTGGCGGATGACGGCGTTGGCGGAGCCACCGCCGGTGACGATCAGTCGCTGGAGGGGCGGCGCGGAGGGTGGGAGGATCGCGGCGATGCGGGACTTGATGGAGAGCAGCTGCGACTCGAGGATCGCGCGGGGGTGCGCGGTAAGCGGAAGCGCGTCGATGCGCGCGATCGCGCCGGTGGAAGGTTGCGCGGCGTCGAAGGCGAAGAAGAATTCGCCTTGGACGTTCGGGGGGATGATCTCGGGGAGAGGGAAGTAGAAGCCGAGCTTGCCGTCGTTGCCGGCGGGTGTTTGCTGTACGAGGGCGTTGTACTTGCTCCAGTCGCCATCGGCGTAGGTATCCCGGATGTGATCGCGGGCCAGGGCACCGTTCTTGTAACAGAGCATGGCGATGTGAGCATCCGGGGTGGTAGGATACGAGAGGAGGTGGGAGGTCGTGAATCGGACTGGGGCCGTGTCCGCCGGCGGGATCGAGAGGAGCAGCGTGGTTGAGGTTCCAAGAGATAGGATGGCATCGCCTGGCGTAGACAGCGAGACGACGGTTGCAGGATTGTCGCCGGTGAAGGGTGCAACAATACACTCCGGGTTAAAGCCCCATCGTTCCGTCCAATAGGAAGCAATGTTCCCGAGAACCGTGCCGCCTAGCACGGGCTCGGGCCCGAGCTTGGCAGCAAGTTCGGGTCCACCGCAGGCAAGGAGAAGGGCTTCATCCCATTTGCAGGTAATGATGTCCATCAAGTTCATCCCGCTCGCATCAGAACATTCTATCGGAGCGATCTTGCCCAAGAATAACGATGGAAGCCACGAAGATACGAGAGATATCCTCGATGTTGCGGCATACGCCTCCGGGTCGGTGCGCCTAATCTGCGACGTGGCACAAGATCAGCGTCGCAAAGAGATACGCCACTGGAGCACGGTATTAACCTTCTTGATTTGCGTTCCGGTGAACCGCTCGTAGGCGCGGCTACCGGTGAGATCGGCAAGTGCTTGCGGACCGCCGACGGCTTCCTCGAGCTCCCGACATTCACGCGTCGTGCTTGAGTCTTGCCAGATGGGCGCATCGGGGAGTGAAAATGCGCCGGGAGAAAGTTGAGTGAGTGGTGCCGTGGCATCCAGAGAAGCGAGAGCGTGCTCCGCATCCTGGGACCAGTACACCGAGCCGTGTTGCTGCAGCGGCAAGTGAAGGTTAACCGGCAGATTCGCATTACCAATCGACAAGTCGCGTACCTGTCCGTCGCCAGAGACGGCGGCGATGCGATCGAACTCGACGCCGGCTTGCTTCATACGGTGCATGAGCAGATCCATCGCTTCAAGCCACATCTTGACCGGGCTGGTCACTTGTCCCCCCGGCCCGCGAATGGCTCCGTTGGTGGTACGATAGGATGGAAGATCTCTGTCGAAGTTGACAGCAGATTCGTGGACCACGGCCGAGTCTTCGTTGATGAGGACGCCCTTCAGCCCTTGGGTAGATAGGTCAAGACCAAGGAAGAGAGGGTCGTGAATGGCGGCCATGGGTGATGAGTTGCGCTGGGAATGGGTGTAGCAGGGACATTGCAGGGTCGTGATGAGCTTTTATGGTGTGGGGGGGGCGGCAGAAGGTCAGGCGAGCACTGCCACTGGCTGCCCCGCGCTTTGCCGTCGGGTTTCCCCGCAGATGCTCCGGTCGGAAGGTCCGGGCCAGCTGCCCGCAATACTATATGAGATGGTCTCTTCGGCCAGATGGTCGAATCGGCCAGTCACTGACACGTCACATCTCCGCGCTGATGTCCCATCAGAAACTTTGGTACTCCGCTCGGGGTGGCCGACTCGTCCTCAACAGACGATTTTTCGTACGATGTCTGAAGCTCACGTTCTATTATGAAGGATGTAAGCTACAGTAACAGCAACAATTTACAGCTAGCCGTGAGTAAGAACATAGTCTGAATGAGTATCGTGGTGATTAAGAGTCAAGGTCGTCAACAAGCATGTTTGAATCAGAACTCCCCGGGCAATCATGCGAGGCTTCATCAGATGTTGGGTCGAGAGATGTCAGATGCGATGTGGAATCGGGGCAGGCTCTTTGCGCAGAGCGTCGGGAAGACTTGAAAAGGCCTGCAAACCGGTTGAGCTTGCTCTCGAACAGCGAGTCTGTCGTACTTTGATGCTGTCGTCCAATTCGGATAGTGTGTGCTCCGCTGCGTTTCTGGGTTCGATCTGCACCCATTGGCAGAGCAATACTAACATGAAAATGAGTGAATACTTGTCTGTCGTCGCGTTGCCTGACGCGTTGCGACGCGTTCAGTGTTTGAACTCCGGCCGGCTGTCATCCGGCATTGTCGGCACCACATCACACAGCGTGACTCGACCGACATTGTCTACCTCAACTTTGAGCAGTGTAACTCGCTATATTATGCTCTCAAAACAACTTAAAACACAGTATATTGGGACAGTCAAAGAATGAAGTCGAACTGTGCCGTGGAACGTGAGATATAGCAGGGTGGCCGATTCGACGATGTGGCCGAAGTGATGATCTCATATAGTACACTCGCCTCCGCCAGCGCAGTTCCGACGGACGTCTCTCACCGAACGTTCTGGGCCGAACGTCCTCACCCCGCACGGGCCATCCGACCCCAGTCCCGGCCCCTCAGACAGCTTTCGTTCACGTCATCATGCTGGCCTTACCGATACTTAGTAATTTCATCGGACGCGTAGAGGAGGAGGGAGGTCAGCATGCCTCGGGAGAATGAGCACATGTGTGAGGCATTCACCCGAACCGTCCACATTGAAGGTGGACCCTGGATGAAGAAGTAGGCATCGTGCTTCTCAACTTAAAGTAAGTATGAATGGAAGACACTGCATAGATCTCCGGGCAATAACGGAAGGAGGAGGGAGGGGAGGGTGCGTTCAGGATGATTTTTACTATGCTCCGGCCTGCTATCACGTACATTGATTACTAGAATGAACTTCCACGTCTCCCACGCCTGAGGCCTGGTGGTCTAGTGGTATGATTCCTTCTTAGGGATTTCAGTCATATATGGAGGAGGTCCCGGGTTCAATCTCCCGCTAGGCCCACTCTTTCGTGTGAGCAACATGTCGGGTCCCCCCCCCCCCCCCCCCCCGTTGCGCCGCACAGAAACCTGAATGCTTGAAAGCATAATCCCAAACGTGCCCTACTTTCCTTATGTTCATAAACGGTGTTTTATATCATCGTCATGTACACGACGCGGAAGCAAAGAGCCGGAATCGCCCAGCTGCAGGCACTACCAGTGACATGCAGATCACCGATCGCGACCGCTGCCGGGCCCAATACCATCTCAGGCCCGCCAACTCGACACCGCCCTCCACCGCCATCCGAATGTGCTTAACTGCCGGTCGACACACCGTCGTCACGACTTCGAATGTCTCTGTATTTTCGAAATGCCTGAACGAAAATTTCCGAACAGCAGTTCTGTCTGAGTCAACTGAATGTAATCGAAGTGAACATCATCGGCTAGATCAGGAGTCAGAAGGTGCGGATGCGAGACGGAGGCAACCTCGGGCTTTCAGGGACTCCACCGTCCACCCTCGGGCATGTCTGCTTGTATAAAGGGAGGAGTAATCGGAGGACAGGACTCTAACGGGTGCGCCGTTCGGTTTGCAGTCGGTATTATGGCTGGTACATATTGATGCTCACTGGACGTGTCGACGCGACACATTCGCGACGCGTTTGCGACATTGCGCACACGTGACCCCGTTTGGGTGCGGCCGTGACGCCGCGCATGCCGACGCACTCAATATCACGCATGCCGACGCGGTCCAAGTCCCCACACCCTAAGAAGGAATCATACTACTAGATCACCAGGCCATTGTTCTGATGGCTATCTTTGAAGGTATATGTATGCATCCCCTGTATAAACTTGATGTGTACAAGAAATGTACATAGCAAAACACGGTCAGCTGACCAACTTCACGTGCAACAAACACGAGGTGGACCATTGGACGAGCCGGGCGCCTTTATCACCTCTTCTTCCTAGCGCTGGTCTGACACTGCTCGTACACTGGTGCTACAGGCTACGAAACGATACCAAGGACATCTTACTCCTGACTTAAGCCCGGGTCGACCAGAAAGAATAGTATGCCGGAGCCGATGTCGGGCTTGCGCACCGTGAAGCGCGATTGGTCGAGCAATTCCGCCGTCTCGAGTCAGGACAGCAATCCCATTCCATGGTCTCCGACTCCTCCACAGACATCATCCTCCGCGACCTCATCGTACGTTGAAGGATACTCCGCGCTCATGATCGTTGAATACCTTGACGAACGCGGCGCAGGGACACGCCGATGGATGAGAAGAAGCGATTGGCCGATGAGCGCCGTGCTAGACGTTTGAAGCATATTCAAGACGCGTTGAGAAACACGGCTTCTTCGCAAGTTCCTCCGAGCGCGACCTCGTCCTCTTCACAGAATCGCTCGACCAGCGGCCAAAAGCGCGACTCAGGCGTGATCGATCTGACATCCCCTCCACCAAGCAAGAAGAGGCAACTTCCTGATTCCTGGAATGCACCCGCGTCCGATAGCCAGCGTCGGCCAGTCTTTACGACCCGCAACGGGCCCTCCTCCAACGTCCCCTCGTCCTCTACCGTCTCTCAGAGCAGTTCTAGCGCGAGCGCACCCCAATTACAAGTGATTCATAACCTTTCCGGATCCAGTGGAAAGCCTTCCAAAGTCTTCCTCAGCCAAGAGCAAACCCAGATTCTAAAGCTCGTCGAAAGCGGCCTCAGTGTATTCTACACTGGTAGTGCTGGTGAGTCGTCACGTTGATTGTTCTGACACTCCCTCGCGTATGCGCGCTTTGGAGCGCATACATACACACCCTTGGTCGTCCTGACAGAACACGCATAGGAACCGGCAAGTCCGTGTTGCTTCGCGAGATTATCAAGACCCTTCGTAGAAATTACGTAAAAACCCCAGACGCTGTTGCAGTCACAGCTTCCACGGGTGAGTGCAATCCCGATGCTACCTTTGAGGCATGGGATTGAGCCGCGATCTACCTTTCAGGTATGGCGGCATGCAATATCGGTGGTGTTACGATACACAACTTCGCTGGCATTGGTCTTGGTATGGGAAGTGCCGATGAACTTGCGCGGAAGATCATGAAGAATAAGAAGGCTAGCACGCGTTGGGCTAGGGTGAAGGTGCTGATTATTGATGAGGGTGTGTGATTCAATGCTGCGTCTTCGGGAATGGCTCTAATAACCTTGTTAGTATCAATGGTCGAAGCCGATCTCTTCGATAAATTATCACAAATCGGTGGCATTCTGCGGAAAAATCCTACCGCGCCGTTCGGTGGCATACAAGTACGTTTTCTTCAACTGCGCCAGGTCTGTTGCCAATCGATCATTAGCTGGTCGTCACCGGAGACTTCTTCCAGCTTCCGCCTGTAACGAAACACGGCGAAACGAAATTTGCCTTCGAGGCGAAGCAATGGAGCAAAGCCATCAAGCGCACATTTAACCTCACCAAGGTGTTCAGGCAGCGAGATGAAGGTAAGCCGCAGCAGGATGTCCATACACTTACAGAGAATTGATTCCGGTCCAGAACTCATCAACATGCTGAATGAAATGCGATTTGGTAAACTCTCAGACGCCTCCATCGCCAAATTCAAGAGCCTTTCACGAGAGGTACGCTATGACGATGGCATTGAGCCAACTGAGCTGTATGTGCGCTTCCGTAATCTTCGTGTATCACGCAACTGAGACTTGCCCCGCCTCAGCTTCCCTCGCCGTGAGGAGGTCGACCGTTCCAACGGTGTGCGCATGAATCGTCTCCAGACCGAAGCACACACGTACGTGGCAACCGATGGGGGGACACTACAGGACCCGAATCAACGAGAGAAGATGCTCGCCAACTTCATGGCTCCTCAGAAGCTGGTCATTCGAGTAGATACGCAGGTCATGTTGATCCGAAATCTGGACGAAACCCTTGTCAACGGTTCAACAGGGAGAGTCATCAAGTTCGTGGATCCGAGCCAGAAGCAGGAAGGGGAGGATGAGGTCACACTTCCACCTGCCAGCAAAGGCAAAGAGCCCAAGAAGGATACTGCGACCAAGTCGGCAGGCGTTTCCGGTCTTGTCTGGCCACTGGTGGAATTCATCATGCCGCATGGCGGACGGAGGGCGGTGATGATTCAACCAGAAACATGGAAGGTGGAACTTCCCAATGGCGAAATCCAGTTGAGCAGAGCGCAGCTGCCCTTGATCCCTGCTTGGGCCATGAGCATCCACAAGAGTCAAGGTCAAACCCTGGAACGCGTGAAAGTCGACCTCGGGAAGATCTTCGAGAAAGGTGTGTGTTTATCTTATCACGATTAACCTTAGTGCTGAAGGCTTTCACGTCTACAGGACAGGCTTATGTTGCCCTCTCGCGTTGCACATCCTTGGAAGGGTTGCAAGTTTTGAATTTCGACCCGAGAAAGGTGAGATTCCTCAAAGATTTTCGCAACTGGCTCTAACATCACTGCGTAGGTTAAGGCTCACCCCAAGGTAGTGCAATGGAGTGAGACGCTCGAGCGTCTGACCCACGACTGATCTCCGCAGCCGCTTGCTTGCTTGTTCATCACATCTTTATCCTGCATCACGTTCAGTCTAATCCTCCACTGTATATACCAATGCATCGCTCTGTCCCGACCCACGACGTCGTCATGCTAGTTATGCTAAGCAAATCATGCTATCCGTTGAGTCGACATGCCGCGTGCGCACCCGCGCGTACCCCGCATGTGAAGTCGGCAGACTCGGCACCGCCTCTTTCCAAGTTTATCACTTGCCACATGCAAGCTGGCCTGGCTGCGCACCGTATTCTCGCGCAATATTCTGCCCCTCGGCAGCGATATCATTTCTAGGCCGAGAGGGTCGACACATTACTCGCCAGTCCCCCAACAACCTACTTCAGCTTGCGAGAGCGAAAGCGACTCCTACGAGATGGTGCAAACATATGGCGTTGCGGCAGAAGATGCACGCGAGGTCCACCATGCCGAAGCCGATACCGAAGCTAGTGCGCTCTTAGGCGCGGATGCATCGAACGGACGGCCAAAGCAGAAGTTCACGGGGGGACATGCATCTTTGGTCAGTTGCATAGGCAACCTGTCGAATACCATCATTGGCAGCGGTGAGCTCTCCTTTCCGCAATGGACTCAAAACCGTCTTAATGTAATGCAGGTATGCTGACATTCCCCATGGTATGTTCTTATCCGCCAGCCGGCCTTGGATGCTACTCAATGAGCACGTTAGGCAATGGCATCCTCTGGAATCATACCGGGAATCTTCACCTGCGTGTTCTCCGGAAGTGTAGCTGCATTCGGGCTGTATCTGCTCTCGCTGGCTGCGACCCACACCCCTCACAGGACCTCGTCCTTCTTCGCAGTTGCACAGCTTACCTTCCCGAAGGCTGCTGTATTCTTCGATGCAGCCATCGCAATCAAGTGTTTCGGTGTCTCCATCAGGTCCGCACCCTTTATCGGGCACTTAAGATGTTGATTGATGCCTCAGCCATGCAGCTATCTCATCATCATCAAGGGTCTCATGCCCAGCGTTGTGGAAGCGTTGTATCACGACCTCTCTTCCAACGAGCCCCCGTCCTGGGCACTGTCCGGACGGGTATGGATCACGTTGTTCATGGCGATTCTTGTCCCCCTCGGATTCTTGCGTAGGTTGGATAGCCTGAGACACGCAAGCTACGTCGGAATATTTGCCGTGGGTGGGTCATTGTACTGGCTATCCCCATGGAGTACCTTCTGACGTACCGTTATGTAGTTTACCTCCTCGCTATCGTGGTCTATGTGTTCATCAAGCCTTTCGATGACATGCCTCCAAGGGGCGAAGTGCATCTTGTGCATTTCACGCCCGACTTCCTGTCGACATTTCCTGTCCAGGTGTTCGCGTTTACTTGCGCACAGAATGTATGTGGCACTCTCGTGAGGTCGTTTGCCAAACTAAGGTTGTGCAGCTGTTTCCTTTGTTCAATGAAGTCACGGAGAATACGCAGAATCGAATGAACACTATCATCGGCACTTCTATGTGAGTTCAGGTCGTTCTACGCTTCTCGTCTTCTGATTGTATCTCACAGTGGATCTGCCACTGGCGTATATCTGGTGATTGCCATTCTCGGTTATCTAACCTTTGGCTCTACGGTACGCGTGATCAACGTGGGCCTCTTGATCGTTGCTCATCCGTCTCTTTCCCAGGTGGGACCAAACATCATCGCAATGTACCCGTCGACGTCTTTATTCGTTGCGGTCGGCCAACTGGCCATTGTCGTCCTTGTCTTGGTGTCGTATCCCTTGCAGGTGCACCCATGCCGGAACTGCTTGGATAAGGTATTCCACGCCGGACAGAGCCATAAGACACCGCATGAGCTTGCAAACGACGAGGAACTTGAGGACGAGGATCATGCTCCGGCAGATATGAGTGCATTGAAGCACACGCTGCTTACAGCGGGCATCATCGCTAGCGGTTTTACGATCGCTTACCACGTGGATGACTTGAGAATGGGTAAGCCAGATCTCCGCTTAGAGCGTACAATCAAAAGGCTAACAAACTTGGCAGTTCTGTCCTTCGTTGGGTCCACAGGATCCACAACTATATCTTTCATCCTCCCAGGTCTCTTCTACTGGCAGGTTCGTCATACCAGTATCCGAATCGCTCACCGCACACCGAACTAAAGCCCGTCGTCGTCGTCGATTGTCCAGCTGACGCGACATGACGCATCGGCGAGTAAAGCGCTCAACCGCGCCGCTCTTGCGCTTGCATGCTATGGCGCCTTTATCTTTGTGTTCTGGTACGTAAGCGATACGCGTGATCGAACATCATTTCTGATGTAATGCTCGTGTTCCACAGCTTGAGCTATAATATCTACGGGGTCGTTCGTCCGTCGAGTTCCAGTCCGAGTGGACATTAACCCCGATAGACACATTGATGCTATGTTACGCTGTGTGGCTATAATGAGCCTGACATTAGAACCAGAGAATAGAGAATGTAGTCGCCTGCTGTGCTGTTTGCAGTGACCCGGGGAACTGGGGAATAGGCGCCCGCCCGATTTGCAATAGAGCGTGCCGCGATTTCCTCGCAGCCGCCACCGTCCTGCGGGCTTTCCCCTCAGACCTATGCACCAACCCACCGCTTGAGCTCAGCGTTGGCCGTCTTCTTCCTCGACGTCGACCGCCTCAGCTAGTATTGTTCTTGTTTGCGTTGGTCAATGTCTGTCGGTACGTATGGGCCTACTGCAGTGTCGCGCACTGGACCGTGTTACTCGTTTCTGTTTCTGTTTCTTCTTCCCGTTTCCTGCTACGATCACTGGCTGACCGTTCGTGTTCTATAACGCAGAGGCACCCGCGCTGCTCGCATCGCACACCATCTTCACGTCGAAAGCTCGCTTGTCATCGCCATCGCCATCGCGCACACCTTTGTTACCCATGCACACGTCCAACAACGCAACCGTGCCAACCCTCATCCAAACCGGCCTGCCTATCATGGATACCACTCTACCTACCCCGCTTACGACGCTAGTCGTGGATGGCGCTCAGATATCGCACTCTCCTCCGCCGAGCACGGAGTCGACGTCAGACGGGCCGTTGTCCGACCTTGGCAAAGACGCTAGCACGGATGTGGATCCTCAGATTTTGGAGGCGCTGAAAAGCAAGGACAGACTGTTCGTCCTCAAGGTCGGCCAAATCATGGAAGGGTTGATCAAGGAACAACAGTAAGCACGAGCCACTCATTGGTGTGTTGGTCTTCCGTGCTTAGACGTGTTTCCTCAGGCAACGAGTGGAGGTGCAAGCATCGACATCATACCAGCGACTCCTGGTTCATCGATGTGCTGCGTACTACAAATGCACACCTGAAGCCGACCCTGTCACGAAGAACCTCGCAATTGTGAAGACAATCGAAAGCCGCATGTCAGTGTCACAATCGGACACATACGATGATCTCACTCTAACACGCGTCTCTAGTCCAATTCGTCGACTCAGTGAACTGGTGCCCGCGGAGTCACAGTCTCTGCCCGCGTTCAAAATCATGCGGCGCTCCTCTAAGGAGCGTGGAAAAACCAAATCGCGTTCACACACGAGCTCTGTGGCCGGCGAAGATGCCGACCTCTCGGACGCTGAACCTTCGGAAAGCGGCAGCGTCGGTGGCCGCAGTAATGCCACCAGTGGGCGGAAGCATCTCACGATCGCCGAGCGGGAAGCCGCCTATAACGAGGCGCGGACGCGTATATTCATGGATTTCCAGGATAAGGACAAAGACAAAGATATGAGCGCTAGCTCATCCACATTCAGCCTCGTCTCCGGTTCTGCATCCACCAGCGAGGGCGGAGGCAGGAGCGATTTGGACGACACCGCGAGCACAGCGCCCACCGAGAGCGAGTGGTCGGGCCCAGTATCACGCGATAAAAAGGGTGCTCCGGGTAGCACTTCAGCTGGATCTTCACGTTCTCGCAGATCAAACTATAGAACAGGCGGGAGCACACGCAACTCCAGAGCCCCATCACCCTCCTTCACATACGCATCCATATACGAGCCGACTTCGGGCGTAGCATCCACATCTTACGATCAAGGGGACGTTCCACCTCCCGGTTACATTTTCTACGCCTACCCTCCCCCCGGACAAGTTGCTCCTCCTGCAGGTTTTTATCCTGCATATCCATACTATGCTTACCCCTACCCTCCTCCGCCTCCACACCCTCACTCGCAATCCGAGCCAACATCCGGTCATGCAACGCCAGAGATCTACGGGCATCCCCACCAAGTACCGTACCCAGGCGCTTACGCATGGGCACCTGCTCAGCAAGGCGCGTTGACGCCGGGTTCTGCTCCTCCCCCGCAGACACCAAACATGCAGCCTGCCGCTCCACATGGCAGCCCACCCCCAATGCCACGGAATCCACAGTATGGAACTCCATGGCCCGCTATGCCCCCCGCGCCATATGGACCCTACCCCGCGCCGGGATACTACTCGCAGTCGATGTCCTACGTTCCAGGGCAGCCTGCGCCACCTGCACTGCCGCCTCAAATGCACGGCCAGGCCGTGTACTCGCAAGAAATGGCTCCGCCGCCCCCGCCGCATATGAACGGGCGTGCACCGAGCAATGGCAGCATGTCCTCACAACACAGCCGGGCTTCGTCTCGAAGCAGCAGTGTGAGCGGCGGCGCAAAGCGTGTAGCGCCGTCCGTGCGGCCCACGTGGAGCTACGGACCTCCGAACTCGATGTACGCTTACGGTTCGGGAGGCAGTATGGGTGGCGAAACGGTCGGCCCGCGGCTGAGCTCTTCGATGCGGCGAACGTCTGCTACCTCCAGTGTCGGTAGCGTCAGCAACGGCAACCGCACACCCTCCGATGAAGCATCATCTACAGTGGTGAGTGTTTAACTTCTCGACCTTTTTCCTTTCCTAGAACGTAGACGCTCATGCTCGTGTGTGATAGTCGTCCTCAACCACTTCGTCGTCTTCTCGACGGACCTACACGTCTACTTCCACGTCTTCCAAGCACCCCCTTCCCGCGCGTCCGGACTGGGCCATCAACCTAAAACCGCAGCCGACCCTTCACAGCAACAGCCGGTCCAGGACAGCCTCTGCCGGCACTACACATGGCCCGCCTTTACAAGCCACAGATTTCCCTCCCCTCTCGGTAGCCTCATCGACGCCCAAAGCACCTCCCGCTGCCGGCGCTTGGGGCAAGCCGCCTGCCAACAAGTCGATCCTCACACCCAACAATCAGACCTCTGGCAGCAACGGCAACGCTCTCGTTCAGTACCCCGCGCCATCGGCGAACGGCGGCGCGTCCGGTCGCACGTCTCCGACACCCGAGGAGTACCAGGACAGAGTCCCCGAGCGGCCGTTCGCGAAGGGACCTGAGCCGTCGCACGCCAACCCGAAGGTTGCCACGGAGAAAGTGCCGGCGGATGAGAGGTCTGGGATTGCTGACGGCAATGCCACCGCTGAACAGATGCAGCGCCTCAGTCTAGACGACTCGACGAGACCGGGAACGGTATGATAGTGTCAGTAGTTGTACGTGATGACACCCGTCGGGAAATGCCTTAAAATACGTCCCTGGTAGGTGTAGTGATATCGGCAGTCTAGTTGTGTAGTCCCTTGTTGTCTTGTTGTGTTAAAGTAACAGTATAATGGCAGCCACAAACAGTTTTATATTACGCGATGTTGCATGCAAGACTTCTCTTCAGCCTCGTGCATACACTTCCCCTGGATGGGCTTGGCCAATTGTCTGTGCCGGATCGTCAGTTGGCAGGTTGCTTTAGTGCGCTCTGCTGTCGTTGCAAGAGTTTCTGAGCCAGCCGCCTCGGTTGAGTGGGGGTTTGCAATATCCCATCAACACTGATTCCTGCCTCACATCCCGCCTCCCTTGAATCCAGCATCTCACAGTGCGCCTGAGATCGTGCAGAGAATGCGTCTAGAGAGTCTATCGATGCACGTCGTCGAGAAGCACTGCGTGACGGCATGCAGCTAGGCTCGATGTAGATATCGCAGCCTAGATTGCCTCTGGATTCGAGCCAGCCGTGGTCGAACGACGGCCATCGTCGTCGAAAAGTGTGTGAATGTCGAAGCATGCGCCTAGACCTCTTGCACCTGGACACAAAATGAGCGCAAGTGAGCGAAATGTAGAAAACAACGCACCACATCTGATAGACCAAAACCTGACCCCTAATGCATGGGCATGGCAGCATCTGTCATAGGTCGTTTTCGTCCGCCAACAAGATTACACATGTAGTCATAATGATCGCCGTGACGACCGTGATTATGGCAAAATGTGGTCTAGAGAAGCATGGTTAAGAAGAGCCGACTCGTGCTATGAGCAATTCTTTCGCTGACTTCTTAGATACTAAGAAAGCGCGCATGTGCCGCATATCCTTGTATCCTTGATGGTACTCGAAAAGTCCGGCGGCGATAGCACCCATGGCTGCCAAGAATTGCAACGTAGCTATGGGTAGGCCTGCATTCGTGAGGCCGGTTCCTGGCTCGTCCTCTCCCTTGATAGCGAGTCGAGCGCGAAGTAGCACCGAATAGGACGTCAAAGAAAGCAGAAGCGCCAGTTTGATGTGAGCCAAACAGTTTCGCTCGAGCATGCAGAAGTCCCGTGCCGTGCTTCAAGTACAGATAGACCGTGAGGCTATGCCTACGTTGCGGGAAACCATACTGACCTGCCGGTGTTCTCAATGATTTGAGGCATAGTGAAGAAGCCAGCTTTCGCCAAGTAAGTACCGGTCGAACCGGAGTCCTCGATATGAGGCAGCGGAGATCACGTGTCTACCCCTCCTTGCTCGAAGCCAAGTTCTCTGGCTAAGCTCAGGCTGTTCTTGTATCAATATGCCTCGGCACAGAGCCCAGCAGGAGGAGGAGGACGCAGCGGCACTCAAACTCGGCTCTGAGTTTGCGTCCGCCGGTTGCCTGCTCATCTCCGAAGTCAAATACCTGTTGGAACACAAGGACCGAGACAACACTGACAATGCGTCAGTCCTTCGCCGACCATCTCGATAGGCTACAGTTCTGAACCTGGGATTGGTATCAAGGGTATACAACAAGACGCTGGAATACGTCCGTACATTCTCTCGGTACACATCTGCCGACTCGGCGTCGAGCGTTCGAAGGTTCGTCCGTGGCCTCTCCACATTCGTAGCGCCTGTGCTCAAATGCGCGAGAAAGCGTGCTTGCAAGCCGTGACGCCGGCCTATCTCAGTTTGAGATCGCCCAGCTGGCTAATCTCTGCCCGGCAGACGTGGATGAAGCCAGAAGTTTGATCCCGAGGTGCGATTTGCCACCCGGACCCTCCTCAAGGATTTCAGCCTGTTTTCCGATGTCGTATCGTCTCAGGAGCTGACCTCCTCTGTAGTCTGGTCAAGGTACCTGAGGATCGTCTTCAAGCTATGATCGACGAGATGCTCACGCTTCGCAAGTTTCAGTCGTGATACCTCCACATTTTCAAGGGTGCTTCCGTCGTATATATTATTGTTGTACTGTGGCTCTTGACAGCTTCGTGAAGTCGGAACGAGCGTGACTAATCCGATAATATTCTGTCTATGATACATGGGAAAGCAGATGGCTGACATGCGTAATAATAAGTTACAAGAACAGCACACGGAGAGTACGGGGACCAGACACCGACTGAGTTCACCAGAACGCACACCTGTGGACAGAAACAGAATATCAGTCAGTGGGAATACTCGTACGCGAGCTACATTGATGCTTGCCATCCAGAGAAACATTGGCACAAGTTCTCAAGCGAGGTCGCCTGCAGTATCAACTTATCCACTTGTGCGGGGACGTCGAGCGCGACTTCCGGATCGAAATCTCGACCTATGGCCATGTTTTAGTGAATAAGAAAACAGTCCAGGTTCAGGAGCTTGTACCTGTCAGCTTCTGTTGTACGCGGTTGTACACGAATAGAGCGCGTTCATTTCGCACTTCCTGTTTAACACCTTCTCCGACGTTTTCTGTGTGTGATCCGGTTGGATTTCGCTCTACAAGGATGTGAAGAACACGTACCGTTGAAAATCTCATTCTCGTTGGCCTTAAGTTTCCTCGTTGGTCCTTGAGGGAAGGCAGCGGCTTTAAGCTCCGCGTTTCGAGTGGCGTCCGGATCTGTATTCTCCATTAGCATGTTAATTACCACAAGAACCGCTCAATGCCTACCGTCGTGACGGCGAGCGTCCACGTCATGCTGCATCAATCTCCAGTTGATCAAGGGATCGTACACAAAGGCCTCTAAGACAGCCATGAGGGACTCCTTGTTGTCGCGGAGAACCTTCATGGAGATCTCGCATGTATTCCTGAAGCTACCCTCTATACCGCTGACCTGTAACAATCATGAGCACTGCTCCACTGGATGATACGAACAAGGTGCAGACCTCCATAGCATGAGTCAGCATTCTCGTCAACCGGAACGGAATCTTCTCGGGAAATTTCTCTCGGTGCATCGCGACCTCGAAGCAGTCGCCAAAGTCGATGTGGACCACCTTCCCGGTGGAGCGCTCCAGAAGCAAGTTGCTCGGATGCCTGTCGCCCAAGCCCAGGATGTGGCCGACCATGCTGTTGACCGCAAGGGATCGTGTGTACGTCGCTCGTCGCTCCAGCCAGTGCTCCGAGTTGTTCGACTTGAGCCAAAGCACTCGGTAGAGATCCTGTCCTGTGGTGTTCTCCAGAGCGTATTCGAATACTTCCACCTTCTGTAACAAGATCAAGTTCTCATAGTCCGGCGCCATCTGGACATCAGTTGAGAACCAGGTCAGGCGTGCATCGGAGAAGAAAGACGCGCCTGGAGCATGAGTCGATACTCGATGTTGAGTAGCACCTTGCGAGAGTCGCGGTAGTCTCGCACAAGCACGTGCAACGTGTCACTGTCCGGCACCCAACCGATCAGACCAGCATTGGGAGCCAGAGGAATAACGGGGTATCGTTGGATATGGAGTCGTCGTTTGAAGCTGTCCGTATCTACAGCAAGGAGTCCGTTGACGAGACTGAACAGTTGCATCACGCGCTCGTCTTGCCGAAGATCCTCGTGACCTAGGTGCGTACGTTTAGCGAACATACAGCTACGGGCACGAGCGATTCCAGTCACCTTTGAGGAGATATTGATAGTCTCGCCCATCGCTGCCTCTGAGGCGCAAGCGGCGTGGTCGCTGCTTGGACGAGATCACCGTCAGCTTGGATGCAAAACTGGTAATCTTGACGATAGGGCGCCCGCTTTGGTAAGTGCCTTCACAAGTCATAAACGCGAAGTATCTTGGAATATATCAGCTGGGACTTACCCGGTACGGCGAGGTCCAAATTCCGAGCCTTGAGTAGTTCGGGAGACACGTATTGTAAGTCCAGCGTCGTCAGTTGAGGTAGTTGCTTCTCAATCTTCTTAAACACCTGACAAAGCCAAAGCCCCATTAGGAACAGAACGCGACTTGAAAGGATAGCCTTACCCCATAGTAGGTATCCCAAGCCCTTTCAAGCTCACTGGTTTCCCCATATACACGGTATCGGCGACAAGCTTCGCGAGCTTCATGCAAGTCCCGGCCGAATACCTGCGCGAAAGATGTTTCCCTTGCAGTCGTTGGCCCCTAGGAAGACGAATTAGCCAGGTGCTGGTGATAATCACACGAATCGCTCACGGCTTCCAACAGATCATGCAGCGGTTCGAGACAGGCAATCATGGCATCAGGGTTCTTCTCAGTGAAATACAACCGAGATGCTTCTTCGAGACCTTCGAACCATAGTTCATGCCAAAGGATCGCCACTCGGATTAACTCCTGGCTAACGAGCAATGCCTGCAGCGAGTGTCAATTCAAGACTTTTCATATAGGGAATCACCTCACCTGTTCCACTATGGTCGCACTGTGTTCTCTCATACGTTCCATGATCCCGAGGGCGGCATCTCTGCGAGCAGCGCTTGAGGATTTCGAGGCAACGGTCAAAGGGTAAACCAAGGCTTGTGGATGATGCTTTCCAACTTCCACCAGCAGGTTGGTTATAATCCTCCGAATATTGGTGCTCGGAGTCTGGATACGCGCAATGATCTGGACCCACTAGAGTTAAACCCAACGTGCATGCGAGACGAACAATCACATACCTGCGGAATCACTTCTAACCACGTGTCGACCTCTACCGTCGCAAAGCCTTCGCTCATCGCATGGCTGACGTCATCGTGTACGCCGAACTTGAACCACAAGGTCAAGAGACGAAGGGTGTCTTGAAGCGCATTCTCATTGCGTAGCGAGATGGAGCGGAAAAATCCTAATCGCTCGCATGAGTACCTCGATCGACCCACACTAGTCAAGGACTCGCCTCGGATGGACTGCACTATATGGGCTGCGAGCGAAGTACCAGAGACATCGCTCGTCTTAATCTCGCTGCGGTTCTCAAGGTGGCCGATTACCTCGAAATTGGCAAGCGCCCAAGTATGCCAGGCTTTATACCACTTCGGGTCGTACCGGGTGGCAAGCAGGTACGAATGAAGGATATCCTTGGTGTTTCTCTGGAGATGGACGATGAACTTCGACAGCAGTCGATATAGGTGCGTGTGACGTACCGAGCCCCAGTCCTCTCCAAGCACCGTTTGCCATTCGCCGATCTTATAGTAACATCTAGCCACCAATTTCGAGAATTCTTCTGACTTCTCCTTTGACAACGACGAGGCGCGCTCGTTCGGCCGCGGTTGCAATTCCCTCGTAAGGCTGTCTGCGAACTGCCGAAGGTACTCAAGATGGCTTTCGCGATTTTGACCCGTGGCCCATGAAAATTTGAGATGGGCGTATATCACGTTTGGTGGGGCCTTCGTGTATCGGAGCTGTGGTATCTGATCCGGGGGCTATCATAATGTACATCAGACTAAGCTTCGGCGCAGCATGGTCTCATGGACTTACCGCTCCACGATATAATAGGGAGTTGATGGCCTTCTCGGCCAAAGCCATGCGATCGGATTTACGACAGAGGTTGGCAAACTTGATCCACACAACAGGGTCGTCTTCTGGACTAAGGACCAAACTCCTGACTTGTAGAACACGCTGCCACACTTCTACCTGAGGCTGACAACCCTGTAGTCTGGAAAAAAGACGTCAGTCAATGTAAGCCGTAACTGCGTCATCCCTACCTCTTCATCCATGTCGTCTTCATGGTCTTTTGACGCTCGGGTTGATCAGCATATTGTTTGTACGCAATGATCTCCTCCAGTTCTGACAACATTTGAGCGCGAACCATGATACTACAGACGGCGAAATGAGCAAGCAACTAATGACGTGGATTGTGCCTTACTTGTACGAGCGGCCATAGCTCTCGTTGACGAGAGTCGTGAGTTCGGGGTCCAGGAGGTCTCTCGCCTTCGCAATGTGGGTGATCGCCTTCGGGAATTGGTTCTGATGGACGGCCAAGATTGCACGATAGAACGATCGATCTGGAGAATCAACTCTCATCGAACTAATGTACTTGTCCATATCCTCCCACTCATTCAGGCACCACGCAGCGGCGGCAGCCATGGGCGCCATATCTCGGCGTTCGTCAGGATTCGCAGCTTCCCAGTGTTCTTCGACCTGGCTGGCGAGTGCATCCCATTCCCCTAGGGCGTGAAGACACCTCATCTTACCCGCCGGCACTTCCCGGTTGTCAGGATCTTCTTCTCCCTTGCGGTCGTAAGCCTCGAGTGCCTCCTGCCAGCGACCCAACCTCTCGTACCACTCCTCATGCTTGCTAACGTCGTAAGTCTCTTTGGCCGTGATGAGTGTGCCCCATGCCGCATCATGCTGTTGCAACTTCTGATTAATCCCAATCAATGCCTCGATGATGTTGGGGGACGTTTCAGAGAAGAACTCGAGCTCTTTATAGTGCAGAGCCTTCGCGTACGCATGATACTTCATCGCATGCTCTCCGAGCGTGCGATGTTCAATGGGCAAGGGTTTCTCTTCATGCTCCATGAACTCTGCTAAATTGAGCAAACGATGCACAAGCTCCGAGGGCGCTTCGGGCGCTCCCATCGCAAGCTCAATGGCGCGGACAAGGTCCTCCTGCAGGCGGTCGTTAATGATGATGCGAGCAACATCGCCGAATGCTTGCCTGATATTGGTCATACAGCTCGCCCCAGCACGAGATGAATGCAGCATTGAAGAGTTCTTTGGCGAGAGGAGGGTGGGCATCAACTAGCGTCATACACGCACGAAGGGCGTGAGAAGGAGATTCCTTCATGAACTCGACGGCGAGACGGTGCATCCAATCGTTCCAATCCTCACGCGTTGCAACCTGGGAGACATCCCACGCCTGCTTCAAGTGCTGTTGGTTCACGGTCATCTTGCTGGGTTCAGCAGGTGCAGTGAACTCTGTCTTAGAGCTATCGCTGAAGCTGCAATCGATCAGTGAATTCAGTGCGTTCCAACATGTTTCTCACAGAAGTTCAATGCCTGGAGCTTCCTGAGGAAGGCGTTCGCCGTTCAGAAGCTTCGACACAAGATTCTCGTACTTGATGTAGTTGACTCGATAATTGACCATCGTCTGCATAAACTGTGAGCAAGGGCATCAAGTCCCGAGGAGTCCAAAACGTACCTTATTGATCGTCGGCACGAAGATCGCGAAATCGGAGCCTAACTGGATGAGAAGCGAGCAAAGCGTGTCCATCACGGCCATACGCAGCTCGTTGTTTGCAGTCCGAAGAACTCGAACAAGTGGATGTACGATACGGGAGGCATGGTCGGAAAAGTTCACCTTCCTGGATAAGCCATCGATCGTCTGAACGGCGCGCTTGCGTAAAGCTATGCTTGCTCCCTCCCGCTCGCAGGTCTTCACGATGGTGGGTATCACGAGGTGCAGATATTCCTCCACGTTGGAGCCGAAAGTGAGGATGGCGTCAAAAATTTTGATCTGGGTGTTCATACGTTTGTCGTTCAGAGGCCCGCCATCGAACACCTTCAGCGCGAGCGGCAAAATGGTCGGCAGGAACGGCTTGAATTCAGCGTCCAGTGCCCTACCGAGGGACTCGACGAGCGAGACAATCGGCAGATGCAAGGCAGAGTTCTCCCACAATTCCGTGATGAGCGCGACAATGTCAGGCATGTAGACACGGACGTGTTGCTTGATGATGTCAATCAAGATCGCAAGCTGCTGAAGATGAAACTCTTGCAAACGCGCATTAGAATTGCGCGCCACCATCGCAAATGCCGGAATGATCTAACGGGGGAGAAATCAGAGAATTTGATTTGTTACGAGATTGTTGACTGACTTCGGGTAAGAACGTAACGCATTTCAGACCTTGCGTCTTGAAGATAGCCATTATAGCCTCGATGACTGTATGGTGCTGCGCACTGAGGGAGGAATCTCTGAGAACCCCCAGGAGCGATCGAATCACTACAGTCTGGTAGTAATCATCTGAAGAGGTCGACATGAAGGCGGGAGTCAGAGTCGCCGAGTTGTCATTATTGCCGCTTTCGTTGCCATCGTCAATTGACTTGTGCTGGAGTAGGTTCAGTACACGTAACATGCGGCTAATGCACTACCTACCTTCCGTTTGTAGGGATCCAAAGCACCGAGGATACCGAGCACCCGAATGACCTCCCGACGCATCAGCTGGTTCGACTCGGTTTTCATGATACGCCCGAGAAGTTGCAGCAATTGCGGATAATCAAGAAGCGGCGCGATAACATAACCGGTGCTAGAGCACACTTGTCCGAGAGAAATCAAAGCCGCGTCCCGTTTCTGCAGTGCAGAGTCCGCCAAGCGGGTCATGATCACCTGCATGAGGTCTGGTATCTGTGGAACGACATCTTCTCCGCCAGCAGCTGCCAGCTCGCCGAGGCACATCAATACATTGGCCGCGACGACAGAATTTTGATCGTCAGCTTTCTGAAGTAAAACGCGAAGCATGGGCACAGCGTAGGGCTTGATCAACCGTTTAGTAGCCCCAACGAGACGTGTCAGCAGGAGAGTGCACTCTTCTCGTCCGCGTCTGAACACCCCGTGTGAGCGTGCTGTATCACGGAAACAGGTTGTACGATTCACTCACAGTACGGTTGAGTATTCTAACTCAGTCAGAAGTTGAATTAACGTTTTCCGTAGAGACGGCATGACGTAGGCGGGGTTGTGCATGGCGAGTCGGCCTATGAGGCTCACGGCAGTGAGTCTGTTCTCGAAGACCTCGTCATTGAGGGCGATGAACAGCGATCGAACATTCTCGGCTTGAGCAAGGTGCTTGTCGAAGCGTTCGTGGAGGTTCGATAAGACAGTTTGCCTGATACCGGGATCTAGAGTCAAGATAGCGGTGAGCTGACCATACGTAGAAGCATAGAACGAGGGTGCATACCAGGATCCGCGATACCCACGGTCAACAATTTATCGAGAACGTCGGTTATGACTTCAATGGCATGGTTGCTCGACTGATAACATATCGGATCCCTCACAAAGCAATGGCAGCAGGTGAGGGCGGCAGCGCGCCGTACTTCGGCATGGTCGTCATCCAGATACGGCAGAGCACACGTTCGCACAACTTCGTTAAGAACGTAACCTGTGGAAAGTCAGTCAAATCGGTTCTACCGAGTTTCTAGCGACTCACCGCTGAAGTCAAATGTGCCAAGTGTTTCCAAGGCCAAGGTGATAAGTTCGGGGCTTTTGGACCCGTCGGGTCCCTGGAATCACGATGAGTATAGATAGAGCACAACCCCGACGGCGAGAAACCTACTTGTCCAATATTGTATTCCTTGACCAAAGACGAGATTTCTCCCCGGACAAAGGATGATGGTGCCCCCAGTGGTTTGTAAGGTTGGCCACTGAGAATTAGGGACAGCATGTCCAGCAGGCGCTCTAAATATATTTAAGGCCACAATACGGCGGAACTGAGACAGTGTTGGGCGAACCTTGTATTGTCTTGAGCAGAGGCTGTATATGCCTGGCTATGGCGACCAGAGCTTGCCTCAACGGCTCGCTCAGCCCACAAGCAAACATGAGATCAAGTTGGTCATGTAGTAGTTTCGTCAGATTGGGCCCCACTGCGGCTGCAAGCATGCCGATGCACTGGAACATGGGTTCCTCCGCGGGCGCGTTCTTCTTCCTGTGGAACCAGCCTCATGAGTATGATTAAGAAATTGAGGGGGCCATAATTGGTTACCCTCTCAAGAGCAGGCCACTCTTGATTTGCGCCATTATCGGTTCAAGAAACAGTTTCATGTCACTACCAACAGCGGTGGCCACGTGGCCAATGGCAATGAAACCTAGCACGATTTTGAAAAGGGCGCGTTTATGCTACAAACGTATACTAACCGAAGTTCCGCTCTTGAGGTTTCTCCAGCTGCGCAAGCAGGTGCGCCACAGCGTGGTGAAGATGGCGTTCCACGAAGGTTTGCGCGTCATAGGCAGCGAGCGTTGGGATGAGGGTAATGACCATCTTGCGCACAACTATGTCACGGTGATTTTTGAATGTCATGATGCGTTCCGCGGTGTCGACGTAGTGATCCTTCATGAACTGGGTGGAAAGTTGTGGAAAGTTGCATATATAGTCAACGAGATTGGCGAGGGCAAAGCGACTCACCATACCCCCATGTAGGAGCAGCTCCCTCAGAGTGAGCAACGAGCCGTGTATGATCTCGGGCGGCGTCATCTTGAGGCCATTCTGCGCATCAGCAAGAATTCGCTGAAGATAGAGGCTTGGTTGGTTCCTCTCCCGTTGAGAGACGATCTCCAGGCAGGCTGCCAGAAGCTCGGCGGCGCCCTCGCGAACAATAACCCGCGCGTCTCTGAGTGGCACAAGGATCTTCTCGAAAACCAGTCCGATGTGCGGATGGAAGTAGTTCGGGCTGTGTTTGGCGAGCTCCTTGAGGATCAGCACACCGGCATATCTGTTCGTTTCGGCGCCAGACAAGAGACCGATGGCAGACTGGACTTCGAAGTCCATAAACCGATCGCCGAAGGCGGCACCACCAAGCTGAGCGATGTGACCTAGCGTTTTCGAGGCGGCGAGCATGATGTTGATGTCTGGATCGGGTACCAGCGACCGCGCATAGTTATAGAATCGGAAGAGATTCCGCTTTGACTCGAGCGTCTCTTCGGTGTCCACAGAAAGCAGCTGGTCTGAGACAATTTATTGTTCAGTCAGCAGCAGTGGCCACAGTAGCGCGAATAATACGCACCAATCGCGGTGATTCCACCAAGCTTTTCCGCGTTGATCTGACTGTGGACTAATTCGAAGAGGCGCTTGTTGATGTCATCGTCCCAGAGTTTGGAGGCAACATCAGATGGAAGTTCTGCAACAGTCGTAGAAACCTGCAGGACATCAGCAAAACCAAACTGCACGAGCCAAAGACACGCACATAATGTTGTAGCTCGATGGCTGCTTGTAATCGAACTTCCGGACTCTTGTCGCGTAACGACTTGAAGATGGCGCCCAGCACATCCGACTGTGCAGTAGAGCTTGTCGTCGCCATGATGGCGTATAGAGAAAGGAGGACAATTGGCGATCACTGCCTGAAGCCGTGCCCACGAGCGCCAAGCCAGAGCTGAACTCGACCGAAGAAGGCGAAGACACACGAGCCGCTGAGCCACAAGCGCCCGTGAAGCAGTCAATGACATCACCTGACTCAATGAACTTCAATGACCACGTGACTACACTTACGAGGGAATATGCTTGCTTGGCGTTTTCTTTCCAGCCCTGACCACAGCATGTGCGCAACTCCGTCACCGTCATCGGAAAGGAGAGAAACACTCGTTGACACTTGCATTATAATTAAAGGTACTTCGCTGCTGGCAGTCATAACTACTCGCGCGACACGTTCCTAACAAGCATGGGGCAAAATCCCAATACGTCGGTATTTTCTCGCTTACCGTTCCTATCCGCGCAGTTTCTGCACGCCGTATCCTGCTGTTCAACCTTATATGCTGCCGGTCTGACTCTAGGACTCCACGGATCATCTGCTCTTCCTCCCGTGTCTTGGTCATGTGGTCCACGCCGGTTTCTATCAAGCTTTGGCTATAGTTCGTCCCCTACACGATCTCTGCCCCAGGCTCTCTCAATCCAAGACGGTGGCGTAACGAAAGAGTTCTCGCTCAATGTTGGGCCATCCTGTCTCCTCTCCTCTCGCAAAGTGATGTCTTCGCCCTCATGGCACTGGCCAGTTATCGATAGCGCCGCGTATTATTGGACGAGCAACGGGTCATCTTAATCATATCGCACAGCCTAGCGCGTGTGCGCAGTGCGAGACGCAGGAGTCGCATGTGGGTCTCTAGGTTCCGATCCATTGAATGGTCAAGTGTGTGCTAAGTATGTTCCCTCGTTCACACTTCAGCGCTTTCGGCTACGCCGGATGTTTTCGAGGGCGCCTCTCAGCCATTTCAAACGACCGACGTTGGTGGCGCACAGTAGCAACGGAGCCACTGGATTCATATCTCCGTCTTGGGTAGCTTCGAGCCCACCTCTTGGCGGCTGCACTCCAACTTGTGATAATCGTGGATCTTGTACGTGGCCATCGTGACCATCCTCCGCAAGACAATCGCTGCGATACGCACGTTTCGGGGCCTCGTCGTTCCGTTGCTTCTCATAGTGTCTTGAAAGACGTCGAGCGGGTCATGAGTTGTCCGGTCTTTGTATGTCGGAAGGCGTCCGCGACGCAACGTCAAGCATACTCCGTTACAATCGGGCGCCCTTATACGCGCCGACTCGGACATGGCGACCATCTCTGTCTATCAGCACCGATGTTGATGATCTCTGAACTACGCCAGACCATCCGATTCCGTGATTACTTCAACCATGGCGAATCAGGACGAAACCTGTGGGCGTTTTGTATTGCCACTGGCCAACCGAGATTCTATCTAAGCGACGCCCTCATTCCCCTATTCGCGCCCATTTATCAATGCACGACACATATATCTTGTAGTACTGCCGTCCCGTGGACACCATACCCCGCATTTCTCTTTTAGATGTCAGGGCATCAACGTCGTCACCAGCGCCTGTAACCACGGTCGGAGCCTGTGCGGGATGCTTATTCCACTGCTTAATTCTGCTTACCGCATTCAGAAGCCAGGGGGTCAGAATGCACAGCCCCCTTGCTCCCGGATCTCGAGGCCCGGGAGTGCGCTCGCCCGGCGATCGGAGTCCCCCTCTCTCTTATCGGAGGCTGGTTGAGGCCGCTCTGGGCTCTACTCTTGTTGCCAACTTGGCCGTCTCGGGTACACCGGCGCACTGGCCGTCTCTGCCGTTTGCCAGCTGAAACATCGATGCGCCTCGGAGGTACATCCCACATATGTCGCTCCTTTCTCGCGCGGAGGCATGCAACCACCGGCGAGAAGACGATCAGTGACCATAAGCTTGCCATAAGCATGGCAGGTCGGGCGCAGCATACTACTATTCGTGAAGCTGCTCCTCGCGGCGTGCCTAGGCCTGCCGCGCGCACCAGGCAAGGCATGAATTTGGTTCCGCCCAGCGCGCGCTTCTGCTGATTTACACGCAACGGCAGGGTAGGGCATGAGACCGCCACGAAGACGTAATCGCGCTCGCCTTCGTGATGACGCCTAGGAAGCGCAGCGATAACGTGCTCGCTTCTGCATCTTCTTTTGTTGCACTCTATCTTCGATCGGAGGTCGTGGGTTGGCGCTCTTGACGTCGTGTGCTTCCCCAAGACCTGTTGAATAGAGATATGCGAGACTCGTGTAATCTGCCTCGTGCCCCGCGCCAGCCGAACATAGCCAGACGGTGAGAAGATCCCGCGCGAGGCATCACAAATCGACCCAGAAACATCCTATAGATACAAACATTAAGCAACTAAAGCAACTAATGATATGTACAATACTATACAACTGCCCAAGAAAGACATGCGCGCAGCATGAGACGGAAAGCGAACGGGAACAGTATTGTACGGGGAGGCTAAGACGTAGATGACAGAGAGTGGCAGTCAGTATACAGTAAATTAGTATTTGTTGTTGAGCGCCGCGCCAGGGAAGAAAAGACGGGAGAAGGATCGAAGGTAATAAGTCATGTACAAGAAAAGAGGTAATCGGCAGCAGCTCCCAACGCAAGGCAATGATCCGCATACGAGTAAATGGGTACTAGTTCTTGTGCGCTAGTGTTCGTCGGCGAGCGTGTGATGTTACCGGTAGTTAGTGATACTTCCCGGGGGCGTATCCCATTGAGAGCGCCCGGGATAGTCAGGAGTAACGGTAGGGGATGTTTCGGCATGAATGCCTGCCGATAGGGGGGACGTCAACGTTCGGTCGGGTACGTAGCCCGGTAGAGGTGTAAGGAGGGTGCTGTCCGGTGCAAGTCGGTTCATCACCGGCGATATGGGTGTGAGATACGTTGTCTGTTGGGAGAGTTGGGATGGGAAAGTGCGCGGCCCGGCAGGACGATGCGGATCATTGTCCAGTGGCTGGTCGGGATGAACGGCGTAACCCTGTTGAGCAGGCGGAGCATAGTGGGGCGGCAGGAAGCGCCCCGGATAGCGATGACCATCGCTTGGCATCGCAGGCATCGATGATCGCCGAAGGAGTCGGCTGTCGTAGCCTTCCGCTGGATAGTAGCCGCGATCCTGCATGCCAGCGTCCAGCCGTACGGCAGAAGTGCCCATGGAAAGGGGGTAGGGGAGGACAGACGGCGCATTCGAATGTTGCGACACCGAATACGCACTACCAGCCGAGTAGCGACTCATGGCTTCCGCTTCGTCAGCGGAGTACGAGTAGCTATCAGCAGTTGGTATGTGCACGCCGAGTTGCGGGCGACTATGGCGACGGCCTCCTGGATTATCGCCCGCGGCAGATTCCGACTCCTTCTTTGCCTTCCGCCATTGCTTCCGCAACTCCTTGAATTCTGTAAATTGGGTAAGAACGCCGTGAATCGATCGATGACGAGCAGCCCATACCGGCTGGACTGCGTTTCTCGCCGTGGCGTTGCATTCCGATGTGGGCGTTGAGATGATTGAGCGTGCCGTATGACTTCGTGCATACCGAGCCATCTTCGATGGCGCAATAATGTGAACTGACTGGTAGCGGCCAATATATTGATGCGTACCTGGCAAGGTGTAGGAGCACTGGTAGAGACGCTCAATCTCATCGTAACGCCTACGTGGCCTCTTCTTCACCGCGTTGCCAGCCAGCGAAACAAAGGCGTAGGTCTTGGAGCTTGCATTGGGACTCCGTGGGCCGCCTCGCATGTACGGCGACGCAGATGGATGGCCGACGACCGATGGCGAGATGGGGACGGTAGGCTGGTCCGGTAATGAGGACATAGGATGTACAGGCGGGGACGGATACGGGTACGAATGTGGGGGAGCATACGGGGCGGACGTCACCTGCTCCGACGTCGGGTCGACCGGGGCCGAGAGGTCAGCTCTCGTATCGTTGGGACTAGGATCCCAGCGATAGTCGGACAACGGCGGTGAAGGCTGGCCCGATCGCCCCGTCATGCTGTAGCCAGCGTAGCGAGCTTGAGGGGGTTCGTCCGACGACGACGGCCCCTCGGTGGCAACACCGTACCGTGCAAGGACAGTGCGATCGAGGTCAGCTGCCTGATTAGAGGACCAAGATGGCGCTTCGTACGCGGCTGCGCGCGGCTGCTGCGCGTAGTCCTGGGCATTAGCAGCATAGCGAGGCTGATTATAGGGGGGATCCTGGGAATGGGGCGTCGACTGCAGATAGGCCTCCATCGAGGGATTAACGGACGGCTCATGATAAGATTCTGATTCCACCGGGGAAGAGACAGGCGAGACAGGAGAGTACTGTCGGCCGCTGTCCTGGTCACGGTTCACGAGCTGGTAGTTGGCGGTGTACGAGTGCGGCGGGGAGAAGTACGAGTCACTGTTCTCGTACATGTCCGAATCGACGGAGGCGCGACGGGCATCCTGGAGAGACGGAAGCGCGAGGGAGGACTTCGGAGCACTGTCGAGCGGGCCGTAGATGTTCTCGTGGGGGACGTCGCTGGCGACTATCCGGGGCACGGCGGAGTCGCTGTCCCCGCAACGGTAGGGGTCGAGCGGGTCGAGGAGCAGCGTGGGCGGGGACGCTCGGAGCAGCATTGGACGAGGCGAGGTGCTGAAAAGGTTTACATATAGCAGAATATTACTATTTGCGCTGTCCGGACCCCAGGCGAAGCACGTCCGGCTGGCGAGATCAAGATCTGGAGGAAAACCCAGCCTCCTGGATGAAATTGCCCAGCGTCCAATGATGATATTATTCTGGAAACCTTCGATAGAACGCCGGCTCTGCGAGCGAAATCTTCTCGGCCCCGCAGGCCCGCGTTGTAGCCGACTGATATGCTTCTCGGAACGTGATGTAGGGGTGACGATCACTGCACGGGACTGCACCCGCCCATCGGCGCCCTGGCAGGACACCGGGAATGTATCCTTGGCCTGGTTGAGCTGAGGACAGGGGGAGCCAACGCGGGATCAGCGTACCGAGTACACCGCGCGCGACGACGAGCAGCACAGACGCAGCGGGGGCGACGCCAACGCGCGGGCATCCTGCATCCGATTTCACCGTGCCCCGAAGCTGGGAAGCTCGGACCTCCCATAAAAGGACATATTATGGGTGATGCGCCGGTGTTGCGTGACGTGCCATGTTCAAGCTCCGCCAGATCCCCTTCCCGCGATGTTCCGTTTCCGACCCAGGTTTATTGGATTAAGTATTGCTGTGCCGAGCCACGGCCGAGCGAATCTCATCAATCCCACCCACCGGGCTTGACAGGAGACGCAGAACGGTTTCAGCCTGATGCGTCGTCTTGGCCGCCTGGCATAATCTGGGTCGCTGTGTAATGGAAGCCCTCGCCGTCAGGCAGATCGACCGCGTCTCTTGCGCAACCTGCCGTGCACCCCAGTCTCACCCGCAGCCGGGTTCGCTGACGACGTTGACTGCCATGAAGTCCTCGCCTGCCGCAGCCCGCTCGACGCAATGCATGTGCGTTTTTTCCGGGCCTCTCTCCGTCACTTGACGCGATCCCCGTGCGAGTTCGTTCGGTTTTCTGTCATTTTTCTCCATTAGGATGAGCATGCAGCATGTGCAGCCTCCTCCTCCAGTTCCGAGCGATGCACTCCCAGCCCCCGCGCGCCGCCCGTTCGTGGCGTGATCTTAAACACAATGCTTACCTACTTTGCTCCCTGGTGCGTGTGTGCATGCTGTGTGCATCTACGGGCACGTCGCTCGATTGAGCTTAGTCTCGATGTTGTTCCCATCGGATGAAAGAAGATGGCCCCCAAGGCTTGATCTCTGCGAGCTGATACCCTCGGAAGCAAAGAATCCCAACGCTATTAGAGACGCTTATCTCCAAAGCGGTGCAGAAGGTGGAAGGCCCAGCGTTGGGTCGTATCCAGCAGTAATGCTCCCGTCGATGGTACCTCTCGGCGCTTTCTGCGGCGAACATGCGAGAAACGCGCGATCAAGATTGCAGACATATCTTGCAGGCTGGGCTCTGGCCGACTGCTTTTTGAACAAAGACCTGGAGACACCGTCCGGCAGCGCTCGGCCCGAGCGCTCGAATGTCAAGATGGATTGATCAGAAAGGCTGCGCTTACGGTTGCGCTGCCTTGTCTCGGACGTACTTCGTCCGCGTATCGATGGCAAGACGGCGCTCTGGTCTCAGTAACATCACTGCCAGGGTTCGGTGTCGATGCGACAGCAGTCAACGGCGTCTGATGTGACATGGGTTATGTTGATCCTGGCGTACCGGTCATCCTGGCTAAACACGAGACCAGTTGCTTGCGACGATCGAAAGGCTGCATAGTGAGAGATTGCGTCAGTCCGATTTTCGGTACCGTGCGTGCCTGGGTTTTCCCAGGTCGCCGAACAGGAACGCGAGCCCCTGCCAACTACGCAACTCTCCCCGCATCCACACGGAACACTTCCGGCGTGATCGGGAGTGTGCGTCCGGATTGTCCATCTCCGCGGCGGGGATGTGCATCTGCATCTGAAAAATATGTAAGAGGCGCGAAACAGAACGCTCGGAGTGCGGCTCCCACCGAGCACGCCACATCCGTCCTGAAAGCCCTTTGCGATTTCCCTTTGCGATTTATCCGCGCCGACAAGGATGATAGGGGTGTACAGGTCCGGCGCATGACTGGTGCCTGAGCCCTGAGCATGTCCAGGAGACAGAGCCAATTGCAAGCCACAACTTGATCCGCGTCGGAGTGTACAGATTCCGAGGCTCTACGCGGATGGTTGGAACGAGCATCCCCGTCCAACCTTTGACTTGCATGACACGCAGTTTGTCATTCCATACTCGACACATCCAGCATGACCAGGCCAGGCTCCTCCCATCACTGTAATTTTGATGCATATGACCATCGGACTCGGGGTACTTGGGAAGAGCCGGACACCCCATTCCTTGAACCTTGATTGACTTCGCGGCGCCAAGTCGACGCGACAAACAAAAAACCAACTGTGCTGTCAGGCGGTCGCGATTTATTCTCGTTGCCGGAATCTTCCCAGATAATCTGTTCCGCTCTGTCATAGCTTTATCATCTGTATGTGTATGAGAAAATATCAGTCTACGACCTCCAGGGCGACAAGTCACCATGAATGATCCCGATGGCCCCAAGAGATATTCATATGACAAGGGTGCCGGAGAATGATACTCGTGAGCGTCGGGTGCGGTAGCCAGAAGAGTCGAGCTTCGCAGCACATCCATGTAACGCACGTACTGTATGCATTCGAACTGAAGGATAGGTGTTGTAGCATCCGATCGACAGACAACTTGCGGTTCACGTCGACTTGCGTCGCGAATGATCGTGCGATATTTCCAAGGACGATCCGCGGGAATGCATCCGAGTGAAGTTAAATTATACCAAGCTCGACCAATCTGTGATTCGAAGACCATCGGATAAGATTGGTCCTATCTTGCGACAATCTTGCCCACGCATTCGACGATATCCGGAGGTCATGACGATGAGTAAAGTGGGCGTCGTCGCAATCGCAGGCGTCGACAAGGCGATGCTGCTGTTGGCACGTACAACGAATGGGAAGGTTTCCGGAACTTCGCCATGGCTGCGCGTCCAGTATTCGTCTCAATGTCCCACGGCGGATCGCCTTTCCTTGACCATTTGCCACGGTCTACTTCGAACACGTTACGAGAAGTCGGAGTGTGACACGAGTGGGGAAAATGTGGCTTTGATTCGAATGTCGAAGATAGAGTTGTGACTGGGAAAAGACGGCCACGAGGCTAGGAAACACCCTCGCCCAGAACCTCTATTATCGACGCCTTCCTAATAGCGGGCATCGCCAATGCGTCTGTGACAGCTGGAGGGAATGAGAACGAAGAAGTCCAACACCATCGAAAGAACTGAAGCTGGAAAAGGAAGAAGGCATATGTCCCGACGCGTGTATGCGTCCGCCACGCGACGGCGTTCAGCTTGTTGCAGATGGACTCCCCGTCTCGTTCCGGATGCCAGAACGCATCATATTTGCATGCGTGAGACTGAACGACGAGCGCGACGGGGTGTGTTGCCAGAGATGTATCATGGCCAAGGCTGTTGCGTGGGGGGCATCGTCCCAATCGATGTGCGCGTACACTCATGTGCCTTCGCCGAGTCCGGCAGGAAACCGCCATCACCCGTTGTGGCGTTCGGGTAGGATTGTCTATCGGCGGTCTGGATGGGTGTCACGCAGGAGCAGGTGCTTCGACGTTATCGCCGACAAGAGTTGACCGACGGACCGATAGCCGTGATTGTTGTGCCCATACAGAGAGCCTGCTGTCCGGTATTCGCATAGTTTTCCGTCTGTGCTTCTGTTGATGCACCGGGAACTTGCCAAACGCGAATCGACGTCCGGGAATTCCATTGGAGAACGTTTTAGACACTTCGATGTATGTCGTGGCATGAGTTGGACGCTCGAGGCATCGTCGAAAACAATGACGGGATGGATTACGTCGGTAAAAAGCGGAAATGGACCACGCGGGCAACCGCGTTGCGCTGGAGTCCTACGTGGCCTTTCACAAGCACAGTATGTCAGATTGACTCGCATTAAGTCCGTGATGTGCTTCACCAGGCTGCCGGCGGGTTGCAGCGGACATACTCGTCTTCTGTGTTGCGGGTAACGGAGATCAGCAAGGGCAACATGAGCCATGCTGTCCCCATAGCTGGAACATACCCCTTTCATCAACCCTACATGCGGAGCCCTTCGCAGACATTCTGGCATCATTTGTGCCCAAATTCGTGCCGGAGCACTCAGGGTTCAATCGCACCACGTTCTATAATCAGAGTATCACCGAGGGAGAACTCATCATCAGCACTTGTGTTACAGAAGCAAATGACGATCTCACCCCCATCTCCTTCTGAAACAGAGAGCGAAGTATACCGGAAGTTGAATCTGAACCGTAAGTTATTTCCGGCGAAGAAGCGCACCATACGTGGAAACCAGTCGCCCGCCGCCGCCGCCGCCGCCGATCGACAGTCCCCGCAATGCTTCCACGCACCGATGTGGCTGTTGGTCGGTCGGAGTGCATGGCGATAATAGCGGACGCGCATAGCATGCCGTCCCGTGCGCCAACACCGCCGACCTTTGTATACTTTCTTTCGAGATGGCTTGTGTCAGATCAGCAGCATGAGTCAGGGGCCGAAGAGAAGCCTGCGTCAGCAGTAGTCGTTGAGAACGTATATGCACTGAGATGTGTTGAATCGTCGAATGATACTGCCGGACAATCCGCGGGAGTCCTACGCGACACGCTGGTGATTGCACCTGCCTATCTCATGGCAGCAATTTTTGGAGTGTTGTGGCTGACTCCGGTTGTGCAAAAGCGTTCAGTCGATATCACAGTCAGAATATGCACATGGCGGTCGAGTGCAGAAACGTTTACCAGCGCTGGATTGGGTCAGGGTCAGTCGTGGGAAGCTATCGGCTTGTTCCGCTCTAGTGTGGACAATTATAGCCCAACCCCGCCTCAAAGCTAAGACCGAATCGCGTCGTAACTTGTCGAGTGGCCATCGCGAACATGCCTCGGGGAATACCAAACGCTCGCAAAGATGAAACGTCTATGCGCTTCACCTCGTTCCATGTACCTCTACAGTTAGTATCTGCAACCCGTTTTTCTTGGTGCCTCTGGTTGCGAACTGCTTCGACCATAGACCCAACCCGAAGCACGTCGGATCGTCATACCTCAAGTCGGATTCTCAAACTATCTGGTCTAGGAACGCTCAGAAGAAGCTGAACGTTGACGTGCGTTCATATCTTAGAATGAGATGAGCGCCGGTCTTTGATGATTGTTCATGTCCTCGAAGTCGGCTCAAGCCATACCGCGCGGCTCACAAGTCGTCGTCATCCACCCCGGCTCGCGTTTCCTACGTATTGGACGCGCAACACATATCGTACCCCTTACCATGCCCAATATCATCGCGCGAAAGCAGAGGCGTCCGGAGGGAAGCGAGCCCCTGCCCGTGCCAACATACTCAGAAGGCATCTGCAGGCCGCAGAGGACTAGATCCATGCTAAGGGACCCTCCACCAGCTCAGCCGCACACAGGGGATGAATACAGTGTTGCTGTAATGTCTGATGACCCGGTGAGACGTTCCTCGGACGATAACCGGGTCAATCTTCTGACATGTACCCCATATAGTTTGATCAAAAGCTGGCATCTATTCAAATGTCTTTACGTGACCGGATGCGATTTTACAAACTAAGAGTCACCACGAATGCACCCCATATAGGTCTGCTCGGCTTCGGGTTCTTAACTCGAGCGATCGCTCATTATCTTACAGCCTCCACGTTCAACGATCAATTCAAGCCGGAGATCCTGCCCGAAGGATCCGACCCTGGACGTGTTCCATTTATCGAGGACCCCAGCCCGTCGAACGACGTGCTGGTCGGCGAGCAGGTAGATGGCCTGAAGCTTAACGAGGTTATTGGGTTTACTGATACACCTGCTCGTTGAGCGGTGTGCAGGCGCTCCGGCTGGCATCTCCACATTCCCAAGGATACATCTTGCGACGCCCACTTCTTGGCAGACATTTTAATACTCGTGATTACCCGCCGAACACATCTCTGCAATTCTTGTTAAGTGACCAAGAAACTATCTTGGAGAATGCTCTGCAACACGAGGCCATCGCCGTTGAACGACATTCCTATAAGGTGATATACGTACTCATGTCGGCTACATTTCATTAACCCTTGATAGGATTTTTCTGTCGTGTTGTTGGTACCCGATTTCTACGAGCGAAATTACCTACGAGAATGGGCTCACTTGCTACTTGTGACCATGGGCTTCAAACAAATTACCGTAATGCAGGCATGTTTCCCCTTTAGGCCGTGACACGATGACCTATCTGACTCACACCCAGGAATCTCTCGCGGCGACATATGGCGCTGGCATCTCGAGCGCATGCGTCGTCGACATTGGCGCAGCGAAAACAAGCATCGCTTGCGTGGATGACGGGCTGGTGATCGCGGACACAAGGTCTGGCTCCGCGTTCATGCGAATATCACGTAACTAATTAGACTTGGTTTGTCCCATGAGAATGTCCCTTATGATGGGTGGCGACGACGTAACGGAATTTCTGTACGTCCTACTTGATCGCATAGGCTTCCCGTACAGGGATCTGGACCTCGCGAGAAGCTACGATTGGGAGGTCATGGAAGATCTTAAGAAAAGAATATGTACCCTAGCCGAGGTAAAAAGGTTGTCCAGGCTTCGCTCATATCCACCCAACTGATTTACTCTGGTGTACAGCCAGATGTTGCTCTTAATCTGTATGACTTCGTCGTTCGTCGTCCGGGGCATGCCACCGAGAAATATGGGTTGCGCGCGTACGACGAAATCATACTCGCTCCCATGGTAAGCACAATGGCGTATGGCTCAAATTTAATCTCGATTTCGTCTCTCGGCAGTGTATCTTTGAACCACGAGTCGTCGATTTCGACCGGAAACGGATCGGCCTGCGTCCCAGTATACATCCTGACGTGGACGAGGACATCATCGAACATTCGTCTGATCGTCCGGTGATCATCTCTTTCCCTTAGCATTTCAATGCACATTCCGCTGATATCGGATGGTAGACCCAAGCCATGATGATATCAACGCAGCATCTCGCGTCCTTATTGGTCGCACCATCACCTTTACCCGCAATTCCCGATACGTCAGCGATAACTGCGGGACCGGCTACGCCATCAGGGGGTGAGAGAAATCAATATATTCCTGCTTCCCGTGCTCGCTCACTGCGGTTTTCAGAGGCGACCCCAGAAGGGCACCCGTCCGCATCAGACTCAACTCCCGTGGTGAAGAGTGAAAATGCCGCCATCGCCGAAGCGATCGTCGTTGACGGCGACACCGATATGGCTGAGCCACCATCAGTGAACGTATCTGAGCCATCCACTGCTGCGCCCACTCAACCGGCGACCCCGTACCCGCTGGAGCCGATTCCTCCATCCGCTTATGCAATTGATGTGTGTTTCGAAGCGTCCAAGCTTCCCCTCGATGTGGCGATATTCAACAGCGCGCGCGCAGCTGGGGGCGATGAAAAAATCCGCAAATACCTGCAAGCGGTCCTGGTGGTGGGTGGCGGTTCCTGTGTCTCGGGAATGGCCCATGCCTTGGAAAGCCGGTAACTTGTCGTCCTATGTTGAGACACCTGTACGTGCGTGCTCAATATCGACGTTCTAGACTGCAAGCCATCGCGACGCCATTGGTGCCTAACATGGAGAAGGTCACCATCATCCCAGCCCCCAGAGGCACCGATCCACAGGACCTGTGCTGGAAAGGCGCGGCTGTGCTCGGGAAAATGGATGGGGTGGCGGATTTGTGGGTGTCGAGGGAAGACTGGGTGGGTTCCGTCGCTTCTTGGATTTTCGTGGCTGACTTACCACTATACAGGACCTGCTGGGGCTGCGAGGATTAAAGGAGCGGTGCTTCTATCTCTGAGACGAACCACGCGAGAGTGGACTTACGTGGCAGCCGTGGATGATATTGGTTGTCAAAGCAGTACTTTGAGTTGCGTAACTGATATGATACCTTCCGCGTCAGAATTCGGCCCGCATGAATATCTCCTGCGAACCGTACCGGATATGCATTTGACCCCCCTCGTCCCCTTAGTCGATAGACGGAAGCATCTCTGCACATTCCATACGATCCGGAGCGAGGATAAGCGGTTAATAGCGACACTGATCGCGGCAGCGTAATCTAACGTGACAGCTTAGAGAAGCAAGCCGTATTCTCAGGAGGCCAACGCCGAGAGACTGCTCGAACGCTCGGATCCGGAAAACAGTGCCTCTGCTTGACGGAATCTCTGTGGTTTGTCGCAGCTCGTGACGGTACTCATTCAGATATAGCTCGGAGAGTGCGACGCACGTAGATATATGAAATGCGCAGTGTGTCTGGATCCATGTACCCTTTGGAACAGGCACAAGCCGTCCTGTACTCTCGATTCAACCGAACAACAGGTCCTGCAAGAGTGTGCGTGTGCGCGCAGAGGTTGTTGGTGGACGGCAGGCAAAGCAGAGGTGTGGTCTAGCCTCGCCCGAGCTGCAATGAGCATACCCCAGGAGCACCCGGTCAGACCTTCCAGAAAGGAGCGAACAGCAAGACAAGGGCTATTACATTGCACGCTAGGCTGGGTGGGCGTTTGTGTGCGAACGTCTGGCTGTTGTTCAAAAGATTTCAGCGCACACCCACGTAAGCATACGAGAGCCGCGACCAGTAAGGCAAGATGTCAGTTGCTGCCGGTCCCGACAAAAACCGTCAACGTTAATTGAAACGTTGCCTCGACGTCCTCGCGGAATGTTGAGACCTGCTAACACGTTACTGAAGATGGCAACAAATATTGAATCAACTCGGCACATGTATACGAGCCTCTAATTTCACATCGTGACGTGAACATGGAACTATACCAACCCGCACGAATTCTCCGACCCGACAGGAACCTACATTGAATATGTCAATTGGCCTGATCACAAAAGCAGACGAAGGACACACTGCAGCACGTACAGGAGGGAACAATAGACAGATCACGATTGCGTAATTCAGTACGACAGCTCAGAGAAGAAGTAATCCATATTTGTAGGTGGGGGGCCGGCCGAGAGACCGCTCGGAATATCGACCTTCTCGCCTGACAGATCTGAGATCCCGTAACTCTTTGTCAGTGTCCGATGAGAGATGAATGGTGAGAGGTGCTCACCCAACAACTTGATCTTCAGTCCGATTTCCGTGAGCGCGTGTACGAAGCCCGCAGTCTCTTTGGAAGCGACGTGTCCGCCGTCCCTTCGGAGCATGTTCAATCCGTCCGTCCAATCGGCCCACCGGGACTGGTCAGGCGCAATCAGATCCGCAAGCGAACCTTCGTTTGCGCTGAGAAGAGAGAACGAGAGGGGAGAGGCATGACTGGCAGAGGTGGTGCTTGCAGGGAGCTCTGGGTGGTCGCGCACGACGTTGGAGGGCGGTGCACAAGTTCCGGTCGCGATCTCACTGATTTGGGTGACGTCGATGCGCTCAGGAAGATCTTCTAACCCGCTTCGCACGGGGAATTTGGATGTACTATCCACGTAATGGAGATATCGCTGACCGTTATCCTATATCGTTTGTCAGTCAGCGACGGCTTCCAGAAACAAGTCAAGGGAACGTGCCAGTCGCATGAAACGCCATGGCAGAGGCGACTTGCGAATCGCGTCGCGTGGAACCGGCGTCGACAGAGGAACACCATTAACGAACCATGCTCCTTGAAGGAGGCATTGAATGCGCTGTTGCCGAACGAACTCGTATGACTCCTTGTACAGCTTTGCTCGAAGATTTCTACCCGAACCCAGTTATGGCCCGATCTTCGCGTAAACCGCATGGAATACCCACCGAATAGGGACCTTGCTCAATAGGTCATCCTCCTCCTCGAGCTCTCGCATCTGACGATCGCGAACGGCCCGATACTCCGATTCCAGGAAATCATGCTCGACTTCGTGCCATGGTCGAATGTTTTCTCGCCGGAGTGCCACCTTAACTCTGTGACATGACTCGGCGTCGTAACGAACTCAGAACACAAGAAACCTCGACCACGTACTGGCTTCGCGCAAGGGCGACCACACGGGGAAAGTCTCCCGCGGCGGCGCCACTCTCCGTCCACATCCGGAGGAAGAAGTTAGTGGCGAGGGCATGGACTCTATAGAAGTTGAGGAAGAACGGCTGGAAGGTCGTCGACGTGGAGTCTACAACGGCAGTTAGAGCGGTGTCCGTTGCCGGTAGCCATTTGTATAACCACGTACATCCCGGAGCGAATATAGCCCAGTGCTCAGAGAGCAGTTCCACCACTTCGTTGGATGCCTTTGCAATGGGACACCTCCGCTCCGCAGGGCGGCTGATTTGCTCCAGGACAACCTGTCAACCCGTCGGCAGTTACTTTCCGCATCATTCGGGATTGCCGATGTCTGGGGCATACCTTGGAGAAGAAATCGGGGTCCGATTGCACGAAACTCTTCTGTCATACGATGCATTCATATCAGCAATGTGACGCGAGGCGCATGGGATCGTGTGCAACACACAAGGCAGTCCAAACCCAACACGCCAACTTCACCAAACTCGTGGCTGAGGTTCTCAGTCTCGAAGCCTAGCTTGCGCCACTGAATTTTGGCCCCGGGTTCGGCACCAGGAGAGAGGTCATCCTCCTCCTGTAATCTTGCGTGGGTCCATATGTACTTGAGTGCGGCATCATGGAGAGGTTCAACCTCGGGCTCCACGAGCGTAGTTTTCTTCCGATAGCTGACGCTGACCATGTTGGCTTGGAAATCGAGAATACACGATGTGAGGTCCTCGATGGTATGCGATGACATGAGGCGCTGTAGACCGTTGGTTACAGACAGCGACTGCTACGGTGTACGAGCTTAAACTTACAACGACGGCTTTCCGAACATTCAGGCGCTCCAACTCCGAAACAAACTCGCCCCAACGCGTGTCGGTCGCATGTGCGAGCAGCGAGTTGATGAGCATCATGCTGGAAGATCTCCGTTAGAGCATGAAAACATGCAGGGCGGATATCATTGTCTAACCTATGGAGCACCATCGCAGTATCAGCGCTGCCAAGCCTGTTGACGACGGTCTCGAGCATTCGGCTTTCTTTCCGCATTTGTTCAAAGACGACATCGAATCCGTAGCGGTACACAGAACCTGGAGGTGGAGCGGGCGGCCCGCGGCTGGAACTAGCAACCAGAGGTCCAGGAGCGCTCAGTGGGTCTGCTTCAACGAGTTTCTTCAGGATCGCGGTTGCCGGCCGGCAGACGTTGATGAGTGACTGAGAAGAGGACAGAATCTGTACTATGTGCAGGATAAAGTTGCTGTCTAGAGTGCTCCAGCCATAATCGAGGTCCATGAGATTCTGCATCGCTCTGAGAGCGTACTGTGGAACGGGCAGGGATAAACGCATGGCACCATAAAGATCTCGACTCATATGAACATACAGCAAGAGTATTCCCATGAGAGATGTTTATGATTGTGAGTAGTTCTCTCAGTCCGTCCAGGCGAAGGAATTCTTTGGCAAATGGCTCTTCCTTGTGTGTTATCAGTTGGCGCGTTGAAGCATATGTAATATTCACTGCGTACTCGAATGAACTTTTGCAAGGAAAACAGTGTTAGACGCAATGTCTTCTCGTCCCGCAGACCCAGTTTCTCCACAATATCCGCAGCCTCTAACCCAGGGGCGCTGACCAGTCTGCGCTTTGTTCAGTATCGCTTGTCAACTCAAAGAAAGCTGTTGACGCGACTCACTTCATGTTAACCTTTGCCAAGATCTTCTTCCGCAAGTTTTCGTTCGTAACCAGTTCGTCCATCTCGTCCCGGAGCGCGAACATCGCAGGCGGATCCCTCTGCTTCAAGTTCAGGCATAACTGACGAACCACATCGTCCACCGTCAATGACGGGTCGATGCGGACACGAACAGTGATTCCCTCTTTGGTCGTTACGGTATTGGTGGGTATCAGGCCGGTGGATTTGTGACGCGCATTATCGGCGGCACTGGGCGCACCAGGGGCTGAGGGGGTCGCGGGGGACATGCTATGAAGAACTGAACGCAGTCACCGTCAGCTCTCGGTTGCGGTGACATCTCGAAACGGGAATTTTCAGAGTATGCGAAAACATCGTCCTTCCCGTCTCCGAAGGTTCGGCTCCGACTGACGTGCAAAGATCTCGACGATTCATCATGTAGAAAGAAGGGATACAGCTTTAGAAGAGAACATGCAGCTCACCGGTCTAAGCCCGAGTTATGCGAGATGAACGGGTGCCGCGCGCTTCCTCACAAAGTCCGTAACGATGGGACAGCGTGCAGTGGTCGACGTGGCAAGACCAAGTATCTTCGTCGATCAGGAGTTGTGCGCCAGTGTGTGTGAGCGTGGCATTGGTCGCAGCCAAAGCGTTGATGCATGGCAATAGAAACAAGAAGCGCTGGCTGCGAGCCAGGGCGCTTCGAGATATCACACCGACTTCAACATATAATCCTACTCGATAACACGGAAAGTCTACCGATGGACCATGTGCTCGCGCGCGCGACATAAGACGGAGAGCAACATAAATATGCTTCACTCCGGACTTCACGGATTGTTCCCCAGAGTTCCCGCAGTGTGCTCTCAGCTACAGCGCACCACCACGGCCTCTGTCTGCTTGCTATTTGTTCAAAATGCCTCCCAAGAACGCATCTGTAGGCTGCTTCACTGGATTGCTTAGCGGGCTCCGACTGTCGAAGACTGGAGCACGCGCCGCCCAAACCTCTGGAAGTTCCGTCGCAGCCCATGGCACATGTAAAACGAACTCGAATGCCATGGTGAGCACAGACTTCGGAATCGACCACGAGGCAGTGTTACCGGGATTCATTGTGAACTCTATGACCAGGAGCCACGCGTGTACTATGGCTCATGCTGTGACTTCTCGCTCAATGCCGCTCCCTTCGCCGACGACAAACCACCGTCATACACGAGGCACGATGCACAGGCCATTGGTTCCGTGTACAGGCCTGAAGTCATGGAAACCATCGAAAAGACTCTGGACATGCTTGATCCGGAGCTGCGCAAGCTGAGCCTCCAGATCCATGGTACGCTCGCGTCGCTTTAGGCATAAATGAGTTTCTCACCAACTTTCAAATTTGTAGATCACCCTGAGATAATGTTCGAAGAGAAGTGAGTGAGCCAACGTCTTGTCTCCCTGGCACTTTGACACGGTTTTGAAACAGATATGCCCATGATACACTTACGGAGTTCATGGCTTCGCATGGGTTTGAAGTAACGAAGCATTATCTGGACATGGACACAGCGTGGCGCGCTGAGTTCTCGCACAAAGAGGGTGGTCGCGTCCTCGGTGTTAATAGCGAAATGGACGCGCTGCCAAAGATCGGACATGCGTACGCCGTCGCCTACGCCGCCCGAGATACTGACTGATCGAGCGTCTGCACGGCAGATGTGGCCATAACCTAATAGCTATTAGTGGGGTCGGTGTCGCACTCGCTGTCAAGGCTGCACTACAGAAGCATGATGTTCCTGGAAAGGTCGTGCTCCTGGGCACGCCGGGTACGGCCCCGACTCTCCGCATTTGCCTCGCCAGACCTCTTACATGACGATTATGCGCAGCCGAAGAAGGAGGCGGAGGCAAGCTAGTGCTGCTTGATCGCGGTGGCTACAAAGAGATGGATGCTTGTGTCATGTCAGCGCTCACTTCAGTACATATTCATCTTGTGGAAAGATGTATTGACGCGTGGGTTCGATGTTCTAGGTGTCATCCCGGCCCGGGCCCTGCTCACTCCGTCGGACTAGGCCCGTCCTTAGCAATGCAAGCGTTAGAGATAGAGTTCTTCGGACACACGTCGGTCCCCCACCCGTCCCGCGTGTCCCTGGTGCTGCTAACATCGCCTCTAGATCTCGTACGTTGCCGTGAAGGCGGGCGCTTCCCGCCTTTGTGCGGTCTCACTGACGCGACCTTTCAGATGCCGCCGCAGCGCCCTGGGAAGGCACGAACTCCCTGGACGCCGCCTTTTTAGCCTATTCAAGCGTAGCGGTACGAGGTTGCCGTCTTCGCTCATCATGGCTTAATTGAACCCGCCGGCTATCAGGTCTTGCGGCAGCAAATCAAACCTACACACCGGGTTCATGGCGTGGTGAGGGGAAAAGACCTTCCTGCCAACGGTAAGAAACTCTGTGCAACCAATCGGTCGTGTCCGACTTTGTTTGACTGGTCTTCGCACAGTCATCCCCGATTATGTTCAGATGCTGTGGTACGTTCGCGCGCTGACTGCAGCCGAGCTCGACGAGTTGCGCGAGCGCGTCATAAACTGCTTCCGGTAAGCGGTACCAAAATACCTTTACCCACCCTCGTTTCTCATTCGAGCCTGTGCAGAGGAGCAGCCCTCTCCAGCGGATGCAAAATCAAGATCAATGAACATCCCGCTAACTTGGACTTGCGCCAGAACACTGCACTGGGTGAGCAGCAGCCTGCCAGCTGGACAAAGAGTGTCCGTTTCCTTATCATGCCGTTAGCTCATGATTTCGCCAACACAATCAAGCAACGTTACGAGATGAACACGACATTTTCCGAAGGCGCGGTCGGTGGCTCGACGGACTTCGTATGTACTACTTCGATCTCAACACTTCCATACCTTAACTCAACCAACGCACAGGGGAATGTTACTTACGGCATGTCTTCGTGTCGGGCTTGTCTCATGATATGGCACTGACGATTCGATCCAGAACTTCCTGCGTTCCATCCTATGTATAGTCCGTGTATACGTTACTTTTCGCTCACCATTCCCCGCTGATGACACTGCAACCTAGCTATACCCACTGTTCCCAATGGTGGGAACCACACACCGGAATTCACTGACGCCGCGAGAACAAAAGGTATGGTGCATGGCTAGCCCAGATGTCGGTTGGCCTGACGCACTATCCTGCACCAGCCGCTCACAAGGAAACCATGGATGTTACGAAGGGCCTCGCTCTGACAGGGTTCCGGATGTTGGATGATAACGATTTCTTCTATTCGGTGGGCTTGCTTGATCTGTCTAACATGAGAGACATTGCTGATACCTCCCCCCACGCGCAGGTAAAGAAAGCATTCGATGACGAAAGGAAGTTATGAGGTTGCTGCTTACACTTGATGTATGCGAACCTGTGATGAAGACCAATACCCTTACTCATCCCAAACGTGCTGATACTGTGTGTGGGGCCGAGATGAGGCAGCGCAGTTGATGCAACGTAAGCAAGTAATACAGCGATACAGATGGATGCAGTTGGATGCAGGAGATTGCAGTTGGATGCGACTATATGCGTGGGATGCAGAATGCAGTTGATGCAATGAATGAGGTATAAGACTAGATGGGGGATAATGCGTGCGTCGAGAACATAAGCTAACGAAACAACGGGGGTTGAACCCGTGAAAGAGAGCGTTGATATACAATATAGCGTGCGGCAGTGGAGCAGTTGAAGCAAGGTTTGCTGGTCGTTATAGGTTCGGTTTTCAGTTAGCGGTGTGTTGGGAGGCCGCATAGTCCTCGGCCGCCTTCATGAAGGGGACGAAGATGGCGTTGGGGTCTTTGAAGTCGTTGTGTACCACGTTGACGAGGTACGAAGTCTCCATCAGGTCAGCGATGACCTTGCGACTGGGCGAGTCAGGTTCGTACAGGTTCGCCCATTTGCGCCCGAGCTCGTACGCTTCGTCCTATAGGTATCCATGGTTAGTAAAGTAGGATACGTTCCGGATTGGAACTACATCGGAATCAACCAACCTTCCATGCCATGAAACTGATGGCTTCGACAATTGTGGGTTGGATAATCTCTTTGCCGGGGAAGACACCCCAAGTAACAGCGTTCGGGCCTTCAGAGTGGGTGTTCGTGCGCAGGTCCCCGCGCTTGTTGATCACGTAGTACGTAATCAACTTGTCGCGTTCAATGTGAGGAATGAGCGCATCCAAAAGACCCGGAGAGACGAAGAACTCGAGGTATGCCTATGACAACCTCGTCAATGCTGAGCTACAACAGAAAGAAAGACTACTGCTACCTTCTGGTAGACGAAACCATTGCTGGGACCCCAACCGTGTATCCTGTCATCACTTCGAGCCCCATTGACCGCGGGCTGCGAGTTGATCGTGAGAAATCCAATCTCGTTCAGTTTTGCCAACTGATTGGCGATGACGGATGTCTCGGGCGACGGCGAGGTATCGGACCAAGGCAACGACGGTATCTCGCCCAAACAGAATCGCGCAAAGAGGGCATGAACATCGGCTAACGTAGATGGGAAACCCCAGATCTTGTACGCCTCATCTTTCTGATGGAGGATTGTATCATCAGGACGGGTTTTGGTTTCATATCGTGCGGCGAGAGCATCGTACCGTTTGCTTGAGCCACACACCGTAGCCATCGAGCTCGCCGTAAGCGGGACTGCGCGAATCACCAAATCGACCGTTCGGATACTCGTCCCAGTTCTCGGTGCGCGAGAGGTACGACTTCGCGCGGTTTGCCCAGAAGATCGGTCTGGTACTCTCTTCCCGACGGCTGGGCGTCAATGACTGCAGAATTACCGGAGTCAGTTCACAATACAAGCAATGCGAACTTAAAGCCGAGCTGACCTGTCTCCATGGCAGAGGCTTGACGGTCTCAACGCGCGGCACAAGTTGGAGTTCCTCGAGGAGCATCTTCGTCGCCTTCTCGAGATTCATGGTGTAGAAGTGCAGTCCCTTGATCCCGAGGTCGGCGGCCAAGATCTTCCGGCACATTTCCGCCACGAGCTGGATCCCAATCGCCCTAACCTTCTCATCGTTGTTCTTGTGCGGCTCCAGCGCCTCGAGAAAGTTCTGAGGAATGACGGTCTTGGCCAGCATCGTCGCCTTCTGAAACCCGTTCCACGTCTGAATCGGCGCAATGCCGGGCACGATCGGTACGGTGATCCCTGCGTCGCGCACGGCCTGCACCCATCGGAAGAAGATGTCGACGTCGTAGAACATCTGCGTGAATATAAAGTTCACGCCAGCGTCGCACTTGTCCTTCAGGCACTTCATCTCAAACACGAGCTCATCCGGGGGCAGGAGTACATGCTGCGGGAAGCCGGGGACGGCAATGTCGAAGTAGTCGCCGTATTCCTTGCGGATATGGCGCACGAGGTCGATACCGTGTACAAAGCCGCCCTCGACGGCCTCCCATTCGTCTTTGCCTGCGGGAGGGTCGCCGCGAAGGGCGAGCACGTTGCGACAACCATGCTGTTTCGCTTCCTAAGGGTTGCGTGAAGGGGTTGTGCCACGCGCACAGAAAAGAGGCAGCGCCTACCCTGAGCGCATTGTCCACCTTCTCCTTCGGCATGTTCGTGCATGTGAGGTGCATGCATGTCTCGATCCCGATGAGCCCCTGGCATGTCTTGACGAGTTCCGAAGTCAGATCGGACGTGCGACCTCCAGCGTTCCTGAATCGGGTCGCTTGAGCGCACCCCTCAGACACGTTTCAGACGAGGAACCAACTCACCAGGTGATGTCGATGAACTCAGGCCCGAGCGCCCGCATGCGCTCGATACGGTCCAGCAGGTTTTGCAGTCCCTGTACCGACGTTCAGACCCCTCCCTCCGCGGGATCACAGAGCGTCCACTTACCTGCGCCGTGCGAGGCGGGAAGTACTCGAATGACCACCATACCCGGTTCTCCTTCTCAGCCCGCTCAATCTTCTTGCTAATTTTCATGGATATCCGAGTGAGAGGTTGTAGCGCGCGTCTGGGGCCTCAAGTTGCAGAGTTTTATGTCGGTGTCGTTAACGAGTGTGCGTGAAAAAGCAAGGCGAAGAGGTAATCAAAGGAGAAACGAGGGAATAGCGAGGTCGGGTCCGATCAGCCTCAGGAAATGAGACCACACCGGACTATTTGGTAAAGGACGGTCGGTGGTCAGATCTTCTGAAGAAGCTTCGCAAATCCCAGGCCGCACACGACCGATGAAGTGGCACTGCCGAAGTAACTGCGTTGTCGTGTTCGAACGTTATGGAACATCGTGATGTCTATACATTGGGCTTGGGGTATTGGTATGTGCAACGAAAGCGACGAAAACATGGACAGAGGGCGTAATAGAGAATAAATATGAGTGTGTCCACTGCACGACCCGGGGGAGCATAATCAGCATATCAAAACGTGCGATCAACCTCGAGAACCCGTTCGACTTGCGAACCGACGTCCTCTCGCTTTCTCGCGTTCATGTTCTCGGGCACGCATCCGCATGCGTTGCTCGCGAACGTTCGCCATCATCGTCTTCGCGATGGGCGAAAGCTCCGTCGAGCTGGCGGGAGAGGGCGGCTCGATGCCGTGGGCGAGCACCTTCACCTTCTGGCGAACGGGTGTCATGGGCACGCCGGTGGGGGGAACAACGAATGCTGACGACCCATCGTTCTCCTTATCGCCACTGGCCTGGCGTTTGATCTTGCCAGACTTTGACTCGGGAGGCTCCGAGGCTTTACCCCCAATACGCCTCTCCTTCGTCTTGCCAGCGCGGCGCTTGGCCGCGGGAGAGTACCCCGTCGCGGTCGAGGCAGCGCGCTTATGTGAGTGTTTGACGGGTTTCTGCGTAAAGGGGTCTTCGGGCAGGGGAAGGTTTGACGACGAGGTATCAAGGAATAGATTCGTATCGAGGAAAGCGTCTCTCTTCCATAGAGACCTGTCAGGCATCTCCAACTGTGCCGACGATTCGGGCGTAGGGTGCACGAGCGTTATCTCCGTTGGCAGCGGTGGGACGGGAGGAGAGTTTGCGGCCGACTTGCGCGGAATGCGACTCCTGCTGCGTGTAGACGAGGGTGATAGGGGCCTGGATGGTAGGGGGGAACCTCCATCGGTAGCCTCCCGGGGGGTAAAGAGGGTCCCAGTCCCGGCCGGAACCTCGACATATTGCATATGGGCTGGTGACATTGTGACCTTAGAGGCACGCGTCACCGTCACTTTCCTCGTGTGCGTTCGATCATCCACGGCGGATGTGCTCCGGCTCCGCTTCCGTTTGACGCGCGGTTCGGGATAGGATGGTGGAGGTGGCAAGGCGCCTACGAGAGAGGGACGCAGGTGGTGGACGACAGGCCGGGTACCGTCGATGGAGGTCCTGTTAGAGGGACGATAGGTGTCTGAGTTCGCCGAGCTCGTGGATCCCCCGGTCGGGACGGCGACAAGAGGTGCATGCTCGGAGGGCATGTCGGCGACGTTGCGATGTTGGGTTGAAGGTGACGGACTCAGGACAGTCACTGTCTTCGATCTGCGTCTCTGGGTGAGGAACGCAAAGACCTCCGCAGCCGGAGGCGTAGAGGGTTCTTGCGTAGGAGCTTGCTGAATCGGACTGCGTTGCTGCGCAGATGAAGCCATTGGCGCGTCCGAATGTGGCAGCTCAGGTACATTCGTTTCCTTGATATCCCCAGTTTCCACGCTAATAGAAGATATGGAAACCCCGCCATAAGCACAGCTGTCTTCCGAGTGCGCCTTCTGCGGCTCCATGTCGTAGGCCAGTTCTGCAGGCGCAGGCTCGTGCATGAGACTGGAAAGAGCATCGCCGTCGCAGTCAGCAGCGACAGGGAGGAAGAAGTTGTCGGAATCATCGCGAGCGAATAACTTGGTAGACCTCTCGATGCCTAAACTTGACATCGTGTCGGACACGTTGGGCGGAGCATTGCAGCTGACGTCGGTCTTATCGCTGCATTCAGCATTATCGGCTATCCGGCTCTGTAAGTCCGCCGGTATATCGCAGGCATCGGTCCCTTGATCGTCGAAGTCAAGCTCTTCCCTGCAGGGTAGGATTTAGCGTGGTTATAACCAGAACTCATCACGCCCACAGTCACGTACCCTATGACGCGCTCGGCCCAGGAGAGGTCGCCTTCCTGCGTACTGTAGCGGGACTCATGGCCTGTACGAGGCTGCGACTCCGTCACGCCCAAGAGCTCTTTCAGCGTAGAGCCGGTCCGGCGCGTCTGGAGACGGCCCTCTTCATTGATTTCATCAGGTTCGGCTGAAGCAAGTGATCCGTTATGCCGTCCGTGTTCGGAGGTGTTGGATGTATTAGCAAAGGCAAGGGATTTGACGCGACCGCCACTGTCATAGATATTGCTCATAAGGAGATTGGCCACTGAGGGGTCCTCGGCAAGATGTAGCAGGCGGCTTTCGCGCTCACGACGCGGTGTGCGAAGCGCTAAGACATTGAGGGGTAGAGAGCGCGATCGCGGACGGGCCTTGCGTCCTTCTCCAATGCTGGAGTGGGTGTTAGTGGATGTGCTTGCATGAGAGGTGTTGGCGACGTCATTATCTTTCGTGTCGTCCTTCGACGCGCCCGAAGAGGATGGGGATGGAATGGGGATTTCTGTACGCGTTCTAGAATGGATCGTTACGGTGTATGTTCGCTGGAGCGGCGAGGTGGACGTCCGAGCTGGCATCGCAAACTGGGCCTCATACGGGTCCAACCAGTTGAAATCCAAGACCTGATGGGCCGTTGGGTTGGCTACGGATGCGGATCGCCTACGGGCAGGAACATCAGACGGGTCCCCGGGCTGATGCAGCTCGGCACCCAGTAGATGTCCTGATGAAAAATCATACGAGCTCAAGATAATCCAGGAGAATATATGCGTCCGATACAACTAACCGGGCTCGAGGATGGGGTAAACGGTTCCACCCATGCTTTGCCTTGCGGAAGATGACCTCAGCAGCCTTGTCATGGTCGCTTCGGCATCAAGGTACTCCACAGACACAGGCGGGTCCAGCTCGTCAACCTCGAGCTCGGGGCGCCTCTTCTTGGTGCGCTTGCCGAGCGAGAAAAAACGTTTCATAAAGCCCATCCTGTCGTGGGCGGCGTGATAATAGTAAGGATAGTGAGGGTGCAAAGGAGCGAGCGGGCGAAGGCGCGTCCAAGCCGCAGGAGCCACCGAGACGAAAGTCGAACCAAGCGCGCGTCGAGGTCACGTGAGCCGACGTTCGGCTCTGCAGTGCGGCAGGAGCTGTGACTTGAGCTTCGTCGTTGGCCACAACATCGCCCAATTGCTCATTCCGTCTTGAATCCCATTCCTTGCGCCTGACCGGTTTATCATACCATTGGTGCTCCTTCAGAACTTAGAGCTGGATATAATCATCCTTCGTCGTCACATCTTGGCTTCTCCTTGGCATGGCCAGTCGCGCTCAAGCACCCTCTCATGCAACCCGCAGATCTGCTCGCGTCGCCAGGCAGCAGGATCAACCTCTTCGAGAGCGCAACGTCAATGCCGGACCATCAATCTTCCCGATAACCTCTCAGAATTCGACTGCATTTAGTACGTCCTATATCCCGCATATGGACAAGCAGAGCACAGTGTTGAGCCGAACTGTTTTACTCAGAGGTTTCCGAGCGCCGCCGCCGAGTATATGTAGAAATACCGCAGTCTGGTTGCTCGAGGCGCAAGCGCCCTCAGGTCGACAACGAGAGCATTTCAGCGCCCTCAACTCGATTTTCTCCTCCCATCGTCCTTCTCACGACCAGAAAACGAGCGCATTCTGGCACCCAAAGTACCATTGCGAGTGTTGATACGAATGCAGACCTGATCCAGATATGGAAGAAACGAGCTGAGCAGGCGGAACAGCGGGCTGCGCAGTTGGCGCGCGAAGTGGCCTGCGCTGACAGGCTGGCTCGAGAGGCCGAAGAGAAGCTCCTCGCCGTTGAGATCCGCGTTCGGCGATGCGCCTTGCTGCAGCTTGAGGATCAATTCACCTGCCCGCTCTGCTTCGACATCATCAGCGCACCATATGTGCTCAACGGCGCCACATGCGGGCACACATTCTGCGCATCATGTATTCTCAAGTGGTATTTAGCCCGCATGCACGACTGTGGCTCTTGGCACGGTGCGTTGCTCCGTCGGTCCCACGTCCCGCCGGACCTAAATCGCAACCTGCAGAGAACGTGGTGTGCCCAATGTGCCGCTCGGCGCTGATTCATACGCCAGACCTCGGCGACAATCCGCGGTCCATCTTTTACTGCCCCTTCACTCCCAACCGCGTCGCGGACACAGCTATCAAAACACTTGTCCGCAAAGTCGCCACTTCAGGGACTCTATCGACCCCGGGACATGAACCGACTTCCGTAGCCGATACGCCCACGAAAAGGCGTCGAGGGAAGGTAAGTGCGAAGGGGGTGTTCGAATCTGCGGTTGCAGGCACGGATCCCGGCGATCCGTTGCTGTCCTGGATGGATTCGCAGGGTGCGAATCTCGTCGAATGGCGGCGTCGCGGCGAAGAGGGGCAGGCTGCGATGGACCGGCTGCGAACAAACTGGCATCGGCTCGATAATGCCGACTTTGTGCTAATGAAGGAGACCATGGGGCTCTGCGTGAGGCATGATTTTCTTGTCCAGCAGGATCAGACCTGAAATCTGTTTTTCTCTGCGGCCCACAGGTAGAACACTAAGATATCACCACCTAGCTTTCGACGCTCTCGTATGTTCGTTCTTTTTCTTACACGTGTCATGCCTTGCCTCTATGATTATGTGTATGATTGGCTGTTAACAAACGTAATCCCTCTGTACCAACATCAGCACCCCAAATATGGCACGCATATAAGCATTAGTCTGTAAGCGGTACTGTAAGATAGGTTGTCCATCTGGACATGCGGGTGTAATCAACATAAGAAAGATCCAGAAAACCATCAGCGTGCCCGGTCGTCGCGGATCTCAGCCCATCAGGCTTTCACTACAGGCACCTCTTCTCCGTTCTCGTTCTTCCTCGTCTCCACCGTGGCCGTTATCGGCCCCTCCTTCTCCTTCTCGGGCGTCTTCTCCTTCTCCTTCCCCGCGCCAAGCTTGCGCGCCCGCTCGCGCTCGCGCTCCGCCTTGCGCTCCGCCCGTATCTGCGCGTGCTTGCTCTTGCCCGCGGCCGCCTCGGCAACCATGCGCTCGAGCTCGCGCCGTTCCTCGTCCGTCTCGTCCGGCTGCGCCGCCTTGAAGATCGCGCCAGCGATCATGAGCCCCTTCGCGCGGTTGTAGAGCACCTGGTCCGGCACGCCCGGCTCGCGCAGCACGTTGTCACATACCTCGCGCAGGACCTGGACGACCTCGAACCGTGTCCCACGCCAGGAGGCGAGCATGATCTTGCCCGTGACGTCCATCTCGAGCGCGCGGAGCTCCTCCTCGGCAGCTTCGCCTTTTGCCTGCAGCTTCTCCATGTCTTGCATCAGGTTCTGTACGCTTAGTCTGTGCAATAGCTAAGAAGATGTTCAATAAAATATAGGTGAAGGATGCGTACGCGCTGCCGATGACGCCCCAGGCATCCTTCGCCACGGCGCCCTTCTCCTTCAGCCGCGAGAAGAACCCAGGTCTGCCCGGGAACGCGTCAATATTCCAAAACGACTACACCGACGTCGCGGGGATGCACTCACATCCCCAAAAATTTGCGGCTTTTGAGCGCGCTCGTGGCCTTCATCATGTACACGTTCCCGATCGCGTGCAATAGCTCGACGCCAAAGCTCTCGAGCTTGAGATCCTCAGCCTCGCGCCGCATCTTCTCCTCAAACGCGCGCGTCTCTGGGTCGTCCTTCTCGCCCGGATGCTTCGCCTCGACGAATGGTCGAAGGCGCTCGACGAGCTTCTTAGTGAGCATATCCACGCGGTCCTGCATTCGCTTCCGGCGCGCCTCCTCGAGCTCGTGCAGCTCCTTCTTCTTCTCAGGCGTGAGCTTGGCGGACGAAGGCCTCTTGCCATCTTTTTTCTTAGAGGCGGCGGAGTTGTCCGCGTGCGTGCCGTCAGGGCGGAGCTCGCCTTGGGACGCGGAGGGCTCGGAGGAGGGGGAGGGGAGGATGGAGGGGCGTTCGCTGGGTTTGGGCGAGGAGGAGGGTGCTGGGGCGGGGCTAGATGCGGAGGTGGCGGGCGCTGGGGAGGGTGACGGGGAAGCAGGCGGCACGTCGGAGCTGGCAGGAGGGGTTGTTACGGACGGCGTGGGCGCGTCCGGGTTGAGCTCCTTCTCGAGTTCGGCCTTCTCTTCGTCGGTCATCATCGTGGTCGCCACCGCGGACATCTCCTTCATGAGCGAGATCTCGCCGATCTGGACGACGAGAAAGGTTAGAATTGTACATCAAGGTGTGTAACTGATGTTCCACGCGAGATAATGAACGTACATAGTCGTAGAATCGTTCGCCGCCGAAAACGTTGGCAAAGAACCCGGCAGCGTCCTCCATGGTGCCCGTGCCTTCTTTGTCCACCTGGGTTAATTGCAGTCAAAAAATGCTTACAGAGTATGGGTGAAGCACGATAATACCATCTTCTTTCCATTCTTATCGTAGACCGCGCGTAGATTCTACAGCGTGATAAGTTCGGAGGCCATACAAAGAAAGCTTCGTCGGGGCTTACAGGGTCGGAGAGTACTTGGTACGCTTTGCTATAACAACGGCATCAGCTATCATGGATGCAAGGAGGGGAACGGCTATGAATACCTGATCTCCTTAAACTTTTCCTCGGCGTCTGGTGAAGGGTTCTTGTCGGGATGGTACTGCAAAGGAGCAAGTTTTATTACACGGTCCCCCGCACGCCACAACACGACGACCGAATCACACCTTCATTGCCGCCTTCCTGTATCCCTTCTTCAAGTCATTGTCGTTCGCATCCGGGCTGACTCCGAGCTGCGCAAGGGTAACGCATCCTTCATGACAATCATGCCCGGAGGAATATATCCGGCGTTGCGTACGAGGTCATAGTACTCTGTTTCCACCGGCGCCATGGGTGGAATGTCTTCTGGTGCTCTAGGATTACGTTGCTGGGACGCTGGTGTCCGTCTAGTCGCGTGCAAGTGTAGGATACAGGGAAGAGGAGCGCTCCGGGCTGCGGCTGTGAATTACGTCGATGAAGTGGCAGGAAGGTGGTGACTACATATAAGAGTTCGACATAAAAAGCCTTGTTGCCTTGGCTTCATGGCCTTGTACTGCTTGATAGATAACATATGTCCGATTGCTACGATCTCCTTCCTGTTCTCTCCTTTATCACCGCTGCCTGCACCAAGCACAAATGCGCCGTAAATGGAATATTTGAGGGCCCACGTGACGTCGGCAGATCAACACTGCCGAAATTGGAAGGACACAGCCACGAGGTTCTTCTCCTGGCCCTGCCGGCGTGTTTCCGCAATTCGTGAGCTCATTCCGACTGGTCAACGTCACACCTCCCGCCTTCCCCCGCTGGCCACTCATTCCGCTCGTCCATATAACAGCACCCCGCTGGATCACGATACAACAAAATATCCATCAACGCAAACACTGCGAAAGGCGCTGCACGTTGGGACTGCATCACAGCCATCTGCCTTATACTCAACATCGGCATCAGGAAGCAAAATCTTCGACGCCTAAGGTGTAATCTGGCCCAGATTGGCGCGACCTGCCAGCGAGATATCTCTCTAGAGTTTCATCGCTGCACCTTCAAGCCCTCCCTGCTCTCGACGCTACACGATGCCGCCCTCCGTCTCGGACACGTCGAGTCTCCTGAGCGGGGACACCCTCGTCGCCTCCTCTTCCAGACTTCCGGCTAACCCCTTTCGCGAGCGTGCCCCCTCCTCCGGCCGCCCCTCGCTCATGACAGCCCTCAAACGCACCTTTACCTACTCCGGGCCCAGCAAACGAATGTCCAACACCTCCCCAGTACGCACCCCTCTTTTCCTCCGGTCACCTTGCGTCTGACGTGCGCTTTATTACGTGACCCTTTTCCGATCCCTCAGCCGACCCACGCAGGCATGTTCTCCACCCCGGAAGAATCACGCTCCTCCAGCCCCTCGCGCTTCGGCGCTGCCGCACGCGACCGCGCCGCGCTCCCTACATTCGAGGAAATCGCGCTCGGCCTGCATACCTCACGTGCACGTCAGCGACATCCGCAACCACACCCGCAGCACCTGCGCGGCGACCCGCACAGTAGTCTGGATCCGCACCACCGGCATCACGCCCATCACCACCCTCAGCATCCCCACATTCAACGCCCCGCGCATCGTCGCTCGGCATCAACGAGCCAGCGTGTACCACATGCTGAACAGGCGCTTGGCGTATTCCGGCACGCCTCGTATCGCACTCCTCAGAGGGCGTACGACCAGCCAATGAGGCCCTCAACGAGCGCGTATCCTCCAGCCCCAGTGGTTGACGCTCCGCTCAGGGCTAAAAAACCGCGTCCGTCATCCATGCCACCACCGAAGCGATCTTCTCTCAAACGCGCATCACTGGATACCTCTCCGCCTCCCGGTTTCGCACTGCCTGCTGCCCCGTTACCTCCGTCTGACCCATCAATATCAACCTCCTCTACGTCGACCGGGACGTCAACGTACACATCGCTCAAGATCCGTATGGCAAACCTCCTCCTGCTCCGGTCGGGCGGGACTGTGCGCTCGAACGCGTCCTCCAACTCGTCCGTTACGACGCTCAGCGACGAGCGCGACCTTGGGCGACGGAGCCTGAAAAAGGCGGTCCGATTCGACGAGACGAGTCTCGTCTCGTCCGTGTCGAATTGACGCGATAGTTCTTCGCAATCTACTTTGTAACACTATCTTTCATATCAGGCTGTTTGCTATTGTTCGCCGCGATGTGTTTCCAAGTGTGCTCGTCACACCGTTATTCTATTTTGGCTGGGCTATCTGCGCTGCATCACAATCTGCATTTCTATACCACTACTTAAGCTTATTTCATGTCATCTAACACGCATTCATCGCATGTATTCGATAGTAACGCTCCAAACTCACGTCACCACCACATGAGGCCCAACGTTACGTCGGTGTGCAGAGTCGGCGCCGGTCGTGTGACACAGGAGTCTTCGTCAGTCCCGTCGTACAACTTGGGGGGGAGTAATGGTGTTACTCACTAAGGAGTTCGCTGGCGCTGAGCTGCACAACGCATATAACTTCGCGAGGAATTTGCAAGCTTGAGTCAGTGTTGTCTTGCTCAATTCTACGGATGCCAATTGCAATTAATGCAAGGCGCTGGAGGCTGACGATGAAATGTCACGTGAACTACGTACGAGGTTCCTGGCCTTAGGCTACGGTAGCCTCAGGCTAGGTTTAAGTCCTCGGTGTTGGGTCGAATCTTGGGAGAGGATAAATCCTGGGACTCGATCTCGTTCAAAAGCCTCACTATGGCCCGCCGCAAGCGCCAATTCCTATCGGATGGCGATTCCGACTCGTCCCCGGCGTCCGACGACGACGCTGAGGCTTCCTTCGACACGCAAAACCCGGACGCGCGGGCTGAGCGCGAGCTATTCGAGAATCCGTACGGGCACAAACGACGACGAAAGGACGAGCGGGAGGACGCGATATATGGTGTGTTTGGTGATGACAGCGAGGAGGAGGCGGAGGGGTTTAGAGGGCGCGGTGGGAGGGGGCGGGGAGGTGGTGGGGCAAAGAGGAGTGACTGGACGAAGGCGCCGGCGTTCGTAGGTGGTCAGAAAGTCGAGCCGAGTAAGACGACCGAGGTGCCGGACGTGGTAGACGAGGATGCTGTCATGGAGGATGGGAGCGACGCGGACAGCGAGGAGGACGACGATGAGGATGATGCGGATCAAGATGAGCCTCCCATGATCGTGGAGGACGATTATGGGCAGGACGAGCTCGAGGAACAACAACCACGCATTGGTGGCATCGGCTCAGGCAAATCCAAAGCCGGCCTTGGCATGTCTGCCTTCAGCCGGGGCGGTATAGGCTCTCGAAGTGCGGCTGCAGACGACTCGGGCGACCTTACTGGGCCTGGAAAACGGACAGGCGGCATCGGGTTTTCCAGAGGCTCTTCAAGCCTTGCGGGTTTCAGCAAGGGTGACATAGGGTCCAGCACTTCTTCATTCACGCCCGCAGAGACCGATTCTAAACCAGCACACAAAGGAAGCATTGGCTCCAACTCCTTCAGCCAAGGCGCCGGTGTTGCGGCCACATTCACATCCGCATCTGCCTATCCCTCTGCCTCCCCTGCCCCAGCCACCCATGCAGATTCCGCCCCCACCATCGACGTCGACACTGCCGACCTACCCGCCTCCTTCGGTTCGGCCCCCCGTACTCAACGCGCGTTTGTGCGCACCTCGAACCCCGCCTCGGGTAGTGCTACCCCTGCGCCCCTCGATGCAAAGGAGCAGGCACACTTTGCCTCGCTGCAGGGCTCGTTCGGCGCGCGGATGCTCGCAAAGATGGGCTGGCAGGCGGGTACCGGCCTGGGCGCCACGGGCACCGGTATAGTCACGCCCGTCGAGAGCAAGCTGCGTCCGAAGGGGATGGGTATCGCGTTTAAAGGCTTCCGGGAGAAGACGGAGCAGAGCAAGATGGAGGCGAAGCGACGTGGCGAGACGGTGAGCGATGAGGAGGAGGAAGGGGGTAAGGGACGGCGCGCACGGAAAGGCGGGAAGAAGGAGACGGAGAAGGAGAAGCGGGCGGAAGCATGGAAGCGACCGAGGAAGGTCAAGACCCGGGTTGAGCACAAGACGTACGAGGAGATCGTCGCGGAGGCGGGCGAACAGGCAGCGCCTGCGGGCGTGGGCGTCATCATCGATGCTACTGGCGCAACAGTACGTGTTTGCGCGCATATCGACTTTGATGCCTTACACAACTTGGATGATCCTCTAGCCTCGAGAAGTTGCATCACTGGCCGACGTATCCAGATCGTCATGGACGCCATCGACCGACCCGACGCGCCTTCCCGAATTACGACATAACTTACGGCTGATTGTCGAATCGGCCAAAGGTGACCTCGACGGTCTCGCGCGTGAAGCCAAAGCGCTCGAGGAGCGGAAGAAATGGGTTCGCGCCGAGGAAGCGCGCCTAGCGAAGAAAGTCCAGGACGAAGCGGAGCGTGCGTCTTTTCTCTCTTTTCTGTCATCTCCACGTTCTCATTCTTACTTCGCACCGACTTGACAGTCATCAAACGGCTGCAGGAGATCAGCCTTGTCGCGAACGACATCAGTTCGCAGGCGAAGGAACTTGCGTCAGCGTACGAACCTTCCCTCGACGTCTTTTCGCCCAACTTTGAGAAACTGTATGGACAGTACACAAAGGAATGCGAGCGTTATCGCCTGGACGAGATCGTGGTCGCTGCTATCGCCCCCGCAGTAAGCACGCTATCTCTCTGCTTAGGTGATATATCTGATGATGGTATAGTTCCGGCGCATGCTTGCGTCGTGGAATCCGCTCGAAGACCCGTCTGCGTTCGTGAACACGTTCTGGCCATGGAGAGGCATACTCAAGATCGCGATGAGCGAAGACAAGCCCGAGACGCAGATCGACGTCTTTGGTACCAGGACGGTCAATACCGCGCCCCTAGTGTACGCAATATCTTTCGACATAATTGCCCTGGCCATTGACGTTTTCATAGCGAAAAGCCGATGACGCCATTCGAATCCCTCCTTTGGAACGCGTGGCTACCCAAAATACGCTCCGTCACAAACAACGAATGGTTACCTGAGAACCCTGCGCCGCTCGTGCGCCTCTACGAAACGTGGTCGACCCTCCTCCCGCCCTTCATTCGCGACAACTTCTTTGACCAGCTCGTCCTCCCCAAGGTTCAGAAGGCAGTCGCTGAGTGGAATCCGAAGAAGGCCGGAAAAGACGGAGTGCCACTGCAGCGGCTAGTGTTCCCGTGGTTGCCGCACCTAGGACTCAGGATGGAGGACCTGCTCGGCGACGCGAGGCGGAAGGTGAAGAGCCTGCTGAGGGCGTGGAAACCGGAAGACGGCCTGCCGGAGGAACTACTCGCCTGGAAAGACGTCAGTCTTTTCCGTTCCGCCCCCACATCGACCTCATGCTAATGCTCATTTCTAGGTCTTCGACGTCGCCGAATGGGACAACATGATGCTCAAGTATGTCGTGCCCAAGCTCGGCGCTACCCTGCGCGACGACTTCCGCGTCAATCCCCGGGCGCAGGACATGGAGCCGCTCCAGCGCGTGCTCGCCTGGTCCTCCGTCCTCCGCCCCTCCATCTTCTCCTCCCTGCTCGAGTCCACCTTCTTCCCCAAGTGGCTCGAGGTCCTCCACTTCTGGCTGGTCCAGCCCGGCGCGTCCTACGAGGAGATCGCGCAGTGGTACTCGTTCTGGAAGAGCACGTTCCCCGAACCCGTGCAGCGACTGCCCGGCGTCGCGCGTGGGTTCACGCAGGCGCAGCAGCTGATGAACGAGGCGATCGTGCTGGGGCCCGAAGGCCGCGCACGGCTGCCGCGCCCCGAGCTCACGGCCGCGTCCGCGCCTGCTTCGCGCCAAGCGACTCCCAAACCCGCCGCGCAGCGCCCGGTCGCTGGCCGGACACAGGAGATCACCTTCCGGTCGATCGTGGAGGAGCACGCCGCGGCGCACAACCTGCTGTTCATCCCCACCGGCCGCGCGCACGAGAAGTCGCGCATGCCGCTGTACCGGGTTTCGCAGACCGCGGACGGGAAGAAAGGGTTGTTGGTGTACATCGACGACGATGCCGTGTGGGCCCCCGATGGCGAGGATTATCGCGCGATCAGTCTGGAAGAGATGGTGCTAAGGGCAACGAAAACGAGCTCTAGTTGATTGATAGATACAACTGCGGGTCTAGTATGTGGGGCTATATACTGTTGGAGGTTCAGATATATGTTTTGTGAGCAGTCTATGATTAGGTTTATGTAACGATGCGTCAGTGTAGCAACAACTCTAGAGCAACGTGAGGAGTAGGGAGGGTATACAAAAGATGAAAAGGACGATCGATGGTGATAGGCCTGAAAGTCGTACAGCGGCGCTCTTGGTTCCGGCCGTACTGGAGGATGAGGGTGTAGGAACGGGTATGTTCGTTGTGAAGGTTATGGAAGAAATGCCAACGTGCTCCAAGAACGCGGCGACCGTTTCCGTGGGGTAGGTAAATGTCTGAGGAGCCGTGGCGGTACCGTAGAGGATGCCTGGCTGCCCAGGGATGATACCTTGCTCGAGGACGGAGTTCTCGCCACCGACAGCCTCTTGGTCGCTCGACGTCACCAAACCGGTCTGATCGTCTCCAAGGACGAAGTCGCGCACAAAACGGTAGAACTACATAGGGGATCAGTATAGGCGACAATCCCGAGGGACGACAGGGCACGAACAGCGGCGGGCTTGAAGTAAGGGCCCTGGTGCCCGGCTCCATTGAACAGAGCGTAGGTCCAGTTGCGTTCCTGATGGATGATACCGGCCCAGTTGCCGAGGTCGTCGTTCCAAGGTGTGGATGGTTTCCGAGTGAACCCTTGAACGCCACCGAACGTCGTGTTCTAGCGGTGCGATTAAGTATGACGGTAGCGCGCGACGTGACCAAATAAATACCAACCTGAATGGTTACTGAAGGTTGTTATTTTTCATGAGTATAAGCTGAAGGACAGTCGCGAAGGGAACGTACACTCTGTTCCAAAGTGAGGAGAGATTGCGTCGTCGTTGCCCGAATAGATGGTCATCGGTATTCCGTGGGCGGACATATTGGAGGCGAGCTCGTCCAAGAACGCCATTGGCCTAAACTAGTGTGAGGTTGTGATGGTAGACGAGCGAATAATATGCGCTTACTCAACACCTGTCAATTGGCAGTGTTAGATGCGTGGTACCCTGCAATATTATATACTTACTTGGATCACCACCTGTAGCTGAACTACCCCATGGGTAGTCGATGCTGCGCGACCAATCCTTGTTCGTCGGAGCATGGATGGCCGACCGTACCTTCTTATCTAATCAAATCAGTTAATCCTCATACGGCTATGCTCCCAAAGATGGCAGTGGACTTGCTTCCGAGGAAAACGGACGCACTGAATTTGAGATTAGGTTCTTACCGCTATGAGAGCATGGCGACGAAACTCACTCCATGACGGTGTCCGGGTTCATGGCGTCCGGTGCATCGTACGGATCGAAGCTCCCGGCGTCCGTCCATGGGAACGTGAAGTTGACGGCATAATCCGTGAGCATGTCCCACAGGAAGCATCCTACGCAGCCTTGGCTCAGCAAGACTCCCATGCAACACCCGGTTGCCTGGTACTCACCGTACCAAGGGTCTATCGTCCCATTCGGCCGCCCGGTCAAGTCGCGCATCACCAGTTTCTGATTCCGTACGCGGTCCACCGGCGCGTGGCGCTTCTTCTCTCGTAGCTCCTCCACCCAGCCGGATTTGGTGGGCATACCTGCCCGGGAATGCTTCTTGGTTGTCGTCCTCGTATCGTCCTCGTCCGGGATGTTGCGGCCGGGGTTCTGCAGCTGCCCCTCGGCGACTTGTACGGTCGCCATAGCGCCGTCACCCGGGTACGACAGTTCCGTCGTGAAATTGCACAACGTGGACCTATTCATCGCGAACTTGAGCTGCACGACCTAATACCTCTGCCTTTGCACTTACTGCGCCTTGAAGTAGTCGTACACTTCCGTATTGTACCCGATCAGGTGCGGGTATGTCTCGATGATGCTGAGGGTAGGCAACGTTTTGAACGCATCGTTGTCGCCGAGGGCTGGGTCCCCGAGGAGGATGTGCGCGAGGTTGACCGGGGGATTCGACATGGAGAAGTAGGTCTTGGTGATGTACGAGACGAAGCGGCCGGCATAACTCTCTCCGGTGAGATACAAAGGTCTAGTAGCCAAACTAGGGAAGACGGCGACCAGGTTCTCAAGGAAGCCCATCTAGCGCGAATGATTAGGAGAAAGGGCGGGAAAACCAAGGTTGGCGAGACGTACGAAATCTTCCCCTATTTGATCCTCGTCCTTCGCTAGAGTGGGACACTTCGTCACAACATGAGCGAGTATATGCGGATGAAAACGCACCGAAACCGTCCGACTCAGCGGTAGAGTAGCCGACACCGCTACAGTAACATCTTCAGTGAAGGTTCCCAAGGGACGTGGTCGTGACTCGTACACTGGGTTGTCTATCCAGAAGTAGTCCATTAGATTATGCCAGCTCCAATTGTTGTAAGCGATGCTGTAATCAGGTTCTATTCGTATCGGCCCGTTCTCGAAGAAAAGCCCTGCCATGGACGATGACCCGGGGCTGTCGGTGCATTAGGCCAGTCTCGCGGTCCTGTTCGACGCGCATACGCTCACCCTCCGTTCAACCATATGCCCCACGGCGCATCGTTGTTCTCGCCAGCAGCAGCGGTGAGCGAACCCTGCTCCTTCTCGAACCCCCAGAAGAACAGACTGTCGTCAGGATGACCGGTACGCTTCACCGCGATATTGCCCGCCCAATTCCTCGGCAGGTCAAAGGTGACGTTCGGAAGGCCGTCCGTTACTTGAAAATCTGAAGAACCATGGATGAACGGGGGCCCTTGTAGGGGTCGACTCAGGGACTCACAATCCTGCCAATCCGTATCATACGATCCTTTCGCTGGAGTCGAACGTCAACGCTGCTCTACCGCTAGGATTGCCAAGATATCTCACGTTGCCCAGAATATCTGTGAGGCGAGCCGACGCCTGGCAGGGACGAGGCGGCTTGGACACCTCGGCCGGCGGCGGCGACGCAGAAGAGAGCGAGGCCGAGCATGTACAAGCTCGGTGGTCGTCAGGCGGAGACAGATGGGTGCGGAGGGGTCGAGAGGGCCGGTCGCGCAGGGACTTATGGCAGATCATGTTGGCGGTGTCGTGTGTTGCGAAGTTCCGATCGGGCGTGGAGGCGGATCGGCCGTGTGACAGTGGCCACTTCCTCCGCAGCGTCGTGTCCCGGTCGCGGATAAGGCCGCAACGAATTTTGCGGCGTTAGAAGTCGTCAACGAGTCCTTTTGCGACCGGCGGCCTGCACACGAGCGGAAAACCAAGCATGGCCAACACACTCACAGTAAGCCCACGAAAGGGCTGAGCCCTCTATACAGTCAGCGTACAGCACCAGCACTTGAGACGCCGACGTGATCGACGACCAAGGAACCTATTTGCAGTGACGTCGCCGATTATAGAATCATGTATACAAGTGAGTATGGTACAAAGCTGCATCGACGACCACAATAGAAACAGGAGGCGAAAAATAGGACGCGTCTATTGTGCGGTATAGTCCATTTTCGCTGCGGCGCAGGCATAATCAGCACAAGGAACACGCGGCTTGGACAGATGCAACGCTCACTCTCGTGTTTCTTCGCTTCGCCGACCTTTCTCGCCGCCTTGGACAGATCTTCCTGGATGATGTACTCTCGCTCGTCGCGGATGGCGAACATGCCCGCTTCCGTCACGATGTTACGCAGGTCGGCGCCGTTGAAGCCGTCAGAAAGCTACGCAATAATGATTAAACGCAAGAGGGGCTCCAAGTGTGGGCCTACCTTGACAATGGCTTCGTAGTCGATCTCGCCGCTCTTATTCACGGGCGCGGCGTGAATCTTAAGAATCTCTAGCCGGGCCTGTTCGTTCGGAAGAGGGATCTCAATCTTCCTATCTAACCGACCAGGACGGAGCAACGCTGGGTCCAGGGTATCGGGTCGGTTGGTAGCCATGATAAGCTTGACGCGTCCGAGTGAATCGAAACCATCCATTTGATTTAGAAGCTATGAGCACCGAATGTCAACCAACTTTCGTCCAAAGAGCCGGCATATAACACCATACCTCCATGAGCGTTCGTTGAATCTCGCGATCCGCGCTGGTACCCTCGGAGAATCTCCGTCCGCCGATGGCGTCGATTTCGTCCATGAAGATGACGCACGGCTCGTGGTCCCGCGCGTACCCGAACATTTCACGGACCACACGCGCAGACTCGCCGATATACTTGTCGACGATTGCCGATGACACGACTTTCAAAAAGTTCGTCTGGAGTGTGGCGGCCACCGCACGAGCGAGCAACGTCTTTCCTGTACCGGGCGGACCGTACAGGAGCACGCCCTTCGGAGGCTTGATGCCCACGCGGAGGAACAGCTCGGGGTTTATGAGTGGGAGTTCGATGACCTGTAGCACATGTCAACTTTCCGAGACGTCATGCGGTCGTCCGCTCAACCGACTGACCTCCCGAAGTTCCCGAACTTGTTCTCCCAGCCCACCGATGCCCGCAAACGACGCTCCTCCCGGGTCCTCCAGACTCATCTTGTACACCATCGGGTCCACTTCACGCGGTAATATGCGCATGATGGTGAGTGTCGTCATGTCCAAGCTGACGCGGACGCCGGCCTTTAGTTTGTCCGCTGGTAAGGTAGGGCGATACGACACAACGTATCGAGGGCCGGACGACGCCTTGACGATGACTGCAGTCAAGGTCAGATGTGAGCAACATGATATCATGCAATAGTTTTGGTTACGCACATCGCTCGTCGTCCAGTTGCTTCATGACCTCGCCGATGATCTGACCAACAGACTGAACCGCCTTGATATCCTCCTCCGTCTTATCGTACGCCTTCTCCAGATCCTTCAGAGAGAAACGCACTGTAAGGACCGCTTGTCAATTCTGTAATGTCTAACGAGGATACTAATGCACTGACAATTCCTTAGGGTCTCGCTCGCAGTTTCGTGGCTCCGCATTTTCTGTCTCAAGGTTAGAGGCATGTCCGGCAGTGGTACGGTACGTACTCACCTCGCGGTATGCCTTGAGGGCATCTTTCCTTCGTTGATCCATCGAACCTGACGATGTTGAAGGTTGGCCCGACATGGTATGGGCGATCGGTACAAGCAGCTGTAACTGACGGTGAACGCGTACGCGTCACCGCGTGAATTCGAGCGTGATGGCGCGTAACCCAGCGGGTAACGGTCACAGCCGTGACAGTTATTCAGCGCCACCCACACTCGTCTGCACGTATCGCACTCTATACGCTGACCGAAACTTGTTTATTTAACTCCTAGGATTGTCCACGTCTGGTGCCACTGCGTTGGCCGAAGAGAGGCATCGTCATTAACACCATGAACAAGCCTTCTCAACGTTTTTATGCGCCCATGTGCACGAAAGTCGCCCACTCGTACGCGCTGTGCCCACCTCGTCGAAGGCGATGCGCCGCTTCATCGAGGGCACGAGGGATCACATCGAAATCCACGACACCCCGCCCAGGCTCGAACAACCGCTTGTAGACGTGCTCGGCCACGAAGGGCCCCGCAACGTCGTCCATCGGCCTGATGAGCAACGCAGGCTGTAAGACGGAACTTATGTCGACGTGCTCGCCAGGACTCACCACATCGTCGCGATCACGCTCCGAAATCCGGTGAACAACATCGCTGCGGCGAGGTGTATCGCCTGATCAGGATGATAACTGTCTCCCTTGCTGGTCTCGCAGGCGCTGAGGTAGGCAAACATGGCATCCGGCAGGTTCAGTTTCATCAGTTTGCCGATGGTGAGGTCCCCGTCTCCGAGCTTGAAGGCGCTCTCCAGCGGGCCCTCCGCATCTTGCTGTCCATGACATGCCAGATGGAGGATAGTACTTCCAGGAAGCTGTTCGATGACACTGTTTACCGAAGTTGGCATGGCGCCCTCCCTCTCGCGTTCGATTACGGTGGTCTTGACGGTGGATGTCACCCTCCGAACAGCGTCGATCTCGTCGTAGACGCCTTCGATGTACTCCCAGCTCGATTCGGATGCGTCGGGTTCAGTGTCTTCTGACTCGGTAGTGTCTCCCTCCCCACTCTCCGCCTCGCAGCTCTCCCAGTCCGAATCATCTTCATCCCAGTCCAAGTACTCTGATTGCGAACCGCATGCTTCAGAACTCTCCTCCGAAGCGGCAGCCGGATCAAACGCCAGAGGTTCTGCAACGAGCAGCATTTTGACGGCGTCAAACGTACGAATCGGTCCCTTTCGCTGCGCGATACGCAGGGCACTCAGTGTCGGAGTATACGAGGACACGACGTACTGCGAGAGATATTGAGGCTCGCCCTTGTAAATGCCGGCCGCGTGAACGGGAAGGAACGCAAATTGGCCGGTTGGCATCCACGTCACTCGGGGACGGCGGGGCCCATCAACAATCTGCGTACTGTCAACACGGGATCCTTCCGATAAACAATTTCTCCACACACCGCGAATTGCAACCCTCGAATGATGGGTCGCACAACGCGGATCCACAATTCTTGCAGGATGCTGGACAGGGACGCGTCCTTGCAGTGACGTTAGGAATGCGGGTCGCTCGGGATGACGATGGAGCTTAACCAATTGCCACCATTCCTCATCCTCGTCTCCACAATTCGGTGGACTCGCCTGCAGTGCGCCAAATCCAGTCGAGCCGGAATCGTTCGCACGAAGTTCCATCTTCCGCTTGCGATACATCGAGCGATATTCTGCCCCATCCCGGCGCAATGCTTCGGCGTAACCAGCCGCGACGCTCTCGGTGATATCCAAAAGCTGTACGTGGAGTGGCGGGCTACCGGCCCTGAGGATGAGCGCGTGTGACTGGGCGGCACCGGGGACGAGGAGGATGACTGGTCCGTTCGTCGCCGCGTCCGATAATGACGAGAGTGGCTCATGCAGCAGAAAGCGTTCTAATCCCGGCGTTCTTCGTACCTCCTCGATCAACCTCTCAAACTCTTCGCTCTTTCGCCTGCGTTCCCCGCCTACGGCTGCAGACGATCCGGGAACGTTGGGACCTTGGTCAGAGGACGGTGTGCAGTGATCCGGTCCGTCTTCGAGCACTTTGGCCAAATCCATCAGCTTTCTGGACATGCCCGAAGGTAGCTCATCGAATTGGGTCCGCAATCGAAGTGCTTGTGACCAGAACACGGCACGGCCTTGCTCCAACAATTCGATGGCACGAGGCACTTGGTCAATGTGCAAAGCACGCACAGCGGCGTTCACTGCGATCCATTGGGCGCCCTCTAGTGAAGAAAGACGTTGAACAGGGTCCAGGCCCACGAGGGCGATATGAGGCATAAGCTTGATAGTTTGATCGTATGCATCGAGCAAACTATGGAGGAGCTCGACGCTCGCATTCGTTCCGGCTCCGCCCAAAGGTAGCATGCGCTCGAATCGCTGTAAATATCTTCGCGCGTGATCCAGCCGGTCTTCGACGTCAACGAATGGATAGGAGACTGCGTCTCTGAAGTGTCGCAATGCACGTTCGAGATCGTACAAGGGCGAACCTTGCCGACTGCAATAGTCCGCGATCCTCCACAGGTACGGTAAGCGCCTTGCAGTGCCGAACGGGAGCAAGGCGTCCGCTTTGGCGATCGTACGATGCATCTCGTCTAGCACGATCGGATCATTGAGTCGGTCATAACTCGTGTGCAAAGCGTCGAAGAAGTTCATCAACCACGAGCCATATTCTGGGTGTTCGCTAGGCAACACGGATATCGCCTCGCGATAAAGCATGATTGCCTCGTTGAGATTCTCGATGTCATCCGAGCTATCGAAATCAGAAGCCAGTGCATTGGCCAGGTTGTTCAGATGCATGGCGCGGTAGGGATGTCCGGTGGGGCAAAGGGCCACTGCCTGGCGATCCAACTTGATCGCTTCCATCAGACTGTCGGAGTCGCCGTAATGCTGATGGCGCTCTTTGAGCGTGCTTGCGAGAGTGCTCAGTGGCCTATCACGTTCAGGGTGACCTTCGGGATGGAAGGAAAGAATTTCGCGACGAAGATCGACGATCTCTGCAAAAGTCGTCGGATCTCTGTAGCGTTCGTGGTAGGCAGAGAGTGCGTTCGTGAGATTATGAAGGGCTTGGTAGCGATTTGGAACACGCTCCCCACTGAACAATGTAACGGCCTCACGATGTAGAGCGATAGCCTCCGTGAGGCTGTCCGTGTCCCCGTAGTACTCGTAGTGCTCCCTGAGGGCGCTCGCAAGATTGCTGAGTGACATTCCGCGATCTGGGCCTGGTTCATGCCGTAACGCCAATGATTCGCGACACATATCAATGGCTTCGGCCAAAGATGCCGTGTCGCCGTACTGCCCATAATACGTGCACAGGGTGTCCGCGAGGTTGCTCAATACCAAAGCACGGTCTGGATGTCCCTCGTGACACAGCTTTACATGAGCGCGGTGGAGAGATATCGATTCTAATAAGGCGTCGGCGTTTCCGTAGCGCTCGTAGAGCGTGGAGAGCGCGTTGGCGAGATTATTGAGAGAGAGTTCTCGATCGGGGTTCCCTTCGCCTTGTAGCGCAAGGGCCTCGCGATTCAGAGCGATGACCTCGAGAAGAGCGTCTTTGAGGCCAGAATGGGCGTAGTGAGTGGAGAGCGCGTTGGCCAGGCTGTTGAGACATCCAGCACGCCCCTGGCGACCCTCGGGATGCAGCGATAGGACTTCTCGACGAAGGTCAATAGCTTCCGTCAAGTCATCCGCGGTGCCGTCGCGATCATATCGTTTGATCAGCCCGACTGCGAGACGAGAGAGCGGTACGGAGCGTTGAGGATGCCCACGAGGCCGTAAGGACAAAGCTCGGCGGTGTAGTTCAATCGAGCGTGCTAAAGTGTCTGCATCGCGATTTCGGTCATATTGCTTTTGGAAGGCCAAAGCAAGGTTTGCAAGTGCCTCGGCACGGCTGGGATGATCTTCGGGAAATAATGCGAGCGCTTCCTGGTTGAGAGCGATCACCTCATTCAACAGGATCGATACTGCCGACGGGTCATCGCAATCGTGATTTCCGAGGTGTTCGAGCAGCTCCGTAGCCTGCTGGAATAGGATGACTGCTGTATCGGGGCACTGAACGTTGGATGGCGTCGTTAAGGGAGCGAGAGAGAGTATCTGAGATGAGTGGCCACCTTGAGGCGCGCTGGCATGCACAACGAAGGAGGGCTGCACAGTTTTGACCATCCTTCCACCATCGGAATACATCTTCCCTAAAACTTGATACAGAAGCATAACGTCGTCCAGGAAATTTCGGTCTTTGGGTAAAGTGATAAATTCGCGGCATTCTGCGCCGTCCTGCCCATCTTCTCCTAGCATTTGTCAACCTTCTGTCTGATTGTAATAAAAGCTAGCTCCTACCCCATATCTGAAGCGACAGAAACTTTCCTCTTCCTGGACTTGCCAGACGCCTTGCCCAGCACTCATTCTCGGCGTTCGCTGCTATTGTAGCTCAGCAAGTTGCTCAGCGTGAGATGCACTGCAAGTGCGTACATTGATTACTTCCAACCGTACAATGGAAATCGCTGACATCTCTGAGCAGCTCTAGGAGGTGAATGAGAGTTAAAAGTGAGTGCTCGAGGCAGCGGAAGTGCGCAACAGGCGGAATGCGCACCGGATGGATCAACCGTCTCAAAGCTGGTTTCCACGTTCGTACCGCCACGTAGATTCACCGTCGTCCTGAACATGCGAAAGAGAACCAGCCAGTCACTCAAACGCGTGGGGTTACTGGCCAGAGAAAGCTCGATGTCTTTATCCTCCATGACGAACACTTACGCTGGCTAGCTGGGCATGATACAAGGCACTGGTGGCAGGGGTAGCATTTAAATCAGGGAAAGAGGGGTGAAGACCGCCCAAGCGCCTCATTATGCCTCTCATTCCATCCGGAATGAAAGAACAATGGCGCGGAAGACGTTGATGGGTTGGCAGGTAACCATGGACCCTGAAACGCTGAGCGAGGGCCTTATTGTCGGCTGTCAAGGAATGGATGTATGCTGCTGTAGAAACCTTGCTAAATTTCGCCCTCATCAGGCTTAGTTGAATCTGTGGCGTCCTATGGCAAGCTGTTCGAGACGAAGATCGAATGCATCTCCGGTACGAGGGTCGAGCACCAGGTCGGACGACGGTCATGACTTGCCCCCGAACCCGCCTCGTCTTGGGCACGCCGTATGCGCACCTTGCGTTCTTGATACATCTCGCCGGGCATGAAGGGGCGCGCGTCAATCACGTCGAGGTTTGCGTCTTACGGAGAAGGTGAAGCGAACGCCACCGCCCATAGCGCCCACATAGATCTGGGTGCCGCTTTGCGGAATTCCTGCCGGCCTTCTTATCCGTCAGCTGACAGATCGCAAAGCTATAGCATGCCGAGTTACTCACTCTCAATAGGCGAAGCAGATGGCTGCTCACGCTGAGACAGGCAGAACAAGCCAAAGAAGGTACGCGAGGACACCCTGAGAGGATCAGATTCATTGCAGGCGAGTTCATCGATCATCTCCTGAGCGCGAAGGTTTTTGCTTCCGCAGGCTGGTGGGAAAGATATCACCTGCGCAGGATCTCCTCTCCGAACTTTACGTCTGCAGCTTCTTCATCGCAGGTCCACGTGCGTCGCTCGTCCTCGCCTTTTTTCACTTTCCACGGCCAACAAGATCCCAGCTTTTTCATATCGGAGACTGCTTGTGCCAAACCGGGTCTTCTGGACGACACACCATCTTCGCGTCCCATCTTTTCGTTGTCAGACGCAGAGATGATCTTCGACGTTCTTTACGTCCGCGTTCGGACGCTCTCGGACTGGACCGAACGTGTTCCACTTGCGTCGGACGCCCGCCCGATGGTTTTGCCGCCTTCCGGGCTGTGCCGGCGCAGGCTCGAGCGGAATGAGCCAGAGAGCGGAAGCAAAGCGCGAACGACGGCAGCAACAACGGAAAGAAACAACAAGCGCCCCTCGAGGAGTTGGCAAAACTCGCCAGAAGAGGTGGGAGCGACCGAGGCCAGAAGCGGGATGAGGTCGTTCCGCCAGTGGACGCGGTTCCGCGGGGAAACCACGGGGGTCCACTGCGGGGAAGCGTGGGAAGCGAGGGGTCCAGACCGCGACCGAGGGCCTGGCTTGGGAAATCATCCATGACGAGAGGAAGCCGCGCCCATTGCAGAGGGGGCAGCGTCATATAAACCCTACCAGGCCGGCCATGCTCCCTCCTCCCTCCTCCCCGACGCCGCCATGTCCAGCACCGCCAGCAGCCCGTCCTTGTCCCCGACGCGCGGCGCACACCGTCGCCTCTCCGCCCGCCGCGGCTCCGTATCCGCCATCGATCCCTGGGGCAAGTACAAGGAGATCAACCTCAACCCGGGCCGCAGCTCGTCCAGCAAGCTCACCATCGTCCGCGTGCAGGAGCATCCGGACGAGGGCACGGCCGCGATCGGCGTCAACAAGCGCCATTCGTTCGGACACAGTCATAAGCGTCCGGGCAACCACGGTGCTGGCCCTGGCGACAGTCCGAGGCTGAGCTTTGCAAACCAGTCCTTCGTGCGCCCGAGCAGCCCCACTACTCCGACCAGCCCCGGCTTCAACCGCCCCGGGAGTCCCACTACCGCTCGACCTGGGAGCCCGACGACCTCGCGGCCTCGCTCTCCAGGTCCCACCGGCCATCGATCTCTCTCGCACAGGAAGCTTACGCCGGAGGAGATCTACGAGCTGGCCAAACAGTCCACCAATCCTCAATACGCGCCCAAAACCGCCTCTAGCAGCATCCCAAACACCCCCGTCGCCGCATCGGCGTCTCTGGCCCCGGCGTCGTTCACCCCACTCACCGACGACATCCTCCTCCCCTTCATCGACCGCTCGAGCGAAGTCACCGCGCTCATCTCCGTCCCGCCCTCCGCGCGTCTCTTCGGCCTTCTGGCCCAGACACTACCCAAAGACGGCACCAACGCGGGCGATCCTCCCTCCGTTTCGGGCGACCCCCGCAAATGGAGCTACAGCCAACTGGACTTCTGGATGAAACACGTCGATCGAGACCGGGCGGACGACTACACATGGGTTCGAAAAGCACGTGCGTGCGTTTTGGTGCACAGCGAGCTCATCTGGGAGCGGATCAAGGGCGCGCTCGGCGTTCCGCCGGAACTCGACATGGACGAAGACGCCGAGTGGGAGTACGGTGGCGAGGCGCCAGCCGAATCGCCCGCAGAGGGCGGTCAGGCGCAGGTCTTCCAGCTGGACGTCGACTCTTCGACGCCCAAGGGCGAGGAATCAGCGGCCGTACCGAAGCTGGAGATCGAAGGTCCGTCGCCGGCACAGGAGATCGATGACCCCGGGCTCAGCTCCGGCGCGAGCGATAATCTATCGGCTGACGAGCGCGAGATCACGATCGAGCCTGTGCTAGTGCCAACCACGCCGCCGCTCGTCGTCAGTGATACGGCGACCGGCCTCGGCGGGATTACGGAGGCGGACGAGGAGGAAGAAGAGGCGGCGGACGGTGCCACCCCGCCCACGGAGCCTCCGAAGGAGGCCATCCAAGGGCTCCGCATCTGCACCGCGCCGGAGGGCCCGCAATTCTCTCCGCTCATGGCGTCCTCGTACTCGCCCATCCCCTTCGGGCACTCGCCGACGGCATCGTTCTCCAGCGCCAACATCGGCTCGCCCAGCCCGTTGCGCCTCGACGGACCCGCGCAGGAGCCCGCGGGGCCCTCGCCGTCGTCCGCGGACGAGAAGCAGCTCGTGTACAAACCCCGAGGGCGCTCGTACAGCTCGAGCTCGAGCTCGTCGTTCTTCAGCCGGGACGGGTACTACGACGCCGTGTCGGAGCGCGGCCCGGGCAACCCGCTCTTCCCCAGCAGCTTTGCGAAGCTGGCCCTGGGGCCGACGTTGAAAGCCAAGTGAGTCTCGCTTTTGGTCATCTTTCATGCTGCTGACCGTGCTTTGTAGCATGCGCTCTCCCGTCCCTCCGCCACCGTCGATATTCTCCGACCCTCATGCGATCAGGAGCGCGCACCGCAAGCTGCCGAGCTGGGCGAAAGGCTGGGACCCGGTCAAGCACGAGTATGCGCTCACGGCCGCGAGCGGGAGCAGCATCGGTTACGACTAAGACGCGGCTGTCTCATAACATGGCCCCCCGAAAATGTCACATACCAGGACAGACGCCGATATACGGGCGTCACAGTCGCATATAGCCTCCCTCCATTCAATCATTGCATCCGCACATCAGAATCCTTGGAACAGTAGTGTCAAACGCCCTCCCCATATCATATTAGCATGCTCGTGTTGTAACTTTTGGTGTTTAAGCAAACAACGATGCTTCCTTCGCTCGTCATTCACAGCCCTAGTCGCTCAATGAACAGTGCATAACAAGTTTCGATTCACTGCGTGCTATCGAATGCACGTCGTCAGGGTAGGTAATCCTGCCACTGCCGTCCTTCCGCAGAAGCATTCACGCCAGATTTCAGCATCCGTATGCGTTGCGCAACCGTCGGCGCACCGGAGACCTGCGCCGTGACCTGCTTCTTCATCACCTTGGCCCCTTTCTCGTAAAACCGCTCGGCGTATTGTTCCAGCTGTCGCATGAAGCCGGGGTTCGGCTGAACGATCGACCGCCGCTCTTTGACGAACGCGACGGCTTCGTCCGCGACCATCTCCGTCGTCGCGATCAGGTACGCGCAGACGACGGTCGCGCTGCGGCTCATGCCCATCAGGCAGTGGACCTGCGGCAGAAGCGGGGCGGGGTGTATATGTATCGGACTCGTGCACGAAGGCGAGAGAGAGAGAGAGAGAGAGAGAGAGAGAGAGAGAGAAGGGGCGATGACACACGATCATTGAACCCTTGAGGGGGAAGAGGCACGCACCAGCACTTTTGTATTCGGGCCCTCCGCGAGGGCATCTTTGATGAACGCCGTGGTGACGGCGAGATGGGCCAAGATATCCTCCGTCGCGATGTCGTCGATCTCGACGTGCAGCGTGCGGATGTGCGCGGGGAAGGTCGGCGCGGTCCGGAGCACGGAGACGACGTGGGTGATCCCGAGTCGGGCGAGCTCGCTGTCGTCGAGGGCCGTGAGGAAGTCGGAGAGGTAGAGGCGGGGCAGGATCTCGGAGGCGACGCGTTGCCTTGAGATTGGCCCGGGGGACGAACGCGGATTGCGTCTCGCGTTAATGACGCCCAGGAAGGCCGCTTGCCATGATGTTGAAGACGCTGAAGGGGGCATGGTACGTGGCGTCCTCGAGTCCAGGGAAGATACAGCCGTTTCCGAAAAGGTTGAGCGCAGCGCAAAAAACGAGACGCGCAAACCCTGCGCTGGGGTTGCCCTCGAGCCAGCCTCTGCCCGCCGATTCCGCGTTCGCACTCGCCAAATGCCCTTCAGAAAGATCAGTTCCGACATTAAGGAGCGTGCACTGTGGCTTATAGAGCACGAGTACGCTCCTTCCGAGATCTGCGACATCCTCGGTTTCTCCCTGGCTAGTCTTCGAAGGTGGCGACGGAACCGCCGCTTGCACGGCTCGCTGCATCCCCCTCGTAACCCGAACAGAGGACGTCCGACGCTCATCACGTCGGACATTCGTCGAGACATGTATATGCTGCTCTCGGAGGCTCCAGACATGTACCTCGATGAGGTACAAGAGTGGCTCGTTATCGCCCGGGATGTCAAAATGTCTATCACCACGGTTCATCGGCTCATTTCGGATGCTGGCCTCACCTACAAGCAGCTGGAGAAAGCTGCCATAGAGCAAGATGAGGAGCAGCGTGACACTTGGAAGCGGGATATCAATGGACTATGTTGAGGGGAGCTCGGAAAGTCGAATTCAACGTCCGACGAAGACGTAGGATTCGTATGTGCCGTGGGGAGTGCCTTGGTAGCGGTCGCGGTGAGAGGCTCGGATCCTTCGGGGCTTTCCTCCTCCTCTTCTTCGGCCACTATCCATGGAACATCAATGTCGGCCATCTACAGTGTTCGACCATGCATACCAGTCGCTTTTTCCGCGGCTATTTTTGGGGGAATTCGAATTCGGAGCGCTATTGTGAGCCTGTGAGCAAGATCGGCAGAACACCGGAGAAGGTCACAATCTCGCACCACAAGCGGCGGATTTCTGCTCTTCTGCTTGACTTTCACAGCCTCCTTCTTCCGTCACTTTGTCTCTGGCTGATTTGCGACGAGAGCGACGCATTTCCGGTCGGTATATGAGCTGCTGAGACGACGGCGAGGGCGTTTTGGCGACGGCGACGCCGTTTTGGCAGTGACCCCAGCGTAGGGTTTGCCTCACAACACGCGTCTCGTTTTTCGCGCTGCGCTCAACCTTTTCGGAAACGGCTGTAAGATGTTGTTGCGCCTTGCACAGGTCAATGTACAGAGTCTGGTGATGACTGCGGAGAGGTCAACGCGAAACTCGACAGTATACGTACGACCCACCGTGATGTCGACCTTGTCGAGCTCCTCTGATTGACCTCTTCCGGCGCTCCAAAGACGTCCAACATATATCAGGACTCTCTGAGGGGTATAGTAGATCTGGCGTTCAGTACTAGCGTTGCTCAGGGATCACATCGCTAGGCTCCGAGAATTGCTCTACACACGGATAGTGGGCGCCGGCACGGTGTGGGCATGCGCTACATGCAGAAACCATGCACGTTGAACACCCGTACCATTGGCTGCAGGAATACCATCCTGTTCACCTTTACTCCACCGGGGGATCATAACTGGCTGCGGCAGTGTTTTCGTCTGCTGTGGCAGCCGTGAAGGCATGGCGATGTCGGAGGCGCCCATTTGACCTTAGGCCCTACAACCCGCTTCTGAGCGATTCGGTTCCCACTGCGGATATAGGACTTCCAGGCCGACATGAAAACGCTCTCAACTGGCTTCTAAAAATGGCAGAATGTGAAGGATACCCGCTATACGATTTCGCCTTGCGCCTCTGTGACAGATCTTCGCAACAAGGTGCACGCAAGAGCGAGGCTATTGACTAGGCGTACCTGTTGACTGCGGCGTCGAAGCGGTGAGACCGCATATATAGGTTGCCCCCTGCAAGCTGCCGCTTTTGAGACTCCTGTGCGTAGCCCAAAAAATCCACCAAATAAGTAGCTGCCCATTTGTTGTCGAGGTAAGACTGTATCCGAGTTCTTCAAAGCTGCTCGTTCGCCGCGTCTTCATTCATAGGAGGTCCTTGGCGGTCTTTCCGTCTGGAAACCCTAGGCGCCCATCTAACCTCAGGACCAAAGCTCTCGCGCTCCATCACTTACTCACAACTTTACGCCGACACGAGTCCGTCCTCATTGGTTTACGGCAACGGGAGATCATGAAGGACAACCGCCTGAGTGCCCTCTTGCACCCGTGGTTTCCGCTCATCATGAACGCCTTGCGCCTTCTTGACGGCAGACTGTATTCAGGCAAGGTCCCTGACCAGATGTGCATGTTCTACTGCTGTCAAGGTGTCACGACGGTATATAATATGCTTGGACGAGGCTGCAACCATTGACATCCTTACGTGTCGTAGCCACTACTCTCACATATCTTCAGCCGGTATGTCGAATGTGGCCACGTTCAAGATGTTCAATACGTGAGTTCTGAGGAACAGGTCGATTGTGCCACTCATAATAGCGTATATATAGGAAGGTGAAAGGTATCAGAGAGAAAGTTTGTGGTTGAACTCCCCATCATGACAGCAAGACTTGAAGCTTTTTTTGATCAGTTGACGGAATTCTCCAACACCCTCAGTTCCATTGCGAGAAGAGGAGCCATCCTGCACGCCGCAACGCGCCTTTCTGATCATCTTCAAGTTGTATTGTTCCTCTTCCGAGAGAATGCAGCAAGTCTGTTCCCGCAAAAGATCAAGATGCGGGAAGAGAACCGCGAATATTTCCACCTCAGAGCGACCCTGAAACACGATAACACCGGCTTCACGTTGGAGTCTATACCTGTACAGGTGCGTATCCAGCCCCCGTTGCTGTTCTTCGCTCATGTCTCCCGGAGCAGTTGGGCTTCCTTGCGGAGGCTATCACCGAGTACCATGATCGGCTCACGGAAATCCCCGAACTTCGATTGGTAGCCAAGGATGCGCGCTTAATGCTATTCAAGCAGGATCTAGAGGTCAGTTATACATATTCACTGAAGGACTTGATGTCTTTACCTGAGATATGCTCCTAGTATTGGCAGGGATACTGTAAAACACTGAAGGGTAGGTCGGGTAAAAATCTTCCCCGCCCGATCCTCTACTGATGCGCCTTCGCCGGAAAGGCCGTTTCCAAGAATATGTTGTGCACGTTTACCTCAACGAACTGCTCGGAGAAATGGAGATCCATCTTGACAACCTGACAACAATGCTCAATACATTGTGCAAGGTCACTTTGCCCCGTTTGAATACTGCGAAGGGCGAACAAAATAATTACTTGGTCGCTCTCACCGCTGGTATATCATTTCATCGTTCGCATTGTTCGATAATAACTCCTATATTTAGTCGCAACTCTATTTGCAAGCATTGCGGCCACAACCTTGTCGCTTTCTTCTGGACAGCATGGTACTTTACTCTGGGATTTCGTCAACGCCTTCTGGTTTTCTTCCTTGGTGCTCAGCATCGTCTCAGTAGTCATCAGCCTAGTTGGCCTGGTATGGAATGAAGACCTGTGGTAGGCGCTCATATGACACGGCTCGGGTCCACCTCTGATTAATGAACGCAGCCTATATCCGGAGCAACGCTTTCCTCGGTGGATATCCTCCGGTTTAAGGAGTTTTCCGATGTTTCTCCTCGTCGTTGCTGTGCTCGCGTTCTCAGCAGGACTTGTGCTCTTCGGGTTCTCGTCCCATCAGGTAAGGGAACACTCGATTATATGGTACTCGTCTGACACATATGCAGCATGTTGCCACATCTAGCTTGACACTAGGCTTTACTTGCATCAGTGCCGTGATTCTGCTGGCCCTGGTAATATTGTTTGCCATTGTGGGTCCCTGCAACTCAGAGCATGTTATTCAACATATGGATGACTGTGTCATTTAGGAGGACAACAGGTTCAAAGGCAACACGGAACGGAGCACAAAGCACACATTGTTTGACCCGTTTCTGGCTCCCATCGGTGCTTTTCATGGTTGGTGCCAGCTCCCTCATTATCAGAATCACATGTTTATTACTGATCAGACATACGTCGTCGCATTGGGGATGTCCCAAGCGCTGAGAATAGCGACGCCACTACGGAAAGTACGCCACCAAATCAACTCGCAGGACGTGAACATAGGAGCATAGGCAAGTCGTTATTTGCCTTGGGATCAGGGTGAGGAGTTTGACAATCAAAAAGACGTCCCGCATCAATGCGGATTCTACTATGAATTACTCCGTAGCATCACGCGAGTTATGGCTATGGCTATACCGCCTCCAGACGACCCCTCCTTCCCTTGCCGTGAGGTCGATATAGACCTGGAAGTTGAAGCGTACGACAGTGTGTCGGCGGACTCCCGCAGCAGTACCTCCCATGGCCTTAAGAATATCAGCCCGGAGTTCAAACGCATCGTCGGGCACAACATCCCGTTGCCGCAAAGCTCTGTGGCCCCAGCTGATATCCAATTTCTCATGATAGGGAGTTATCTTGCGTCTTCTGGGTACGTTTCCAGATGTCACAACCTGAGACGCACCGACAAATCGTACTTCAGCTGGGACAAGCGCGTTCGTATATGGAACGTGAAATGGAACGACGAAAGTAAGGCTCAGGGTAAAGATGACGTAAAGCCGTATTTCAGGCAAATTGCGGAGATGCAAGACCCTCCAAAGCGCACAATAGAGTCGCCAAATGCACTAGTATCTGCGGAAGGGTTCGTGTTGCAGACTGTATGGTTGGTTGCGAGCGGAATGTCTAATTTCTATGGATGTGCCAGTCTAACCATCTGTTGCAGGTCATCCTCTGGGAAGCGACTCCTGTCAAGATCCTGTACTGGTGTATCTCTGTGGGACACGATCGTCAGTGGCCCTTCGCTAGTTCCTTGGCGCCGTTTATACTCTCGTTCGCAGGATCCGATGAGTCCAAGACTCGAAGCAAGCTTCAAAATGTCTTCGAAATTCATCATATGGGATGGCGGATCGGCAGAGGATACATTTCTCTCTGTAGAGGACACATTCGTGTACAAATATGTGAGCAGACCCGTTGTAGATCGTATCTCACATTTCAAGTGCTGGCAGAATATCGGTTCTCAGACCGCGTCCGAGGACCTAATGCAATGGAAGAGAGAGCAGGTCTATTCTTCAAGTTATTCTTCAAGTTCCGATATTTCTACGGATCTGAACTCGGATACGAAACCGCGCTTGTCGTTGCAATCAATCGCACAATTATCCGACCCAAGGTACTATGTCATCGTAGGCATATATCTTCCAAAGAAGCACGACCGTCGTCGCCGGACTGGTGCAAAGCGAGAGAAGGAAATCATAGGTATTATGACAACAATGATATGTTTAGCTGTTTCTCACGTTTATTCCACCTCATTGGTAGTGTACGACTCAAGGATGAAAAGATCAATGCCCGCTGTCCCGACGCTCACGGACATTTCCAATGTGGTTGTCAACAAGGAGGGTACTCTCCTCTTAGTGAACCACGATGGCAGGGTGAGTAGGCAGAACTCTCTGTGAGTTCCGTCCCTCAACGATTATGTGTGAATACAGCCCCCTCAGCTTTTCGACGTAACTCTGAAGGCTAGCGAACCTGTGATTATCCCTCGCCTTCCATATGCTGCTGAGGCACGCTTCACCGGTCGTGGCGCATTCTGGGGGCGGAACGACGAATACGTTTTACGCGGTGATAGAGGTGAGTTGTGATTGGGACTTGGACAGCCAACACCGCTCATGTCCGCGCACTACCAGATGGAAATATACACGTCTGGGACACGGAGACGGGCCAGCATAAGCATACCTTCCTCGCCGACAAGTCAGAGGGAGAGCGCAGGATTTACGGCATCTCCTGCTGCCACGATCCCAAGAGGGGTTCGATGTTCGCGGTTGCGGATAGCATATCCATCAGAGTCTGGCTCGATCCCAAACAAAGCAGTGAGGGTGCCATTCGACTCCACTCTGGGGTAGGAATCTCCCAACTCGAAGGATCTTCGAAGGCGCACAATAGGAAAGGTTCTGACATCGACAGTATTAAAAGTATCGCTACGGCGGATTGAATTGCACGTACCGACTGCAGTTGGCTGCTGTTGTACATTTGCTCCTGGATCCTACTATATATTTTCGATAAACGTGGTATATATTGCCTTGTCCGCCCTAACGCGTGATCCAGAGTCAATAATAGCGACATAGTAAGGAAGTCAACTGAAAGGAACCCGTAAAATAGATTGAAATATGTCAAAAATCGGAAATATGGCGCCAGATACCCGCACTTCGACTCCGACCAAAACGCCTCTGCCGTACCGCCGTACCTCTTCGGGAGCTCACTCGCGTCCACGAATGGCAGCATCTCCTTCCCGATGGCCTTTGACCTGCTGCCTACAACGCGCATCTTGGCGAGCTCGCTGCTCGCGACGTCGTCGATCTCGACGTGTAGCGTGCGGATGGGCGCGGGGAAGGTCGGCGCGGTCCGGAGCACGGAGACGACGTGGCTGATCCCGAGTCGGGCGAGCTCGCTGTCGTCGAGGGCCGTGAGGAAGTCCGAGAGGAAGTCCGAGAGGTAGAGGCGGGGCAGGATCTCGGAGGCGACGAGATTGGCGCGGGGGACGAACGCTGGTTGCGTCTCGCGTTAATGACGCCCAGGAAGGCCGCTTGCCATGTTGAAGACGTTCAAGGCATGGTACGTGGTACGTAGGAAGGCAGGCAGTATCAACACTGGAACAGCCGTGGTATCCTTGAGTCCTTGGTCGATGTGCAGAATCTGCCGTCAAGGGCATGTCGGCGAAGCACAGAGGGACGGGCGCTATGTAGCGCGTGCGAACCTCGAATCGACCGTACCACACCTTGTCATGACCTCCTACCTCTTCCAGCGATCCTAAGACGTCCAAGCACATACTAGGGCTCTCTGAAGGTCTAGTCGAGATGGGGTTCAGTGCAAATACACCTCGGGAATTACATCGCCAGCCTCCGATAACTGCTCCACACACGCGGATAGGAAACCGCACAGTGCGCGCATCCGTATGCATGCAGAAAGCATGCACCTCGAACACACATACGACTGTCTGTAGGAGTATTCTTACCCTTCCGGACGATTACAATCTGCTGCGGCAGTGTCCTTGTCTGCTGTGATAGCCGTGAAGGCATTGCGATGTCGGAGGCGCCCATTTAACGGTCCCGCTTCTGAGCGATTCGGCTCGGCCAGTTCCCACTGAGGATATAGGACTTCGAAGCCAACGTGAACTCACTCTCAATTGGCTTCTAAAACTGGCAGATCGTGAAGGATACCCGCTATACGCGTTCGCCTTGCGCCTTTTTGACAGATCGACACAGAAAGGTGCACGCAAGAGCGAGGCTCTTGACCAGGCGTGCTTATTGACTTCAGCTTCGAAGCGATGGGACCGTATATATAGGTCGCCTGCTACAAACTGCCGCGCTTGACACTCTTGTGCATCATACTCACCACGAACGCGAAACTTCAGCTCGTACGTTGAACCGGTATCGTCCTTGCCGCAGACGTAGTAACTAATGTTTGATAGTCACCATGCGCTACGGGGGCGTCTCAGAGGCACCACCTCGTAGCATCGTCGGGGACAACAACGCGCTTGGCGCAACGTTGACTATTGGCCAAGAGAAGACATTGGTTGATTTGCTAGAGTCATGGAGGCGTATGTGTCCAAGGATTTCGAGGGAGATCGCTGGCTTGACAAGGCTTGTTAGCATCGCAAGAAAAGGTTGCCGAGGACGGTCATGATCGTGGTAAGCAAACTATGATCACAGGTCGTCCTCGGTGTTTGACCGTTCCTTGCCATCCAAGATATCGCGGACTCCAACGTGGCCACGTTCCAGCTCTTCAATCGGTGCGTTGTCAGAGGCACCTTGAATCTGCCGTTCACAGTAGTACCTATACAGACGGGCGAAGTACATTCGAGAGCAAGTACGTGGCCGCCAGTGACATCCTTCTCGGAACCAAACCTGAAGCTGACGTTCTCAGTTAACGACCTTTTCCAACACCATCAGCTCTATCGCGCGAAGAGGTGCTATTCTACACGCAGCAACGCACCTTTCAGATCACCTGCAGGTCGTGCTGTTCCTGTTCAGAGAGAATGCGGCGAGGTTATTCCCTCACAAAATCAAGATGCGAGAGGAGAAGCGTGAATATTTCCACCTCAGGGCGACTCTGAAGTATGACCAAACAGGATTCACGTTGGAGGCCATACCTGCACAGGTACGCATCGAGCTCTCATAGTCATCCGTTGGCTGAGGCCTCCTCAGTTAGGGTTCCTGGCGGAAGCCATCCTTGAGTTCCATGACCGTCTCACGGAGATTCCCGAACTCCGGGAGCCAGTCACGGAGGCGCGCTTGGTACTGTTTGAACAGGATCTAGTGGTCAGTCGCATGCCCACTCAGCTATTTCGCGGGCTGAACTGAAGTCATCTTCCAGTATTGGCAAGGGTATTGCGAGACGTTGAAGGGTACGTCGCGGAGTTATGTCCCTTTTTCCTGGTCGTCCTGATGCACCTCCAAAAAAAGACCGCTTTCAAGAATACGTCGTACACGTCTATTTGAATGAATTGCTTGGAGAAATGGAGGTTCATCTTGATAACCTGTCAACGATGCTCACCATACTGTGCAATGTCACCTTGCCTCGTCTCGATACTGCCAAGTGCGCACAGAATGACTACCTGGTCGCCCTAACGGCTGGTATGTTTCCATCCTGCCCGAACTGCTCGATACTGACCGCCGTATGCAGTTGCTACTCTCTTTGCGAGCATCGCAGCTACGACGCTTTCTCTCTCATATGCACAGCCTCGCACTCTGTTGTGGGACTTTGTGAACGCTTTCTGGTTTTCCTCCCTGGTTCTTAGCATTGTCTCAGTGGTCATTAGTCTGATTGGTCTGGTATGGAACGAGGACCTTTGGTAGGCACTTGCGCCAACGCCTTGAAACCGAGGCTGACTAATTATCCTAGTCTTTATCCAGAGCAACGCTTTCCTCGTTGGATATCCTCCAGTTTGAGGCGGTTGCCGATGTTCCTTCTCGTTGTCGCTGTGCTCGCATTCTCAGCTGGACTCGTACTTTTTGGCTTCTCATCTAATCAGGTGGGGAAATCTTTGACTTTACGGCGATTGTCTAACATGACATATCCAGCACATTGCGACGTCCAGCGTGACGCTAGGATTTACCGGTGTTAGTGTCGCGATTCTCTTAGCCCTAGTGATCTGGTTCGCCATCGTACGTTCTCGAAAACGATTGGCAGCAATAAAGCCAACATAATGATACCTATGATATACAGGAAGATAACCGTTTCAAGGGTAACACGGAACGGGACGCGACACATACACTGTTTGATCGCCTCTTGGCGCTTATCAACATCTTTCGAGGTTAGTAGGAACCTCGTCGATGGCGACGTATGCTGAACTTTGAATAGGCATGCGAAGGGGAAGACGGGCACGTTACTTCCTTGGAATGAGTCGTCGCATTGGCGCTGCCATGAACTTCGAAAAAGATGGCACAAACCCGCCAAGTCAGAATGTGAGTCAGCTTAGTCAGCCTGGTCACACTACCATCGGTAGGTTGCCATTCGATCGGTTGGTTCTGGACAGGAAGCTGACCTTTGGAAAAGGTATACGCGAGTGGAAGAAGCATAGGGTTCAATGGTTGTATCTTTCCATTTGCCGGGTCATTGCTATGACCGTACCGCCTCGTGATGTCCCCTTCTTTACGGATGATCTCCTTCACGAAGATCTCGAAGAGGTTGACATCTACATGGAAGATGAGGCGTATGACAGTGCATCAGAAGACATCCGCAGCAATGCCTCCCATAGCGTCAGGGAGATTTACTCAGGTTTCAAGGGCATCGTTACCCATAATATCCCCCTACCGTATGGTTCTGAAGCCCCTTCCGACATTCATTTCTCTTCCAAGGGCAGGTATCTTGCATCCTCGGGGTACGTCATTATGATTCATGAAATAGCACGCAACGTTCGATAACACGGCATCCCTCAGGTGGGATAAATGTGTTCGAATCTGGAATAATGAAATCAGGGAACAGTCGCAAGTCGACATGAAGCCGTGTTTCAGGCAGATTGTGGAGATGCCGGACCCTGCGAAACGTACACGAGAGTCGAAAGACGGGCCAGTACCAGCGGCAGGATTTGTGTTGCAAACTGCATGGTTGGCCGAATCAGATTTTCCACTGGATGTATTATCCTTGACGTCGGATACAGGTCACCCTCTGGAAATCGTCTCTTGTCAAGATCTTGTACAGGCGTGTCTCTGTGGGACACACGTGTCAGTGGACGGTCCATGGTCCATAAACTTTGCTCGAGCTCTCTTTACAGGATCCGGCGAACACAAGACTCGAAGCAAGCTTTAAGGTGTCATCGAAATTCATCATATGGGATGGCGGATCGGCGGAAAATGCATTCCTCTCCGTAGAGGGCACATTCGTGTACAAATATGTGAGCAAACCCATAAAAAATCGTACCTCTCAACTCACGTTCTGGCAAGACCGTCGGTCATCATACCGCATCGGATCAGATGCACTGGCCCCGGGATCAAATTTATCCTTCAAAGAGGATAGACACACAATCCGACGCGAAGCCGCGCTTGTCGTTGCAATCGATCGCTCAGTTTCCCGACCCAAGGTATTATGTCATCGTAGGCACCTATCTCCCAAAGAAGCGCGATCGCCATCGGAGGACCGGTGCAAAGAGAGAGAAGGAGATTATAGGTATGCATCGCAGCAATGATGTGCTGTGTTGTTGCTCACGTTTACTCCCCGTATTGTGCAGTTTATGATTCCAAGACGGGAAAATCCGCGCCCGCTGTCCCGACCCTGACGGACATATGTAATCTAGTCGTAAACGCAAAGGGGACTCGTTTCTTAGTAAACTGCGATGTGTTGGTGAGTGAACAGCAGTTCTTGTTCGGTTTCGTCCCATTGATAGTTATAACGCATGGACACAGCCTCCCCAACTGTTCGACGTATCCATAAAGGGAGGTGAAATGCCAACTATAACTCCTCGCCGTCCCTATGCTGCCGAGGCGCGCTTCGTTGGTCGTGGCTCATTCTGGGGACAAAATGATCAGTACGTTTTACGCGGCGACAAAGGTGCGTCGTGACAGGATGCCGCATACCGTCGTCGCTCATGCCTGCTCACTTTCAGACGGCAACGTGCACGTCTGGAATACCGAAACGCGCCAGCATCTGCATGTCTTCTTCGCCAAGAAATTCGAAGGAGATCGACGTATTTACGGCATCTCCTGCTGCAACGATCCGGAAAAGGGATCGATGTTTGCGGTCGCGGACAGCATATCCATCCGAGTATGGCATGACTGCAAGCGCATCATCGACTCGCAGGCTCCTCAAAGGTCCAGGGGCGGTACCAGCGCTACTAGGCCCGACTCCGGGACTGCCTTCGTAGCGCGCGATTATGCGCCAATAGGAAAGGAATCTGATACAGACAGTTTTGGCAGATCGATCACGGAGGATTGACCCTCACGTCTCGCACCAACTACTAGTCATTCAGGGATACCGAGACGTGTATTCATCGCACGCGGTATATATTGCCTTGTCCGCCCCAACGCGTGATCCATCAGACTGAATAAGAACGACATGGTAAGGAAGTCAACTAAAAGAACCCTGTAGAATAGATTCAAAGATGTCGAAAATCGGGAAAATGTCGGTTTAAGAACCGCACTACGACTCCGATCAAAAGGCCTCTGCCGTACCGCCGTACCTCTTCGGGAGCTCACTCGCGTCCACGAAGGGCAGTATCTCCTTCCCGATGGCCTTTGGCCCGCTGCCTACGACGCGCATCTTGGCTAGCGTCGCCGCAGAAAGGAGAGGCTTGAAGATCCAGAAGATCCAGGCCATCATCGTGGGCACGTTGACGAAGAACTTGCCGTTCGGCGCGAGGAACTCGGGGTAGTGCGAGCTGAAGATGTTGGTCGCCTCTTTCGCGGCGTTCTTCGAGTTTTGGTCACGGTCGCGCATGCCGACACCCTCGTAGTCTGGATGGGCGCATCAACGAGTGAGATAAGAGGGAGAGTGGGTGAGACCCACCATGGACCTGAACCATCTGGTCGACGGTCTCAAAGTCGAGGAGCTGAATGCCCTTCTCCATGAACTGGACTCTCCACCTGCAAGGGACATGGGATTGAATGGTAGTCCATCGCGACTGAACACGAGAGTTAACGTACCTGATGAATTTCGGAACATCCGCGAACGCCTGTTTGTTTGCGCCATACAGGTTGTAGCTTTGTGATTGTCAGCTCGTCGTTGAGTCTAGAGAAGTACGTGCGGCTCACATGATAGGATGGCCGAGCTTGTCTTTGCCGAATATGTGACCGATGTTGCCGTACACCTCCGGGTCAAACTCCTCCTTCAAGACCTCGTCGATCTTGAACTCGTCCCGCCAACGCAGGGTTTGCCGGATCATCTCCCTCGCCTCCGCCGCGTTCAGGTTGCGCGCACGAAGGAACTTCATGAGGACGACGGAGACCTTGGCGCTGGACGTCGGATTCTGGGGGTCGATGGTGACGCCCCAGATCGTGATAGGCGTCGTCTTCGCGCCCTCCTTGTTGTCATACGCGTCGGCGAAGATATCCGGGAGTTGCGACTGAGAAAGGAGTCAGTGGGGTTGTTTAGGTTTGCTCCTCCAAAGACGCGACGTACCCTGAGCTCCTTGAGCGCCTTCCATTCCTCCTCCGTGAACTTCTCCGTCAGCGCGTTCTGGGGCTCCGGTGTCTCCTCCTTAGCGGGTGCTGGTGCAGCACCTGCGCTCGCCTCCGCGTCCTCAGCTGGGGCCGCATTGGCCGTATCCGCGACGTCCTCCTTCGCAGGCCCGGTCGTCTTCAACTCGGAGGCCTCCGCCGACGTCTCCGGGGCCGCATTCTTCTGCTCGTCCGCCGCAGCCGCGTCGGGCGCGTCGGATGTCGTCACTGGCGGGATCGCGGGCGCAGTCGCAGTCGTCGCGCCGGTGATCGCCGCGGGGGCAGTCGCGAGAGTCTCAGCAGGAACGGCGGACATGGGTATAGCAGCTTTGTCGCTGGGGTGGACGTCGTCGACGGTAAAGAACGAAGAGTGGGGACCGAGGGAATGTGCTGGAAACGCGGACGGCCAGAAGCCAGGCTAACGGGCTCAGCGAACGCGACCTCGGCAGTTATCTGATAAGCGACATTCGCTTGCCCCCGTGTGTGCACTATCGGGGGTCCCCGGCCGTGAACGCGTGAAACAATCAACGACCAGCATATAAAGCGTCACAAAACGTGAAGGTAAATACAGTAAGTAACATCGAGCAGGAAATAACAGAGTGGTTCCACTATGCCCCACCGACGACGTCGAGGCCGCCATCGCCGTTCGTGGCGTGCGACTCGTCCACCTCGCCTTCCGCATCCCGGTCCATGAGCTGGTTGAGGAACTGCGGGTTGTTCACCTCCGCCGCGGCCTCCTTCCACTCCGCCTCGTCGTCCGGAGGCATCGGCTGATGCGTCACGCGCACGACATCCCACTTGTCCGCGTAGGCTTCGTGTATCTGGACGCGAAGAAAAGGCTCGGTAAGCGGACCGACGAATATGTGCCAGGGGAGATCACCCACGTTTTGCCGCTTCCGCTTGAGCATCATCTTCCGCTCGATGTTCTTGTAATATGCGCCCTTCGGTCTCGTAGGCGTTTCGGAGACGTCGCCGTATAGGTTCTCCTCTCCTGTACCCTCGTCCAAGACGAGTAAGAATTCGTTCGGCACCTCGCGTTCGATCTTGCGGAGCTCGTAGTCTCTCTCGAATTGAAAGTGCACCGGCTGTGATGACCGGCGTTAGTGTGAGGCCATGCGGTGCGGGTATCGGAACATACATCGTGGGGTTCTGATGGAGGATCCAGTCGTCTCCGTTTGAACTCGAGCGCCGACTCGTCGTCCTTTGTGAGATAATACGCCAAAAAGTGTTCTCCGTCCGATTCCATAGGCCGCAATATCGCGCAGTCTAACCGAGGATCTTCCACCTAAGCCCCGAAATCGTAAGCACCGGTGCCGTACGGATTGTGGTCACACGCCGAGGCTACTTACGTCCGGTGGGCGATCTCCAGGCCGCTCCGAGAACCGGAACAGATCGTACGTGTTTGCCCAAATTTCTGCGTCTGGTAACACGTCGTACGAGTCGACGGCGGTGACATTCGGCTTGTTCGGGTGTCGTAATCGAGATAGGTCTTCGTCGGCTTCGGAAGCGGCGGCGAATGAAGCTTCGATCTGTCGTATTTGGGCCGCGCGAGAGACGTCTATCTGTGGCTCAACCACCATCTTTCTGTCCCAGCGAAGGATGAGACGTTAGTGAGAGGCGCGTATATGCTGCCCGAGGACCAGGGCAGCGGCTCTGCTCGGGAACACGCACAGTTCATGGGCATGGGCGGGTCGTTGTTCACGACTGATGTATTCCGTCCGTCGGAGCCATGTCACGTTCGCTGGTGTGATGGGTGTCGGCGTTGCGGGTCCTGACGCATGGCCGTTCGTGTACGGAGCGCCTGACGCGGGGTCGCCGAGCAGGAATTCGTCTTTGGGGTCGAGCTTGGGCAAATCATTCGGGTCCGGGTTGAGCTCTGAATCAGATATGAACGCGTCAGCACCCGAAAGCAATATGGCGGTGAAGACGCGGATATGCCCATACGCACCGGAGTCGTCCCCGTTCTCCTGCCATAAACATTCCCATTGCCCCAAGTCGAGCGGCATGCCCATCTCAGCGTCTACGACCATGGGTAGCGGCGTCTCATTTGCGATAGCGTCCGTAAACTCCGGCTTGGCGTAGCGCGAGGGGTCCGTCGGTATGTTCAGCAGCTTGGGCGGACATGGTGGCGCAGGTAGGGGGTTCTGGTAACGGACACGGATGAGCAAGTCGAGTTTGCTGTGCAAAGTGGTATGAGAGATCACGGTAACATGCAGATAGCAAGGGTACGTGCCTCTTTTTGAAACTCATACCGGCGAAGTTGTTGCTGCTGTATAGCGCAGGCCAGTGAACGATACGAGCTTGTGGCTGGGCAGCCTCGAGCGCTTCGCAAAATTACATAACAAAGTATAAGCGCCCATACAACATGGCGAGCGCTTATCTATTTAATGGGAGTAGTTTGGCTAGTACCTCAAAGCGGTCCATGCTAGAGTTCAAATGTAGACCACAAATCGACGAAGGCCCAGTGCATCCGGCGCAGAATGAGGACGGACTCTCCAGGAGCGGCCGGCCATCATTGCACAAGTCCAGCGTCGCGATTGACGCTATCTCCGTCAGATACCGTACCATAATACCCGCCAATACGGCATGCCGAGATGTTCAGGATACATACCGTACATCTCGGTCGTTTCCGCATCAACCGCAGATGAATCATAACCTTGTACCAGACGATAAGGCGGCGTCAAGGCGGGCGGAGGATCGTAGCTGCCCTCGTCGGCGTCTTGCTATCCTGCGATACCGCCGAATCGGGGGAGCAACTGCCAGTATTAGCCTGCCATGAGGTCATGAGGCCGCACTAACCGAGACGATCATGTCGAACTGTGTCGGACGGTTGTATTGGTGGATTTGGGCGGCGATATCGAAGGACGCGGGGACGTGCGGTCGGCCTTTTTCTGCATCGTTTGAGGCAGGTTAGCTCCTCCGGATCGCGCCCCATGTCGCGTGCCGATCGTAGAGCAATGTCGAGAATGCGTTGGGTACCCGCCTACAAGCCAATATGGACTATCCGCTCGGTTTACGATCGCCCAGGCACGCAGGTTTCAGACAGTCTCGAATCGTTTGGCGTTCTGTATGACGTTCACAACGTATAGGAGACGTCCAGCTTCGACCGTCGGCGTTGCAAGCGAGCGGAACCTAGGCGGGGTGCGGGAGTCGTACTGCCTGGGTGTATCAAGGGCGACGGGGGCGCTCACCCACGATCGTGGCGGGGGGCAAGTTGCCATATGGAGCCGGTTTGATTTGCCCAATCCCGGGTTTGCTCTCACCACGGCCTCTTATGTGCTCCATCCTTTAGACATTCCCCTCCTTCGTCCCCCGCCTGTATCTAACATATTCTCGCCTATCGACCGACCATGAGCGGAGTCGACCAACCGTGGCTGCCCCACCGCCACCAGCACCAGCAGCCGGCCTGGACGACCGACCGAACAAGGGGCTTTGATGCCAACCCCCAGTGGGCGCACAAAACGCCCGTCACGCCCATGTCCCCACTCTCCATGCACAACTCGTGGACGGAACGGTGGAGGCACGCCGCACGGCGCTGGATGAGGCGATATTTACCCCGGGCGGAGTCGCGGCCGAGCATAACGACGTCGACGTCAGAGAAGCTCTCCTCGCTCACGACCATACCCTCCCCCGCGACGCTGCGATTCATCGTCCTCTGCGGACTATGGTACACTACCTCCGCGCTCTCGTCCAACACGGGCAAAGTCATCCTCAACCAGTTCCGCTACCCCGTCACCCTCACCATCGTCCAGTTCGCCTTCGTCGCCGCGTACTGCATCATCGCCATGTCGCCTCTCGTCAGGTTCAGCCGGTTCCGGACCCCAACGCGAGCCATCATAAGGACGACTCTGCCCATGGGCATGTTCCAAGTGGGCGGCCACATGTTCTCCAGCATGGCGATCTCCCGCATACCCGTCTCTACCGTGCACACCATCAAGGCGAGTACCGCCCACGAACCGCAGATAAATGAATAGACCGTCCTGATCATCGTACTTATAGGCACTATCCCCGTTGTTTACCGTAGCTGCCTATGCCCTCCTCTTTGGAGTTAGCTATTCCTTCAAGACGTACATTTCGCTGCTACCCTTGACCGTCGGCGTCATGCTCGCCTGCACCTTCGATATGAGCGGGTCGAACATGCTCGGTCTGCTATGCGCATTTGGCTCCGCGATCGTCTTTGTCTCCTCCAACATCTTCTTCAAGAAGGTCATGCCGTCCGGCGGGCAGACCTCGTCGCACAAGCTGGACAAAACCAACCTCCTCTTCTACTCCTCCGGCATGGCCTTCCTGCTCATGATCCCGATCTGGGTCTGGTCGGACCTGCCGTCGCTCATGGCCGGCGCGGAGGCGGCGCACCCGAGCCACGGCCACTCGGCGCCGCACGGCGTCGCGTACTACTTCTTCATGAACGGCACCGTCCACTTCGCGCAGAACATCATCGCGTTCATCATCCTCGCCTCGGTCTCGCCCGTCACGTACTCGATCGCGTCCCTCATCAAGCGCGTCGCCGTCATCTGCATCGCCATCGTCTGGTTCAACCAGTCGGTGCACCCCGTCCAGGGCGTCGGGATCGGCATGACCTTCTTCGGCCTCTGGATGTACAACAACGCGAAGGGCGACGTCGAGAAGGGCGAGAACAAGATGAAGATGGTCGAGGCCGTGCGCGATATGCGTCTGCCGACGACCAAGGCGGAGCAGCGCGTGCTCGAGGGCGGCGAGTCCCCGCCGCCGGAATACGTGCCCGAGGAGAGCCGCGCGGTGGGCGCCACGACCGGAGCGTACGGTGCCTACGGCCGCTCGCGCGGCCGGTCGATCATGCAGCCCCCGCCGACCGCGAGCTACAAGCCGTACGAGCTCCCGCAGCCGTCGCACCACCAGTCGCATGCCGCCGGCCTGCAGATCAAAATACTGCCCCCGACGGCGGAGAACCCGTCGTCGTACCCGTCCCCGCCGCCGTCTCTGGACTCGCCGCCCTCGCACTCGGCTGCACTACCACAGCCCATCGCCGTCGGCTGAAGAGCTCGCGTGGTTATATATGACGATGATCATGACGATTTGCATAGACGGAGCGATGCGCCGCGTATCACCACGATGGACACGAACTTCTTGCATGTTATTGGTCTCCTTAATGCATTTTTCGATATCTCTTCTATATATTGTAGGACTGGGACGGTCCCGTTCCGCATCTAGAGAACTTTTTTGGTTACACATCGGCGTGAGCTCACGGTGCTTGGCTGTTCCCTTGTGGACAGCGCGCAGGTGTCGTCAGATAAACGAAAGACGCGCCGGCGTTGATGAGATGACAACCGCGTGCTCATTCTCGTAAACTACGTATCGTCACCGACGCGGACGGCAGGCGAGCACCACGAGCAAGGCCTGTTCTGGCCGATCACTGCACCGGCCGTGGTTGATCTCGCGCCGAGCCCAACGCCGTCACCGCGGCTGCTCTCCGTTGAACCTGCTTGTTGTGCTCTCGGTTACTCGTGTTTGCGCGGTCCACCCATGTCGTCCTCCCTGATCACCGCGGTCCGGACAAGTGCGCATCTGCGAGATTACCAGACGCCTGGCTATCTTCTGACGAACCTCGGCCTCTCTCAGAGTTCCTCGAGGCGATCCGATCCGTGAACCCTCCCGGACGATGGAAGATCCTCGTGATCGACGAGCACTCGCAAAAGCTGCTCAACGCCGTCCTGAAGCAGTTCGATATCCTGGAGGAGAACGTCACTCGCAAGTATACCTTCCCCTACGCGCCGCATGCATTACCGGGAGCTCACGCGCACTGCCTGGCCGTTGCACAGTCATCGAGTCGATCACGACCAATCGAGACCCGCAACAGTTCGAGGCGATATACATGGTGATGCCCACCTCGGAGAACGTGGGCAGGATCATCCGTGACTTTGAGGGGAGGCAGCAATACACCGGGGCCCATCTCTTCTTCATCGACGGTACGTCAAACAGCGGAGATGTTATGCTGCGACCCGACGCCGATCTTTCCGCAGGTCTAGCCGAACCGCTGTTCCAGCGCTTGACAGCCTCTGCCGCCGAACCGTACCTCAGAACCCTGCAAGAGCTCTTCGTGAACTTCTGGCGTGCGCATCGTCTCGTGTGCACGCGAAGTATAATGCTGACGCGTGAATGCAGCGATCGAGGCGCAAGCCTTCTCTCTCAAGCTTCCCGGGATGTTCTTCAGCTTGTACAGTCCGCCTCGGAGCGAATCTGCCTTCCGTACCTCGCGCGACCGCCTCGAAGAAGACCTCCGGTTCATCAGCAAATGCGTAAGCAAACACCTAAGGCTCCGTCCGCGCGTCGAACGCTCATCTCGGTCGCAGATCACGGACCTCTGCATCACCCTCGACGAATATCCCTACATCCGCTACTACTTCCCCTCCCACCACCTTCCTCTCGGCCCCCTCAAACCGAACGACACCACACGGCCACCTCCCCCGCCGGAAGGCGCCACGCGATGGCGAACGAACCTGGCTCGAGGCGACCAGGCCCGCCAGTTCGAAGCCGTGGAAGCCGACTTCGCCACCAAGCTCCTCGCCTGCATGGTGCAAGACAACCTGGACGACTACAAACGCAACAACCCCGACTTCCCTGTACGTTCCGCACCGACCTTCCCTCCGCCCTTTCGAACGTGGCTGATCGGAGCCCTCACAGCGAAAAACAGAGCGCGGGAGGGGAACGCTCATCATCACGGACCGGGCCATGGACATGATCGCGCCGTTCGTGCACGAGTTCACGTACCAAGCGATGGCGAACGACCTGCTCCCGATAGAAGACGGGACCAAGTACACGTACAAGTTCCAGTCCTCCGCCGGCGTCCACGAGGATAAGACGGCCACTCTGTCCGACGCCGACTCGGTTTGGACCGAAGTCCGGCACATGCACATGCGCGAAGCCATCGACAAACTCATGGCGGACTTCAACAAGTTCTTGGAAGAGAACGCCGGGTTTAAAGGGTACGTGGAACTCCGCTCTCCATATTGTTGTGATTTTACTGAACTATCACTGCTCAGGGAGGGAGCTGCTAGTCTAAACGACATGAAAGACATGCTCGCAAACCTACCGCAGTATCAAGAACAACGAGAGAAGGTATTTAGTGTGCCTTCGGTGCCGGTGAACTCTGTACTCATGGACCACAGTTCTCACTGCATCTGAACATGGCCCAAGAGTGCATGGCGATCTTCGAGAGGGACAAACTTCCCGTTGTAGCGAATGTGGAACAGTGCTGTGCGACAGGCCTCACTGCAGAAGGGAAGACTCCGAAGCACCTCGTCGAGGAGATGGTACCGATATTGGATAGCCGCGAAGTAATGTGAGTGTCTGGCATCCGTTTGCCCCGGAAAAGGTGTGACCGACACGAATTGTCAGAAACGCGAATAAGGTTCGCATAATAGCCCTATACATCCTACATCGCGACGGCGTTCCGGACGAAGATCGAAGGAGATTATATCAACATGCACGCTTATCGCTGGCAGAACAGGATGCGTGCAACGCCCTTGTACACCTCGGCGTGCGGATCAGTCGAGTGAGCGCCATATGCTGGTTCCTGTTTTCAGTCGACGAGCTATTGACGATTGCTCGTAGGGGCCGGGTGATCGGGACACGAAGAAGAAACTGAAGCCTAACAAACCTACAGACGACGAATATGATCTTTCGCGGTTCAAGCCCCTGCTGCGTACAGTTCTCGAGGTTTGGGCGTGATCCGTGCTTCGGTCGTATATAGCCCAGCTCACGTCGTCCTCCAGGAACATGCGGCGGGTCGTTTAGATCAGTCACTCTTCCCCTACGTCAAGGACACGCCAGTCAAGGACGTTGCAAGCACGATCTCACGTACACCTACTCCTCAGGCGACATCATTACGAAGCAAGAAGGCCAACTGGAACAAGGCGCGGCCTGCGACCGTCGCTGACAACCGTAATCGTGTGATGGTATTTGTCGCCGGCGGGATGACGTACTCCGAAATGCGGGAAGCGTATCAGCTCTCGAGCGCCCTGAACAAGGATATCATCATTGGTAAGCAGACCGATGTTGCACATACGTACAGGCACTTATTGCACGCTTTTCAGGTTCCACACACACCGCATCTCCTCGACAATACGTCGACGATCTCAAAGTCCTCGAGCTTGGTGGCGTTGGCTCCAAGTACCTACCCAATGGTCTGCGGGATCCACGCGCGAAGCGTTCGTTCCAGGAGTATTACGACGAGAAATACTTCCTCAAGGATGCCCCTCCTCCCGTCCGACAGCCGCCGCCTCAAGAACGCAGTCGGCTCGCACCATCGCGACCCGCCGCGGTCCCGTTGAGCCCGTCGTCCTCCTTCACAGGATCCACCGCCTCCACGGCTTCAGCCAAGGAAAAGGAGAAGAAGAAGCGGGGACTGTTCCGATTCTGATAGACGCATATCTCCCTTCACGACACGCTGCATCCCTTTGATTACCCTGGACATTCTCATTAATGTTATCACATCGTGGAATTCATGACATCTTTCCCTGATTTGGTCAAAGACGACTACGTTCCAGAGGTTTGCTGTTCCACCCCTCTGGTAGCTGTCTCGCACCCGGGACCGGTGAGAGCCAGGGAAATCGTTGGTTGCAGTATATTTCGTGCTGGACAACCCAGCCACGCGCATCTCCCATCGACCCGGCGTATACGAGCAGCGCATTCTTGAGGTTGTAGCTCCTCCCGAACAATTGCGACCCGCAGCGACTACAGGATAGGCGATGCATCGGTTTGCCGCTCTCCGTGTTTGGGTCCGCATACGTCTTCACAACGTCTTCACCCTGCGTGAGACAGAAGTCCTGGCGGTCGTATGAGACATGACTAGCTGCTGTCGTCCATGCAGCAACAGCGTACCTCTTCTTTGAACAGGCCCGCCAGTTTGAATGCGGAACCTGTGCTCTTTCGACACTGACCACAATGGCAGATCCAGCAAGAACGAGGGTCGCCCTTAACCTCGTATTGCACCGCACCGCAGGCGCATGAGCCACGTCTAAGGGTGCTGGCGTCTCGAGTTCTGTTCGACGACATGGTGGTCGGTTCCCAAGAGGCGTTATTACAAGTTGCGTCCGGCTACCTTCATACCCCGACAGCCGGATCCCGACTTGATCGGACTGCCGACTTGTTTCACTCAGTGCGTCGGGGTCAGCACTACATAGCACAACATGCCCCAAATCCCAAATGATGACTATCCTCTAGACGTGGAAAATTCAGAAGGCGTAGGCGATGCGCGCCAGCTCCGGGATGGAGTTCACCACGATATCGATGTCACCGCCGTCCTTCTTAGCTTTGACTGTATCTCGTAGTGTGACCTCCGTACCATCGTCCAACTTGACGATATCAATATCCTCTGTGTGCCTGCGCAGGTACACCGTTTTCATCCCATGCGTTGCCGCCGCTCGTAAATCTTCCACATGGGACGCGACCATGGCAACTTTGTTCGGGGGCAATCCGAGATGGTGCGCTGCACCGAGATATACTTTGGGATTTCTGTGGTGCGCGGTATATCAGGTCTTCGTTACGGGAGAGAAAAAACGAAACAGTCCACTGACGGCTTGTATGACCCCAAGGGTTCTCCGGAGAAGATGATATCCCAAGGTAGATCGGCTTGTTTCGCCTAGAATTGGTTGATCAAGGGATCTTGGTTACGAGGAATCTGACGTACAATGTCTGCCAGAAGTCGAACATTGCCGTTGGAGAGCGTCGCAATCAGGTAGTGCCTCTTCAATGAGTATAATCCCGGCGACGAGTCACCCCAACCTACAGCATCTGAATGATTCAACGCGCGGACGAGGCTAGCACGTAGACTCACCGTCCAAGCGATGCCAGAGGGCCCCGAGTTCTCTCCGCTCGCGTTCTTCGAAGAGGTCTTCCAGGTGTTTCCATCGTGGAGAACTGAGCATCCCTGCAAGGATCTTTCCCATCCGTCGTTTTAAGCAACTAGCCACTTGGTGCTCATGGTGACGCGGATCGCTAACCTGTTGATTCAACACGTCGAGATTCGATGGTCCACAGTCACCTTTCGCGATATTCTTTCTATATGGTACGATGTTGGAAACTGATGAGAAAATCGTACGACTCGATACTCACGTTTTGTTGTCATATTCAACAGTCCATTCCGACGCGAACGCAGCCCAGTCTGCGCGTTAAGTCAGGGTTAGTCCCACTTGCGTTGACCCTGGAGGAAGCAGAAGGACGTTACCTTCATCCGTGTTGTGACCATGCGTCTGGGCCAAACCCCGAATTTCGCGGACAAGCGTCCCATGCACGTTCACTACAGTCCCAAGGACATCAAATACAAAAGCTTCCACGTCTCTCAGTTCTGTGGCCATGGTGCTAGGGCGCGGGGAGATGGTGCGACTTGACCTCCAGGTTAGCGTACGGTTCACTGATATATGTTGTCGGCGTCTTTCCCGTCGTCCTCGGACAATACTGAAAATGCGGATATCATACGATGAGGATTCGGCGACAGTACAAGAGTCACAGCGTGGTACAAGTCGAAGATGCGGTATAACAACACGAGGCGAAGGTTCCGCGAATGCCGGATGGCGAGATCAAAAGCAAGCCAATGAGCGCAGACGAGGAAAGCGGGAGGTGGGCTGAAGGGGCAACGAGTCCCAATCGATGGCTTCCATTGACGTCACAGATGGTGCCGATTGCACGGTCGCGCTGGGCTCGTGAGACTCCAGGACGAGGTCGACAGCCGAAGGGCGTAGCGAGTTGACATCCGGAATCGCCAGCGTGCATGAGTGGCGTCCGTCGATCGCCGGACTGTTGCTTCTAGAAAGTTCTTGCGTTTCAAGGGGTAACACGTTGGACGAAGGAGCGCCGTCGAAGGTTGGGTCATTGTTAGATGGGGTGTTACTCATACCTTGGTGCGCGCCATCCGTATCAGCGTTCAGAGAGGAGCGCTCAAAGTCCACAGGAGAAGCTAGCTCGTCTTCGCCATCTGGGATTGGGTCTGTTGGAGGAGTGACGATGACCTTAGGGAGACCAGGCTGTGCGACAAGGACGCGTTCCTGCTTCCGACTCTCTTTGATCTCGCGACCGAGCGTAACTAGCTGCTTGAGCATCATCGACAGGTTTCTCGTCAGGTCCGGAGTAGACGGCAAGGACTCCGTAGACTCTCCGGCAACCGAGATTTCCGTATGCAAGCTCTTGACCGATTGGCGATCCTCTGCATTCCTGTTGGTCGGGCGACCCGGTACAATCGCGTCTGCCGAGTCCATAGAAACCGATCGAACTGAAGACGGAGTGACGGTCGCAGTTTGCGACCCGTACGAAGAGCTTGAGGACGAGTCCACTGTACGCACCCGATACGTGTCGTACGTGCGATCCTTGGGGGGAAGCGGAGGTGGAGTAGACGAGAGTTCTGGCGTGCTGGGCGTGGTTTTCTCCGCCAGCAAAGGATCCGAGGCACCTCGACCGACCATGGCAAACGTGCGCAGCGACATAGCATCAGAGTTTCCCTCTTGCTGAGAACTGAGCGTGGAAGCAGGAGCCACAGACAAGGGGACCTCCGTAGCTTCTTTGCGTGATTTTTTGATGAAACCGAAAATGCCTTGGCTCCGTGCGCCGTCACAGGTTTCTGCATTCTGTTGACCGGCTTTCTGAACTCGATAGGATCCGAGACGCCTGGGTCCGGAGATGTATCGCTCGCGCACATCCGGTGCGGAAGGCCGCGCTTCAACCATTGTGATAAAGGCAGCCGTAGACCGAGACCTGGCAGGGATACCCAAATAGCAGCCTCTGCCTTGCTTGAACCAGCCAAGCTGCGCGCCCTGCACTGAAGTGCTCCTTGCAGGATGTATGCGCGAGAGTAGAGTGGACGAAGATGGAGAATATCAACCGGCTGTCTATACTGGGTAGTTATTTCCCACACATCCGCCGGTATATAATGGACACGTCACGAGAGATTTTCTCTTCACTCATTTCATGGACCCGCCTATTGTCCCCCTGCGAGCACCCTTCTCGTCTCGCAGGAGTCTACCGCGCGTCCAAGAAGGATGCGGCGTCTCTAGCTGGAGCGTGCTCTAACCGTCCGGTGGCCGACCCGGCGTGGGGCTCTTTTCCTTACCAGAGATGCTACATACATCTACCTGTATCATGAAGTTGGCCTATTAATCCATGTCTGTGCTCAAGAAGGGCGGATCGTCGAGAGCTCGGTAAATGGTTGCATCCGTTGCCACGAAACCATCTGAAGCTACAACCAGTTCAGTAGCAAGCGATATCTCCCGTACACTATAGCTTCGCCTTGGGCAGTGCCTGCGCTTCCGCAAATAGATCATACATGTCTTTCGCTGCCCTCGCGATCTCGCCGCAGAACTGCTGGTTCGGCATCTCTGTCCGTGAGGTGATGGTGTATTGCAGTTTGTCTGCGACCCGCGGTCAGCATCCCAGGTCCTCGCCGGACTTTCCAAGTTGCAGGTGATTGCACTCACCATCGTAGCCCGTCATATATGCTACGCCAAACCCATCAGGGACGACTTCACCCCACCCATATGTCGGGAAGTGCTTCGAGAATATGGCGGACGTGCTCAGGATCCAGTAGCTTGATCGCGCATACAATGGGTCCGAGAATATCTCCGGTAGCGCCTCGCCTTCTCGTAGTGATTTCTTCAGACCTGGTTCGACGCAACATCAGCTACGTTCCATCGAGCTGCGGATGCGATCCCAGGAGACGACGAACCCAGCATGTGACGGTCAATGCCATGCCCGTTACCCGCCGCCTTCGCCAGTTCAACGTGCTTCTTCGCCGCGTTCATCAGCATCAGCCTCTTCTCATCCGCACTGGCTCCCGCGTCGTCCATGCTCTGCACCCATGCGTCCATCTCGCTGCTGACCACCCGGATTGCCTCCGTCCGCCCCTTATGGAACTTCCTGACACTTGCCGCTTCGTATGTACCTCCGTTCCTTGGCTTCGGCACCTTATCCGAGGACGACAGCAGCCGGCGATGCGCGAGCTGGATGATGGCCTGCGCCCACGAGTCGGGCGAGACGCCGAAGCGCTTGATGGCGGCTTTACCGTATGGCGTGAGGTGGTAGCTCATCGCCTGGCCCGAAATGAGCTCATATGCTGCCTTGGCCGCCTCGTCGATCGCCTTCTGCGTCGCTGGTAATACGTGCCAGTCCAGTGGCTCCGGTGCGGGAGCAGAGGGGAGAGAGGAGCCGTGGTTGAAGTTGGGGCGATAGAGATCGTCGAGCGCATCGTCGCACATGCGGGTGGTGGGCGTGCCGTCCATGACACTGTGTTCGCCCACGATCCCGGCTTCGCCGTTGTCAAAGATGACGAACTGGCACGGTTTGTCCATCCATCTATTTCTCAAGCCCATCTGTCCAGTGCGCTTCGCGGTCAGAACTCCCTATGTGACGAACTTTTGAAAAGGAAAGACTGACTTCCGCAGCCAGGGAGGCACTCGGTGCGGCAGGGTAGTACCCGTGCCAAAGGTACCGCGAATGCTCGATGGGCCCCCGAGGTTTTTCGGTATCGAGACAAACAGCAAAAGCGGAGGAGTGGACAGAACGCAGGATAGACGCGTTATGCGGGTCCTTAGCTAGCTCCGCGTAGTCCTGCATGTCTGAGTAAGAATGCAGTCACTATTACGGACACATAGACGCCTACCTTTGCCCAAACATCCCGGTTATTCGAGGTTAAGATGCCAACGGCAGGGTATTCCTGCGCTGTGCTTTGATATATATGCTCTATTTGCCTATGCGTATTCGTCAGTCTGTAGCGAGACTATAATTCTTTATATGAACTTGCGCTTACCTCCGGATGTCACCCGTAGACAGGACCTGACCATCTTTTGCCGCGGTAACCTTCCAAAACCGTCCTTTACGAAGCACGACAACGTGTTCCGGGTTCTCATTTGCATATGACGTGCTCCAGTCCAATCCTTGTAATCCGGGAATTCGAGAGCAGTCGAACATCCATCTAAATTACCACGGCTCTTTGAGTCGTCATACAAGTACTTCAGAGCACGAGGAAATGCATCGTACCTGTATGTATCCATGCATAAAGGCCCTTCTTTGGTAGCCTCAGGCTGAACCTCGCCCCGTTTGAGCCGTTCACGGAAGAGCATGGCTGCACGAATGATACCTGCTGCACGCGATGCGGGGTCTCGGGGCAGATGCGCTGGTGGGTGATCGAAGCCGTCTAAAGTGGTTCATTAGCGTGCATGTCCCAGAGCAGCATAAATTCATGGTCATACAATAGTAGGAAACGTTGACAACCACCTAGTCCGAAACCATTTTCAGCAGCGATGCAAGATCCAGAGATATACGGAAATGCGTACCGAGTCGCGAAAGCCGAGGTACCCTCCGTCATCCCACCACTCCTCCAGCCAGTGTTCCCTGTCATCCTCTCTAGCTCTGGCTTCCAAGCGCTGCTGCAGGACCTTCCCCAGTCCATTCTCGCCTGCGAATGCGTCGATCTTGCGCGTCGCCGCATCGTACTCCGCCTTCGAATGAGCAAGCGGCAATAGAGATGCTTTCAACCTCTCAGAAGTTGCAGCAAGCGGAGGCACAGGCAGGCGAGGCAAAGACAAGTCTTTCGCGGAGATGTTAGGCAGGGAGGGCGCCAGGGTCTTCCATCCGGCCGGCCGGGTTGCATTTGAGACCTTGCTCAGGTCTGCGGCCATCGTGCTACTCCTGCGCTTCGTCGGGCCTGGTCGCAGATGTTGTTGAAAGCGCTGACGCGCGAACCGATGCATGTTCTACGACCAACGCTGCGAATCTGGGGATAATGAATGCGACGGTACGCGCTCCGGCTATAAAGCCATGTGATTGTAAGTGCTCGGATAGTTATCACATGTCGTCCGGACAGTGATGGTCGACGGTGAAGTTAACACACCGTTGCAATTGCAGCAAAGTGCCCATCGCAGAGAAATGGGACAGTATATTGGACGAGCGTCCATTAACTACTAATGTGCTGCGTCGCGATGAGTTATGACTGCCCAATCACGCGTGTGGAAGAGTAATCGCCCAGCTGCAACCTGCATCCAAAGCCTTTACAGTGTCAGATGGCCCACTAGCGAAAGGAAATAGCTGAATAAATCTAATCATTGAGTCCGTAGATTGAGGTCATGAAATCCAGTCCCTAAGGGCTATAAGACGAGGCAGCAGCGTAGTTGACCGTGTGCACGACGAAAATGCAATACAAATCCAGAACGTTGCGTCAAGAGGGTGAGTAGAGAGAAAAGATAAGGCTATATATGTAGAGGGAAGAGATTAAAAGGCGGATGCGCCGACGATAGCCAGCGAAAGAGTAAAGAGGAGACCGAACGTGATGGCTTGCGGGACGACGTGTGACGCGCCGCTGGTCGACTGCGCCTGATCGGCGTCCGCGGTGCTCGTCGAGCTACCGCTGCTGGCGCTGTTGCCGCGGACACCGGTGCCGTCCGAGGAGTCGCTGTCCGCGGTACCGTTTGTGCTGACGGTCGAGTTCGAGTACGGGAACGTCGTGTTCGTGGTCGTCTCGAGGTACAGATCGGTCGCAGGCCAGCCCTGGCAGGAGCCGATAGACTTGAGGGTGAAGGGCGGCTCATGCGAGAGCGCGGCGGGAATGGTGTAGCCTCGCGCAAGGTCAACAGTGATCTCGAACAGATCGTGTTCAAGGACGATGAAACCGGTGTCGAGCGTGGTTGCGTTCCCGAGGAGGCCCTCGAACGTCGCCAGCTGCTCTGGACCAGTCACCAGACCACCGGCGACGCGCCAGTCTGAATTACGATACAGCATGAGATAAGGATCGGAGAAAAATAAAATTTCTTTCGCGGGGAAAGGTCTCACCGTTGGTGTCGAAGGGCCCGCTGGACGGGCTGCTCGTCCAGATGATGGGAACCATGCCCATAGCCAAGGAGATGGCACGAACACGATCGTCTGACGATAGAGTGAGTGATGTCGCGCGCCAAGTGCCAAGACGCGTTACGTACCGATGTCGCCGTAAGGCGGACGCATGGTGGTCGGGGTGATGCCCAGAACAGTTTGAATGGCCTTGCGAGACCAGCCCAACTCGGCCACGATTTGTTCGGTGGTTAGGGTCGTCAAGTGCTACTCGACGATCAGCATAAGAAGCGTGGACACGAAAGCAAAACGTACGGGATGCGCCCATGTGTGCACGCTGATTTCATGGCCTGCCATGTATTCCTCAATGAGGACATCAGGGCGTTCCACAACACGGCTGCCAACGACGAAAAACGTGGCCGTGAGGTTCACCGAGCCAAGGTAGTTGAGAAGGGTCTGGGTGTAAGGAGACGGGCCGTCGTCGAAGCTGACACCCCACGTCATCTTGTCGGGGCAGGCGACGATATCGGTATCCCTGGTGTAACCACCGCAAGTCCACCAACCGTTCGCTTGGGCATTGGCAGCAGCCTCGGTCGAGCCGGCGCAGGTTCCATCAGTGGATGGGTCAATGTCGGGAATGTCCCACCCATCGAGCTCCTTCATCCACTCCTGAACTTCGTCGGATGCTGTAGTGCATTATCCATCAGATCGACGTATGGAAGCGTGCCTGGGCGATGTGACTCACTGGTGTCAGGTGTCTTGTCCGCGATGGGCCAGTCCGCCGAACTGTAGACGAACTTCGAGGGCAGGGCAGGTGCGCCAGAGATGGGAGGGGTCGCCCCGGCGGTGTAGGTCGAGCTGACCGGGAAGGTCGCCTGCGTGGCCATGCCCGACGTGATAGAGCTGAGAGGGGGCACCGACGTGCCGGTGTCCAGAGCGGGGGTTGCGGCGACGGTGCCGGTCGCTGCGACGGTGCCAGACGCGACAGTCGAGCCTGCGGCGGCGGCGACCGAGGATGTGCCAGCGGCGGCTGCCGTAAATTGGCGCTTAGCAAAGCTGGCATGGCGGCGGGGGAGGTCGTGTGCGTTAACGGCAGTGAGTAGCAAAAGAGCGGCGGAAGCTGTGGTGAGCTTCATCGTGTTCGTTGCAAGGAACGAGAAAATCGAGAACAACAACCGTCGGGCGACGACGAGGGGGGAGATGAAAAGAGCCTACGATCGAGCGGACTTTAAAACCGCAGCTAAGCGGTCGCCGCCTCGGCGCATGATCGGCACAGGCGCATGGCACCCCGGAAACGTATGATTAGCGCCCTTCGTTCGCCCTCTCGTTGACAACATAGGGGTGCTCATCAAACCAAGGGTCTAGTACTATTGTATATGCAAACAGTTCGATACAATGCGGTAATATATATATAAATGCGTGTGCGATGAGAGACGACGGGGAAAGCGGCGTATGGAAACAAGCAAAGAGGCATCGGTACAGCAAGACGCGGCGAAGCATCGAAAGTAGTGCGAAGAGCTATCGCACCGTCTGCGACGAAGTGCGGCCAGATACAGACGACGCCGACATCATCGACATCGTGTCAGAGACAGGTAGGGGTGGCAGTGGCATCTGAGACGTGCGCACAGGCATGCCTGGGTAAGGACTTAGCTGCGGCGAATACTGGGGCTGCTGTTGGTATTGCTGCTGGTGCTGGTCCTCGCCCGCCATGCGCAGCATCATGACGCGGTCGTCTGAGACTAGGATGATCTCGTCTCTGCCGAAAGCGTTTCTGCGGTAGGGGTTCGGCGTCGGGAACTGCGGGTTTGCGCCGCCGTATGCACCGTATAGAGATTGTCGCGAGCCGGCTGACGAGTTCGGGTACGGCGAGTATGGGTTATAGGGGTATTGCGCACTCATCTGCGAGTTGGTCGTGGCCTTCGGGGGCATATCTGCGAATAGCAACCTCAGGTTGTTGCCCTGGATGATCTGGGCCATCGCGCCGGTCTCAACGTGTCGAATTTCGACGAAGGTGGGCTCGAAAGCGATGACATAGGGATAACGAAGAGCTGTCGCAAAGACATGAGAACAATAGAAAAATAGCACTCAGACAAGCAGAGAAAACATACCAAAGCCGGTAGGAGAGCCTTCCCAGTGCACCATGACCTCCTTGCGCGAGCGCCATCCATTCTTGTTGACGTAGAACGCAAATTCTGCGTGCCATTCGCGTCAGATCATGTTATCGGCTTCAGAAACGGCGTCTTACCATCGTAGCACAAGAGGAACTCGTTGTCGATGCGGAAGATCGCCATGGGCCGCAGCCCGTCGCGCTTCGACACAAACTCGAGGGACTCGTCCGCCGGGTCCAACAACCCTTGCGTCTCCAGTGTCTCCAGGTCCACCACCTCGAAACCTTTCGTGCACCCCACGCAAAGCAACGTCTTCAGGAAGTGAATCGAGCTACTCTCCACGGGGATGTAGAACTCCCGGAACACCTTCAATGTGTCGTTTCCGCCGGCCAGGAACGACTTGAACGTGGGCTGCTTCCGCCGACGCACGTTCTGGTCAATCGGCTCGAATGCTTTGATCGTGCTGGAGAGCGGTGAAGACTTGACGACGCAAACCAGCGCCTTTCCAAGGCAGTATCCGGCTTTGAAGAACGAGATGTGCGAGGAAATGCGCTTGGCGCGTTTGAGGCCAGCCATAGGATCCCTCGGATCCAATGCCTCGAGTGGGAAAGTGATCACTTGTTTCTCTGAACAATACAGCGTTAGTAGATATCGCGCGCAAGCAAGCATGCACGGACCGGAGAGAACGACGAGAAGCTGGTACTCCTCGAGAACATCAATCTGGGTCACATCCATCAATGCGAGCACCTTCAGTGGCTCTCGTCCACGATCCATGAGGTCGGAGATGTAAACACCATCGTCCGTCCCATACACCACGCGACGACCGGCATCTGTCACAAAATTAGCACCACATACAGCCCTACAGCAAACGATACTCACTGTACGGCGCGGCACAGTTGACCTTGTTCGGACCCAAGAAGAAGCCCTCGTTCAATGTCTCCGTGTAAAACACCAAGCTCCTCTCCCGCATCAGATCCTGCTGCTTCTGTATGTTCTCCACCCATTTCCGCTGGCTAACATACGTGCTCGCGTACAGCGTCATGGAGTAGTACTTCCTACCGAGATGCACGAACGTCATCGAGAAGCTGCCCTTCGAGTCACCCTTGACCGGTGCGACGATCGGAGCATTGGGGAAGGAGCGGGTGAACGAGTTGCGCTTGATGAGCGACTTGGTCGACTTGTCCTTGCTGCTCCGGCCGTTGCCGGTGGATGGGAAATCGTCCGCAGCGGAGACAACGAGAAGCTCCAGGGGGATAGGCTATATGCCCCATATCAGCGGACCGTTATGCAGGCACATCCGAAATGACCGCACTCACCCGTCGATAGACCTTATACTGCTCATGCTTGGTCTTCTGCTTCACCATCAATAGCGCATGATCGAACAAGAACACCTGCAGCTCGCCACTATCGCCTTGGCCACCGCTGCGCTTCTTCAGCGGGCCCTTGTACACGAGCTCGCGACCCTCCTCCTTCAGCCGCAGATCGACCTCCTCGCCCGGCCTGAACACAAGCTGCTGGTCAAGCTGCAGGAGATTGAATCTGTTCTCGGTTTTGCCGGACTCGGTGTTCACCCGCGCAAGGAACTCTCGAACGAGGGCCACCGCCTGAGGGAGTGCAACCTTATCCGGATTATCGTCGGGCGTGTGCTTGAGGACGGCTTCGAGCAGGAGCGGGTAACGCGCAAGACGCGTCGTGGGCTTGGTGAGATAGCCATTGAGCTCGAGTTTTCGCGACTCAGGCAACCTCTCCGCCATCTGTAATTGGGGCTGATCAGCGCGCCGAATGTACATTCCACAGCTATCTCGTTCACCTCTACGAACTGAGCAAACGCTGGGTTGCTCCCCTTCTCCCTCTCAAACTCGTACTTGCCGTAGAGCTGATGTGCTCCGTAGCTCACGAACGGCGCGAAATGCGGCACCGCGTCGAGCAAGATGTCGCCTATCCTCTCGACAACGGCGTACTGCTTCTGGCGCTTGTTGAGCGCATCGCGCAGGCGAGTGTTGACCGCGATGATGTCGTGGATGTTCCAGAAGACTTGTTCCAAGAAGTCCGTACGCCGGTGGGCGGGGATAACGTCGGATTGTTTGAGAGGGTTGATCCAGATCTGAATCCCGGCGAGAGAGCACAAAGGATGGGTGTGACAAGCAAGAGATCCATGAATGATGACAAGCAACCAGAGTAAAGGATCGAGCTCACGTCGCGGAGGTACTCCATATCCCGCACGAAGTCGCGTTCCGTATAGATCACTTCGTTGATGGCCTCCTGGCGCTTCTTCTCCTGGTCAGACACACTATCTACCACCTCCTTGGGCACCGAGTGGATCCAGAGTGTCCCAGGCTCCTGAGCAGCACAGATCCTCTCAGCAACGTAGCGATCAGCACGGCATCGATGTAACCACGCACCACAAGGTCGCCCAGACTCTCCTTACTGATCTGCTTCTTCAGCCCGGGCTGCGGCTTCATGTTCAGCCTCGCCTGCTGCTCGAGCCGTCGCGGACACGCGATGCTATAGCACAACCGATCTCTGCTGCACGTCGGACTGTAGCAGTCCGTCAACAGCGTGAACACGCCCGACGGCAGCGGCGTCTCCTCAACGCCCGCATCCGCCTTCGCGGTCGTAGGAGTATCCGGAGATTCAACTTTGCCGTCCTGCTCAGAACCGCCATGACCGTCCGTCGTCCCCTCGGGCGTACTTTCCTTTCCCTCCTTCGTCGCCGCCGCCGCCGCCGCGAGCTCGCCGCTCCCCCACACCTTCGGCCCCACCCCTCCAAACTGGTACAGCTCGCCGCTGCTGTCCCTTAGTCGATGGTCGTACGTGACGTCATGGAAGAACTTTTGCGCGTCCAGCGCGCGACCGAGGAGCAGCGCCAGGTTGCGGTCCGTCGTCTTGATGATGTACGCGATCTTGTCGACCGCCTCCCGGCCGTCGAACGCGTCGTGGTACGTCAGCCCGTCCTTCGTCCGGTCCGCGAGCGTGATGCGCTCCCGGAAGGCGAGCGCGACGCGCGAGAGCAGCGCGGGGTACACGATCGGCGTGCGCCGCGCGAGCACCTGCTGCTGCTGCGCGAGCGGGATCGTGTGCGGGGCGGCGTGCGAGTGGTGGTGCGCGTGCGAAGACGAGCCCGAGGCCATGTTCGGGATGCCTGGCCGGTCGCGGGCGCCTTTACCGAGGGAGGCGTTCGGGTCGAAGACGCCGCGGACGGTGGCGCTCATACTCCTGCTCCGGTCTGCGTAGCTTCGGTCGCGTTTGTACGAGCCTTGCAAAGGCATCGGCATTGTCCTCGTGCTCTCGGACGACCTCCTTGTGCTTTGACTGTTCAGCGAGAGATCGGGTGAGGGCGCGTGGAGGGAAGAAGGCGAGGGCGATGTGTTGTGAACGGCAGTGGAGGTGGAGGAGGCGTAGAACGACTGCGTAGTGCTTGAGTAGGCGGAAGCCGAGGAGGGCGCAGACGCCGAGCCGCCCGCGCCCGTATGCATGCGGGTGTCTAGCTGCAGCTGCTGCACGCGCGTTTGTAGGTGTTGAATCTCTCGACTCTGGATTGCAGTGAGGGCTGTCGAGCAGGTGATGAGCATATGTCCGTTATCAAAAAAGTGAGAAAACTGTACTGGACGCACTGTTTCGTTGGCCGTCTCTCCAAGGCAGCTCGCTGCTCCCATCGTCCGTGCCGACAGCACTCCCATCACTCGGACTGCTCCCGCCTCCGCTCCCACCTTCCAAGAAATCGAGCGCCAGTCTGCCGTCCTCGACGTGCACTCCGAGCATGTCGTTCACCGGACTCCTCCGTGGGCTCTGGTTACTTCCGTTCACCGAGTTCGGGTACGAATTTCGCTGTTGACCGCCCGGGTAGTTGCTCGGGAAAGGATGTTGCCCGGGGTTGTTGTTCATATAGACCTGATACTGGTATGCTTGGGCCGGTGTCATGCCCTGCTTCGTGAGCACCTCGAGCGCAGGATCGGGAGGATCGGCCTCGGGCCTTGGGGATATGATTCCTGCATGTTGTCCGGATTGGCTCACCATGGAACGTGCTCGTCCGCTGGCCGCAGGAGGAGCAAGGGAAGGCGACGGATAGGCGTTTTGGGGCGGTGGCTGGGGTGACGGGTACGGGTAGTACCCTTGCGGCTGCTGCTGCGATGGCGGGGCCTGCGAGGGATAGTAGGACTGGCGATATGCGGTCGGTGGAGGTGGCGACTGGGCGTAGGGTGGTGATGGCGAGTGGCCGGTCGGATGCCCGTAGGCAGATAACGCTGACGGTCGCCTGTCGAGCGCCGCTCCTCCACCACCAGGATATCCCGCTTGTTGCGGGTAGGCGTTGAGGTGGCCGTTATACTGGTACGTGGGTGCGTTCGCGGTGGTGTACGACGCTCGCGGGGCGGCTTGCGGCGGAGCCGAGGGCGTCGGTCTGCCGAAGATGGACTCAAAGGCGGCGTGCCGCTTGGGATCTGGCTGGCGCGGGCCCATTGGCCTGTCCATCGATGCTGGCTGTTGCGCAGTGGCTGGAGATGGAGGCGAGATGCGAGTCGCCCACGCGTGACCGTGGCGAGGCTAAAGCGAGGACCGGGGTAAGACCTACGAAGGCACAAGGTCAGCAAGCAGGCTCAGCCGACGGTCCAGCGTAGATCCATCCACGTCCGGGGATTCTGGGGGCGCCTCTCCAGCTTCTGCCCGAGAATAACCACCTCCCGCGCGGCCTGGCCCTTGTGCGACTGAGACTCACCTCGCGCGGCGTCCTCGCTGTCTCCGGCGTTGCCTGTGGACTCGTGCTTCGCGGCTCTGCGCAATCGGTGGGCGCTGTAGAGCGACGGAGGCCAGGCAGCTGAAGCTGTTTTGCTGGGAAGAGGTTGCGGTGATTGCACGCGGAGAAGGATGGCTGGGTGACCCCAGCAGGCGTGAGTAAAGATCGGCCCGAGCGCCTCAAGCCTCTCCATTTGGTGCTTACCTCTGACCCGGCGCGTGGATACGGCTGGCGGCGTCCAAGGCTCGCTCGTCGTCGTCGAGCAGGTTCCGGCTATGTACTGAATTTCTCGATGGTCGTTCAGCTGCAGGTCAAGTGGCGCCCTTACACTGTTACAGCCTCGCTGGTCCGACTCGTCGCACGTCATCCGCATGTTCTCGTGACCGTCATCGACCCAGCGTCTCTGTTCCCTCTGTTCATCCCTTTCAGTTCTCACCAGCTCTAGATCTCCTGCTTATCTCGTACTCAAGTTCACGAACATAGAGAAATCGTCGTCACTGATATCGTTGTATCAAGATATCCTTCATTCATCTAAGTATCTAAATTACAACCTTCACCTCGTCTACCTTCTGCGACGACACAAAGTATTCGATGACGCTCGACCTCACAGCAGTGAGAGACTTGTTCCAAACTCGCCCATGTACGTCAAATTTCTCGGGTTCGTGAAGATGGTTCCACCCCCTCGCGCTCCTCTCGGGCCCGGCTACGGTTGCTATCGCTCAAAAACCTCAGTCGACTGAATTGTCTCTTGCGTGCCTCTGTCGTCATACGAAGCAAAGGCCGTCTCGGATCACACCGCTCACACCTTGTGTCGTTTCCTTGCAATCTGGGCGCTGTGAACGTGTCGTGTACGCTCCGTCTATAACACGCCATGCACCAGAAATGCGGTCATTACACCCACGGCAACGTCCGTTAGCGTCCGATGGAGCAACGTTCAAGACACTGCATCATTTCGAGGCAGAAAGATACAACCGCCCTCCACTGAGCTTCCGAGCGTGTGTTGACTGTTCTGATCGCGCTGTTGCTTGATCTACGCCTATCTACACGAACACTTCTCGGGACGCATGTGATAGAGCGCGCCGGCGTCACGTGGCTGTCGCGTACTCTCCCGACGATCCTGGGTATTCAAGTCGTCGCCTTGAGCAACCTCCCAGAACAGCATCAAGCAAGCGGACGGAAAGCTCTAATACAGGCCAGACATTGTGTACGAATCCGGCCGGTCCGCTGATGGAGTTATTCACCACTAATTTTGTGATCCCTACGGTCCTCATGACCCCGGTCGGAAGACTATCGGATGCACCCGAGGGCACGAAGAGGCACGAGCACAACAAAAGATCGACTAGATCTGGTTGATTAAAACATATGCTCATGCTTCAATATACCTCCGTTCTTCGTCTATGTTTGCAAGTGCAGCTCGGAAGACAGGGTATCGCGCAAGTGTCGCAGGATTCGCAAGCGCTCGTGGTCCAGCCTCCGGTCCATTTACAACTCTTGGCGCAACGGGGTTTCTCAGGCATTTCTTCATGGCATCCCCGCCCCTTAAGCTTCCGTCGTTTCTCTTCTATGCGACGTGCAAAGACACCGTGACCTGCCAGCGTGGCCAGCGGAAGTATTGCAGATGAAGCTGATCCCGGCCCGTCCCTCAGCTACTGGCCGGAATATATACCACACCATGCACGCTTTGCGTCCAAGCCAGCAGCACTTTCACTCCACTGAAACGGCATGTATCGAACTTGGTGGACTACTTTGCTTTTCGCGCTCTCCGTGGCAGGAACGGCCCTCGCTGCTGGCAGAACCTCGCCTCCGTCTGGAGCCAAGGTCGTCCGTCAAGGAACCACAACCTCCGGAGAATACGCGTAAGCTTCCTCGGCCACGTCGTGGGGCGGTTCTCATTCATTCAATTCGATATAGGACGCTTTCCGCTGCGGTGGCTGCACTACCTGATGACGGCACCGCGCAGTCGATATTCATCTATGCGGGAAACTATACGGAGCAAGTCTATATTGATAGGGACGACGTCACGGTAACCCCTCATTGCTCATCATGCTCCCGCCGGACGATGGAAGCTAAACACGGTCTAGATCTATGGCTACACCACGGACGTCCAGAAATATACCCACAACGTCGTAACCATTTCGCATATGCAAGATGTGAGTCTTGCGCTTCTTCTCACGAACCACTTTTGTTCCGTCTTTTGTCTGAACACCTTTTCTTTCATATAGGCCGCGAGAGCTGGATCGGACGACGCCAGCGGTACGCTGCGCATCCACAGCAACAACGTCAAACTGTACAACATCAACATCGAGAACACGAGAGGTAACGAGACCGGCCACCTGAGCAATACCTCTCGTCTGACCGTGGTGATGTTTGTTCAGGCCCGGGGTCCCAAGCGATCGCTCTCAGTGCGTATAGCGATCAGTTCGGCGCATATGCGGTTGGTTTGTATGGTTACCAAGTGCGCAACGCAGCTGGAATTAAAGTTCGTCACTTGCTGACGTCCGATCATTCCTAGGATACGCTGTTGGCCCAGTCCGGCAACCAAGTCTACCTCAAGGGCTACATTGAGGTGATTCCCTGTCTTCTTCTATCACACGCGCTCGGACCTGAGTTCCGCGTGTATTAGGGAGCCACAGACTTCATCTTCGGACAGCATGGTGCGTCTTCCCGGGGTGCTCAATCGTAGTGATCCGCTGATTGATCTGTCTCTTCATTAAATACAGCTGTATCCTACTTCCAAGGGAACACCATTGCTGTGACAGCCGGTGGCTGCATCACCGCTAATGGACGCGGGTCGAGCGATGACCCTTCCATATGTACGCTTCCGCTCATCTATTATCAAGCTTGGAGACAATCCTGATACATTCATCAAATTGCACAGACGTCTTCAACAACAATGTAGTCAAGAACTCCTCAACGGCGTCCAGCACGCCTGGCAACTACTTCTTCGGCAGAGCCTGGGGCGGTACGTCCTTATCCTTCACGCCAGACTGAGATCCCGACCCCATCGGCATCTGTAGTGTACTCCCGCGTCATCTTCCTCAACACCGATCTGGAAGTAACGCCGAACGCCGCCATCTGGAAAGCCTGGAGCGACACGCAGGACACCACTAACAGCGAGTCCCTTCCCGATCTTCCCCTCGCATGCTGACCGAGCTAACGTATCACTGCTAGTCTTCTATGGCGACTACAACACCACGGGCTCGGACGTGCCTTCGAAGGTCAGCGAACCGAGCTGGACGCAGAAGCTCACTTCGAGCGCCGAATCGACGTACAGCATTACGTCCGTGCTCGGAAGCAGCTACACGAGCTGGGTGGACACCGCATATTTGTCTTGAGTATCAAGTGTGTACCTTTGTCGTGTGGCCCCTTAGCGCTGAAGCCAAATCGTTGATGTCGCCGGGGTATACATCCGGAAGGTCATGTATGAGCGGAGAACCCGAAGGCGCTATGCGAAAGTTGGTGCACTACTTGAGCACTATGATCTGCGCGGCCCCTGTCCCCTGTCCATGACCAACGGACACAAATAAGCATTGTCGACGAACTCCTGTTTTTTTTTTTGGTGTGTAGCTCGTAAATGCCAGAATGAAACTGCCTCGACCCAAGAACCGAGAGGGGGGGACAGTTCAGACGAAAGTGGATATGGAAATCATAGAGTAATTCGATCAGGCGCAAGGGGTGAAAGCTGGTGAAAGCTTTTCAATTTACATAAAGTCCGCGTTGTATGGTGTCGACGTCATTTGTTGCTCGTTGGATTTGTCAAGCTTGCGTATATAGTTCATAGTCCCGCTTCAGATGCCATGGATACAAGTTTACAACTCATCTCAGCGGCAGTGTATAATACACAGACTGGCCTGAACGGTGGATAAACGCCGGCATTGCAGTATTACGTCCACGGTCTTTACCCCAAGGGCATCTGATGGATGTATTATATCAATATCGCCGACACGTAGCTCATTGTTCGTGTTCGCCTCGCAAGCTGCAGCGCACCCTACGCGATAGTCCAGCGACAGCATTCATTCAAGTCCTAGAGACACTACAAGACACAGGTTCGTAGTTGAATCTAGGGTGATAAAATGACCAGTATTCTGAACATGGTCGTAGAATGCCCGCCCAGTAAAGCTCTCCAGAGGGGGAGGTTACAAGCGGTTCTTGCGCTTGCAGGAAAGTGAAGTACGAGGTCAAGGGAGATCCGATAGAGTGCTATATTTGCCACTGCACGCAATGCCGCAAAAGCACTGGCTCGTCGTTTCACACGATAGGCTTGTTCAAGGAGGAGGTACTTGCTTGTCTGAATTTCCCGAACGAAGGGTTGACTGAAAGATGCATAACACCAGAACTTCCGCATAACCCACGGAGCTGAATCATTGCGAGCGTTCGACGACACGCATACAGATAGCGGACGGACGCTGCAGCGTCGGTTCTGTGGTAGCTGCGGCTCGCAGATGTTCGGCAAAACCCCGGCGTTTGGCCCGATTCTTTGCGTTATGATTGGCACCATTGACCAAGAACACGATTGGAGCGCTCGACACGAGATATTCGCTGAACAGCGGCGGAAGTGGGTGACGGCTGTGGAAGGTGCAAGGCAGTGGCCGGCTCTGTGGTCATTCAAGGATCGAGGCAAGCTGTGATCGTGATCGTGCCCCCCTGTGAAGGATCGCGTTCTCATACACACCGGTGATGAAGATCCATGAGCATTACTCTATACAATGAAATACAAGTAGATTATTTGTTTTCACGACGGGTTGCCTCGGTTAGGAGCGTTCCCATTCCCGCCGGGATGGATGTTCCTGCCCCTACCGGCGAATCCAATCCTAAATGGACCGCCCCTATGATGACCGCGGATAACGTGTCCAGACTGCCCAGGAGGAACGATGCCCCCTGGAATAATTGGCATCAAAGGGCCACCTGGTAGCCGTCAGACAACAACACCCGGGAATTATGGAGACGAACCTGGAGTCTGGGATGGCAAAGGGAAGCAGCTGCCTCCAGGCAAGTTTTCAGGGTCAAGCTCCTGATCTTCTATGAGTTGTGGTGTTTCGGAGACCGCTTCGTCATCGGGCTGCAATCGAATGATTAAGCACCAATGCAAACCAAAGAGAACATGAGTTCGTACGTCGAGATCAATGACCAGTGCTCCAAAGTGCCATCCAGCGGCTGCAGCATGGAAGCAAAACCGTTCACGAGCGCGACCCTGCTTCCTCGCGGCGTGATCGAAGCGAACTTCGGACGGCACATTGACGTTCGCAGGGGTTGGGCGCCGCCCATCAATGGCGGCGAGGCGCTGCCTTTCCTCGGCATATCCTCCCGGAGCACCGGCTGGGATTTCTCTCGGGTCGCCGAGTCCAAGAGCCCCTCGAGAATATGAGCCCCAGGTCACGAGCTTACCAGTGGACGTGAGAGCTCCGTAGTGATAGTCTCCGATGCATACCGCGATGACGTCCCGGTTCTGGAGAGCGGGAGGTATGTCCGGCATCGCGTCCGGGCTGGAGTCAACTTTGCCAATCAGTACAACGGACGTGCTCGATGGACCCGTAGCAGGCGAATATGCAATGAACGTGTTGAAATGTCCGGATATCTGCGAATATTGTCTTTAGTCAAAGACCACTTGACCTGTGAAAGCCCATCTGTTTACGTGTGATATGTGCATCTGCTTGGGTGGTTCTACGTGTTCGGCAGGGTCTTTGGGGTCGGAGTAGGTGGGGTGCCTTTTTATCTTCTTCAGTTCACTGAAATAAGGCATCTGAGAAGGCACATCAGAACATGGAACGAGGCCAGGCCGTGAAAGAGGGTTCACATATTCCCAACGCCCTTGCTGCGCATTTTCGGCGTTGCTCAAACCGCGATAACTGTTGGCACGGGGGTGAGATAAATGTTGAGTCAAGAAATCAAAGTGTATTCACCGCAGTACGTGACCTTTGTCCGTCAAGGCCATCAACACGTTGTCCAAGGCAGCAATCTTGACAATGTTGGTGTTCTTCACGGTGTCAATGGAGGGCCTAGTCCATTTGTCCTCCCATTCTTTCGAAACAGGAGGATCGAAGTCAGGCAGGTCCGCCGCGGGCGGGGGCCGGATTCTAAGGATATATCATGTCAAGCGTGGCTCATGAACGAAAACATTGATGCTGACATCAAGGGATCGAACCGCAGATCCCATAGTATGCACGGGATCGAGTCCACGCCGGACGAGTTCTTTTTGGATTTCACCTTGAATCGATCATCGCCCTCACGAGCCTTCTTGTCGAATTCCTCCATCTTCAGGTCATGAGCAATCCCGATGTGACTTCCTTCGGGCTGACCTGCGTTTCAAGATTGTCAGCAAAGATAGGGAGGCGAAGTCATTTTCATCAGACCTTCCGCGGGCTCGTCATCCGGAGGCAGGAATGGCCACCAAACTAGAACGTTGCCCGATTCGGTCAACACGGCGGAGTAAGCCCAGCCACTCTCGACTTGACGAGGAGTAGAGTCCGGGTCCGACAAGTCGAGGAGATGACTGTTCACTTTGAAGGGCAGCCCCCATGACAGGAAAGAGTATACGGAGAGATCTGCTGCAAGAGCCGTAGCATGCAGGCGACCGCAGCTGTACTCACGTTAGAGACATGGGCACGTAAGAGCAACAACGACCTACTTGATCGAGCGGATTGGTTGAGGGAGTTCGAGTTTCATCGGTTTCGGAGCTTCCTTACTTGGGTTGGCATAGCCGTCATTCTGGAGAGAATACGACGATCCGTCCAGAGTGCCCCAGACATAGACCTGTCCCTCAGAGTCAATCGCGTGGAATGACCTATCGAAACGTCAGGTATGCACATAGATGATCGTCGCGACGCCTTACATTCCACCCGCTGCCAGAGCGACTATGCGAGCACCTGGGATTTTCAATTCTACGGGTGCGGGAACGTCCCGGTCATGTAGCCCTGGCAAGCCCAGTCTGCCGTTGTCGTTCTGCCTGGTACGAAGTCAAACCCGATCTGGGAAACAGGAAACGAAGCGGCTCACTGACCCCCATACGAAGACCTTTGGCTTGCGGAGTCCTCTGTAGATGAACTTCCATCCGCTTGTTCGTGCGGTCCCTTGACCGGTGAAGTTGAAATCTTGCGCGAGCTTCCGTTTCCAAAGGGTGTCATCGTCGCCCAATGACGCAAAGAACCTGCTTGTCTGCGACAGGCTGAGCAAATCAGGAATGGTGAGAGCGGGTAGCAGGTTATCGAGCAACAGTTCCACGGGTAAGTCTGCGAGTCCTGGCATCGTTACTGTAACGCTGATCTGGCACAGATGAAAGGAAGGAAGTGCAACAAGGCACAGTCGAGATTCAGAGGCCACCCAGATAACCTGACTGCGTATGCTGTGCGCCATGCTGCGCCATATGCATGTGCGTCATACCACGAGCGTCGCTGGCTGCAGTGAACTGAACGTGCGTTTGATCATATGTATTACTAGTTCACGGCTCCCGTGATATTGATGCAATGCATCCAGAAGGGTAGTCTCCAGCAGGGTGTCGGTGATAATCCAGTATTACATAGCGAGCTTGCGCAAAGAGGTTGAACCGTATCGCACGGCGAACAAGCCGGATATCAGTTCACCTCATGCAATGAAGTTGCTATTCGTTCACAAAAAAATCCCATGATGGCCTCAATGGCATGATTTCATGGAGTGAGAGAACGACAAGTATGTTGTAGTAGCGAAGGAGGAGCAAGGAGAGGAGAGGAGAGGCTACGAGGATGGGACAAGATTGGTCAGCTTTCCCACTGCATCCCCTGCCCTCGTCGCCTTCCCAAGCAAGCCGCCGACACCCCCACCCGCAAGACAGTCAAGATGGTTAGTGAATCGCTGCTACACTGCTCCGGGATGCATCTACGAAGTTCTGGTCGACCGTACATGGCGCGGATGGCTGGATGTTATGGTTCAGCGCGATGGATGGAGGACTAGCTGTTCGGATGTCGCTCGGCCTGATGCTCACTTTCTGTGCACCACCCTTTGCAACCACGCGCTAATCTCTCATATACCAGGGACGAGGACCGAAAAAGCACTTGAAGCGCCTCAATGCGCCCTCCTCGTGGATGCTTGACAAGCTCAGTGGAACCTACGTACGTCCCTAACATTTCCTCCGGAAAATGGTGTATTGACGGACCGGAATAGGCTCCCCGTCCCTCTCCCGGTCCTCACAAGCTCCGCGAGTCGCTCCCTCTCATGATCTTCCTTCGCAACCGCCTGAAATACGCGTTGAACGGCCGTGAGGTGACTGCTATCGTCATGCAACGCTTGATCAAGGTCGACGGCAAGGTCCGCACCGATGCTACTTACCCCACTGGCTTCATGGGTGCGCTATTTTCCGAAAGAAGGGAAATCCGAGGTTCTCATACATGGTCCAGACGTTGTTACCATTGAGAAGTCGGGCGAGCACTTCCGTCTCCTGTATGATGTCAAGGGCCGCTTCACCATCCACCGCATCACCCCTGAGGAGGCCTCCTACAAGCTCCTCAAGGTGCGCAAGGTTGCTGTTGGAAGCAAGGGTGTTCCCTACATCATCACCCACGATGGCCGCACCATTCGTTACCCCGACCCTGCCATCAAGGCTAACGACACTGTCAAGTTCGACTTCGAGCAGAACAAGATCGTTGACTTCGTCCACTTCGAGACCGGCAACATCGTCATGGTCACCGGTGGTCGTAACATGGGCCGTGCTGGTGTCATCGTCCACCGCGAGAAGCACGTCGGAGGTTTCGATATTGTCCACGTCAAGGACACTCTTGACCGAACTTTCGCCACCCGGTGAGTTGTGATTTGCGTAGTGTCAACAGTGTCACTAATCGTCGAACCAGGATATCCAACATCTTCGTCATCGGTGAGGGTATCAAACCTTGGGTGTCTCTGCCTCGCGGCAAGGGTACCAAGCTTTCCATCGCTGAGGAGCGTGATGTCCGCAGGCGGCAGCGGGCAGCTGAGGCATAGGTTTTCGGCTCTGTTGTTTCACATATCCACCATTTCATGCCATGCTTTGTATGCCTCCACCCAAAATGACATAGCATGCACATCACCACAGCAGAGGATGTGGAGTAATTTTGAAGCTGGTTGTACTGGACTCAAAGGGATTGATATACCGAGGCCCGCTGTATTCCTCGCACATAGAACCCGCCTCATACCGCCTTGTCGAATTCAACATCGTGTACGAGTCTAGGAAAGGAGCATTCCATGGGAGTTATTACATTGAGGCTTGGTCTTCTACGTATATACATAACATGGACGGAGACACCTGAGACATTAAGCAAAGCGACGTACACAGAGAAAGCGATGATTACGACAAGTGGAAGCTTCCTACACCCTCTTTCATAGCTGTATGCAGTTTCTCTCGCATAACCTCTTTCGAGCTGTAGTCCGGTAACTTGAGATAATTGACGCAGGTCATCACGCTGGGCAGGTAGTCGTCCGCAGTAAGCGGGGGTTCGTGCGGTTTGCGGACGACAGTCAGCGGGGGGTTCAGTCCACGGAAACCTGTTAGGGATCGTCAGCAACAAATCGCCCGCAATGAGCTAGCCAAAGCTCACCGCCAATAGGCAGCTTCGGACTTCCGGTGATGAACTGGAGGTAGCCACGACGAGTCGGCGCATCATAAGCAGCCATAATTTCGACCAGATTGCGGATGGCACGACTCTCCACGTTGAAGCCGTGATCCGCCTTCAACGCTTCGCTGAGTGTCTCGACGCTCCAGTCTTCGTCCGTGTTGCCGAAGAGCATGGCCAGCTCATCGGCAGAGAAGGCTTGCAAGTCGGTAATGGGGAACACCTTGGAGAATCCTTCTCGGAACGCCTGTACCTGGGGTTGGGCGCCGGAGCCTATGATGGCGTCAATTACGGATTCAATATACTCCTCGACATTGTCCGCGGTAACTGCGATGTCGCGGCCGCCAGGCTATCGAGTATACGTCAGGAAAGAGTGATGGACGAGATAATCTAATGCACATGCCTTGAGTTCAATGTCATAGCCAGGAATCGTGAAGTCAAGGGCGAGATCCTCAACGTTAACGGACTCCGCCTTGTCGACATTCTCTGCGGGCTGCGTATGGTGGCGTGAGTGGCGGGAATAGTGACAAGTTGCAGATGAATCACCTCCTGCTCCTCCTTCGCTTTCGCCATCCTCCTAAGCTTGCTCAGGGAGCTCGCGAGATCCGCGTCGACGAGCTGAATCTGGTTCAGGGATGCATTTACGAAGGTAAATGTTCTCAAACATACCTTGAGGGTCTCTAGGGTCAATGGGACTTGTTCCCCAAGCACAAGCTTCAGGAAGATCTTGTTGTACGACATATCGATGATACGAGAGTCAAGCATGGCCTTGGCGACGAATTGCCCAATGACCCGAAAGATGTGCGTCCGCTTTCTGCGGGCAAGTTGCATGAGAAGCCGCATATACATACGAGATATCGACTTACTGCGTGCCATCGTTGCCCGCGTCATCTGGGCTTATGGGGGCTGGGAACAAGCCAGTAGGATGTTGCACGTAGAGACCGGGCGAATTGACATCAGCGTCTCTCCAGAGCTTCAACGTGCGTCGCGCGAACTCCCGAGAAACCAGGGAATAGAATTCCAGTGTTGGTCCGAGGCCTGTTCCAACCTCCTCAAAGTACTCCACCTCCAATACCGAAGAAGACGAGCCGTAAAGCTCAAAGACCTTCATGGCCGACTCAAGAATGTGCTTCCGAGATATCCTGACTTTCTGCCGTTGGAGTCGTCCAAGATACGCGATGCTGTCATCCCGGCGAGATGAGTCCTGGCCTCGAGTCTGCTGGCTTTGCCACTTGAGGATGAGGCGCGCATAGCCAAAGGACGTGGACTGCAAGAAGTTGTAACGTGTTGCGAAGGGGAACAAGAAGGGGAAGTGCTGGGGCAGATCGAGGGCCCAATCCGGCAAGCAAGAGCTAGTACATGCCTCAGCGTAAGTTCCGAGATTGTGTTGTCCTCGACTGACCTTGCTACAATCATCGGCTCCTCTAATTGTCGGCTGAGCTTCGCCGTTAATTTGTTGTTCACAAAGGCCGACTCGGCGAGGACGCCATCATCGATCTGCATGACTACTTTCTCGCCCGCAGTTTGGTTGAGCTTGTGAATCACGCGAAGTAGGCGCAGGATCTTTGTGTGCGAAGCATCTTCCGGTAATGACGATAGTACTAAATTCGGTGATCGGCTTCTTGCCAAGCCATCGTCGTTGCGATCTACCGACGCATCATCAAAAATCAGTCAACGAGACAAAGAGCACAACTCACCCTCGAGGTTCGGAGCAGGGCCTGGCACCTTCTTGAACTTGACAGTATAGATGCCCTGCCAAATCATATTCGGTGGAATGGAAGGTCCCGTCTTTTTGCGCAACTCGTGTTGGTGAATGGCACCATAGATAGTAAGATCTAAAGGTAACGTCGTATCATCCATGGAGAACTCGAGATGCCAGTCCGTCGGCTTCGCCTTCAATGCTGCGGCGTATGAGGCTTTGCGAGGCTGTGGCGTAACTGTCTCCCTGGGTGTCGCTACCCTAGTGCCGTCAGGCGTCTTTGCTTCCACCCTCGAGCCATCTTCAACGAAATGAGCGACGTGAGTAAAAGGGACTCGTACGGAGAGGAGAAACCTACCGTCCACCAAGGAAAGTGTAATCGTCTTCTCGTTCATGGAGGTATCCGGGTCCATATCGTCGTCTATGATTTCGTCATCCACGTCCTCGTCGGGGAATACGTCGTGGTCCTCTTCTCCACCGACCAGGGTTTCACTCGGTGCTGCTTCCGATGCTCCGACAGCGGATACAGTAGTAGATCCCGCAGGATCTGAAGCGGTAGGCGGCGGTGATGGCCCTGAAATACTGGACACGCTCTCAGCGGATCTGCTTGAAGACGCCTCTGCAATCTTTGGTGTAGAAGCCGAGGAGCCGCTATCAGGTTCCGCGTTGGCGCTAATTCTCTTCGCGCTCAGCCGCTGACTGCGCCTGCGCGCAATAGTCGGCGCGGGCGCCGAAGCAGAGCTGCCTTGTTCATCTGCAGGTCGAGCGCTCAACGAAGGCAGCGATTCCGAGAGAGACGGTCGGGATGATGATGGTCCCGCGCCAAAGCCGCTAGCCAAAGCCGCTGCCAGCAAACGGGAGTTGCCGGAGAAAAGTCCCGACACACGTGGACGAAGGTAATCGTGCAGAGCCTGGAATGTGGCGATGGCGTGGATAGACACGACCATATTGTTCAGGTTGCGCGGAATGTCTGAATCATCCGCGGCAACCAGACGAAGGCGGAGTTGCCGCGCCAACAGGGAGGGGGAGCTCCGCTTGTTGTCATCGGAACCTTGGCTAACGGTGATGACCTCGTATGATTCCATCCTCGTTAAGCTCTCCTGTAACTTCTTCACCAGAACAGCAAGCGGAGTGACATCCTCTTCGGCGTTTCTCACGGTGAACGTCGCGAAGAGCAACTCCTGTCGTCGGGATACACTCACTAATAGATGATAGATGATAAGTAGGGCTTGCGGCTTGCGGAGGAATCATCTATTACATACCTTGGCGGGTCTCATCAGTTGCAAGATTCAGAAGGCAATCGACCACACCACTCTGCAGCAGCTCGAAGCTAGAGACTGATGACGATGCGAAGAGACTAGCCAGAGCCTGTAATGCTTCTGCAATCTGCTCCTCCGAGGCATCCACTGGTGATAGGCTCTCCGCGAGACGCTGAAGTGCCTTCATGGTGCCATCCGCAGCCTTGGTCATATCGTCCGTGAGGAACTTGAAACGGGTCACCCTCGCTCTTAGTGTCACAGCATCCTCGGGGTCGAGAGTGTTGGACGACGATTTCTTGGAGGATGGCACAACTGGAATGGGAGGAGGCATGGATGCATTGGATGCAAGATCCGAAGGCGGGAGTACCGAAGAAGGAGCGTCCTTAGCTTCTTTGTCCTTGTCCTTGTCCTTTGATCTGGAAACAAGGAGGTTTCGAGAAGCCAACGCCTCAATCTCGTGGAAGACACCTTCCCGATGGAAGGCAGGCTTGTACTCTTCCGGCACCTTCGTCAACAACATCTCCACCAGTTGAAGGGCACCGATAACAAGCGATGGATGATCCTTAGAGGAAAGAATTGACGACGCGAAGCTCGCCACAGGAACACACTGATGCCAAATTCAGCATTCAGCCAACATGATAATGAACTTCCTCACCTCGAGAACGCGCCGAAGGCCGTCGTCATCCTGGAAACTTACAGCCTTGAGAAGCCCTGTTAAGGTTTTAACCCTCACAGGGGTGATCACGCTGGCGGCATAAACGTCCACTAGGATTGGCACCATTAGTCGCATAAAGTGGCCGACCAAGTTCGGCTTCGATTTCAGCAGTTCCGTCCTATCGAGCGGGGCAACGGGGCTTGCCACTGCAATCTCGTCGCTGTTGCTCTGAGAAGGCTCGGAGCTGGGGACGGGGACCACCTCGGTAGCAGGAGGTTCATCAGCGGAGGGTGTTACGGGAGCAGAGCCGCTGATAGGCGTGTCAATAGCGAGACCAGACACGCTCGCCGCCGCATTGGCAGCTGCTTGACGAGCAGCGGCGCGATCGGCTTTGGCTTTGGCCTTGACCATACGAGAGAGCGACTTCTCGGTATAGCTCTTGTGGTCGAACACGCCATCTTCGAAGCAAGTCAGTCATATGGCTTTAGCTAAGGACATCGCTTCAACGCACCTTTGGGCAAAGGCGGCATCAGCTCGGACACGAGACTGAGAGCCTCTTCGATTTGATCCTTTGGCCTATGCGCCAAGTTCTCCATGACGGTCATGTCTGCTAAACCACCTCCGAGGCCTTGGCCTCCGCTTGCTTCTCCCTGTTCCTCATGGCCCTCACTCGCAGGGGGAAGGACGCCGGTCAAGATCTGGTACAAGGTCGACACGATATCTGCCTCGAGCAGGGTGATGGTGATTTTCGGGCTCGCCTTTGCCGATATCGCCAGGGCACGCAACAACAATGTGAAAGTATTTGCGGCAATCAGGGGACTACCACCCGCTGGTAGCAGAAGTAAGTTGACCGCTTTGATTAATTCCAGATCGACGAGGTCTTCGAGAAGCTGAGGGTGACTGCGGTGATAGGAATCAATCACGCGTATAACGCACAGACACGCATACTCGACCAATCTCTGGTCAGAGTACGACAGGCAGTTGCGGATGATAGGCCACACGGGCCGGAGCATGGAGACGTGCTCGGACGAGATGTTGCGGCAACAGTTGGAGGCTGCCTGAAGCGCGGTCCGCTGCACTGCGATGGAGAAGAAATCGAGGTACGAGAGCAGCGCGGCCAATCCACCTTCACGCACGATTGCGCTGGGAAACTCCTCCGAAATTTTCTCCAGCGTGCTCAACGTTTGCTCGGCAAGATCGATGTAGGATATTTCGAGAAGTTTGCTGCAGAGGACGGGGAGCGCGCCGTGGTAGACGATCGTATGCGCTACGCCAGGAAGCGCCTCCATCAGATTCGCCAAGCATCTGCATGCCAGCACTTGCGCCTCCAAATTCTCGTCACCGCGGAAAGCGCCTCCCGAGCTCATCGCAATGGCAGCGGCTAATTGAGCGTCTTCGTCCTGTTCATCCCCTTCCCCTCCATCATCGCCGTCCTCGCCGTCCTCGCCTTCAGCATTCCCACTTCCGCCCAAGATCCTCACCAATTCTCTCACATAACCCTCGACCGGGAAGCTTCCGGCCAATGTGTCCTCCGTACTCATACTCAACAACTCGCTCAGCTCCTGGAGAGTAATCAGCCGCGTTGTTGGGTCGGCGCTCATCTTAATGTTCCCCAACATGGACTTGATCCGAGTTGACATGGAGAGCATGAACGAGCCAAGTCTCCCGTAGTCGCCCAGAATCGCCATTGCAGTGAGATCATCGAATGCAGGGCGTCCGTGGGCGTGGTCTTGAGGGGACTCTGGGTCGCCATGCTCTTCGCCATCACCTTCTCCATCATCGTCATGATCGTTCTCCTCGTCATCGTTCTCGTTCGGGCGGTCGTCGGGGTCACGATTGACTTCGGCTTGAGTGCCTTCGGCGTGTTCACCTTCGGCAGCCTCGGCTTTGCGGTCCACATCCATCATCGAGTATGTATCATCATCTTCGGTGCGCGAGGAGCTGGAACCAGATATCTTGCTCTTCAAGGCAGCTTTGCCCTTGGGGGGCGAGGTTCTGAAGGTGGCGTGAACGTGCGAACACATGGGTAAAAATACGATCTGCCATACCTGGTTTTGCGAGGCATGTCGGCGGACGGTACGGTGGCAGTGCTAGTATCGATTCTGGATCGGAGAGAGTAAGCGGCGGCGGTCTTTGTGCGTTTGACGGGTGCAGAGATGGAGGACGAGCCAGCTGGGTGGGCGTCTTCGTCTTCGGAGATGCTGTCAGGAGCAGCGCGCTTCTTCCCCTTGGTGTCTCGCGAGGGTTCCTGGATGGAGATTCCGGCGGTCACTGGGTAAGTGGCACGACGCGACCTATGGACATCACTCGGTTTAGTAGATGTAGCGGGAATGTATGCGCAGCCAACACGCACTTCTTGCTCGGTCTGGAGGCAATATCCTCGCCGGATCCCGTATCCTTCTCTTTGCCTTTTCCTTTAGCTGAGATTTGATCGCGGGGACGCTTGGCTTTGGATGCCTGGACTGTAGAACGGGTGATGCGTTGAGAGATGCTGCCGGTGCTATCGACGGCGGTGATGCTGGATAAGTCGGACGACTCGCGAGCGGTAGTAAGCCTCTCTTTCTCCTTGGCTGCTCGGACGCGGGCGCTGGATCGAGTGGCTCGGGATTCGGGCTGAGCGGTGGTGCTGGTGCTGTGGGCGTTGGTGCTGGAACTCGAGCTTGCTTGGGCGGTAGCTTCTTCTTGCTGTGCGATCCGTAAGTCCATTTAGTGGAGTCAAATGCCCTGCGCCATCTATCCGGCCTTCGCTGTGTGCAGAGAAAAGAAATGATCGCCGCAGTGGACGATGTAGTCAGAGGGCAGGGTGTTCGGACGGGTGGACGCACGCGATCCCGATACAGTAAGCGTGACCAACGGAGTGAAGCCCCTATCCAACGGGGCTTTCTCTTTCTTTCTGTTATCTTTCCACAAACTCATGGCAAAGAAACGAAAGGACTCGGCTCAGGCATCCACATTGCATGACTTCTTTGCTAAGCCAGGGCCGGCCAGACCGCACAAGAGAACAAAGGCAACACCGGCAAAGGAAGTTATCCAGGATGTGATCATACTTGACTCGGACGAGGAACAACCACTTGGGCGTGGCCCAGCCAACGTGAAGTCCGAGGACTCTGGCGTCGATTGTCTGGGGCTCTCTGAAGATCCTTCTAGAAACTATTTGGAGACCGCTCTACATCACCCACTCGCGAGCACTTCGTCGAGTTCATTAGACGCGACACCCCCAGGCCAAGTGGACTACGATTTTGGCAAGCCGTATTTGCTGCGATCTCCGAGTCCGTGTCCCAACGACGTGCCATCATCAATATCAATAGTGGCTTCGACGCCATGCCCCCCTGCTGTTGTTGAGCCGTGCATGCTAGAGGTAGACTGCACCCCCGCACCAGACGTGTCCGAGCCTCAACTGGTATCCGTCCATGGGCCGATATCAGACTTCATAGATCTAACAAGTCTAGAAGAAAACGAGTGGGGAATGGGTGACGACGAGATGGTGGACATCGACCTGAGTGGTGATCAGGACATGGAAGAGGACGATGACGAGCTCCCAGACGTTCTCCCCACGAATGATCCTGAAGAACCCGCTCAAGGACAGTCGCCAAGCTGTGCTCGAGATTGCCCTGATGAATGTCCCATTTGTTGCCTATCGTTCGTTGGTATGTCCTCGGAAGTGCGTCTCATCCACCCCGTATTTACCGAACATAAAATGCTGAGAGAGCTCCAGGATTCACGGACACATGTCAGCGCCTGTATAGACGATCTATCGACACCTACACCTACCCCTCCTCACACGACATCGTTACCGCCTACGCGCCGTTCCTCGTCGCCGAGACCTCTCCGGCCATTATCTGCTCTGCAGAAACCTTTGTTTCCGACCTTCTCTCCAAACAACAAAGGTGCCCCAGATCGAAAAGGGAAGGGAAGGGCGAAGAGCACACCAGACGATAACGTCTTTTCTATGCTTATGTCATCCCACAAGGAGAACGAAGCTTGGAAAGAGGCCACCATTGCCGAAGACCGCAATTTTAGGCCGACCAAGGCGAACGGTGGGCGGCGAAAAGCCCCGTTCTATAAGGTAATGCAGGGCATGCCGATTGCCGTGGACGCATTCCGGTATGGTTCTATACCGGGCGTCACCGCCTATTTCTTGACGTGAGTCGCCAACCTATTCAGGGTCTCATCATATTCCTGACATTATCTCCCTCTCTTCGCTCAGCCATGCGCATTCGGATCACTACACGAACTTATCCTCTTCATGGCGCTCTGGGCCAATCTACTGCTCGGAGTGTACCGGCAAACTGATCATCCATATGCTCGGTGTTGACCGCAAATGGGTACACTTCCTGCCTTTTGACCAAGAGACCACTATCCCCAACACAGGAGGGGTGAAGGTGACATTGCTCGATGCGAATCACTGTATGCTTGTTCCGTGGGGCCTCGGTACAAACGAGTGTCATTGACGAATGGCTTACAGGTCCTGGATCGTGCTTATTCCTCTTTGAAGGACCGCAGACCGTAAACGCTGGCGATAGTAACTACAATTCGCCCTTCGTACCCTCAAATTCGACATTCAAGGCCACCAAACAAGCGCGCATGTTCAGGTACCTTCACTGTGGTGATTTCCGTGCCTCACCTAGGCATGTGAACCATCCCGCCGTGAAGGGAAAGAAGATTGATGTCGTCTATCTGGATACAACCTACTTGGATCTCAAGGTGGGCTATATTTCCTGAGACGCGCCTTTACGAGTCATGTGTCGCACGTGTACTGACGGGGCTGTTCAGTATTGTTTCCCCCCGCAGAAGCTTGTGATCGACGCGTGTGCTGAGCTTGCAAGGCGGAAGGTCTTCGGAGAACCAGATCAGTCCACGTCCGAAAAGTTCAAAGCTGGGTTGGGGATGGTGACGAGCTGGGTCACCGTCCAACCTAAGAGGGAGAACGACGGCACACATGTTCCGAAGGCGGGGGAAAACCGCATCCTCGTCATCGTAGGGTTAGTCACATTTTGCTCCCGTTGGTAGATGCTTATCGTCTTGTACCTATCTCCAGGACATATTCGATAGGCAAGGAACGGGTGGTCAAAGCGATCGCGAAGGCCCTCTCATCAAAGGTATATTGCGACGCCCGGAAGGCCGCTATCCTGCGATGTCAGGCCGACTCGGAACTTGAATCGCTCCTGACCAAGGATCCGCTCGACGCCACGGTCCATCTCGTGCCCTTGGGCATGGTCAGCAGCGACAGACTGAAGGACTATGTCGCGCGCTGGAAGGGTGCGTTCTCCCGTGCGATCGCGTTCAGGCCAACGGGCTGGACGTTCACCGCACCCGCCGGCACGGACCTTGCACCGCCAATCCCTACCGTCATATCCCGCTCGCAGTCACGGACCTTCGACTACACGCACTTCCGGCCCATGCGTAATTCCACGCCCACCCTTCAGCTATACGGCGTGCCGTACTCGGAACACTCGTCGTTCTTTGAGCTCACCTGCTTCGCGCTGTCAGTGGACTGGGGAAGGATCATCGCGACCGTGAATGTGGGGAGCGAGTCCAGCCGGAAGAAGATGGGCGTGTGGTTCGAGCGGTGGGATGCGGAGAGGAAAAAGAGGGCGAAAGAGGTATCGGGAGCTAGGCTTGCTGGCGTGGAGCCGAGGGACGACGCCTACTGGTGATCGTTTCGCCCTGGTCGAACCTCGTGTAAGGCGCACAGCAGTGGCTATCTTTGCATATTTATGGCTCATATATAACTCGCATAAGCATCGCTCGTTTAAGTACGCAGACAAAGGTCCAGATATCGACGTACATAGCTTTGGTTCTTCTTTTACGATTTGTCATAAGTTACCTTTGCTACACATACTTGAAGGTAACGCTCAAGCTCAGAACTGATAAGATCGGTTTTAGTCGGATATAAATCCCGAAACCAGGGCGGTCGCGCCGGGCCGGTAGCTGGCATCGGCATACCGCATTCCTGCTTTTCTTCACTCGACCTCGCGATATACGGGATTGACGCGGTCCGGCGGCTGGCTTCGTTCGTTGGGACTCATATACGCTACTACCCAGCGCTTGGTCGACATTCACCGCACTGGTTCTTCGACAGTCATACCTTGCTTGGGAGAACACGGATGCTCCGTACTATTGCTACTCGCCTTCCGCTTCAGCGGGCATCCGCGTTGCGTTCACATGTCTGGCGTCCGGCGAGAGGATTTGCCACGAGCATGGCTACAAGGTCGGGTGAGTTTCCACCACCTTCAATCAGCAATCATGCACTCCACTATCACACCCGCCTCCCTCTCCACGCATTCACGCATATTATCCCACATATATACCCAGCGGAGACTTCTATCGCCCCGACTTGACCTCTCATAAACAGTGCCCAGCTTATAATGAATCTCGCAGATAACAAGATCGTCGTTGCTAACCCGGTGGTGGAGCTGGACGGCGATGAGATGACGAGGATCATCTGGAAGAAGATCCGAGAAGAGGTGGGCCTCGTTAGGGCAGCACCTCCCATTGATTTCATGCTCAATAGCCTTCATACAGCTCATCCTCCCTTTCCTCAAGTTAGACATCAAGTATTACGACCTTGGTCTAGAATACCGTGATCAGGTGCGTCGCAATCCGGTGAAATGCTTACACAACGGAATAACCATGTCAATTCGCAGACAGATGATCAGGTTACTGTAGAGGCGGCCGAGGCTATCCTCAAGTACAGCGTGGGGATTAAATGCGCTACCATCACACCCGACGAAGCGCGCGTGAAGGAGTTCAATCTTAAGCACATGTGGAAAAGCCCGAACGGCACCGTATGTGATAGTCTATATGCTTGCATGCTGCAACCCTGTTTACCTGGAACAAAAAGATCCGAAACATCCTTGGAGGAACCGTTTTCCGCGAGCCCATCATATTGGAGCGCATACCAAAACCCATTCCTGGCTGGGTGAAGCCAATCGTTATAGGGCGCCATGCATTCGGGGACCAGGTTTGCAGATCAGTCATCACCGATGGATGGATATGGTATCTGACGCAGCGCGCTCACGCTTACAGTATCGGTCAACTGACTTCATCGCGCCCGGTCCTGGCAAGCTCCAGCTCGTGTTCACACCACAAGACGGGTCCGCACCCACTACCCTCGATGTGTACGATTTCAAGGGCAAAGGGGTGGCTATGAGCATGTACAACACAGATGACTCGATCACCGGTTTTGCGCACTCGAGCTTCAAGATGGCTCTTGCCAAAGGCATGCCACTCGTGTGTCCCCTCCGCTATTGCATGCACGTATGGACTGACGAAGGGATGTATCGTAGTTCATGTCCACCAAGAACACCATCCTGAAGAAATATGATGGTCGATTCAAGGACATCTTCCAGGACATCTACGAATCTGAGTACAAGACCCAGTTCGAGCAGAAGGGCCTTTATTATGAACATCGTCTCATCGATGATATGGTGGCCCAGGCCATCAAGAGCTCAGGAGGGTCAGTTTCCCCTCCTTTGGGCTTGAAACACGCTCTCACATTCTTCACCAGCTTCGTGTGGGCCTGCAAGAATTACGATGGCGATGTGCAGTCCGATATTCTAGCCCAAGGCTTCGGCAGTCTCGGTATGATGACGAGCGAACTCATCACCCCTGATGGTAACGTCATCGAGAGTGAAGCTGCTCACGGTGAGCGCTGTTATTCTCTGCTTGCCAAAGCAGAATTTTGGGCTTATATCGGTGTTCCAAGGGACTGTCACGCGTCATTATCGTGAGTATCAGAAAGGAAACGAAACTTCGACCAACCCTGTAGCATCCATCTTCGCCTGGACGCGAGGCCTGCTTCACCGGGCGAAGCTTGACGGGAACGATGCCCTTAGGGATTTCTGTCACGATTTGGAGGCTGCCTGTATAGAGGTGATTGATCAAGATGGAATCATGACCAAGGATCTCGCGCTGGCCATCCACGGTAAGAACATGAAGCGCGAACACTGGGTTGTCACGAACGTGTATATGGATGCTGTTACCGTGGGTGTTTTCAAGGAACTCATTCATGCAGTGACTGATAGTGCTGGTGTAGGACAAACTGAAGAGCAAGCTGGCTGCTAGGAGTGCAAAACTCTGACTCGAGGTCTCAGCATGATACAATTGTGTCGTAATTGCAACAGAAGGTGCATCGCAGTGGAACACTTTGTCGACTATAAGTATATAGCCATCTCGCACTGGTGTTTTGTCCATCGAGCTACCGATGATCTCGCCGCAACATGATGCCATTGAATCGAGTTACCTAGTCCAGGTCGATGAGGAGCGAAAAGAAGGTAGAGTCCTCCCCTAATCACTTCGGCAGATGTTCGCAATACTGCAATACTGCGCGCGCAGACTCGGCTGGCGGATCGGATGAATCTCAGGAACATCGTGACTGGCCTCGTGCACGACAAATCTCGCAGAGGGGTGTCATGTATAACTTCGCTCGTGTAGTTATAAGGGGAGACCACGGGACATGAGAATGTTTGTGTGCGTTCGAGCGAAATATAAACCGGATGCCGGTTTTCAGCACCGGTCAAGCAAGCACGAACCAGACATAGCTTTATATGATGACGCCGATTCATAGCGGTAACGAATCGTGGGCGCCAATGGCAGTGAGGTTCAGCATTAGCACGCAGCGTAGGTCCGTGCCGTCATGGTAGTTTTTCAACCAAGCGAAGCGTACGGAGAAGAAGTCACGTATGACAGAGATGAGACATGATCGCATCCCCATCGGGAGCCTCTTAGTATTACGAGGGCGCAAGTCCGCTGCGCAGTCGATAAACCATGAGACGGTCCGCAGTCGCCACAGTCAGAGGCGGCGAGCCATAAGTCCTGCGCGCAGCACTCGCGGCACAAAGCATGTTCTTCAGTGCTCTTTCGTTGCCTCGGATAGCGGAGGACGTGGTGCTGGAGGAGGAGGGCACCGGCGTGCTCAGCGTTCGGACAGAGGACCAGGTAGAGCACGCCGTGGCTCCGGTTCGACTTGCGCCGAGCCTGCAACAGACGGTGGCGATTTCGTCCTACGGCCAGTCCACGCAAAGTAATCCCTGGATCTTCGACGCATTCAACGCCTTTTCGAGTTGGACGGGGGCCAGAGGAATATCGACCGGAGGTGGACATGGCGGTTCACATTCAGGCTATAAAATTAGTCACGTTCACACCCCTCATCGTGCGCGCTCTCTCCAGTCCAGTGCGCAGCAGGCCTGTTCATGACCCTCCTCCGGCGCAGGCTGCGCGGTCATGCCATCCGCGACCTATGGATCTAGCAAGGACCACGAGTCAATACTCGCTCGTCCCGATCGGCCGCTAGTCGTCAAGTGCACTTTCGACAAGTGGAACAAGCGGATCAGCTTCTCTTCTGCGCGGAACTGCTCCTACCATCTCCTGAGGTCCAAGGTGCGCAAACTCTCCATCATCCTTTCACACATGCTACAACTAGCCTATCGTTCAGGTCGAGCAATGCTTTTCTCTCCATGCGTCCACCTATGCCATCGCCTACAAGGACGATGACGGGGAGATTACCGATATCACCACGGAGACCGATCTCACGGAAGCCATTCAGTACTTCCAGGCCGGCAATGACGACGCACCCCTCTCGTCTGCTGCATCTATTCTATCTGGCAGAAGCTTTGGAAGCAGGAAGATCACGCTCCGAATACAAATCACCGTCGACTACGATGGTCCGAGCTTGTCGGACACGGGCTCGTTGGTTAGCTTGGAGGAGTATAGGGAAAGGCGGCAGAATGGAAGTGAGCTATCCTTCTCGCTCAACGGAAGTATACCGGGGGAGCCGGAAGACGATGCCGTGACGGTCAGCTCTAGAGATGCAGCCGCCCTGGCACAATCGCATGCGAAACCCACGAAGGCCCTGTCGTCTAACTGGGACGAGGAGTCTGCTCGACAACCGACGTCAGCCAGGCACACGAATGGGGTCAACGAAGGTTACGCGGGGTCTGATGTCGCTCTGCGATATTCAGCGGATCCGTCTGCGGTGTTCGAGCGACTGAGGCTGGCGGAAGAAGAGGAGAGCGAAAGGAGCTACTATGATCGGCGACTATCGCGGGACGACCGTGGGCTGGCCTGGTTACGGGAGCAAACTTCACGCATCCTAAATCCCATTGGCCTTCCAGCACCATCCATATCTGACGACGCATCCATATCTCTATCCGAAGACACTGGGGTCGACAACGTCAGCGGCGATTTGGCGTTAGAGCAAGATCCCCGCGGTCGATACTACTATTCCTATACCTCTGCCTCGTCGTCTGCCCCCTCACAGGTCAACGGCCACTATCAAGACCAAGATGATGCGTCTAGCATCTCCTTCGACCCTGTGACAAGCCGTCCTGTCGTCAACTCATCCAATTCCGAGCCGATAGCATTCAAGGGCTATGGTCAAATCCACCCCGATACACCTCCGGAAGTCCTAGAATTTCTCCGCGGACCGGTACCGTCGCCACCAGAGTCTCAGCTAACAGATTGTTCAGAATGCGGCATGCTCCTCGAAGCCATACGCTACATCTGCGCTACCTGCGGAGAGAAGGAACCGCGAGCATCCCACTCCCACGTTGGCAAAGGCAAGGACAAGCTCGATAACCCTTTTGCGGACCCCATTTCTCAGGATGTGCTGTCCTATCCGCCATCCGGGCACCGTACATACATGTCTCCCTCGTCATCACCATCATCCTCCCGTACCTATCTTGGAGACGCGACTTCTCAGCGTCCCCTGCACGTAGCAACAAGCTACGAAGACCTCGCGCGCAAGCCATTGCCCTCCTTACCCCATCCGCCGCATTCACCGTTACTGCCACACTCGGGTAGTTCCTCAGGAAGCACTTCGACGCTCGCAGTACCGACCACCGCTCGGAATGGCTATGAACTCTGCTCGCTGTGCATCGAAACTGCAGGTGTCACGCACGCGCTTGAGACCACCGTAGCTCCGGGCACATCGCCTCATGGTAGCTCGTCCCCCTCGTCCCCAGAAGAGGCTTTACGAGCGATGTCTCAATGGACGCGCTCGGCGCCGAAGCAGAAGGGCCAACTGCGGCATGGCTACCTCGAGAAAGTCTGGGGCTCGAAAGGCTGGGAACCCGTTGAGCACGACGACGGCCGGACGTGCAAATGCTCTACGTGCAATAGTGTCATCCTTAACAAGCGATACAAGTGCGCCTCCTGCCAGAAGTTCAACCTGTGTCGGGCCTGTTATAGGTACGTTTCGCTGCTGCGCGCGTTCTCAAGCGCCCGAGGCTGACGGGCCGTGAACTTCAGCCAAGTCCACGAGATCCACCCTTCTCACGCCTTCTTGGTCGTGACCGACAAGCCTGCGCGGTCGCGCAGTGAACCGGATATGCATCCCCCTCTTGCAGTCGATCACAGTAGTGAACAATGTAGGCCCACAGTTTCTCGCACCGTATGCGCACGCTAAGAGCACTCTATCTAGCATTGGTACATCCAGGCGTCAAATGCATGCAGTAAGTAACCCCTTAACGCTCTTCCACTATGGAAGTGTCTGATGAGTACTTCAGTTGCATGCTGGACATCGTGGGAGCAAGATTTCATTGCGCAGTATGCCCTGACATCGACATTTGTTCGAATTGCGAGTCGGCTGGCGTCGCCGGGAACCTTGATTCGTCGGATGGGGGGCACAACTCTTCACATATCATGATCAAGGTACGCCGCAGCCCTATTCGTCTATTTTCATCTGATTCTTACCCGATATTATCAGATCCCCTATCCGCTCGAGACCTCGCAGGTGGAGAGCGTCAGCAGAAGGGCCGTTGATCTCTGGACGGGTCGAGACGCAGCAGCAATGGGAGGCCAACGACCAAGATCGAGAGCAAATTCGCTTGAGTCTGGATATGCACGGACGGTAGTTGGATCGGGTTCGGGAACGCGTTCAGACACGTCTTCTCATCATCCCGCGATTCTGTGCGACGGGTGCAATCAGGTACGTAACCTGATTTCAAAGGCCGTGACCGCAATGGGGGTGCTGAATGCTTCTTCAGACCATTCATGGCACGCGATATCAATGTGCGAGCTGTCCGTCTTTACCGAAGGCATTCAATCTCGTAAGTTGCCGCAGGCGTGGGTATGTCCATCCGTGCGGTTATTGACGCGACGATTAGTGCTCAACCTGTGAGCTGCGTTCGTACGCGCACCATGATCCCATGCATGTCTTCGTCAAGATTCCGCGACCAATAGATCGTCCTCTGGAGCTAGCTCGACCGTTGCTGCCTAGGTTGTACGTACTGCCTTTCGCTCCGGTGTTACCAGTTTGCTCACCAAACATCAGATACAAGAATCCTGTCGGTCCCGCGAATGGGGTCATCAATCACAGTAATCCCAAACGTGCGTTGCCCTTTGGATGCGATCGCACAGGACGACACTGATATATTCCTACCTCCGTAGTCTACCTGCGTTCGATAGTACATAATGCGGCGCTCTGTGATCGATGCATGACCCACATTCAAGGGGAATGGTTCCGCTGCGCATACTGTGCGAAGGATCTGTGCGACGCATGCGAAGCTTTGGACACGCACGATGATACGCACGTGTTCATAGTCTTCAAAGCTCCTGTTGATATGCAGCAGCTACGGTGAGCATCGACTCTCAATCTTTGAGTATGCTGCAGTCCTGATGTAAAGCAAGGCAATTCGTCGACTTAGACAACCCGAACGGCAGCCCCCCTTTGATCCCTTATCCGTTGTATCATGCTTAATGTATATCCATCTTCCTATCTATGCTCGTAGTTGTTGCTGTTATCCGTCATTGATGTTTGCAATGTACTCGCGCTCATGCGCACGGAGCATTTTGATTGATGTCGTCTATAGTACAGCAAATGGAGGGCGAGAAGTATAGGGTCGACGACTAGCCCTTCTTGAACCCTGCAACCTGGTTAGGAACGACATGGGACAGCACAGCGTAGGTCAACTCACCTAAACGACGACGTTCGTAGAACAGATCTGTCCGACTGGCACCCAAATTCACAATCTTGGGACATCCATCTCGGTCCTTCTCGAGCCTGGTGCATTCAGCGCAGTAATACGCATCAGAGATTCCTTGGAGAAGCGTCAGACAAGATGCTAGTAGTGCAAGTCAATCATGAACGCACCAGGAGAGCCGCAGATAATGCACCGCCCTCCGTAGGTCCCGAAGTTGCACTCGTCACATATGCGCACGAGGGTTTCTGGCCGCACGTATGAATCACACACCGGGCTACGTAAACGGGTAAAGGGTTAGCTTGCTAGCACGACATACTGGTAAATTCTGTGCTCACCATTTACCGTCACATTTCTCACAAAGACGTCCGATGGCTGGAGGTCCTGTCAGATGGCTGGACTCGTGGTTTCAGGCAGTATCGGCTCACCTATCCCAGGCTGGCGCCTGCACATGATGAGATCTGCAAAAATATGGTTCAGAAAGCTGTTTCGTGTAGCAAAAGTGCATACGCACCGGGATGATGCTTGGACATGGTGGAAGTTGGAGAAGAAGCGTTCGATGCTGACTTGGTCAGCGAACGCGCCTCTTGGCTTCATACTTCACCTGACTCGCGTAGGTTATTCTGGACTTTCCTAGCCTCGTTTCCTGGTCGTGTTATACACGTTATGCGTGAAATGAGATCTTCATCTTCGTTTATCTGTGATAATGCTACTGGCAAATACATATGTCGGACGGCTTCTCTCGTCTCGGCCGACCTGCTGAAGTGACGCTGGGAAGGAAGGTCGATGGAGCGTTATCGGCCATCCGACGGTCTATAAGTCCATCTCAATTCGCGCTGGTCTCGCTCTCAATACCACCATGACTCCCGCTTTGACTGTCCCTGAGTCTGAGTCCGTCGTCGCGTCAGCTGGCGTCAAGCCTCCGACCCAAGCCGAAGCGAAACCGACGTACATCCTCCATAGGTTCGTCCATTGATATGATTACCAGTGCGCGGCTTATTCGAGACACTCAGGACTCCGTGGCGTCCGCCGGTGGCAACTAGCGCCGATGGAATCTACATCCACCTGGAGGATGGTCGTCGGGTAATCGACGGTTGCGGCGGAGCTGCTGTGGCATGCATTGGAAACTCGCACCCTGCCGTGCAGCAGGCAATCAAAGAGCAGGTTGACAAGATGTCCTGTACGTTCTTCGATTCTAGAAGGAAGGCATCGTGACGAACGATTGAATCGACAACCCTAGACGTGTATAATATGCAGTTGTCCAACCCTCCAGCTGAAGAATTAGCCAAAATCTTGGTAGAGTCCGGCAATGGCGCGTTTGCTCTCTGTGGATTTGTCTCCGGAGGTGATTGCAATCCTCCGTCTACTCATGAGGAGAGTATAACCATGTCCAGGTTCGGAGGCTATGGAAGGTGTCATCAAGACCGCGAGGCAAGTGCGTATATGAGTTATCATGTCCTGTTGCGAAACGAATCGCTCACCGAACCCTCAGTACTACTTTGAGACCGGGCAGACGCAACGAAGGAACTTCATCGCGCGAGACCTGTGCGTATATGCGCTCGATTCGAAAGCGCTCGCTTCACTAACGGCTGCGTAGGTCTTTCCATGGCAATACAGTGGCTACTCTGTCTCTTGCCTCTCATCCCACGCGGAAGATCCCTTACGACGCCATTCTCGATCACGACCACTTTCACCATGTGTCTCCGGCCTATTCCGCACGTTTTCAGAAACCAGATGAATCCGAGCAGCAATATGTCGACAGGCTGGCGAAAGAACTGGAGGATAAGTTCTTAGAGCTCGGGCCCGACACTGTGATCGGATGTATGTGGCATCTGGATGCTCCGGTATCTCGCTGACGGGTCTTATAGTCGTTGCGGAGACGGTCAGGGCTTGTGCTGATAACCCGTGTGTTTTCTGCTGAACGTATCGCATTCGATCTAGGTCGTGGGTGCTACCACAGGCTGTGTACCCGCTCCCAAAGGGTATTTCAAGGCTTGCAAGGAAATCTGCCATAAATGTACGCGAAAACATCTTCTTGTATCAATGTTATAGATAATATAATGACTATTTGTTCCAGATGGTGCATTATTTATTTTGGATGAGGTCATGAGCGGCATGGGACGTGCGTCATAGGACTTCCGCCATCTGCTAGACGTTGATTGCAATTCACCAGGAATGGGAACGTTGCATGCTTGGGAGAGCTTCGGTGACGGCGAGGCACCTGATCTCCAGGCTGTAGCCAAAGGTTTGGGTGGAGGGTGAGTGTGACGACTCACCGTCGTAACTCCTGCCATGACACAGCCTGTAGTTATGCGTCTATTGGTGCTGTTCTCATGTCGAAGAAGGTTGCGGACGGCATCAGAGACAATGCTGGCCTTTGGAAGCACGGTCATACGTATCAGGTATCTTCTCATGTAACATCTGAGGCACCAAGCATACATGCTAACATCGCTTGCACTCAGGCTCATCCCCTGGCATGCGCTGCATCGCTGGCGGTGCAGAAAGTCATCGTGTCGGAGAACCTGCTCGAAAACTGCCGCTTACAGGGCTTATACCTATCCTCGTTGCTCCAAGAGCGCCTCAGGGGCACCAACGCTCCCGCTGCGCCATACGTGCACGACATTCGCGGTGGTGGCGCATTCTGGGGCGTCGAATTTGACTTTGCCGGTCAGAAGGCGGCCATATTCAGCTTCAAGCCGGCGCAGTTCCCTCTGCTCGTGCAAGCTCGGGCACTCGAGAAGGCACGTTACCATATGTTTATCCGACGCACCGAAGAATTGACAGCCTGGACTTCGCAGGGCCTTGTGATCATGGGCTTTGACGGCAGCGCCGATTTCGGCGGTCATTGCATCAGTATGTTTACGCTTCATGTGGAATAATTCAATATCGCTCACCCAAAAAATGTAGTCGCTCCAGCCTACAACATCACCAAGGGGCAAGTAGAGGCCATTACCGACATCTTCGTACAAAGCATTGAGGAGCTCTTGCGGGAGAATGCGATAAACTGAGATGGTGCATGTATCGTCTTGCTACACTGTCTTGCGGGCACCGTGTCAATGTATCATTGCATACTGCTACAAGTAGAGCAGTTCTATTCCTTGACGCCAGCAGATTCATACCCCTTCGTGGGAAACAGCTCGCGGCCAGCGCGGTACTGTCGCTTCGGTGTTGCTATATTGCCGCCGGCAGCAGCAGTACGCAGCCCCAACATTTCTCTCATGCCCTTGTCTCTTCGATTCACGGTTCATGCTAGACTTTTGTCTCCATGCTATAGATCCGAACTCATGCCTTTGCCCTCTGTCGCGAATTAACACGGGGATTCGTCCGAGATGGTGAATAGAATGCTCCAACTCCCGTTCTAGCCTCCCGAGTGTCAAGTGGCTGCCGTATTCAATGCATTGATCTCGAATGGTTATGAGCCAGTACGGCAGTCAGGTGCGTAACGAAGGAGTATCCAACATTGATCCGTGCGGTGCGAATACCCTGCTGCCGGAAATACACCCTCGTCCCATCCAATTTGCTCCGACTCCCGAGGATCTGTAGCTCTCGAGCCCGTCTCGGGGCCATTTGTCGCATGCGCGTCGTCATCACGGGCGAGGCACGCATAGCAGCAACGGAAAAACTACCCTGATACTTCTGCTCCCGCTATATAAGGCTGCGTAGTCAGGAGGGACATGCTCACCGAACGTACACCGACTTCGAATCATCTAGCTCGCCATGAAGATCCCCATTGCCGGTGCTGTTGCTCTCGCACTCTCCTCCACGGCGTGCGCGACTGCTGTGCAGAAGGAGCCCCGTGCCACGGGCGGATACGTGCAGAATCCATCGGGATCCGCGTCCTTCACCTACTACTCTGGTTGCGGTTCTCCGGTGAGTCGACTTGTTTTCCGAGCTGTGTCAATTTTTGGACCCATCATCGTATCGCTTTAGGCATGCGGCAAGAGCGCAACTGGATACACCGCCGCCATCAACCAGCTGGCGTTCGGGTCCTCTCCCGGTGCTGGTGCCGGTGATGCATGCGGTCGCTGTTTTGCGTTGACTGGGTCTGCAGACCCTTACTCGCCTTCCGTTGAGTCTGGACTTCGGATCGCACACGAACACTCTTGGGGCTGACTTGCGCGCGTAGTTTACGGGACCGTTCCACTCAATTGTCGTGAAGGTGACGGACATGTGCCCCGTGCAGGGAAACCAGGAGTGGTGCGGACAAACGACGTCGAACAGCGTGAACCAGCACGGCCAGCCATTCCACTTCGATATCTGCCAGGACACCGGAGGAGCAAACGCGTTCTTCCCGTCCGGTGAGTTCTTCCTGCTTGCGCCAGCCCTGGCCCCGAGGATTGTTGCTGATGACGATGGATCCGTAGGACACGGTGCGCTCACTGGAACATTCCAAGAAGTTTCGTGTTCGCAATGGTCGGGATCGGACGGCGGCTCATTGTGGAACGGAGCTTGCCTCAGCGGTTAATACCCATTGCATCTCTAATTGCATATGTGTTTGACATGGACGCTCTTCATGACAGGAGAAAGCGCCGGTAACTGGCCTTCCACTGGATGTGGCAACCAGGGTAAGGACATCTCGTGCCGATCTGTGGCTTCCTACTTGTTCATTGAACTATCTTACAGGCACGGCGCCATCTTGATCCCAAGGCTGACACTGAAGAATCACGACCGTTCTGGACTAAACGCATGTGGCTGTTGTGAATATGTATGCATCTCTTTCGATGTTTCGGCATTCTGGTTGCCGCCGCCTGCCTTTTATGAGCCTCCAGAATCAGCCTGGGAGCGGGAGCTCCCTCACCGCGAACATTTCGAAACCATCCAGTCTCGCACTATGCTCGTGCCGTGCGGACTCGACACTCCGCCACGAACTTTGAGTGGATTGGAGAGTTCGGCGCTGCGAGCGGCTCCCACGTCAGTCCAGCGCGAGGAACCACCCGCGTTACCCACTCTGACGTCGGCGACCTCGTTCTCCTTGGTGAGGGTAACCGTCGTTCCATGTCGAATTGCACGATGCACCTATAAGGAGGATTAGGCCGTGCAGGCGCTGACGAGACCGTCTCTAAGGCGTAGGAAGACCTAGGATCGTGAAACCCAATACTAGTAGACAATCAATTCAGCAAGATGAGACAATGTAAGTACATGTCATGCATTTACAGAACATCGGTTATTCGTACAAATCTCTCATAGCAATGTCGAATGGCCCATGACTTCATGCATCTACGTCCATCGTTGTCGATCGCTCTTCTGCAATTGATTGTTCCGCCTCGGTGAAGCTGATTAAGACTCCGTCCGGGACCGACTCGTCCATCGCCTAGTCCTCGTCCACCTCGGCGTCTGCCCAAGCGAATCCAGTGTCCTTGTCAAACTAAAGTACGGCTTGGACTTTCTCATAGTCTTAGTCCACGCGTCAGGATCTGGATAGAAATTGCCTGCTCCATCTTTCCGGGGGTGTTCATCGATCATGGTCTTCGATCTTAGCAATTGCTCCCAGTGGGTGCGGTTGTTCGCCCAGTTCTGCTCCTCGATGACTTGGTATACCGTGGGCGAACAGCCCATAATCGTAAGATCGTAGCGTCCAGGAACTTTCTCCCGGTTTGCAGGTAGGCAGGTAGGTAGGTAGGTAGGTAGTATTAACCGGCGCGGTCGCAATACCGGAACAACCGGGCCCCAGGGCCTCGCACTAGTGGCAAGCCGGGACACCCTGGTCTACACGGTTCCCGTCCGCTCTATGAGCCAACACACCGCTTCGACCAGAGTGTGCATAATTACATGATTGTGTATCGTACTGTATACCCTACTCCAGGTGTATCGTACTATCTGTCCTACCCCAGAGTCCTGACCTCTTCAGGCCCCTACCTGCGCTGTAGTCGATCCATGTCGGCGCACTAAAAATCCAACCAGTAAAACCCAGTGGGAACAAAAGACTGAGCAGCACGACCAGGAACCGCCTTACTTGGTGGCAAGCCTACTTGCTCGCGTCAATATTCAAGCTCCGCACGAATTCTGCTCGTCATGTTGAAGCAGTCTCCAGCCTGAATGTACATATGGGCCCGTATAGAGGGTGCAAAATGTGTATCGGGCTCAATAAATGAGTTCAAAAGATGTTAAAGAATGTCCAGAAATATTTTCGTGACTGTTGGTAGCTCGATCCCCCGAAGCGAGGCTGTAGAGTCAACGCGACCTGACGTTTGAGGACCATTGCACGACGATGATGAATTTCTAAAGCCTCCCACACAGGAGCATTCACCTTGCGATTTGGTATGTAAATTATATAGATGCATGTGGCTCTGCTGATTTTTTCTGAGAGCCTAAAAATGAGCCGTTGAGCTATGGCAGTGGACTGAATCCAAAGATCGCATTAGTGGTCCCACGATAGTAACCTGAAATTGCCCGCGTGTGACACGTGGCGCGCCGTCAGCGGCACGTCACGCCATATTACGTCACAGCGGTCTGATGCACAAAGAACGCCGAGTTCCTTTTGTTCTTCGGCCAACCCTCTGTGGTCCTGTGGTCCTATGCACCGCAATGGTTTCCTACCAGCCCTGCAAAGATGTGCATCTCACGTCGTTCGACTCATGCCGGAATGAAAAAAAAAACACACGGAATGATTATTGATTATTTGCTCAACGCACAGTGCGAATGAAGGGAGTACCCGCATCCAACCAATGTTACTCGACGCTGGCCGGTCTGTTCACTGGACATTGGTCCGACGACTTGCAGTGGCCACCAAAGTTGCTGCGGCACGACGGGCAATGCCGCGCGCCACAGTTCCGCCTTCTTTCACCTGTATGGAAGCGTGGCCATTACGAACCTCAACAATGCGCAAGCATTCCTCATTGTTATGACTGGCCACACACCGTGAGGTATATATAACCTCGACTGCACTCTGCTCTATGCTCAATCGACTGGTCGATCTCATCCCCTCACCGACGTTCCCTTTTGCACAGCTTTTATTGCCCTTCAACTCTTCACGCCCTCCTCTCAAACTTCACGCCCTCCTCTCAGATACGAACACCAATCATGAAGCTCACCTACATTTTTGTCGCCCTCCCCCTTGGTGTGTATCGCGGACATCCTCCGTGTGCTTATTCTGATCTTTCTCTTTATCACAGTCGCCCTTGGCGTCCGGGCTCGCCATGAGCTTCCCTCGCGCTATGCCCTTGCGCGCCGGGGCAATCAATTCGTCACCGGTCCTTGCTCCGTCGACTCAGACTGCCAGCAGGGTTGCTGCGGTTTCTCCACGGGCAAATGCGCCGGCCCCGCGGTGGCTCAGACCAACGGCTCCGGCGGATGCGGCCACGGCACCGCTGCCCCCAACTGCAACGTCGCCGCCGCGCTCGGCCTCTCGGACTGCATCGCCGGCGCCGTGAACGGCGACCTTGCGGATCCTGCTGTGCAGACCGCCGCGGCGTTCGTCTCCCAGCTCGATGGCCTCCCATTCACCCCAGCCACCGCCTCCAACACCACCTCTGCCAACACCACCTCCTCCAACGCCTCCACCTCCTCCTCCTCCAACGCCACCGCCACCGCGGGCGTCACCGCCGCGCCTACAGCAGATCAATCCAGCAAGAAGACGGTGTTTGAGACGTGTTCGGCCGACTCGGACTGCCAGCAGGGTTGCTGTGGGTTCTCCACCGGCAAGTGCGCCGGGCCCGGGATCGCTCAGAGCAACGGCTCTGGTGGATGCGGCCACGGTACCGCTGCCCCCAACTGCAATGTCGCTGCGGCGCTTGGCCTCGATGCGTGTGTTGCCGGCGCCGTCAATGGCAACCTCGCGGATCCCGCCGTGCAGGCCGCCGCCGCGTTCGTGTCCCAGCTCGACGGCCTCCCCTTCACCCCCGCTTCCTCCTCCAACGCCTCCTCCTCCAACGCCTCCTCCAACTCGGCGGCCGCGCCTGCAGCGGACCAGTCCAGCAAGAGCACCGTGTTCGAGACGTGCTCGGCCGACTCGGATTGCCAGCAGGGCTGCTGCGGCTTCTCCACCGGCAAATGCGCCGGGCCCGCGGTCGCGCAGACCAACGGCTCGGGCGGGTGCGGCCACGGCACCCCGGTCCCCAACTGCAGCGTCGCCAAGGCGCTCGGCTTCAGCGACTGCGTCGCTGGCGGTACCAGCGACACCACCGACCCCGCCGTGCAGGCCGCGGCGGCGTTCGTCTCCAAGCTCGATAACATCCCGTTCACCCCGGCCAACTAGGCGCGCGTCATCGGCGGCTGTAGCATCTAGTGTAGTCTGTACTAGTAGTTACATAGAGGTTTTGTGACAATGTTGTACTTTACCATGAGATCCAGAATGGTGTAATATCACCCCACTGAACACCTTTATGTTCGCGCTTTGTCGGACCCCGCCGTGCGCGTTATTGGAGGTGACAAGCGCGCGTCGTCACGCACGGGGCGCGTGTTTCCGTCTTCTCTCGGTCTCATGCGCCTGTACTGGGGCGTGCTCGCGCGACACGGCGGAAGGCTGGAGGAGCTCCGGGTGGAGACGAGGCGGCCGGCGACGCTGGCTCGACGTGCCACGCCCGTCGCGCCGGCTCGCGTGGCTGTCCGAGCGCTGGTAACGGCGCCGTGGGCGAGATGGCGTTCCGGGCAACCGACGACGCTGGAGGAGATGAACGATCACCGCGACCGGGGCGCTGTTGGAGGTGCCGTACGACAACGTGTCGTGGGTGGAGAAACCCGTACCGGCGGGCGGGGAGGGATGTGCTGGATGCGGCGCGATGAATGAAGAAGAAAGGACACGCTGTCGTCGACATGGGCGATCGCTCGATGAGCGATTTCGCTGTGACGAATACGTGAAATTGCGATGTGATTTATCGCTGTGTATGCCGGAATCGGGGTGACCTGCATTTGTATTCGCAGCTGCCAGAACTCGGTTTCGAAGTAAGGCGATCTCTAAGACGGTTTGTGTTGCACCTTGAGAGACGATGCGGATCATTTGAATGGTACATTGGCAAGCTGATGAGTTTCGTGACAGCGTATTTAGCACGCCGGCCGGGCGACGTCCGGCGTCCGTAGCCTGGAGGCGCCAGGAACGACCCTGAGAACGATTCAGAGCAAGCTTTTGATCTCTCCGGCCTTCGCGCGAACGGGCTGCGCTGGATTGATTGGACGTGGTTTGCGCGCAAGCGCTGCTCGTCGTCCATGGGCGTTCGAGAAGATAGAAAGAACGGGGTGACCGCGTATTTCTTCGCGGAAGTCGCTACGGGTACGGAAGGGGAAGGGACACAGCCACGGGAGGGGGGACGCAATATAGCGCGGCTCGTGACCGGGGGCTCACATCAGCCGCTGCTCGCACACCCCGGCCGGTGTCGGGCCTTTCTCTCGTTCCCATTCTAGCCTGCGTTCGTTCCTGTCCAGCCTACTTACTTGATCGCCACGTCTCTCAGCGCAGGCGCTCTGTAATCCACATAGCAAATTACATCCGGTCACCGCGCCCCATGGCTGCCTTCTCAAATATCCTCCAGAGGATCGCCACCCCGCTCACGGCTGCCTTCCCTCCGCTCTCCGCGCGCGCCGTCGAGCTCCCCACCTCCGGCGACGAGCCCCTCATGGCCAAGGATGCATCCGCTGGTGCGGAAAAGTGTGAACTGCGAATAGAGGGTATGACGTGCGGAGCATGCGTGGAGGTGCGTTTTATCTCGCTCAGCTCGTCTAGCCTGGATGCTGACATCGAGGCAGTCGATCGAGGGCATGCTCAGAAATCAACCTGGCATATACTCGATCAAGGTCGCCTTGCTAGCAGAACGAGGGACCGTAGAGTATGACCCCGCCTCGTGGACGCCGGAGAAAATCATCGGCGTAAGCACGGTTCCATACCCGATAAATAGCGACTCCGTCCTCATCCCATCCTAGGAAATCTCGGACATCGGCTTCGACGCGACCTTGATTCCTCCGACGCGCTCAGATGCGATTACCCTCCGCATATACGGCATGACCTGCTCGTCATGTACCTCTACCGTCGAGAAGGAGCTGGGCGCCATGCCTGGGATCAACAGCGTGGCTGTGTCGCTTGCAACGGAGACGTGTAAGATAGAATTCGACCGGGGGCTGATCGGGCCTAGGGAGATGGTGGAGCGGGTGGAGGAGCTGGGATTCGATGCTATGCTGTCGGATCAGGAGGACTCGACGCAGCTGCAGTCGTTGACGCGGATGAAGGAGATCCAAGAATGGAGGGACCGCTTCCGATACGCCCTCGCCTTTGCGATACCGGTGTTCTTCATCGGGATGATCATGCCCAAGATACCCTTCTTGCGGCCCATCGTCGACGTCAAGCTCTGTCGTGGCCTTTACCTCGGCGACGTCGTTACGTTGATCCTCACAACCCCCGCGCAGTTCTGGCTCGGTGCTAAATTCTATCGGAATGCGTACAAGTCGCTCAAACATGGTACGGCGACAATGGACGTGCTGGTCATGCTCGGCACCTCCGCCGCCTATTTCTACTCGCTCCTCGCGATGCTCTTCGCCGTCTTCAACTCGGACCCGGACTTCCACCCGATGGTGTTCTTTGATACGAGCACGATGCTGATCATGTTCGTCTCCCTCGGTCGCTTCCTCGAGAACCGCGCCAAGGGCAAGACGAGTGCGGCGCTCACGGACCTCATGGCGCTCGCGCCCTCGATGGCGACCATCTATACCGACGCGCCCGCGTGCACGCAGGAGAAGCGCATTGCGACGGAGCTCGTCCAGGTCGGAGACTACGTCAAGCTTGTCCCGGGCGACAAGATACCCGCGGACGGGACCGTCGTCAAGGGCACTTCGAGCGTCGACGAGAGCGCGGTCACGGGAGAGCCCGTGCCGGTGCTGAAGCAAGTCGGCGACGCCGTCATCGGCGGGACGGTGAACGGCCTCGGCACGTTCGACATGGTCGTCTCGCGCGCAGGGAAGGACACGGCGCTCGCACAGATCGTGCGCCTCGTCGAAGAGGCGCAGACGTCCAAGGCGCCGATCCAAGCCTTCGCGGACAAAGTCGCCGGCTACTTCGTTCCGACCGTGATCTCGCTCGCGCTCGTCACCTTCCTCGCCTGGCTCGCGCTCTCCGCGCTCGTCGACGACGCATCCCTGCCCGCGATGTTCCACCGGCACGGCGCGAGCCGGCTCGCGACCTGCCTCCAGATCTGCATCTCCGTCGTCGTCGTCGCCTGCCCGTGCGCGCTCGGGCTGAGCACGCCGACGGCGATCATGGTCGGCACCGGCGTCGGCGCCCAGAACGGCATCCTCATCAAGGGCGGCCGCGCGCTCGAGGCGAGCCGGCACATCACCCGGATCGTGATGGACAAGACGGGCACGGTCACCGAGGGCAAGCTCACCGTCGTCGGGCTCGCGTGGGCGGGCGCGGACGCGCAGCGGGAGGAGGATCTCGCGGCGACGTGCGCGGACGGCGCGCACTCGCGCGCGGCGGTGATCGCGATGGTGTCCGTCACCGAGGCGCGCTCCGAGCACCCGCTCGCGAAGGCCGTCGCGGTGTACGGCAAGGACCTGCTCGCCCGGTCCGGCCTCGCGCCGGCCGAGCCTACCGTGCAGGCGTTCGAGAGCGTCACGGGCGCCGGCGTGAAGGCGACGCTCGTCGCGCCCGGGTCGGCCAAGTCGACGCAGACGCTGTACGTCGGCAACGCGCGCTTCGTCGCGCCGGCGGACGACGGGCGCCTGCCCGCGGCGCTGGCCGAGTTCGAGCGCCGGGAGACCGAGCTCGCGCGCACGGTCATCTTCGTGTCGATCGCGGCGAGCGCGTCCGCGCCGCCGGTGCCGGTGCTCGCGGTGTCGATGTCGGACGCGCCGAAGCGGTCGTCGGCGAGGGCGATCGCGGCGCTGCAGGCGATGGGCATCGAGGTGAACATGATGACGGGCGACGGAAGGGAGACGGCGCTTGCGGTCGCGAAGCAGGTCGGGATCCCGCCCGAGGGCGTATGGGCGAACATGAGCCCGAAGGGCAAGGCGTCCGTCGTGACGGAGCTCATGCAGAAGCAGGGCGGTGGCGTCGCTATGGTGCGTATCTTTTTATTATTTATGTGTGCAGTGAGAGCTCATACGTTGGTTTCAGGTCGGCGACGGTATCAACGACTCGCCCGCGCTCGTCGCCGCGTCCGTCGGCATCGCGCTCTCGTCCGGCACGTCCGTCGCGATGGAGGCGGCCGACATCGTGCTCATGCGCTCGGACCTGCTCGACGTCGTCGCCGCGCTCCACCTCGCGCGCTCCATCTTCGCCGTCATCCGCCGGAACCTCGTCTGGGCGTGCATCTACAACGTGCTCGGCATCCCGCTCGCGATGGGCCTCTTCCTTCCCTTCGGGCTGTACCTCCACCCGATGATGGCCGGCGCGGCGATGGCGAGCTCGAGCGTGAGCGTCGTCACCAGCTCGCTCACGCTCAAGTGGTGGCGCAGGCCGGAGAGCAGCCTCATGCCTGGCGAGAAGGTGCAGACGGAGACGATGTGGGACGCGGTCAGGGGTGCCGTGGGCGGCGCGGTGGAGAGCGTGCGGGGCGTCGTGGGTGGGAGGAAGAGGATGCAGGGCTACAGCCAGTTACCGGTGGAGATGTCGGAAACGGTCTAGAGTCAAGGGCATGGACCGGTGCTTTAACATTATTAGATCAATTGCTTCGATGTTTAGGACATGTATAACTACTCTGCTGATACGATAATACATTCTCTGGGGGCCTCGCACCACGACCGCCACACCGCTTCAGGTTCGGCGCGAGGGCGTAAAGGTCGGGTAGAGGGCCCGGACAATACGTGTACATCTCCAGCTCGGTCAGCTGTTTTCCGGTGAATAACTGCGATGCATTTTTCGTCATCAATAGACTAAATGTAAGCGATACTGACAGGTATGATGCCGTTACACGGTATCTGATAACACAATTCAGCAGCTATGCGCGAACAAACAAGAAAGTAGACACCGCCCCGTCACATCGTAACCTTCGGGGGCGCGACGGCGTCAGAAGGCTGAACAAGGCCCATGGCTATCGCCCAATCGTCGCGTCCTGACTCGTCGATCAGCTCCTTGGCCAGGTCTAGCCTCCTCGCGTATTTCCTCGGTCCTTGGGCAACGTACACCCTACGCCCAAAGAGTTGCAAGTCCCGAGTGAGCGAGTTGCAGACTCCCAACAAGGCAGCCGAAGCTACCAGCAAGGTAGCAATGCACAGGCTGCCGATAGTTGACGCATTGAACGCAAGCACCGCCGAAGCATATACAAGGAGCGTGGCGAAAGCCGTCGCAAAGCTCTCAATGTCGGTCGGATCGCCGAGCCACTGCCCTATACATGGACGATGTCAGGCCATTGACCCCACGGCCAAATATTATTTAACTTTACCTGAAGCGACAGCCTTGAGGTCATCAACGAGACCCCTGATCCGGATCCATCGATCTTGACTGAGCAGGACCAAAAGATCGCCTTTGACGCCCGGCTCCGGTACCCCCTTCCATCCCAGCTGTGCACGCCGCTTGATCACGACCATGTTGAGGAAGCGAGCGCATACGAGCATCAGCAAGACGCCAACTGCCCAATGATCTTCGATGGCGAGCAGTAGGGTAAAGGAGGCGATGGTGATGGTGATGCAAGAGAGGTACAAGAGCGAAGCTACGATCGCATTCCTGCGCAGTACGCTTCCGAAGAGGGCAAACAACCATGAACGGTGCTCCTCCTTCACGATGCTGACGGTGACGAGGCACCCCGGCTTGCCAACGCTCTGTATGTAGCTGACCATAGCTTGGTTCTCGATGCGGAACACGTATCCTGAAGTCATCGCGCCCGTTGCAGGAAGCTCGCCATGATTGACGTCGGGTGCTTTCTGTTGGGTATGAATACCGGGAGCCAGCACGAGGATATCAAAAATGGAGGCTGAGCCGGTGAGCGCGGTTCGACGTGCGATTGTGGAGAGGTCTGCCAGCGCGAGCAGACCTACAGCATCCAGGGAAGACCCAGCGCTGAAGGATTTCTGGTTCAGAAGCGTTCGCAGACGATCGCTGAGGGCGCGCATGGCGAAGAGACGGAGAGATTATTCATCTTGCCGTTCGCGCGCTCTAAGTAATGCAGCTATCCATGTTCAGCAGCAATCCAGTCACGAGCACCCAATTTGACGCTGAACGTGGAATCCTAACCAGAAAAAAACTTGAGCGCTTGAGCGAGCGAGAGCCTGCAAGTTGAACATTGATGATTGTGGATGCACAGCTGCAGCATTCGCCTTCTTCCCTGCCCATGAGTGGCATAAGCAACGCATTCAGTTGTAACCAAGGTAGAGAGGATCGCTATGAACTACTGAAAAGGAATTCGTAAGAGTGCCACGTGGCACCAGAGTAGAATAATCACGTCACCGCGTTAGACTGCATGCACTGATGCAGTGCATGGGCGGATGGGACTCAACTCCTTCGGGAACGAATAAATGAGATCTCGCGAACGCACGCACTCCTGTGACTTGAACCACCGCAATTGCCTCGATTATCGGGTTCTTCAAGCGCGTCACGGCCGTACGTTCTAGCATACACTTTCAATAGGTTCAGCTGAGGAACTGTCGTCTGCACCACAGTCCGCGAATCCGCCCGAGGTCCCCAAGGCTGAGAGCCTAATTAGGTTTAGTATTCTGGGCGCTGCCAACATTTGCCCCGACGCCCTCATCAGGCCGGCGAAGAGCCATCCCGAAGTCATCATTGCCGCCGTCGCAGCCCGCGATAAGACCGTGTACGCGAAGAAATGGGGCATTCAGAAGACGTGCCACATCGCCAACGGGAAGAAGGAAAGAAGGTGTGGCGTCCATTTCAAGCGCGCTGAATGACACCAAGACATACCAGGCAGAGCCCCCCCCCCCCCCCCCAAGGCGGAATTTATGGAAAGCATCGCGAGCTAAGTACTTAGTACTGGCACGTCGAGTTGATTACACTGATTATCGCACGTGTACCCCTGAACGCTGATCCTTCGCCTGCCTGACCTCGGACGGCGAGGAGTCGCGCTCATCCCCAAAACATGGATGCCCTGAGGTCTAACATCAATTCTCAGTTTGACTCAACTGCAATAGATTAATATTGGTTCCGATGCTCTTTGGGCGCTGCAACATCAGACGCAATGACAATGTGCGTCGTCCCGCCTCTCGGTTCTCACAAGCATCCCTGATGTATCTATTTTCTACAGCGTCCTTGCCCCATCTGGTTCGAAGATGTCTCATGAAGAACTTTCAGCCTTCGCTAGAGTGGAAGTTGGAACAACGAGGCATGTGGTTTGAGTTAGATCTAAAATCAAAGTTCGTCGTTTCCACGCCCACGACCTGCATTGGCTCTCAGAGTCAAAAGCGCTCTGGGAGTCGTGAAGGCCCCTGCCCCCGCTGTCACCCTAGCTCAACATGCCCGACATCGCCAGCCTCGGCCTCTGTCATCAAAAACTCCTCTCCGGCAACTGCTATATAGACTCGTGTCCATCCAAACATGATTTTGCGGTCTGTCTGGACTGTGGGGTGGTCTCTATCCCGGCCTCCGGCGACCAGAGCCATCGGCGTTCTGCATCCCACCAGAGAATTTCACGCCGAAATAACGGGAGACTTGCTACACTATTCAGGTGCATCGCCTGCTCAAGGACAATCGGCGGCGCGGGTTGGAATGGCCATGTCCGTTCGAAAAAGCACTTGCGCAAAGTGCAAGCTCTCGGCATTCACCACGTAGAACAGCAGGTTGAGAGGAACCATCCCAAACACGTCTATTGTGATCCGTGTGATATGCATATTCTTACAGCCCACCATGCATCCCACACGAGGAAGCTCACACATATAAACACGGTCCGAATGAAGGCATACATGGCCACGATTGCGCAGGAAGAAGGCAACAAGGGCGGCATCCGTGTGTCGCACGAGGATGGAGGCGTCGACTTCGGGATCCTAAACGTAGCTGTTGTGCAGGCAGGGTCCCAAGTCGACGTGGCCATCAAGAGGATATCCGATAGCGCGATAATCAAAGTTGTGGACGTGCGAGTTGTCCAAGGTCTTGGTTCGATGCCAACATCATGGTGCGTGTCAGTCTTGCTTGTTCTAACTCAAAAAATGAATGAGAATCGGTGCAGTTTCGTAGCCTCGCTGCAAGGCACCGAGTCTCGCGTGCCTTCATGTGAGGACATGCGCGTTGTTGTTCAATTTGCGCAGGATAGTCCTCAGCGTGGTCGATACGAGGCTCGCCTCGAGATTGTGTTCGAGAACAACTCCACCCACCGCCGTTTTGAGATCGCGCGTCCTCTCAAGGCTGTCGTGGGCGATCCTCAAGATTACGAGTTGTTGAAACCGTCTGCGCCTTACATGAGGCCTACGAGACAGCGCCGCACGGCCGAGATAGAAGTGGTTCCTGCGGAACATATCCCGTCTTTGCCACGCATCAAGTTTCGGCGCGAGCTTCTCGCTGCCAACATTCCAGAAGTGCTGCTATCTGCTCTGGACATGAGAGCTTCACCCCAGCAGATGCATCAGGAAAAACCGGATTTGCTAAAAGCGTCCTAAAACGTACTAAAACGTGCTCATTTAGTGGATTTAGAGGGTTTCAGTACCCAATAAGCGACTCTTTCGATAGTCCGATTTTTCCTGATGTGACAGAGAGCATTCGAGAGAGTCATCTCCCGCAGACGCTCGACGAGGGGAGCTACTCGACTTGGTTCAAGACGCTAATATGGGCAGAAGAATATAAGCAAGCGTACGTGCTATGTGCTTCGAGATGCGTCGTACTGAGGGCAATCCACAGAGAGGACATGCAAGCATACGATATGCACGGAGTACGACTCAGATCGGCCGGTGCTCTACATTAGTGAGGCTCTCGTTGTTGGTTGAAAGATGTCGCGTCTCATGCACATTTACAGCTTGAGGGTTCCAGGACTGGCTGAAAACCGACCCAGCGTAATCGTTGGTGAGTAAATCCTGTTATTATCTACCCGTCTTCACTGCGTGCACCATAACGACATTGGCCCTAGGCGATCGCATCCTAGTACAGCCTGAAGGCGTAGACCCAGGTAAATGGTTCGAAGGCAGAGTTTTTGTCGTGGCCCTAGAAGAAGTCGGGATGCGCCTCCGCAGCGATTTCGGGCCACACAAGGACAAGAAATGCGATATCCGATTCCAACTCAATCGCCACCCGCTGCGCGTACAGCATCAGGCGCTTGACCTTTCAAACAATCAGCTTCGCTTACTGTTCCCCGAACCAGAGCATATCGTAGGAGATCTTGTCCCGTCGCCGGGAATCCTTGAGGGTCCGAGATTTGATGCGCGTATCCTTCAAAACCCGGCACAATTGCAAGCCGTCACCTCAATCGTCCATCGCAGAGCGGGGGCGCCTCCTTTTGTAGTATTTGGCCCGTACGTGAACGCAAGTTGGTCTGATTCCGGCTCGTTTTCACTCTTTGGATCATAGGCCTGGAACGGGCAAGACATTCACAATCCTCGAAGCGATCAAGCAGATCCTTCGCATTGGCAACGACAGCGTGCATATCCTCGCGTGCGCGCCGACGAACTCCGCCGCAGATGTCATCGCGCTTGGTCTCGCGGATCTTGGCGACAATCTGTTTCGTATGTATGCGCCGACGAGGAGGAGGAACTTGGTGCCGGATGCCCTTGTCCCGTTCACGGCTGTGACAGGCGATGGAGAGCACTTCACTATCCCGGAAATGGACCGCCTGCTGCGATACAAGGTGATCGTCGCGACGTGCATTTCGGCCACCAAGCCGTACGCCCTCAAGATCCCGGACGGCCATTTCTCGCATGTATTCATTGATGAGGCAGGGCAGGCGACGGAGCCAGAGGCGATGGTGGCGATCCGGACGCTTGCAACGGACAAGACGAACATCATTCTCTCTGGAGATCCAAAGCAGCTTGGGCCCGTGATCCGATCTGGGGTCGCGCGGGACTTGGGACTCGGCCAGAGCTACCTGGAGCGTTTGATGGGCAGGGCGATATATGACGTGCTGGGAGGATATGGCGTTTCGTAAGAACATATTATTCCATTTGTTACGTCTCATTCACTCTTTCGCAGTGTCGTCAAGCTTGTTAAGAACTTCCGATCTCACGAGGCGATCCTTCACTACCCTAACCTCAAGTTTTACGATGGCGATCTTCGACCGTTCGCTGCGCGGGAGGTCGCCGATTCGTACCTCGGCTGGCCGGCCCTGCCGTCGCCCAAATTTCCGGTTATATTCCATTCAATTATCGGGAAGGACGATCGAGAGTCGACCTCGCCGTCGTATTTCAACATAGAAGAAATCTCACAAGTCAAGGCATATGTGCAAGACTTGCTCGGGAACGCCAACTTCCTTGTTGATCAGTGCCTGACAGTCCTCTTCGTCATGCCCCTCCGCTCTTGCAGTTGATGCCTTGGAATGATAGAACAACGTGAAATTGGGATTATCACGCCATACCATGCCCAGTCGCTCAAGATCCGTGCGGCTTTGAAGGCGGCTCAGCTCACCGATATCAAGGTTGGCTCGACAGAATTATTCCAGGGCCAGGTACGTGTCTAAGACGGTTCGTATGGAGTCCTGGCGTGCTGAGCTGAGGCCGTGCCCAGGAACGACGCGTGATCATCGTATCCACCGTACGAAGCAGCCAAGAGAAACTCACATACGATCTGAGACACACCCTCGGGTTCGTGTCGAACCCGCGTCGCTTCAACGGTGCGTTGTTCGAGTGTTGAGATCGATCGTGCCGAGCCTTGTCCTGATCGTCGTCCTTTAACAGTCGCTGTCACTCGCGCGAAAGCACTCCTGATCATCGTGGGGAATCCGAATGTGCTGTCGCTGGACCCTCTATGGCGCGGTTTCTTGAACTATATCCACCAGAACGGCGGTTGGACGGGCCAGAGCGGTATAGGCTGGGACCCTACCGAACCCGTCAAGGATGGCGGTTACGACGCCGACGTTCGAGCTCAGGCGCTCGAGCAGTTGAACGCGCAATTGGCAAAGCATGGTATTGATTCTATCGCGGAAGAGGTGGAGGCGGAAGCAGACGTCGTGAACATAGATATAGATAATCCCGAGCGGCAGGAGTGAGCTCAGAGTTGAGATTGAGATCTACGAGTAAAGTTGGATGTACATAATCGTATGTTTGTGTCTGTGCAAGGCCGTACTTTTCAGTGCCCGATCATGTGTTTTCTTGAGCCAAACGACGACGCTGAGACCAAACGATACCGGCGGGCCGAGCGCGGAGAACGGCGAAAGCAAGCCGCTGGTTTTCGAGCATAGTGCGTGCGGAAAAATCAAAAGTGTTTTCTGGATGTTGGACGGTAGGCTCCAAGGACTACAGCATTCCAGGTTGAGCAGCAATCCAATCACGAGTACCCAATTGAATGCTGAAGGCGGAATGCGCTTGAGCGAGCGTGAGCCTGGCATTCAGACACTGTGGGATCTGAATAGCTATAGCATTGGCCTTCCTCCCTGCCCTTGAGTGGCATAGCAAATGCATTCGCAAATGTACTATCACTGACCCAGAGTTCCTATCGGAAACACTATTTTGCGTGGGATTCATATTTGGTGGTTCTACTCCCTCTGCTTCTGCATATGACCTAGTGTGAAATGATCTGCGCTACATGCTCATGTAGTTGCCTTATTTTTAACGACTATATTCAAGGGACAGTGAATATTTTCCTCGATGAAGAGGTCGGAGGACCCAGAGTTCCTATCGGTGACACGGTCGCGTCACTACACAGCCCTACCATAAACGGTAGTCGATACTGCGAAGAGACAGGGGCAAGTGACAGACAAACATCACGGACTTTCTGAGTGTTGGCCTTGTTGCACAACCACTACTCAACGCATTGGCTTATTTTATGGACAGACGTGGAAAAAAATGGATCTCATCTTGCGGTATGATAGCCTTGTAAGCGGAAATACGTGCATTGATGATATCCTCTGCCAGATGGGGTAGCGTGTGAAAATAGGATTTCTGGGTCCTTCTGAGTGCGGAGGCCATCTACAGAATTTTCACCAGATAATATTGGTATGCCCCAATAGAGCACACTAAATGCAATCATCCGTGCATTTTTTCAGTATTTGATGTGCGGTGTAGCGGGGTGGAGAGACGAGAAAGTCGGAATAGGAACTGGGGGTCCGATAGGAACTCTGGGTCAGTGATAGTATCCAAAGAAGAGAGGGATGCTATGAACCCAGAACCGGGCTTACTGAATCGAGGGAGTTCCACGTGGCACCCGGGTGAGAAGATCACGTGTCAAGCCGTTGCCGCGCGGCGCGCCGGCTCGTCCGCGATGCATCATGGACTGCGTGCGCGGATGGGACTGAACTCCTTCGGGAACGAATAAATAATGTCTTGCGAACGCACGGACTCCTTGGACTTGAACCACCGCAATGACCTCAATTATAGGGTTCTTCAAGCGCGTCACGACCGTACGTTATATGAAACGCTCTCAATAGGTTCAGCTGAGGAACTGTCTTCTTCATCAGTCTGCAAATCCGCCCGAGGTTCCCAAGGCTGAGAACCCAATTAGGTTTGGTATTCTAGGCGCCGCCAACATTGGGCCCGACGCCCTCATCAAGCCGGCGAAGAGCCATCCCGAGGTCGTCATCGCCGCCGTCGCAGCGCGCGATAAGACCAAGGCTGAGACGTACGCGAAGAAATGGGGCATTCAGAAGACCTACGGTGGTCCGGCTGGATATGACGGTACGCGTATATGCACGAGACCGAGCAGAGGCAGCACTCATGCGCTACGTTTGCTTGTAGAGTTATTGAATGACCCTGAAATTGACGCCGTATATAATCCTGTGAGTCGTTACGCAGGTGCTAGATAGACAAGATGCTGACTATCGCGACCAGCTACCGAACGGTTTACATTACGAATGGACCATGAAGGCACTATCAAAGGGCAAACACGTCCTCCTGGAGAAGCCCAGTGCCGACACTGCCGAGGAAACCCGGAAGATGTTCGAGCTGGCGGAACAGAAGGGGCTGGTTCTTATGGAGGCATTCCATTACAGGTACGGCAGCTTTCAGTTGCATCGCACGCTCATTCGCCCCTAAACCAACGGATGCAATCAGGTTCCACCCTGCCGTGCAGCGTGCCAAAGCGATATTGGATAGCGGCGAGCTGGGTGCTGTCAAGAGTTTAACTTGCCATATGGTTATCCCCGAAATCGGATTTATTGGGAAGGACGACATTCGCTACAACCATTCCCTGGGCGGTGGATGCATGATGGACATGGGCTGTGCGTGAGGCTGGCCGAAGCCGTATCTACGCTCATTTGCGGAGTTTGCATCTCATCGTGCCAACCATTCAGGCTACCCCCTCAGTGCCGTCCGCTTCTTTGCTTCGAACAACCCCGTATCGGTGCTCAGCGCCGAAGCGCACGTCATCCCCCCGGCGGCGGACCTCGTCGATAAGGGCATGAGCGCGACGCTCGCCTTCCCGAACGACGTTGCGGCCTCCATCCGGTGCCATTTTGGCATGCCGCCCGCGTACGGCTTCATCCCGCGCATGCCCGTGTTATCCCTTAAGGCGGAGTGCGAAGGCGGCGAGCTCACGCTGAGCAACTTCGTCTTGCCGACGTTGTGGCACTCCATTACCGTTAGCAAGCGCGAGGGTCGGGGCCGCGTGACGAGGACGGAGAAGGCGTACACGTTTAAGGACGGCATAGGCGAGCCGTGGTGGACAACGTATGTTCCGCCCACTTCGCACAAGGTGCATGAACAGCATTTCTCATCCCAGTCATGCAGATATCGATACCAGCTCGAGGCGTTCGTGGACAAGCTGAAGGGCCGCAATCCTCACTACTGGATGACTGGAGAAGATTCGGTGGCGAATATGGAATGGATTGAGCGCGTGTACGAGAAGGTAGGATCTTCGCTGTTCGTCCTTGTTTTCGTGCTGAGCACATCAATAGAGCGGTCTAGGAAGCCGTCCGGCATCTAAGTTTGTCCTCTGATTTAATCGCCGTCGCGGAAATCATACCTTCGTCTCGCCTTGGGTTGGCAGTTTTCCCACAAGTTGAAACGCTAATCCCGTTAATGGATATGCCTTTGCCATGTATGTTGCCGCACACACCTGCTCTATGCTTTTGTACCCAGTTAGGCTGTCTGATGGTGAGATAAAGGGCAGCTTAGGGACCGTATAAGGTATCTATTAGGCTCAAGCGCTCGAGCAATAGTATTCATTCTTGCGATTACAACGGGCCCGAAGTTCCAGCCATTTCTATGAATGGCTTGTGGATTATTGAAGAAGAGGCATGAAGTGCCCGATCAAGATTCATGTGCGGCTTGAAATCGCCTCCTGCTGATGCAGGGTGATAATCCCTCCCTTATTTATGGTTGCCGTGCCCATCCTTGTCGGATTCCCTTGGCATGTCGTGCTCCAATATCTACGGCCGAAGATACCACAGAGTATAAATCCCTGTTGCTGACGGCTGGGTGGAACGTCAAACGCAGACGCATCATATTGCTACGCAGCCCTACAGCCAACTTGCCATATCTACGATGCTTCTGCCGTCTACACCCCTGGAAACGACCAGCTTGATCTTGTGGTAGTACGTGGTTGGCGTGGATGCTTGTATCCGCAGACTGATCTACGATCCTGCTGCTAGGATTACCCTGTTCCTGAACCCGCCGCCAACGAGGTTCTACTGAAGATCAAGGCCTGCGGTGTTTGCCATAGCGATGTGCGTTTGATTCATATGTTATCTTGTAGATGCCCATGCTTTGTCTGCTTCAGGTTTTCATCCTGACGGATGCAACCGACCCCCGCACCTACATCATGGGCCATGAAGCTGCTGGAGAAGCTGTGAAGTACGTTGAAAGTCGCGTGATGGCCATCAAATCAATGCTTACCGTATGGTCAGGTTGGGTAGCTCGGTCGATCCAAGGAAGGTTAAGGTCGGTCAGCTGTACGTCGTCTGGACGAGCTTCACCGGGTGTGTACCACCTCCGCTGGGCACCCCGCCCTCAGCTGTGTCCACATTCGGAGTAGGGTTAGATGGCGCGTACGCGGACTACGCAGTCGTTAGCGCGTCGAATGTCGTGCCCGTTCCGCACGGCATTCCTCCTGAGATCGCGGCGGTCTGCGCGGACGCGGTCCTTACGCCGTACCACGCGATCCATACTACTGCGAACGTACGTCTGACGTTCGGCCCGATGGCCGTTAGACATGAACACGAGATCTGACGGTGTTTCTCGATTGGCGCCGCTTTTACACGGCGCAGATTCAGCCCGGTCAGACCGTGCTCATCTTCGGAATCGGAGGGCTCGGTGTGAATGCAGTCCAGATTGCGAAATACTTTGGGGCCAAAGTCTATGCCGTTGACATCCGTCCGAAGTGAGTCCCGGTGGCGCGAATCAAACGCGGTAACTCACTACTTCGCGATAGAGTCGCGCTCTAGCGAAGGAGTTCGGCGCCGAGAAGGCGTTCAGCACCATGGACCTCGCTAACAGACTTTCCAAGGGCTTCTTCGTAGACATCGTCATTGACTTTGTCGCTTCGGAGCATAGTGCGTCGACAACCTGTGCACGGCTCGGCTGTCATTTGACCTGGTAATTGGCAACAGGTTTCAACCAAGGCATTCAGGCAACCACTACTACACACAACTCGCGAAAGGCGACAGCCCTGCCCGCGGACGACCAGACGGCATTTTGGTATAGCCTACAGAATCGAGCACCTCTCTCTTTGACTTCTCGTCGTCCCGTCAGACACACCCCTCTGCCGCAAGGGTGACTGCTTCCCGTCCAATACTCGCCAACTGCGACTGCAGATGGTCCGAAGTCCCGAATGACACTGACTGTTTGTATAGTGCAGGACTTATCACGGAGACGGGGACTGCACCTTTCTTGCATCTTGCTACTGCAGTCGACTAATCATTAATCACTCTCAGTTATACCGTTGTGCAGAGTCCATTCTTGTCAGGGCTCCTGGGCATGTCGGGCTCCCATCCGTATTGCAGAGGGACTTTACCAGACAGTATAAAAACCTGTCTCTACCCCAAGGGAATCTTCACTTGGACTACACACAATTTACCCGCCTATGTCTACTATGCTCGCTGCTGTCTACACCCCTGGCAATGATCAACTTAATCTTGTGCCTGTATGTCGTTCGAGCGCTCATATACACTCCAGGACTACCTAAAATGATGGCATTCAGGATTTCCCTATTCCTGAGCCCGCTACCAACGAGGTTCTGTTGAAGATCAAGGCATGCGGCGTCTGTCACAGTGATGTGCGTGCGGCTCTCTCCCTGCACTCATCGCTGGACTGCTTATTCTGTCCCTTCTCAGGTGTTCGTCCTCACGGATGCCACAGATACCCGGACTTATGTCATGGGTCATGAAGCGGCCGGAGAAGCTGTGAAGTGCGTTGATCGTTGCTTATTGACGGGTATTCAATGATTTCACCATGAACATACCAACAGGCTGGGCAGCTCGGTCGCCTCAGAGAAGATCAAGCTCGGTCAACTGTACGCCATTTGGGTGAGATTCACCGGATGCGTGCCCCCTCCGGTGGGGACCCCGCCCGACGCCGTGCCTGCTTTTGGCTTGGGCATCAACGGCGCATATGCAGACTACGCCGTCGTTCCTGCGTCTCAGCTCGTTCCCGTTCCGGATGGCGTACCTCCCGAGATCGCGGCGGTCTGCGCGGACGCGGTTATCACGCCATACCATGCGGTTCATACCACTGCGAACGTACGTCCGGTATTCAATCTGATGCATCCTAGTGGAGGCTGACAGCGTTCGCGGTTTGTTTCCGATGACGTAGATCCAGCCCGGTCAGACCGTGCTTATATTCGGGATCGGCGGCCTCGGCCTGAATGCAGTGCAGATCGCGAAACACTTCGGGGCCAAGGTGTTTGCGGTTGACATCCGTCCGGAAGTGTGTTTTCAACTTGCGGCAAGCAGGAAAAAACGTCTTTTATTTCTGATATGCACAGAGCCGTGCCCTAGCGAAGGAGTTTGGAGCCGACGAGGCGTTCAGTACCATCGAGCTCGCGAACGAATTAGCTAAGGGCTTCTTCGTGGACACCGTCATCGACTTCGTCGCTTCAGAGAATAGTTCGTCGATCTTCTTGACACGGGGCGCTGTTACTTGACATTGGGTTCGCACTAGGCTTTGACCAAGGTATCCAGGCAACCAGCGCGACTTTCGGTCAGACGCTTGGAGCAAAGAGTGGCACGATCGTGTTGGTAGGTGGTCTTGATAATGCCCATGCAATCTCCTTCTAACTGCCGGCAGGTTGGCATTAGCAGAGACGACCAGAAGGTTAGCTCCGTCGACTTGGTGACTGGTCATGTGTCTGGTGAGTATCGGGTGGCCCTCCATGTGCAATCTTCTGGACCTCATGTTGATTGCGTGGACTGATTAGTGATTCCATCCTTGTACGGCACGATCGATGACTTGAAGGAAGTCCTCGACCTTGTTTCTCAGGTGCGAAGCACCACATTGATTCAGATCGATTTGACGATACTGACATTGACATAATCACCTAGGGTGTAATCAAGCCCCAAGTTCAGACGGCTCCGCTCAAGGAGGTCAACAAGGTTCTCCATGAGCTGCGGGCGGAGAATTCCGACTCCCCCGAAGCGTAAGCGTAGGTGGGGGCGGTTTTCAGTATGGGCTATGTCACATGTTACTTCGTTTCCCATCCGCCAAAACGTGACGAAAACGTGACTTTTGTCACGAATTCGTGACATGGCTTGAGGCTGGTTTGGATAGCGATGGACGCAGCACCTTGTGTATGTGTGGGAAATGCTGGGATGAAGTGGAATTGTAGTGGATGTGTTATTGATGAATACTTGTACGTCATTCGTGCATGAAAGTGATGATTAGAGTTTGAATGCGTGATGTGACGACGGTTTTTTCCGAGAGAAGACCGACAATCCCCGAAAGTGTTGTTAGGAATGTTATTGTATTCATATTGCTGTACTCTATTTATATGCCTCGTGTCTGCATACCGTTGGCTTGCAATGCTGTCTGTTGCCTGACTGATCGCGTTACCTAGACGCATTTTTACTGAGACGAAATTTCTTGCCTTTTTGCGCACTTATGGCGACGAAGGTGGTTTAGTTTGAGGATGTGATGGTGCATGGGCGCGAACGCGATTGCAATATCATCTTTGATAGAGTGATAAAACGTTAGTTCGATATCCCACAGCTTGTTGCGTCGTTGCGACTGGCCTGTATGCACCGGGTTAATTGACAGGTTATCGCCCCTTATGAGACCGAGTGGGTGGTGTAGCGCGCGCTCGCCGACAACGTACGCACGGCCACTTTGCGGATACACCTTCGAACGACTGTATTACAGCGGATACCACTCGTTTACCGCCGCGCGCGTCGTGCCACAGCCACCGCCCGCGTCGACCAGCTAGTCATATTTACAATTATCTCCCTCACGCCGAGCTATGATGGAAAGTGCCATTGAGGTGGTGTTCAAGGCATTCGGGATTCCCGTTTCTCGTCATCGCTAGGTTGGTGCGTTATTATATATGGAGATGAGCGCTTTGACGCGGGTGTCTACGTGTTGTGCAGGCTCGGAACTCGCCAGTATCAAGATACCGACATGCGAACCATCATAGGAGCTTTTCTGGGGAGAGAATACTGTTACAGACGATGCTGTATTGGACGTGTTTCGGAGAGCGGTAGGACGGCGGCGAAGGAAATCGGGATGTTGTACAGAGAATCGTATAGCTATCGGTCTCATTCAAAGAGGAAAACTGTCGACGTGACACTATCTTACAAGGGGATGCGGTATGTACTTCGATTCGAGATTTTACAACGTATGGGCGGATCTACTTTGTTTGTTGAGGGTTTTGCTGTTGATTTTGTGGAAGTGAAATCAGAGGACGTTGTAGATTTGTCTGTCGGAATCCATGTGTTCAAGCTACTAACGACGTGTCAAACGGGCCATGAGGAGCGTATAGGGGAAAGAACGCACACGGATCGTCATTCGGAAAGGATGGCAACAGTCCTTTGCGATGTAGCGGCGATCATCGTAGAGTTGGCGATACATTTGAACGTGACAGATGAGGTCGGCGTCATGACTGCGGAAAATATATCAGGATGGTTTTTACGAAAGGAATTAGTGGATGTAAATTCTTACAACATCCAAGTGGGTCCGTAATGCAGCTCGAGCACTTTTTGGTAGTGATTGTCTAAGCGTTTCCTCTGGATGATTCGTTTGTACATACGCTTGAGAGCGTATACAAGGCGGTCTTCGTGGAGGATGTAGACGTGTTGCAGTACCTTGGAGGTCACGATCGAGAAGCATATGTAGGGCCTACCGACGACGTTGAATCGAAGTCGCCAGTTCGTGATGTGTACGGGGTCGGTGAAAAGGACAGGTGAAATCGCATTGATACGTTTGTCGGTGAACATGACACGTTCTTCGAAAGAACGGTGCAAGGAGATTCGCAACGAATGATTATCATCAATCCACCGTGAGTGGCTGGGGAAATCGTCCTCGATGTCGTCACATAGGGAATTGTGGAATGTCCAACCATTTTCACCGAATTCTTTCATAGTGGCTGCATCTCGACGACCGTTGAGTGTAGTGAGGAGAGCAACCTTCGATTCGAACGTCGCGCGAGGGTAGAGGGAATACGCTTGCTCGTAGCTAATGACGTTCATACCGGCCGCTGCAGTGTTCATATTTTAGCTGTGAATGGTCGATCGCGAGGAAGAAATGCATACTGCATGAGAGATGGAGAATTGGAGCGATTGCGGCATTGGTAGATTCGATGACGTTAATGATTTTCTGTCCGTCGGGGAGTACGGTCTTGATGTATGTATGAAGTCGATAGTTACCGCGGTCGTTGGTAGTAGTATTGAACAGAGGTCCTGAGTAATCGCAGAGAAAGAGCCTCGTGGTCTGTCCTGAGCTGGACTGGTGGATAGCAGAGCGACGGATATCGGCCGGTGTTGTGCGCCGGTAACCTTCGTTGTTTATGAAGGCCGTAACCTGGTCGAACCGTTGTCGTGGAATGTACAGATCAAGATCGACGACGTCGAGTCCGAGACGTCCGATGAAATTGAGTGCGAATCTGCCGGCGATGAGAGTACCTGTGAAATACTGCAGGCGACGGAAGCTCAGTGGATCGGTAAAAAAAGGCGCGAGGTGATTGTTGATTTTGTACGTGCGACGAATGTTGTCCTTGACACTTTGGTAGAAAAGCTGATTAGTGGCAGCGATCGTTATAAGCGTGCCCGGGGAACATTCGGTAAGGACCATGTCGCATAGTTCGTCGTTGTGCATGACCTGGCGGAATAAATGAGAGAGCCGTTCCATATCTGGTACACGGATTGTCTGTTTATATTGTGGTTGTTCGGTGAGCACAGTTGGTATCGAACGGTAAGACCATGATACCTGGACACGCGGCATGAGGTTTTTGAAATGTGGTAAAGGTGAAGACGTCTTGTTGTTCGTTGGAGGGATGTGTGTATCTGTAACAGATATATGAGGTGGTTGCGTCGGTGAAGTTCGTCGGCACGGTTAAGATACAGGTTGATAGGAATAATATCGAGGGGAAGAATGAAGGTTCGATCGCGGCAGGATGCATGATATTGAACATAGACGTCTTTGAATGAATGAAATGCGGATGCGGTAGTAATTGAGCTTCAGTAGATTCGGATTGCTCATGATGTGCATCGTGAAGTAATATTGGGAAGAAGAGTGGGACGTGTAGATTACGTTGGGCTGGATTTGGCCGCTGTGGGACGGTAGGCGAAAGAATCGTATCAGATGATTGTGAAGAGTACACGGTGATTGAAAAGCGGCCGCTGAAGGTTAGAGTGTGGATTGTTGGAGCACATGCCGCGCATTGGCATCTTGGTGGCGACGGTCTAGGTGTCGGCGGAAAATGTATTGGTTGACGGTGTGATTCAATTGCGATGGCTGTTATAGCGTATGATGTAGTCGCGTGTTCGAAGTAAGTGGCAGATGCACTTGAGTACCGAAATAGTAAAGAAACGAGCTTGAATTCTGATGTGTAAAGCCTGAAGCGGTGATGATGGTGTGGTGATGACAAGTCGATACGGCGTGGTATTTTGTCAGCTATGTGGTGCATGCCGGCTGAGGCTGATCGTATATAGTTGAGGTGATAATAGGTCAGTGAGTGTCGTCGTTGTTGGTGCGCGGTATCGGCCGTGTTTTGTGGGATGAGTCCTAAAAAAAGAACGGTTTAGTATGAGATATCGTGTGAAGAACAAGATAGGAAGGTTTAGTATGGGCGTGGTTCTGTTTGTGAGGCAGTGTCATGGGTTGTTGTGGTTGGAGTGATGGAAGATGGTGTGCTTCGGATAGAAGACGAGAGAGTTCAATGTGTCAACCCGTGACAGTGATCGGGCGTGTCTGAAAGTGATCGGTGTTTTCTGATGTCGATGGTGAAGTAGTCATTTGCATTTTGTTGGTCGGAATGTGGTTGTTGTGGTAATTCATGTACACGGCGAACGTTGAGTCAAGGTTGAATGATGGATCCGAGGATGATTTTGCCGAGTTAGTGGGATTGACTGGCGATGATAGGGATGAGATAGATTCCAAGAACGTTATTCTCCGGGAAATCGAAGCCGATATGTAGCTTAGTTGGAGTTATGGAGGTCGTTGGTTTGGCCTGTCGGAATTGAGTCACGGCAGTGAGTGGATTGGTGTATAGTTTGGTGCGTGCGCGGATATGCAATACCGATCAGCTGATCGTGTTCGATGGATCGCGTAGTATTTGCAAGGTTCGTTATCGAGGGGTTCGTTTGGATTTATCCAGTAGCAGAACGAACGTAGAAGGCCTTTGGGACGGTCTTGATCGGTAATAGGGTTGTTGAAGGTAAAGATTGGGTGTCTGGTGCGAACGGTTGCCGTTAGTACACGAGAGTTCTGATAAGGACGCAAGTATATCGCGGTTCTCGTTGTTCATGCTTGGTAATATATGGAACGCGAAGCATCATGGTGCCGTTGCCGTAATGTTGGATATGGTTTGTGCACACATGTGAGACGGTGGATTTGATGGCTTGAGGGTGTATTGTAGAGTATGTATCGGTTTATTCGAGTGATGTCAGGGTCAAGGTGGACGAGTGATGTGGTGCCGGGATGGTGCGGCATAATTGTAGTCATCGAAAGGTTCTGCTGGGAAATTATCCGATGGATGATAAAGTCGGAGGCATAATTTGGCTGGAAGATGTTATGTTGATTGATGTCATGTTGAATCGGTGAAGTTCGGTCGGGCTCGTTGGGGTTGGTTTGAGAGTGTTTGCATGAAAATATTCGTGGTCGGTATCGCAAGGTGATGCTGTAGCGTGTTGGCGGCCTTACCAGGTTTCTGGGATATGTATGGAGCTTTGTTGTGGGTGGTGTTGATGAGACTTGCGTTGAGGTGTTATTTATTTACTGTGGAGTATGCGGATACTATTGATGCTTCAGGTTGTTGGTGTTTGCGGTGTCAAATATCACTGTATGGAATATATTTGTGTATGTCATGAAGGCGTTGGTTCAAAACAGTACAGGTTACCCGGAAGTGTCGACAATCATAATGAATACATGAGTGTTGGTGTGGTCTACGACGATGATGTGCGATGCGCTATGTCCATCGGGATGTCGGACAGCATATACCCGTCGACGTCGTCGTCGATCTTCCTGCGCTTGGAACGGGCTGCCATTACGGTTGGGGCTATGCCAGATTGACGTTCCGATTTTGACTTGTGAATGAAAGCGTTCTAAGGAAGCGTTAGGACAGTAGCAGTGACGTTAGAACGACTCACTTCTTGAAAGGTGGTGTTCAACACGGTAATGGTTCTTAATCCGAACTCGACTCTGTATCTGTTATTTCGTGACTTTGTGGCATAGAAACAGATCTCCGCTTCGACCAAATCACCGACATTTACAGTGCCTGGGGGGGCAGGAACGATTTTCCTGAAACGTTGGATGAGTTTGATTGAAAGTCTGTAGGGTAGGACTGTAAATATACCTGGCAATGTGGTCGAGGTGGAATATTTCGATAGAGTTGTCGTCCAAGTGCAGGGCGTTGCCTTTCAGCCTTTGAAGGATTTTGGATGGGTCGAGTTCGTTTGAGATAGGGAGTTCGCGAGTGGTCGCATCGACACCGTCGGCGTTCGGTTTGGTGAAAATGGCGTTGGAGAGATGCAAAGCCGAGTATGTTGCATCGTTGATGTGGATGATAGATTGGCTGAGAGGAAATATGGAGTCGGGAGGAAGATAACGCTTGAAGATGTTGTAGATGGTGGCGCGCGTGTCGAGGAAGCGCTCGAATTCCTGGCTGTTGAAACCGGTGAGAACAACTGACTGCCTGAGGTTGTACCTGTTTCCGTAAGGCCTAGATTGTGCGTAGTCGTTATGAGTTTGCTGGGCGAATAGAGAGCGTTTGTTATACGTACTCGTTTATAAGCGGTAAAAGGTTGCGTTCGGCGAGGATACCTTGCATTCTGCAGACGAGTTCTTCGGTACTACCGTCAGTATGCTGATTCATTAGACGTATTTTCTTCGGGACACCAGTTTCGCGGACAGTAACGGAATCGTTATTCTGTGGATGATCGGACTGTTGTGAGTACGATTAGGACGTATATGCAATGTCAATATCCGCACATTTTGCAGGTACGGAAACTGGAATTTCGCAGTCCTACCGGTTGCAGCCTGTGTTATGTAGAGATCTAAAGATGTAACTTCGTGGGATGAGTCGACGGAAAGGTTAGAGTGAGAAAGGTTGATGTCACGGACCTGATTGTTGGATATCATAGTGACCGTTGAATATGTCGTTGGACATTGCGAGTCAGCGGAAGCGCAGTGGTGAACGATGGCGGGTATGAGTATGGGCCGCTATTTGGTGATAGGATGTGGTTAATCAAATGAATATCGTTTTTGGAGGGACGTTCTTGCTCGACGGATGTCGATTACTTTATACATGGCAGGATCCGGCCGGTCGAGGATGCTATCATTAGATCGTGTTTAGTGAAGACGGAGGACGGTTTTGTTTGAGTTCGTTTTAGGGGTCGCTGTGAGTTGATGTCATGTGATTAATGTCGAGTAGGACATGGAGCGCAGGGATGTCTTCGGAGGGTGAGGGTGGTTCGGTAATGATGATATTCTATTCGTTGTGTTGTATGAATTTGTGTAATCAATGTCAGACAGTTCGAATGCAGGGTGTATTGAATCTGTTCGCCCAGTGCTTATCTCGGTCTCGTACATTTTGGGAAGCAAAGGTTCGTGTTCTGGACCCAAATATCGTACATGGTGTTTGATAGCAAATTTGGAATTACGCGAATATCAAGAAATTTGTTGATTGTTGTTGTGCGTGAACGGTCCGTGGTGGATGGAGGCCAATTCAATGATGCGATGGTCATTTGTGACGTGGTATTGGCAGGCGAACGGGTGAGTAACGTGTCATATAGAAGTCCGGTGGGGTGGGGTTGTTGGGTATTCGACTCGCCATTTTCAGTAAAGCTATTGAATGTTGGATGATTGGAACGGTACCTTGGGTGATGGTTCCGGTAGAAGATAGGATATATGCCATGTGATGCGGTGCCGGCATGGCGATCTTAGGACGGGCAGTATCGGGCGTTCGTATGGATTTGTGGGCCTTCTTGCTTATCGCTGATATTCTTAGTTGAGCCTGGACTATCTGCAGACTTTGCGTCCGTGTTTGAGGGTGTTGTTGAGTGAGTGTGGCGTCGAAGTGGATGTCGCATCGAAGAACTTTAGTCTGGTCAGCTGTTCGCTTGCAATGAGTAATAGTGTGGAGCGTAGGATGGAAGAGACCTTAAAGTATGTGTAAAAAGATTGCGCGATCTGTTCGTGTTGGAATGGAATGAGTATAAAGATACGGCGAGTGAGGAGTCGAATGTGGTAGCGTACTCACTTCGAGTTCGTTTCCTCACTGTATACAAGGTATGTATTGTATCCGACAGTAACATGTTCGACGGCTGAGTATGTGGTTCGTTGAGCTTTAGTTCGCGTATCAAGAGAATAAACATGTCAGCACCTTTGGGCCGCGTATTGCGGTAGGCTTGTCATGACTTGCGACGGGCGTCTCGTTTAATGTTTCTGATATTGATTTAGTTCGTCTTCTACAATGAAGAGCCCTCGGGCGGAACCGTCGCCGGTGAAATCTACGAGGTTTGGTAAGCAAGCTGCGGCGGTCAAGACTCCTGTCGCGCGCAAGGAATTGCCGGCGACGGGTAAGCAGGAGTGGTTCACGGTAGAGGCTGAGATGCTCTGTGACGATGGCCCGATGTGCGTGGATTGGTGTTCATCTTCGTGACATGGTCTGACCAGTACGCAGAACGCCTCTTACGGAAGACGAGGTTCAGGATGATGAAGACGTTACGGGCTGTGGTTCACCTCGTAAAGACGCCGAGTGGGTGGTGTTCGTGTCGGGGTACGGTCGTTTTGATGTTCTAATGTGTTTAGGTGCAGGGTTTCGCATATGCCAGGAAAGCGAAAGAGGATTGAGGTTAATGAAGGAGAGGTGAGTGGTCACGTGGACTATGAGAGGCGCGTCGGGTGACGGGACTTGCAGATGCCCGTTGAATATGACTTCGGGTGAATATCGGTCGTATAGGTGATGCTTCTTGTTGTGTTGTAACTGATTTTGTTACAGAAATCTGACGCAGAAGGCGCGCCGTGAGCTGATATTACAACTGTGATGGGTGGTTTTGCCTGTGCGATCATCATCGTTGCTAATTTTTCGTAGTTTGCGAGAAGATGGAGAGGAGAAGACGTTACTGGATCAGTGGTACGAAATTCTGTCGGACAAGTGCGTGGTGGTGGCATACCTGTAGTTTATGACTCGACAGTATTCTTTGACAGAGATGTCCTCGGTAGTGTGGTGCAGGAATCGAAAACCCGCGCGGCGGTGGATGGGTGAGTAGGGGCTGTTGTGGAACGACTTGTTTGCGTTTTAATTCGGCGGTAACAGACAGACGAAGGAGATGAACTCTGATATGGACGCGTACGTGGTTCGAAACTCTATTCTGCTGCGTGATCGACGGGTTTTTTATTTAGGGCTACGCGGGCCGGCCCCGGAAGGTATCGTGTTAGCCTTGTTGTAGGCCGGACGCGGGAATGAATGGATGAAATGTATAGGAACCCTGCGCGGAAGAGACTTTCTCGGACGACGTGTGAGTCGATTTTATGATGATTCGATATCGCCCGTGAATAACGTTGGTTTGAAGCGGTTGCGCAGAAACTATTCAGGCCGTTTGATGACGGTTTCGAGTATGTGCTTGTGGGATAGCATTGCATTGTGCTTAGAAAATATGTGTGACAGGGCGGACGAGTCAGAGAATATGGATGAACCGATGACCTCTCGGTATGCTCCATGATTTTGCATTGTTGGTCACGTTACTGGAAGATTGTCGGTTGTATAGCGGAAAGCTTGCGGAGGTGGGTACCGGCGGATCAATACCTGGTGAGTGGATAATCGATGCTTGAGTATGATGTGTCGTCGTCTAACGAGTGCGTCGTTGTGTTGGACAGCCGGTGGTCGAGCGAGAAAGTCGTCGGATAAGCAGTTTGTTTCCTACCGTTGAACTGATGTATGTGGGGAGCTTACGTGTCATCTCAGGTCTGGGACACGATCTGGTGTATCAGCCGCTGTGTGAATGAAGTTTTCTACGTGTTTTTGTGTAGAGAGAGGGCGTTGTGGTTATCGGGATGACACTTACAATATTTGGTTAGGGATCGCCGTCGTCAAGTTTTGGGTCGTTTATGTACGTTTGTGCATATCTTGTTTACGGTGTATAGTGATGATCTAATTCGTTTCTCTGTCGTTTATGTAGCCCCCGAGGTTAAGGTAGAAGACCAGGCACCTGTTGACAGGAACAAGTCTTCGACGCGATCGTGAGTGGTATTTGTGGTTAATGTAGATATCTGTTGACTGATTAAAGTAGGTCTTCCAGGTCGCCTGCGCCTGTTACGGGGTCGGGGCAGGTGACATCGAATGAAATGTCGTGATATTCACAGATGGTTTAGTATAATTTTGATTGGTACTGACGTGTGTTGTGCAGATATCGCGGTTCTGGTTCGGATACGATTGGAGTGAGTCGGTACGTCCGTGTCTCTGTCGTTCGAATAGTTATACGAGGCGTTGCTGATGCTGGAATGTAGGCGGGATGTTTCTGCATCAAGGAGCCAAGACTGTGAGGTGTGGAATGCGTACAACGCCTGTGGTCTTCTTGACCCTGATTTGGAGTCGACGGTGCATGATTTGCCTCCTCTTGTGTAAGTGCGTGTGTATGATATCAAGATTGGTGGTCTGAATCATCGTATCTCGTTTTTACAGTTTGCACGAATATCACTTCGATGCGAGTGCGGATCCTGGATTGACGTTATACAGCACGTTCTACTGTTGGAATCTTCCAGAGGAGGCCATGAGGTTCGTGCATGTGAGGATCGATTGTCGTGTTCTGACGTATGGTCTCTTTACAGGGAGTTCAAACGAATTGTTACATCTGCTGGGACTGTCGCGTGTGGGAATCCGGCGAGAATGGATCCTTCGCTGTACGGACTCGTCACGGTTGCCGGGAGCCAGTATATCGGATACGATACGGACAAGGCGTCCGTATTCGTCAATGTAGGGTCGGTTCGCTCGTCGTACCTTACAGGCGATGGCAAGGAGTTGGCGAATACCAGCAAGAACATGCATGGTATAACGATCACGGCGCTCGCCTACGAGTTCAATCGCCAAGTTTCGTTTATGTTGATGATCACTGGTGACGATGATGGGAATGGTGAGTATGACTGTACCTTGCGGCGATTGTTTTTGTCTCAACGTATATATTCAGTGAGGCTTCCGTATAACATGGGGCAATTGGAGTTCAATAGTCGCCCGGGGCGTGAGTAATTCTCGTATCTCGATCGATTCCTTTAGTGACGGATAATAGTGCCGAATTGGTCGGATAGCAAGGAAAAGGCGCCGCTTGTGAAGGGAACGAGGAATGCGCCCGTGCCGGCTCCTGAACGTTTGATGCAGAACAGGACATCGCTTGGCTATGGGGAGCCTGGTAAGTGGTAAGACGACGAAGTTCGTGGATTTGTCTGATGTATTTTAGTACCGGTGTACGATGGAAGGGTGATGAAGAAAATTGTGATAGACGGAGACCGCAGTTTCAACCCTGCCAGGTTGCCGCCGTTCAGAGGTGATGTCGACGTCAATATGCTGGTCCTTGTGGGTTACGCGATCAACCGTTATGCGAGGGCCGGTGCCGTGGAAGGGGTGACGAAGTCTGATCGGGCCGATATTAGGTTGAATTTCAACCTGCTCTATGTTGTCGTGTTGGCCGATAACGATGGCGTCGAATTGGAGCTGTAGGTTGCCGACTTATGTACATTGTTAGTGCGTCTCGGTCGTCGGAAAAGAGAATAGTCTTCGTTGTTGTAGGATAAATGTGTAGTTGTATGCCTGTTGTTGTATGAGTTGATCTTTGTTTTGTATAACTATCTGATTGTAGGTACATGTGTACGAACGATGACGAGAAGAAATAATTGGCGAAGGTCATATGAGTAGAAAGGTTTAGGGCGTGGTTAGGTCCGATTGCATGGGGAAAGTCTGTTGCGACGTAATAGGGTGTTGATGTAGGATGGCCGGAGCTCAAAGTTTAAGTAAGGGGTATATATCGGTCGTCGATGGGAGGTAGATTGTCAACCGTCAGTTCTTCTCCCCGTATTCATGAACGAGCGAACGCACCGGAGCAAGTTGTCATCGCCAGATCGCATAACGAATTACATGGAAATGGATCGTCTGTTCGTAGCAAAGTTGTAGGCGTCGCTCCGTTTTGCTGATCTGCATCCTTAGTGTGAAGGATTGGTCGACGAGTATGATATTGTTTGGTCGTTACTTCGTGGTGACGATATGGTTGCAGATCGCATGTTCGACGTGGTGCGGTGCTGTACGGCGATACGTTGTCTGCTTTGTTCGGTGCGTGTTCGGACGTTTTGTGTGGTATATTGGTGTTCACGAATGGCGCGGCAGATGTTGCGGTGCTGTATGCCCTTCGTATCAAGCATCGGCGTCGGTGCTGTGTCACGGTTTTGTGTACAACGACGTTCGTGGGTCGTGGTGATATCGGCCGTTGCGTGTGTGGCGTTATCGCGATTGCTCTTTTCGTGTTCTGTTTTTCCATATCGGGCGTCGATGGTAGTGGGTTGGTCATGGCTATCTGTGGAGTGGTTGTCAGTGCGTTGTGTTCGTTCGGATTTGCCGTCGCTATTCACCGTGTGGGGGCGCACGTCTTCTGTGGCGTCATCGTCGTTGCGGTCTATAGTCACGGATCTATCCTTCTTAGCCAGTTCAAGAGGAAGATGCTTCGTAGTGCCGATGTTATGGCCATTCACGGTCCCACCGTTCTTCACACTCGGCCGTCGGACTTTCGATGTACGTATGCTCAGATATATTGCCTGTCGAGGTCTACTGCGATTTCGTATGGCAGGAACGGTCTCATGTGTTATCATCGAACAAGACTTGCGGATATGGATACGTATGACATCAATATTCATTTTACCTTCACCAAGGTTTAGGCTGTGCTCAGAGTTGTTGATGTTGCTATCTTGCATAGGATCTGGAGATACATACACTGTCATATTACCGCCAATACACTTGGTGGGACTAGTGTCTTCATCACGCAGTGGTGTGGTGAGTCTAGTATCTCAATGTTTAAAAACATTTGCATCACCATTATGTGAGGCACCAGTGTTGCCGTGTTATGTGGCGCCAGTGTCGCCCTGGTATATGGCACCAGTGTTGCCGTGGTATGAGGCGCCAGTGTCGCCATGTTATGTGAGATTGATGTACTGTTTATATGTTGTGCTGGTATGGTTGTGGAATGTGGTATCAGTTTCACTGTTGTATGAGTTGTTAAGGTGGGCATGTTATAGGGCACGAATATTCTCGTTGAATAAGGTGTCGGTAATGCTGTGGCTTATAACATCAGTATTAATATTGTTAATATCAGCATGGTGGAAATTGACAGCATTACTATTTATGGCATATGAGGTATCATCAAGCCTGTTGAAATATATAGTGTCATTGTCTTTGTGGTATAAGGTGTTATCATTATTATTATATAGGATATTTTTGTTGTTGTTTTGTATGATATCGGTGCTATTACCAGTGATAGTGCATGTACTGTTGTCAGTTGTATGGTTGTTTATCTGGGTCGGTCAATTAGAACGTAAATATAATGAAGTGGATATATATCTATATAATAATCATGCAATATCAATTTATAAGCATCCTGTGTTTTATATGCTTGGAGGTGGACATTCAAAAACCTTTGTTGACTATGACTATATCAAAAAGTTTACAATAGTGCTAGGATGGAAATTTGAGCAGTCACCACCTGATATAAAATGGGAGTATGTTGGTCAGTTCACATCAGAGAAACTGATAGCATGTCTGATGGATAGGAGCATTACAGGTCTACAAGCATATGATGTACCCTTACAAGAGTTGTCAGAAATTATTAGTACAAGAGGACTGCGTAGAACAATGATCGATCATCATATTAGGTGCCCTCGTGATGGTCGGACATTAGAAACCATGAAAGAGTTGTTAAAGAATCACATATGTGATACAACATGCCAAAGTACATTTGTTGTAATCAAAGAAGTTCCAAGGAAATCACAAAATATGTCAGTAAAACCCTCTGTAAATATACAAGAGTCAACTAATCAAACATGTGATTTTCCACCGAGACCTCATGATGTAAGGCAAATACACGAAATAGTATCACAGTTTACGAAGCGTGTGTCTGCAGAACATATTCTTGAAGATGCATGTAGTATATGTGGTGAACTAACAGTAGAAAGTACCATGCAACATATACGTAGATCTGCAGTAAATTTGGATTGTTTATGTCGAGCCACTGAAAGTCGAATAATTTCTGCTCCTCGTAGCTCATTTGAGGAAGATATTCATTATGAAAGCGGACCAGTTTTATGTCATGCTGGAATATATATAGACATCTATACTAGGGAACATATGATGAAGATGTGTTCTACCTGCTATAAATCTGTAGTTGAAAATAATAAGTGTCCAAAGTTAGCATTAGCTAATGGTTTATGGTTGGGAGATGTACCAAGTGAACTGTCAAAACTGAATTTTGTTGAGAAAATGCTTGTGGCTAAATATCGTCACAACATATGTGTGATATCAGTGAAAATGGGACAGCGTAAGATGCGTGCAAATTGTATTATATTTCCACAGCCAACTGTGAAAGTATCATCTGTATTACCGCCTACTAGACGTGAATTAGATGAAGTACTTGCTATTCTGTGGACAGGTCACATTGCTCCAGTACTGGCTGATTTTAAACGAGCACCTGTACTTGTGCGTCAGAAGGTTGTATATGAAGCACTATTATGGTTGAAACTGAATCATCCTGATTATAATGATGTTATTATATCAGAAAATAATCTCTCTGAGTACTCTGACAATATTCCACCTGTTCATATTTCACACTTGCCTACAGAAAATTTGTCAGAACCTCATAATCTCGCTGTTTTTCAGTCTGAAGACGAAATTGCAACTGAAGATGGACCATGTCCATTTGCAGTACATGGTCTTATGGGTGCGGATTTAGAAGAATTAACTGCTGATCAGCAAAAATATATTGCATTACAACATCTACATTCAGGGAATAAGGTTCTTGCTATTGGTCATGGACAGTATCCCATTTCAACTTTTGAAAATCCAAAATATCTAGCAGCAATGTTCCCATGGTTATTTCCCTATGGTTTAGGTGTGATAGGAAATAAGAATATAATAAAGCCTGTATCACGAGATAAGCATGTTGAATGGTTATTAATGTATCATGATCGTAGATTTCAGATTGATGAATATTTCTTGTTTGTAATCTTCAATCAAAATCAAATTATACAGTCTAGTAAAGGTGGTTACTTATTAACAAAGCGGAAGAGTATGCAGTTTCTACCAGAGAAGATCAAAAATATTGATAGCCATGCACTAGATCAAATAATACAACGTGGTAAGGATAATATATACCTGAAACCAGAAAACCCGGCAGAGGCAGCATGTTTTGATATTTTACATGATTTAGATTATGTTTGTAGTCATATTCAGGGCTCTAACATTGGACGAAGACGTATGCGTCAAGAAATTAAGGCCATGATATATGACCGAGGTGCATTTTCATTGTTTATTACCTTTTCACCTGTTGATTTTAAAAATCCTATTTGCTTATATTATGCTGGTATAGAGTTCTCAAGTGAACAGCTTATATATAATCTTCCCGATGTTAGTGATCGGTTAAAATTGATAGCATCTAATCCGGTTGCATGTGCAAGATTTTTCCATCTTATGGTGGATATTTTTATCAACACGTGTCTCTATCCTAGTACAGCTGATTGTGAAGGATTGTTTGGACCAACTGATGGCTATTATGGCACAGTAGAAGCTCAGGGTAGATTATCATTACATTTACATTGTTTGGTTTGGATAAAAAATGCACCTAGTCCTGAGAAACTACGTGAAAAATTAAAGTCTGGTGATCAAAATTTTACAACACAAATTATATCGTGGCTTGAGTCTATATGTCAGGGTGAATATTCTACTGGTACTGAAGCTGATATCGAAGAGTTGATCAAGAGTGATACTGTAAGTAAATCTCATATACTGAGTAAGTTGCCACCTATGCCAGATAGTAATATGACAGATGCAGATATAGCAGATTGGTATCAAAATCTTTGTATAGAGTCTGATGTTATTGCATATCTATCGAATCGTCATAGTTCACAACATGGATATGGATGTCAGACAGCTACTGGTCAATGTAGAGCTAGGTTTCCACGAACCATCTATGATGTTACAACTGTCGATTTATCTGATGGTGCAATAACATTAAAGCATAAAGAGGAATGGCTTAATACATATAATGTGATATTGACTTATTTAATGAGGTGTAATACTGATGTTCTTTCGATGCAGTCAGGTACACAATTAAGAGCTATTATTGCATATGTTACTGATTATATTACTAAGTCTAGCCTCAAAACACATGCATTATTTGATTCAATAAAAATGATATTAGAAAAGTCTGCTGAGACAAGAAAATATGATGATATTGATTGTGGTGATGCACGGAGTATCATTGTGAAGATTGTGAATTCATTAACCTCTAAATATGAAATGGGTGGCCCTTTTATTAGTTCATACTTGCTAAAATTTCCAGATCATTATACAAATTGTATGTTTAAAGTAATCTTTTGGAAACAGTACCTAAAAGTGTTGTTACCTGTAGATAGTGAGAATACTGCTATTGTAGACAATGAAGATGATACTGTACTATTAAATAATGTGGGAGGCAATATTGTAGAAGTATCACCCGTGCATGACTGGATATATCGGCCATCTTTTTTTACATCATACTGTCTTGTTGATTTTCTTAAATGTACTGACAAACATAAAGTACGTAAAAAATGTGATAAAAAATCAACAAATAAGACAGGGAATCTGTATTATTTTTTAGAGGGTCATCCACAGCAGGATACACACACATTACATCATCGTAAGTCACATGAAAGATATATATTGAATTTTATTGAATCTCTTCCTCGACGCGACAAAGGTGATTATGAATTTTATTGTCAATGTATGCTGATGTTATTTTATCCTGGCTGGTACTCAATTAGTGATATTAAAGATCACAGTGTATCTTGGATTGATAAATTTGAGAACTTTTATCTCTCAATGAGTGAAGAACATAAACTTATGATTAATCACTTTAATATATTATATGAATGTTATGATGCTCGAGATGATTTCTCTAAACATGGTCATCAATCTAGTGGTAATGTTAATGTTTCGGCTGATATCTTGGAACAAAGTGCGCAAGAACACCTAGGTACTGAAATGATAGATCATATAAACCTGAGTGAAATGAATCAAGATGAAGTTGTGAATAGTCTTTTGGATATTAATGAACCTCGTACGGCAGTATACGGCATGATGCTGGAAATGGAAAAAATACTACATGCACATAATTGGTTTCGACCAGTAGAAATTCCAAACTATCCAAAAAATACTATTATTCCACGATTTTATCCAGAGATGTATAGGTCCTCTAGTCAATGGGCAGAAATCCTAAGTAATAGTCGTCGTGAGTATATGATGTCAAAGCACCATATTGTGGCAGCTGCTACAGGAAAACATGAACATAAATTAGTTGAAGGTAATCCAAGTCAGAATATTAATGATGGTAAAGTAAGTATAGTAAACCTAAGTGAGCTAGAGAGCGAGAGGAAACCAACTAAGAATGTTGCACAGATTGATATGCAAATTGAAGGTATATCCAGTAAGTTTTCACTGAACGATGAACAGCATCGTGCATTTAATATGATAGTTAAGGGATGTTTAGATGATAAGAAACAGTTATTGATGTATCTAGGGGGGATGGGTGGTACAGGTAAATCACAGGTGTTTAAAGCAGTTACAGCATTTTTTGAAGCCAGAAATGAATCTCATCGATTTGTCCTTATGGCTCCTACTGGTAGTGCAGCAGCAAATATCGGTGGTTCAACATATGCTTCACTTTTAGGTATTGGTAGAGATGAATTCGGATATACATCTACATTATCATTAACCAAGCTTAGGGAAAAAATTGGTAGAGCTGATATATTCTTGATTGACGAAATATCAATGGTAAGTTGTGAACAACTGTTTAAAATATCGTCTCAGTTATCTCGAGCCCGTTCACGTCCGATGGATGCATTTGGTGGATGTAATATGATTTTTGCTGGTGACTTCGCACAATTGAGACCTCCTGGGACAGGACGACCGTTATATGCCGGTAAAAGTCGAAAGACTTCTGGTAGTGTAAAATATAACACCGGTCGAGAAAATACACGTATAGGACAAGCATTATGGTACATGGTCACTGACGTTGTTATTTTGCGCAAAAATATGCGGCAGACAGGAATGAGTGAATTAGATAATCAATATCGAACTGCTCTGGAAAATTTGAGATATAAGGCTTGTACATCTGATGATATCAATTTGATCAAATCTTGTATTGTTGGATATACAAAACATAGTCCTGTTTTAACGGATCAAAAATGGCGCAATGTACCTATTATCACTGCTAGAAATGCTCATCGTGATAAAATTAATGAATTAGGAGCAATTAGATATGCACAGGATCATAAACAAACTCTTATTCACTTCAAGTCTCAAGATCAATTTACTTCTTCTAAAAGGGCAAAAAACTCTCTACAAGAAGAATTGAAATACGATAGATTTTTGATAGATCCTAAACGGTTAAGTAATATATTACATCCAACTATACAAGATGTAGTATGGAAACTTCCACCTTGCTGTACATCACATCATGCTGGTATCCTAAGTCTGTGTATTGGAATGCCTGTGATGCTGAAATATAATGAGGCTACAGAGTTATGTGCCACAAACGGTGCAGAGGCAGTTGTTGTAGGTTGGCAGGAAAATAGCAGTGATGCAGTTTATCCATCTCTTGATACATTATTTGTAGAGCTTAAAAATCCGCCTCGATCACAGCAGTTACCACATCTGCCGCAAAATATTATTCCTATTGTATCTACAACTAAACAGATTACTTGTGAAGTTTTCACTCAACGTAAAATAAAAATTCCTATTGAAAGAAAACAAGTTCAAGTTTTATTGAATTTTGCTATGACAGATTTCTGTTCCCAAGGTAGAACACGACCGATAAATCCTGTTGATCTAACATATTGTAGTGGATTCCAGTCTGTATATACATGCTTATCACGCAGTACATGTTATGATGGCACATTGATATTGCGTAATTTTAATGATGCCCTGCTTACAGGTGGTAGCCCTGGTAATTTGCGCCAAGAATTTCGTAGTCTTGAAATATTAGATCATATTGGCTATCTTCGTTACCATAATAATCTGCATCCTAGTATTCATGGTAACACACGGCATGAATTGATTAAAGCATATCAACAGATATATGGTGAGCGTGCTGTACCATTGGTAGTACATTCTGCATTAAATTGGTCTGAGTGGCCTGATAAAGACTTGAACTTGCCGATATTTCCTGATACCTGGGTTAATTATGTATCTAAGTTACAAGGCAATAAAACTACAGTAGCTGATAGTCAAATTATATCACCAACTACTATACGGAGAGATATAAGTAAAAGTAAACATGAGCTTAGTAAAGATCTGTTAGTATTACCATCTGTGGAACATGAATCAATAGGAAACAATGTTGATATGACTAGAACATACCAGCCAATAGGTTGTAAATGGAATTCTGTTGATTTTTCATGTGCATATGACAGTGTACTATTTATTATATATAACTTATTAGTTGAAGTAGGACATGATACTTTTGTACAATTATGTCCCTCTAATGACACATCGAAGATACTTATGGATGCATTGTCTATAAACTCAAAAAATATAAGAGATATACAACTAGAGCAAGTGCGAGATCAATTGAGAGATCATTTATCTTTGATTAATGATGTTGAATTTCCTAGATATGGACATACTTATTCCTCTGCAGCATCTGTAATGATAAATGTACTTGATAATCAAGTTTCAAATGCTGTACTATCTATGTCTTGTTGTGAATATACAGTTCAACGTGACTGTACAATTGGTATTTGGTATGCTGAGTACAATTTATTATCTGATGTCTTATTAAATGTGTGTACTGATCATCAGATTCATACCTCAGATTGGTTTCGGTTATTATCTGAAAGATATCAACCAAATCATAGGTGTGGTACATGTAATAATCCGATGTTGGGTAAAATTAATCCTTTTCATGCTCCTGGTCTTATGATGATGTGCTTACCTAATCCTAATGAACGATATCCAACATATACTACCGTTATTGATAAAACTATAACATTACATGTTGAATCATCGTTAAGGACATGGCAACTATGTGGGATTATATATTATGGAGGTTATCATTTTACTGCACGATACTTTGATGATATGCAGAATTCATGGTATCATGATGGTGTGAAAGGCACTTTATCTGTGAGAGATAATGATGTGGTTGATTTAAATACTGTTGATAACAGAGATGCTTGTGTTGTTGTTTATAGATTATTAGGTCGTACATAATATAAAGGTAACATTGATTTATTATACCATAAAGCTTATCGAGAAGAACATTCTGACATTTGGGAGGTTTTATAGACTAGGATATCAGATGCTTCTCATGGTTGACAACTCTCAAGGACACTCAGCATATGCAGCTGATGCCTCTAAGGTGTGGCCAGCGCAAACTGTGGTAGACGTGACAAGCCGTGACGTCAGATGACATGTAGCACTCCACAGTGATACAGTGGTCTCGTCGTCGTCTGCCTATCTATCGTCTCAACCGCTCAACAGTGGTTTAATCAATATGAAATGTGTACCAATACACATATATAACAATGAAATACATGCTGTGATGTGTAAGCCATGAATTTGTTTTGGGAGAGGCCTTTCAATGGTCGACAGTGAGACGAGGAACAACAGTGGAGCCCAAACAAGAGTCTTACAACTGTGCCGCTGATGAAAGTCTAGGAGAAAGCCTCAGAGATGGTGCTTGTCAAGCTCTTCCATGATAGAGGCAGGAATCACTCAATGTCCATGATAGTTTTTGACAGCCCAAGCAGCCTGTTTGCCGTTGAGAACCTTTTGATAGCTATTTATGAAACACCGTGCACGGGTAGCATAGCTGGGAGAGAGTATGTGAAATGCTGTTTATAGTCATCAATGATACCATACTGTCGTGTAGCCTCTAAAGGTACTGAGTTCAAGACTTCAATGACATTTTGTTCAAGGTCATCTTCAGATGCTGAACTTGGCAGTAACCGGTACTGCCATTTTGCATGTTCTCAGCATATTTCAATGAAATTCAACTCCGGGTGGAACTTGGGCAGGAATAGAACATGGTATCCTTGTGTCTTGCATATTGATTCAAGCAAACAGTCAACGTGGATGAAGTCCGGTTGAGTGAAGAGCAGACACCGGCAGCAACATTGCTGATTGTCGTTCGGGCATTGAAACCCAGGACATTCTGCCCTGATTTTGTCGGCATCATGGAAGCCGCGTTCTTTGAGCAGTATGGCCATGCCTTTGAATGTCTCGTCGGAGAAGTAGAGGTGCTGTGGTGAGCCATCGGGAAGTCGCACATCCATCATCTGTGCCTTCTCCTTTACAACCTTCCCAGTCTTGCTGTCGTACATTGGCTGGCCTCGTTCATGAAGCTTTGGTCACTCTACACCAAACATTGGCTTTCTGGGTTTTGTCAGATCTTTGGACATTCTTCGGGCAGATAACACGTTATCTGTGCGCTTGAGGTGTGTGGTTCTGTTGTCAAATACAAACACGTGCTCCTCTTTGAGATAATACTCGTTGAGGATATCCAAGGCATCGCAGACTTGTTGGAGTACATCATGGTCTGTGAATCATCCATCGCATGATTTTCCAGCCTTGAACAGCTGCTGTACTGATCTGTCGCCTCCAGGAGATTGCAGCCAACCGTAGTCTGTAGATATGAAGTCAGATACCATTATTGAAGCACCCTTGCCATTAGGCTTGGGTTTTGCGGTCTCCGATTCATGCACCCAGTGGATCTGTCATCGGTCGTGGGCATAAAAGGTCGACTCGTCATGATGCCACACCATGACATGACGCAGTTGCACTCGTTGGTGATCATCTTCTATCTCTTCTATCCCATCGTTCCATGATTGCATATTCAACTCTAACTCTCCATATGCCGGAAGGAACTGACTTTGCCGGTAGTGCACCACATCATCTTGTTCGTGGCCATCCACGTATTGACCCGACGGAGTTTTTTTCCACCGGTATTCCATCATGTGCATCCAATTCTTTGTTGTCGACAGGGAAATCCCCTTTGTGATGCCGTATTTGCCTTGAATCTCGGGAGTATTGATGAAGGACATGACATTCGCTGCACGGACATTGTTACCAAGTCCAAGGGGATGGTCGTGAATTTTGGATGACAAGTCACCCTTCTCTAGTAGCGGCAAGCACCAGGTACTGTAGATATTGTACAGTAGATCATTCTGATCTGCGATAAATCCTTGCAATCATTTCCGGAGATTATCGGCAGTTCTCTTGCCTTTCTGGAAGGCATGGGCTGTTGCCTCAGATGCTCAGCGCCAGGTGAAGGAGTTGAATGTGTCGACATAAATCGAAAGCAACATCTGCATCATTATGAGACGGTTTTGGTACAGGTCATCCCCTTCAAATTGATGATGACCAGCATGACCTTTTGGGCGGGATGGGTGAATTACTTCGTCAAGATCCGCCAATGCCATCTCGGCCACTTCAACCTGCGGGGCAGGCACGTAATATCCTGCCCGCTGAGTTTTGTAGTGCGGCATCGGTGGCAACGTGTAATGATTGATCAAACTTTGTTCATCTCGAGAACCTGGCACATTCTCCCACTGGCACATTTCCCCACTGGCAGTCACTCCTCACGCCACGACCACTGCCTACTCAAGCTGTATGAGCACGTACATCACAATTTGTCTTCACTACGTACCTCAGCCTTGCTCTTGCTGTAGAGAGAAATCTTAACAACTTGGAACTCCAATGTTGTTCATGTGGCCGACCTCATTCTCCTTGTTTGTTCGGGATTTCAGTGGATCCCAGGAGCATGTGAATCCCATTTCCGGCCATGATATGTTCATATAAGATGCCGCTCTATGGTTGTTCTGCAGAGGATGGAGTGCGGGCTGACTTGAAGGTGTGACCTGCTGGAAACTCGGTTCGGTGGACCAAGTTGGCTTTGCCACTTCGTCCAAGGTGTTGTTGAGCTTTTTGTGCATATTCTGTACATGATCAATGGTCCGCGAGACGGCTGTCGGGATCTGTGCACAGTATCAGCCTGATAGCATGCCACAAAGTTGCCGACTTGAAATTGTGTATGCACATCAGACCCCGATTGGCTGACCTCAGTCAATTTACAACCCTTCCTCCATCTCTCACTTGCTATTCCATGGTTTTTGTGATTATGCAGTTGAGCGTGGTTTGCTTTGGACCAACGTCCCATAACTAGTAGTGTTGTAGTTAGTGTTCATCAGACTGTTGTGCCCTTGACTGCATTAATGATCACAACCACAATGTAAACCCTTGAGGGAGTGCTACTCAAGCTCGCACACAACTCGCATCTTATTTTTAAAACCTGTAATCCATGCTACCAGCGTATATCAACAATGTTATGCCCAAAGCTTCATACATTGGTGTACATTGTGGCATGATTAAAGTCATCATGCCCATCGCTCACCGTGACGTGACAACTAGGATCAGGTGATCGTCCACAGTTTGCACTGGTTACACCTTATCATAAGTCAGGTGAAGTTCTGACCTGGAGGGAAGCAGGCTAAGCTTCAATATAACCAGTTCATGTACAACAGGAAGAAGACCATGCAACCAATGATCTTCTCAAAAGATCATCCTGAGGTTACCTTTATTGAGCTTCACGAATAGCTCTTGCATTGTCTTACATAGGTGACTAGTGATCTTTGCCCCCGTGAAATCCTGAATGTGTGCAGTCCAATTGATATGAGGCCCAAGGAGTGGATAATACTAGTTGACATGTATGTGAGGTACCTGTACAGCACCCTGGTGGTTCCAGATCCTTGAACGGATTCCAGTCTGACTTTCATCATTCTTGTTCCTTTTGTCTGACATCACAGTTTCCATTTGTAGTCTTCAGTTTCCTTTCGCTTGCAATTGATCTTTCAGTCCGCGGTTTCCGTCTCTTCTCTAGATATGTTCCCTTTGTATTCCACACGATATATTTAGTCTCCGTACGTTTCCTTTGTGCACCAAATGGTGCTGCCAAACTCTGCATTTCCGACTTCACCATTGTTCTGTCTTATGTACTGAGACTGCTCGAACTATACGGTAGAACTTCAGTTCAAATATCAACTAAGCTTTGCATCCTCTCTCTATGTGGAATCAGAGTGTGTAGTAGCCTAGTGCACCAGCTTTTGGCGTGGCCCGCATCTGTACTTGACCTCACCGAATTTGCTGAACTTACCGGCTTGATGCTGATGGGGTCTCCGACACTTCTCTGACTTATGCA